AGGGGTAGGTCCGCCAGCGTTGATAATCACACTATTCGATGTGATAGTCTCTTCTTGGTTCGCCATCGACGGGGAGTAGTAAGCTGAAATATCAAGTAGACGGCCGGAGACCCGGGAAGGAGGAGGGCCTCGTAGCTTCTCAGTATATTAGCAGCTTTTCTATATCCCAGACAGTTGCCCAAATCAATACTTACGTTTCTTGGCTCAAATCTCTCGCTTTCAACGTACTCTGGCTCCGACACGGCCATTAAGCAGAAACCAGCAAGTAACTGGCGAAGGGAAGGCCGTGTAGCGCCACACCAAATAGGCGACGAAAGGAGAAAAGAAGAGTCGGCTTCTCGTTTGACAAAAACGGTGGAGTCGTAGGTGGACAGAAATCCAACCCGAGTTGAACATGTGCGCATCTGAGCAACAAGTTGTCCTAACAAAGGGCCAAGAGTCAGCGAACTTGACGTGAAAGTGAGAGAATGCTGGGCAGGCATACCTATCAGTGGCTCGAGACGAAAAGATGATTCGGGCCGGTTGATATGAAGATCTTCGTCCGAGATGGACCAGGGTGTTTTCATTTCTCCAACCAGATGAACGTTACCAGTCCTAAGGTTGGTCGCAACCAGCCCCAAACATACGTCTGGGACAGTCATTTGTGTGGTGGAGATTGCCTGAATATCAGCAAATCGGATTGACGCCATGCCTGGCACCAATTCGAGTGCTTTGATAACTGGGTCACAGACATTGCGGACAAACCTCCCCGTTAAACCAAGCTCATTACCGACTGTGTAAAGTTCCGTCTCATCGTTCAGTGGAACTTCATGGGCTATGTCAGCTTGTTGGAACACTCGGCAAGCGTCCGTTTGGAATGTACTCCATAGAGACATATAGGCGACTGACAGACGGTCGGAATGGATTGATGGGTTCAATGTTCCTCTATTCTGGTTTAGAGCTGGAGTAGCTCTAGCCAACTGCGTCTGGGCTGGTTCCATGTTTTGGGAGATGGAATAATCGTTGGAACGACAAAAAAACGTTCTGGGACACTGAGCCGAGAGGCTTACAGTTATCGACAGAAGTAGGGGAAATTAAAAGACGATGCTCAGCGAGGACGTGAAAGAAAAGGCGAAAAGAATCCACGCAGGGCTAAAGTATTTCAGGAAACCCAAGATCAGGACGTGAAAAATTGGCAATGGTAGTGTGATTGCCTAGGAGTAGAGATGCCGAAGGATGGAAAGATCCGACCCCAAGATCCACTGATGACTGGAGGGAAACCTTCAAATGTTGGAACCCTTGGGCAAGTGCTATAAACCGAGAAAGTGCAGGCCATATGATCATGTAAGCTGACCGTCCAGGGGGTCCACCTGGGGTCCACGGGTGGACCCTGCACTTCCTGCAGGCACCCGTCGACCGAAGTCAGAGGCGGAGCCCGCCAAGTCTTTTCTACAGCTTGAACTCATCATCTATTCACCAAGTCTTCCCGTAGTTGATTCTAGTTGACAGCTGTGAAGAAACTGGATATTCCAATTTCATATTGGAACGACCGTGGTCGTTCTGTTTTCTTGTTATTTGACAACTTCAGGGGACAGTCAGCTTCTTCCGAACATCTAAAGTTGAAACCCCCGGCCTTAAAGCGGCGCTCACCCATTTCTCACCCGGGCGGCACCCACCGAACTATTGACCGCACATAAGCCACACGCTGGTGAGTTAGTAGTTAAGTGGGCGGCCACCAGCGAATCCTCACTGTTATATGTTATTCTTTTTTCGTTTTTGTATATTTATGAGATCTAGGGTACTATTTGGATAGGAAGGGACCACAAGGTGGTCAACTTGTGTAGTATAAAAGGTGAGGTACGATCTGAGTAAGGAATCCATGCCCAATCCAATAAGAGTCAAACAAACTTGCGTTTTACTGTACGACTCATTTCTTACAAGGGTATTTACGTTAACTTCTATGTCTTGGAAGTATTTAGTTGTGTCAAATTCCTAGGTTAGAACGTACATTGATAGCTTCTACAACTCTCCAATCCAACACTTACATTACACCATGCATCTGGATGTCTCTGTAGACATCCTCTAACAATTTAATCATCTCTTAATATATAATTAACAATGGAATACGCTTTATATCGAGTTCTTCTTCACACCTTCAAGTGCGTTTGCTTCTCTGACACTACTGGTATCCGAATTCTTTCCCCACCTCTGTGGCTACTTTTATATAGTGAGGGCATTCATACACTTCAAAGACCACTTCCATTTATTCGATGATGCTAGTGGATAATTTCTGGCCTAACTAACCGAAGCTCTCTTAGGTCTACTTATCCAACGAGATAGGGAGAGCGTTGCCCTCAAATCACTCGAGTTCACGATACCTTTGCGGCAACAAATTTGAGGATTGATCATATTTTCAGGATCGATGGGAGGAATTGTGAATTAAGGAAGGAATTTAATTTGCGATGAGGTACTTCATTGGGTGCATTATGGTACGTCATGACCTGCTAAGCCAAATTTTGTTTTGTAGACTTCAGGCCATACCATCTCTAAGACTTCCAAAAGATGGTTGGATAGCCATATCAAAAACCTGAGAGAATAAAACTGACCAAGAGCATTAGGAGCAAGTCGAGATCAAGCTCGAAGCGCGTCCCACCGGGGACTACCCCCCCCCCCCCCACAAACCCACCCCCGCCTCTATCGAGCTGAGCTTAGATTTCGCGATCATGGCCGCCATTCCCCTGTGCATCGAATATTGGTTTGATAATCACGGAGAACGGGTGCTTCCTCCGAGCAAAACCAAGCCGTGTCACAAAAAGGAGTGTATATGGCTACAAAATGCATGAATGCTATCGGTCAAGGAAATCGCTTTCTAGTCGACTTCGATCGTATTGGAGCCTGGTTCTATCAATAAATCAATGTGGTGCATCCACCTTGCCGACTTCACCAAGCTAGGGGTCATCACACACCGTGGCCATGAGGTATTCAAAATCTCCATGATGGGACATTGCAACTCATTCCCCTGCGTCGAAGAGAATTGGTCAATATTTAAAGGGACCTTTGAGGATTTTGCAGAGCCTTTACCGACGACTCCTTGTCTCCCACAGCTTGGAAGAACAAGCCGAGTACCTGCCACAACCAACAGCTAGACTACGACAGAGTGTGAACTCTCTTATCACGACCACGCTGGAAGAAAAGCTGAAACCAATACCTAGCTTGGCCTTCCCGAAACACTAAAGGACCTACGTTTCCAACTGCCTCTATTGTTTCCGGATTCCGACCATTGCTGTTCCAGTCCTAACCTCCGAACTGCTACGAAATGAAACTTCCAAGCTCCCATAAAGCCAGATCTCGGGACGAGATATTTCAACCACGTGGCAGCCACGGTCGAAGCTTGAGAAAAATATGAAATTTTGCCTTGCCGACAGCATCAGAACAATCAAAATTGCACCGACAGTTGAACAACGGGAGTTAAGCACGCATGCAAACAAATGGCGCGTCTATTTGCCCAATTTGTCCTGATGCATGGAATGTCTCTGTGTATCTAACCATGAGTGGTGGGCTCAGAGTTGAATCAACCGTTCTGTTCCACTCCCTCGCCAATATTAACAAATCGAGGAGCTGTGATGTGTGTTTCAAGACTCACCGCACCTGCAACCAGGTATATAGCCCATGTTATTCCTATGTTGTATCAGTACTAACGGCATGTTATCTCGCCTATTCTGGGTTCCCCTTTGAATTGAGAGACGTTTCTAAGGGCTCCTCGCCTACTTAAATCAGGCCCGCCTTTTCTGATTGAACGAAGAAGCTGCCTATAGCAGTAAATTGGTTACTAGCTATGCCGCTGAATTCATCATGGAGCGGTACCCACGTTTACTTGTCACTGAGGTGATTAGCGACTCGATCACCGGTTTTGACAATTTTGAAAAGGACTATCGTCGTCCGCACAAGTTGAATGGTCGGGGCTTGAAGCAAGTGAGTTTATTTTATCCCCATGTGTTTCATGCTGTTTTACTGAATTTTCGGGGGGGATCCTATCTTAGTCTGTTTTCGATGACTATATAATATGTTTTTGCGAAATACTGGGACTACGCTGCCCAAGTTGAGAAATATCTCCTCCCCTGCTCGGCGAGGAGTCGGTCGTGAGTTGGTTTGATAGTGTCGTTGCGTTGTCACGACCTTGGGATCGACCAGGCATATACAAAAACATCTGCCGATGATACTTGGTCGAGCCAAATCGCCCCAGAATGTGGTCCAATATTGACGAGAAACCCATCACTTCAAAAAGAAACGCGAGACCATTAGTACCATTGTATGATTTTCTGGGACTTCTTTTCTCCAAAACTCAATACCAAGAAACATTGACCGATCTATAACAAGTAGCACTGATAAATTTCAAGTAATAAAAAAAAACATTCAAAATAAGTCATAGATGTATTATCGTGGTTGCTTGAATGCAGAATACCAGCAAAGTATGAACAATGATCTAACATCAAACATTCTTTAACTGCTCCGTACGTATATGTATATTCTAGTCTCCCATACTCGAACAGTTCAACTCTATGATAAATCTCATTGCTGTATATTTGACCGAGCTCATTACCCCGCCCCTTCCGCCTCATCCATCGACTCTGTACTTCCCATCCTATCTCCAAATTTTCTATTCATGTCCAGTTCCTATTCGGATATCGAAGACATCCCATTCAGCGACCTGGGCGGATTTGCTCTTGTCTCATTTCAAGACACTAATCTATATAACTTCTTGCAGAAGACAGATATCTTAGCCCAGAATTGTCAACGACATCTGAAGAGCCCAAGGGTGATGCGTCCGTATGAAAACCTGCAAACCGTATAATATATTGACTGAGATACTCATGATTGGATAAAAACACCTAAGTTTCTAGAACCTAACTGATCTTGAATCTCTTAATAGACAAAGCTATAATTATTGGCCCATCTATGTAGTGGTTCATCGCTCAGGTCACCACGATCTAACTAAATATGGGCAATAAGCCGTAGATCTATCAGCCATCTGGACCATGACCCAGTCCTGCATCCAATAGACATGTGATGCGCACCTCCGCGGCCATTTTGTTGCTTAAATAGACCGTCATCGCTGTTTTGCATTTATTTTTTGACCTCCAATAACTTGAATCTCACTAATAATCTTACGCACGATGCTTTCAGAAATTGGAGACCTTTTCCCCTCCAATCCAATCCAACTCGTTACCAGCCTATCGGTCGGGGCTCTCCTCACTGTCATCGTATACCGGCACTGGTTCCATCCCCTCAGTCAATTCCCAGGTCCACCATTTGCTGGAATCTCGAGCCTGTGGCAGGCATGGCAGGACATAATCCGCCATGGCGAATTCCCTCGATCGGTAAATGAGCTACATCGGAAATATAGTAGGTAGTTTTGACACGAGAAATCAGAGTATATCGACTGACTATGTATCTCTTCAAACTCCAACGTAATTCGTATCGCGCCGAATCAACTCCATATCAACGACCTCGAGTTTCACTACAAGTAGGTTCCAGACGCAACTAATTCATTCTACAATCATCTCACTCTAATCCAATCACCACAGAATCTTAAAGATCAACTCAGATTACCTCAAAGACCCAAAATTCTATGAAAAAATGGGCGTCCCGGAGGCAATAGGAACTATATGCGACCCGCATAAACATCGCATTCTGCGCCGTCGAGTGAATCCGCTTTTTAGCCAACAGGCTATTAATCAAATGGCTGGAGATATTCAGGAAACAATCACACGTGCCTGCGACTTGGTTTCAGAAAAGTTTGATGCTCAGAGTTTCTTCCGTGCGATCGCAGTATGCATTCCTACATCCTGTGGGTTACCAATGTCATAACAAATGTTGGGTTCTAGGGAGATGTCCTCTCTACACACTATTTCGGAGAGAACATGAACCTGGTCAACAGACCCGAGTATGCGCAAAAGCTCTGGCACGGAATCGACTTCATGATCGGCCAGATATGGTACTGTATGTTCACAGCAGCTTTCTAAGACGAAACAATGGCTAAGTCTTCGACTAGTGATTCATATCCCATATCTCTCTAGCATTGTAATGAAGATGCCGAACGTTTTTGTCAAGATCTCGCTTCCAGGATTTGCGGGTCTGATAGAGGTACGATTCAAATCCTCCTCTGGAGATACATACAGTTGCTGAATTTATCTGAGATAGTTGTGCATGCGACAAGCCAAAAAAGCCATTCAACGGAGTAAAGCAAACTCCACTTCTCTCAAAACCCCCCACAACGCCACATTCTTCGATCTACTGATGACACCATCCCAGGGACAAGAATCAGTTCACATCAGCCAAACTGATATGTTGAACCATGGCCTGAACCTTGTTGCCGCAGGAGTAGACACAGTGTCAATTACCATGACAGTCGCGCTGTATCACATCCTCGCATCCCCGGAGATTCAACGTCAGGTGTACTCCGAGACACGAGACGCAACGCCTTTCATCCGAGACGAGCTTGATTCACAACGAGTTCGGAAACTGCCTTATCTAGTACAAATCACCAACGCCCCTTCAGCGTATTGCAAGCAGCTAATAGCTAACGAGTACGAGTTCCCAGGCGGCCGTTATCAAAGAAACTCTGCGCATGTATCCCCCAGTCCCAGGTAGACTGCCACGCGTTGTCCCGCCACAGGGCGAATCCTATAAGGGGAAGTTCATACCGGGTGGTGTAAGGACATTCTTAAATATGACTGTGGAACATATTTATAACATAGAAGATCTGACCATCGCATAGACAATTGTCTCGATAATGCCATACACCATCCACCGAGATCCGGCATTATTCCCAGAGCCGAACGTCTTCAAGCCCGAGCGATGGCTAGGCGAGAACACTCTTGAGCTGGAAAGAGCTCTTATATCCTTCAGTGCCGGAAATCGCATGTGTCCCGGGATCCAGTGAGCAGGACCAGTTATTTTCTGGCTTTCGACTGTCGTTACTAACTTGCAAAAGTCTCGCGTATCTTGAGATACAGATGGCTCTCGCGACGCTCTTTAGTCGATTCGCCCTTGAACTTGACAGTCCGCTTCCGAAGCAAGAGCTGGATTGGAGCGATCTATTCGCTCTTGATCTTGACTATCCAATCAAGGTTAGGGTGTTGGCTGACCACTGGAAGATGAGTGACGATGGTGGCACAGACATGCGTGTTATTGAGTAAAGCTCTAGTATAGTTGACAAGCATGTCAGGTTTGATGTCACGTTCTATGACATATCCCTAAACCAAGGGTCATTCAATATCTCCTCCGTAGAGGCCCTGGCAGAAGGCTCGAGCCGCAGTAATTATCCTATGACCTCCCAGCCGAGCTATATCCACCTAGTCTACTCCGAGCAGAATTAATTGTTAAATTACTAAAAAAGAAATATTTTAAAATGTATGATTGCATTCACTATCATGTAAGAAATTCCTTCGTAGTATCACTAACTCCATTCAGCCAGTCAATTAGATGGCGAAAGATAAAAAGCAGACCCAAATCGGGGGGAAATCAAGATATATCCACAGCTCGTCCCGACACAAGCGGCAGACGTGGCGAGAGGATCCAGAGACCATCACCAAAAAAAAGCAATAGCACGCCATGCAAAGGACTTATTCATCCTGTTTGGGAGAACAAGAAACAAGAAGAAAAAGAATTTTTTAACCGTCGCTCCAACCCTCTAGACCTGAGGAGCAGCAGCGAGGACATCGGGAGTAGCCTCGTCGGAGTACTTCTTGAAGTTCTCATTGAAGAGGACAGCAAGCTTGGTGACCTCGTCCTTGAAGGAAGTGGTAGCAGTCCAGCTCTTCTCGGGGTTGAGGAGCTCGCTGGGGACACCGGGGCAGGAGGTGGGGACGGGCAGGTTGAAGGTAGGGTAGTTCTCGTACTCTGCCTTGGCAAGCTCACCGTTGTGGATGGAGTCCAGGATGGCACGGGTGTACTTGAGAGGGCAACGCTTGCCGCCAGTGGTGGCACCGGCGCCAACCCAGCCGGTGTTGAGGAGCCAGGCGTTGACCTTGTGCTCCTTGATCTTCTCGGCCAGCATGTGGGCATAGCGCATGGGGTGGAGAGCCAGGAAGGGCTGAGCGAAGCAAGAAGAGAAGGTAGCCTGGGGCTCGGTGACGCCGTCCTCGGTACCGGCCATCTTGGAGGTGTAGCCGGAGATGAAGTGGAACATGGTCTGCTCGGGGGTGAGCTTGGAGATGGGGGGCAGGACACCGCGGGCATCACAGGTGAGCAGAATGATGTTGGTGGGGTGGTTGTCGGTGACACAGGGGATCTTGGCGTTCTCGATGTACTCGATGGGGTAGGCGCAACGGGTGTTCTCGGTGAGGGTGGCATCGTCGTAGTCAACAACACGGGAGACGGGGTCGAAGACGGTGTTCTCGAGGACGGAGCCGAAGCGGATGGCGTTGAAGATATCGGGCTCCTTCTCGGCGGAGAGACCAATGCACTTGGCGTAGCAGCCACCCTCAATGTTGAAGACACCGGTGTCGGTCCAGCAGTGCTCGTCGTCACCAATCAGCTTGCGCTTGGGGTCGGCGGACAAGGTGGTCTTGCCAGTGCCGGACAGACCGAAGAAGACGGTGACATCTCCGTTCTCACCCTCGTTGGCAGAGGAGTGAAGAGTCAGGACGTTGTGCTTGACGGGCATCTCGTAGTAGAGAACGGTGAAGACACCCTTCTTCATCTCACCAGCGTACTCGGTACCGAGGATAACCATCTCCTTATCGGCGAAGTTGATGGCCACGGAGGTGGCGGAGGTCATACCCTCAGTGAAGCGGTTGGCGGGGAAAGAGCCAGCGTTGTAGATAACATAGTCGGGGTGGAAGTGCTCGAGCTCCTCACGCTTGGGGCGGATCAGCATGTTGCGCATGAAAAGAGCGTGGTAGGCACGAGCGCAGACAACGCGAACGCTGATACGGTAGCGCTCATCCCAGCCGGCGTAACCATCGATGACATAGATGCGGTTACGGGTGTTGAGGTAGTCGACAGCACGCTCACGGTTGATACGCCAGACCTGTGGGGAATGTGTGTTAGTCACCAGCCTTAAATGGCGCCATGCACGTGATAGCCTCGGGCCAAGGGTGGGGGATCGTGGAGCCGCAATTGAAAGCCGAGGGGCAAATTGGGGGGCAAAAAACGGGCAAAAGGAAGTATTCTCAAGATGAAAAAGAATGAGGTTTATTTCGGCAAAGACGGCATCTCAAAAGGGATTCCCAGAGAGTTGCACGAATTCCTGCCGAAAAGCTTGACCTCGCGGTGCATATGCAAGGGGATCCAAGTGGATCTCTTCAAGTCCGTCTGCAAGGGTGTACTCCAACGGCGACGAAACATCCAGCAAAATCGCGCATAGAGAATAAAGAAAAAAAGAAGTGACTCACATCAAGTGTCATGGGTTTATTTACGGGTCCCCACCAGATATCGCCTTCTGAGGAAGACTCTTGGACGATACGCTTATCGGAGGGGGAACGACCAGTCTTAGCACCAGAGTATGCGCTCAAAGCACCGCTGGATGTGACAGCAGTACCAGTCTCGTAGACAAGGGCATCTTCGTAAAGGGCAGGAACTGAGGGGTTGGCAATCTTGAATCATGTTAGTTAACTGAACCAAGATAAAGAACATGGTATAGACATGATCCAAATGTCTAAGGCAAGGGTGGTAAGGGTCTTACAATAGAGACTCGGTCGTAGTCAATGTGAGCAGTCTCGTGAAGTTCCTCCTCAAGCTCGGTGTGACCCTTGCTAGGCCTAAGTAAAGACAGTTAGCGACGATGAGGTAAAGGACAATGAGGTAAGAAGGCAACATACTGAACACCACCGGGGTGCAGCGCAGTGCGATTTACAGATGTGGTAAGCATTGTTCTGAGTGAAGTAGAGTGATAGTTATTGTTGCGTTGTTTCGCGACTTGCTGTTGAGAGAAATCTGATGCCAGAGGACCAGGAGAACTGGAGCGGCCGAGGGGTATATAATCCTTTTGGGCAGAGGCCATGGTCGCGATCGGTCTTGGTAATGAAGGAGGTTCTCGTGCGCTTTCCGCAGTGTTTCTCCACAGTTCCACGGGTGATGTCGGGGCTGAACGCCGAGCTGAAGCGGGCACGCGTTGATGGGGATGAAGCGCTGCCGTAGGTTGCAAAATGCCTCGAGGCGCAAGTCCGAGTTGACCCGAATGGTTCAAGTGGACACGAACTTGATTCGGAACTAGGGGGGCTATATGACCGGGAAGGCGAATAGCGGAAGAAACAAAATAGGGGATCTAGACTTCAAAAATAACTCATTGATAGTAGTTTACAAAGACAAGTTGATGAGTCCAGTTCATGCGGTTTTTATGCCTGCTCTGACGGTTGCGGCAAACAACACACGTTAACTTTTACAATTTCGTCAATCACAAAAATCGATGTTCTCAATTCCATGAAAATGATGCTTATTTCCCTCAAAATCTAGGATTTCTTCAGCCACAAATGACAGGGATGACGCATAATGACTTCACCAAATGTGTTATAGTATGTATGTAGTAGTAGTTCTAAAAATTCCCATAGTTAAATCGCGGGGAGCTGACATAATCTCGTCGATCAATTTTGCCCTTGACGATTCCACATCTTTCCTGTTTTCGGCTTAAATCAAGCCGAATTGATATCGGAATGCCCTGGTCTAAAAAAGAGAAAAAAGAAAAAAAAAATGAAATATCCCTTCGAAACCCGAATGACGACAAGCTCGGCTTCAACATCGGAACAATTGCCTGTGGGAGCAGGAATTCAGCAAATAACGGCGTTAAACCAGCCGAGGATGATGTCCAGGTGGCACCTGCATCCATCCATGGCGGCGGCGGGGACCAATCAGGACCCCTGAATTTCCACCTCCTGGGATGGTCGGGTGGGCAGAAGATATTGCCGCTGGGTCCCCTATTTTCACTGCATTTCACTGGTCTTCAGCGACGAGAGTCATTTTGTGGTTGTGCAATAAGATCGCCAACCTCCGAGTACCTTTCCCCAAGTCCAAGCCCCCCAGAAACAAACACGTGCATCTTACGTTCTCAACGCCGAAACCCATGGCCTAGAACATGAATTTGGAATATGACTCCTAAATAATGTACGGTCTGACGGTCTACCGGGGTATTTTTATCGGCCACCCTCGGGCTGTGCAGTTTTTGCAGGTGTGGCTTGTGAAACCCCAGATCCTTCTCCCCGTAGCGGATCCCGAACCCGGCTACGGCCTCGGGACGAGCATTTTTCTTTTTCTTTTTCTTTTCCCAAATTCCACCCGAAAGTCCATTCTTCGTGAAACAGATTAGTTATTTTAGTGATTTTAGTGGTTTTTGCGCGATTTGTTTCATCTTACGTACTCAGTGACTCCTCTCCTTTCTTTGACCCCTGCTGACCATCTTCTATTTTTTTTTCTTCCCTTGCGTGTGACATACTATGGATATGTACGGAGTACAAAAATAAACAAATTTGAGGCTTTTTTCGGCAGAGTAAAGGGTGGAGAAATGAGTTTCCCCTTGTTTCCTCCACACGTACTTTGTATAGACATGGGTTAAGGCCCCGTGATCTACAATTATTGAACCTATTCACACATTCCGGGAACTTCATACTACTTTTTTTTCATCCCGTCACATTTTCTTATGTTATCCGGATCAACATTCACCATCGTCACTAGTAAAGTTCTCGGTCCTCTATATTAATCCTAGCCAATCATTTCTGAAACTTAGCTTCCTATTTTACCCGTTGTGATATGCTTCTTGTACTTCATTCGAGTCGACCTATCTAAAATATCTGCCCAACCAGACTCGGCCGTTTGAAAATGGCCTGGGCCGATTTAAAGGGACAAAGATCGACTCATCTCCTATTTTCCCCGAGGCTAACTCCAGTTGCACGTCATTGTTGATATTATTACTTCATCGCACAGTGTACATCTAGGTAAACTTGGAAGATCAATTTCAATATGAAATACGAGAGCCTATGAAATTATCCTACAATACATAGCCCCATTTCTGATCCCATGACTTGTAGTGTTGGGTAGTATTTCTCCGAACCTTTATACATTTTCGGTCGAGACACTTCTTGGCGTCTTGGCCTTTTTCTGGGGAAATTGTCGCGTGGTCTTCTAGCTCGAACTGCGGATGCGGGGTATAGCCTTAATGAGCTACCAGTAAAAAGGCACAGAGTATTAGATCGTGACCTCACTCGGCGATTCTCATCAAATGATAGATCGGACTATTGGAATTTCAATCTGGTCTGCCTTGACGCTTGATTAATATGACAGCATGCACGAAGTAGTCGGCCAAGGATTTGTATTTTCCGAAATTGCCACCTGCATTGGCAGCTGAATCTGTTGCAGTTATCAGGCGTGCTATATGTGCGAGACCCTCTTGACATATGCAAAGATGTAAATTGCCCGATCAGGTCGAATATGACTCACTGCATTATCTTGCGTCCTAGATACGAATGCCATTAGCAATTTCCCGCGTTCTGAGCGCTTTTTAGCGAGGTTTGCTTTAACATACATCATTTCTGCATCAGTTTCGAAGTTACGGTGCTCACCGACAATATCGGTGTGTGCTGTCTCTAGATACGCTGTGCATTGTGGCTCGCATACCAATCAGGCCACCACAGATAGGCAATAATGTGAGGGAAAACGGTGTTCATTCAGTACCAGGGATATTTGATGACTCACAGTCGCAAGAGAGGTTTCGAATTTCTCTTTCCTGCTATAACACGGCAAAATTGTTAGGGACCCAACGGAAATATCAAACCAGCAGCTCCAAAGAGTGACCTGCCAGCCGCTAGTTGAGCGACTGAGAAGGCTTTTCTTCCGTCTATGACAATTTATCACGTCAGTCGTTATGTTCAATGGGATCTGGGTATTTTGCTAGTATAAGTTTTCATTCAGCTTATCTCAAACGTAAAGTGGGTCACTATATATATCTAATGTTAGCAACGTGAGTTGTGATGCAAATGGCATATTATACCATAAGAAAACATATAGCCGATGTCTTTCTTGCATCTAAAGCCCTCCATATGAACGGTTCGTATCATGCTTAACTCGATTCCGTGAGCCATTGCGAAGTAACTCACGCATTGGGGTGACAATCCCGTCTCTGGCTATTACTCGCAAAACGTCAGTAGACATGTTGGGATACGAAAAAGAGTACTATAGAAACGGACAAAACAGAAACAGGAATATCCTCTAAGAAACTTCTGCTCAAGCAAAATACAAATTCTTCCAAGGAGCAAAACGTCCATAGTATTCTTTATTTTATCAATGGCTGATCCTGATGACAGATTTTTCATGATTGAGAAAAGCCGTGGAGAACCTCCAGAGATTGCATATCAGGAAGGGCTTCCATAATAATAAGGATCAAGATGACAGGAAGTCCTTCCAGTATTGGCCCTAGACAGCTTTCCTCCATTTTCGCCAAAATACTGGATCCACCCCTGGTGATCTTTGATTTTTGCAAGCCCGTGGATCTAGGGTGTAGAAATAGGATGGCCGAGCACATAAATCCTTGCTAATAGATTAGTACCTGCCATATTATGAATCACTAGCTATTCCACCCATGGATCAATTCATGGACGAAGTGTATTCAATTTACTCGACGATCTAAACTACAAACAGTCTTTTGACTCTAATACAAAATAACCTCGTTGCTATTAGCTCCAGCTTCAACCCAATCGCCGAGCAATTTCTGCGCAACTCCCGCAACAAGTTGGGGGTAGTTAGGCGGCAGAACAGCGCCAGGAGGAGGCTTTCGGCTTGGGTCTCCAGCGATCCAAACAACAGGATCCTGCGAGATACTAGCAACATTATCGCGCAATGCCTCGATATCCTCCAAGTCAAATCCACGACCGAAGATGATTGCACGCACAGGCCGGCTGTAGTCTTTCGTGCCGACGTCGTTGACGTGGAGGGATTGGGGATTCCGACCTGCGAGGAGATGGGGAAGCTCGGATTGCGCTGCTGAGAGACTTTGGATGAAATGGGTTACTAGTGAGAGTTAACAAGCCTGCTGTGAGACGATTTGGATTATGTAACAATAAATAAGGGGAAATAGTTATATGATCGGCTAACCTTCGAGTTCGGGGAGGAGGAGCTCGGAGACCGGCTTGCCGATCCCGGAGTCTAGGGCACAGATCACAATTGGGAGAGGAGAGGACATTGTAGAAATGTGATAGATCGGTGAGACGATGTGTATCCCTTTTTTAAGCGATGGAACTTCGAGTTGGGAAATCTATACGGAGTAAAACGAGCAGACATCTCGCCCTCTTTTATCTAGAAGTTCGGAGTCCGACCTACTAGATTCGGCTCGGGAATGGAGACAAAATAACCCCCACAGTATTAATTTTGGGCCTAGTGGCATGTGGGACGGTAACTGAGGACTATTCGAATCATTTTGAATTTTGCTCTGTCTGTAACTTATATTCGTAAAATTCCAGGTCACTATCTATTATGAACCGCATAGACTGGAAGTTAAGTTATGCTTTTATGCTTCGGGTGGTTCCACCTCCTAGATGCTCAGATGGGCCACATTTACTCCGCACTGTGTCTAAACCTCATACATCAGGGGACTTAGCACTTTACTAGAACAGTTCGCTTTTCATATCAATACTCAAATCATGTATTACACAAAACCTCCTATATCGGTTGGGTTTGAAACTTCTGACAGGGATCATTCAGGTCCAGTGACTAACAAGTTACATCATTTGTCCATGTAAACATCACATACATATCATCAATTTCTCCGCCATATTTACCAAAAAAATTATTATCAACCGCCGTAAAATATGGTATCAACCTCACCCCCTCCCTCCCGCTCTGCCCTCAGCAACAAGGCCCATCGGTATCGCATACTCGACAACCTGCGCTCTCTACTAGACCGCTACTTCTCCTGGCCCTTACCCCGAGGCCCAAGCATCGAAATCGCCATTCCTTCAAAAGTCAGCAAAGCCCCAGGATCAATTGAACTCTACTTCTTCACCGCACCCTCAAATCCCCTCACACCCAAACAAACAAACCCAAGCCCACCCCGCCCCGTCCTCATCAACTTCCACGGCGGCGGCTTCTCAATCGGGCACGCCCGCGATGATTCCCGCTGGGCTGGAGCCGTACTAAAAGCCCACCCAGACGCGGTAGTTGTAAGCGTCAATTACCGTTTAGCCCCGGAGCATCCCTTCCCCGTCCCACTGGAAGACGGCGTCGACGCTATACTCTGGCTATGGCAAGAAGCGCAGCAATACAATCTCGACAAAACGCGCTTCGTACTCAGCGGATCTAGCGCGGGCGGGAACCTCGCTCTAGCAGTGCCGTTCCGACTGCACGAGGAACTACAGAAAAAGCGCTGGGCGTCGATAGGGGAGATCAAGCTGGCTGGCTTGGTAGCGTTCTATCCCAGCACGGACTGGACGCGGACGCGGATAGAGCGTAATGCTACGAATCCTATCGCTGCGCAGAAATCCATGATTCCCCCTTCTTTGTACAAGTTCTTTGACGATTCGTACCTTCTTGCTGAGGGTCTGCCAAAACGGCCCAGTACGGGTCGGGTAGATATGTCGCATCCTTATCTTTCGCCTGGTCTGGCGCCTGCATCACTATTATATGTGGCTTATCCGCCTGCTGTGGCGGTTTATACTTGTGGGTGGGATCAGTTGCTTGTTGAGGGGAATACGTTCCGGGAAAGACTTTGTGGGTTTGTTGAAGAAGGGAAGATGGCGAGTGTAGGCGGATTTGTAGTCGAGGATGTTATTCATGGATTTGACAAGAAGCCATCTTTTTTGAGAGGGAATCAAATGCGTGAGAGGATGTACGGGGATGCTGTTAATCAGTTGAAGGTGATGTGGAAGATGGATTGAGATATTTCTAAGGTCCTGGAGGCACTTTATATAGATGGATTAGCGAAATACCTTTGCACGCCGCATTTGAGGCTGTAATTGCGACTTCTTCCCTATTCTGTCGCATTTTGAGGGATCCCAGGGCCCAAAATAGAGAGCTCCATCGGCAAGAAGGTTGGATCCCTGTAGTAGAAAATTAAACACGATAACTTATAGCTCTTACATCCCAGCCCTACAGACCAGAATCTAACCTACCTCTAGTGGCCTCATATCTGGAGTATTGATTGCTGTGAGATCACAGATGCAGTTGATATAACATTCCGAGAGACGATACCTGATCTCTACGAGAGGAATAAATTAATGAGTAGGTTATTCATTTTAATGAAATGAGATGAATAAAAGCAGGAATAACCTAGCAAAACAATGAGCAATCAACGAAAAGAAGCAAGAAAGCCACACGTGTGAAGCACAAGAAACGAAAGAAACGAAAGACCCTACCCCTCCTCAGAATTATCCAATGACCTCTGAACCACGGGGCTTGGCTGGCAGTCTCTTACGAGGCGAAAGTGACCGGAGGGCTCGTCTGCCGACAGTCTTGAACCACTCTCTGCCACGGCGGCGGACACCCTCGTCTTCGCAAGCACGCTGCTGATGGAACTCTTTCAAGGTCTCCATAAACTGACCTATGGCAGAGATAATAGCCATGGTCTCATCGTAGGGTTTGTTGGCCTCAACGAGAGCAGCTGTTAGGTAACAATTTGGTCGGGAAAAAAACGGACCTTGATCGTCACGGGGGGCGAGTTCCAAACAGTCGCCAAGGGCTCTTCTAATCTTGTCTTCACGAGCCTCCCAAGTGGGATCGATCCGTTTTATAGCAGCCTCCCAAGCAAATTCATCCCATAAGATACAGATCTTCTTGCTAGGCATAGGAAGCCCAAATACACTGACCACATAGTCCGTAAGCAGTCCCATCTCCCAGCGAAAGCGGATAGTTGCAGCAAACTCAGAGGCTCGTTCCTTGAATTCATCGCGCTCGTAGTACCCTCGCAACGTTCCGCCAAATCCTACCATTTGCCCTCTATCCCAGTCCCCGGGGCACGTTTGGTGGAATAGCCGCCCCATGGCTTTGATCCGCCCGTGGGCGATGCTTTCCGTCATTTGGTCAACAATGCCTTCGGCGCCACCAGTGTTTGCAGAGTCAGCTTCAAGAAAGGTCAGATTTTCTAGATAGGTATTTCGAAGGTCGCGGACATCGGCGGGGCCGGTATATGGGTATGAGGCGAGCGTTTTCCATCGCCGTTCGAAGTCTCTTAGAGGGATTCCAGTACGTCCTGTCCAGGAAAAGTTCCACTGGTCATCCTGTGCACTAAAACTGAATCCTTGGGCATACCACAGCCGGGTTACACGGTGCTCGCATGTTCGCCAGATCGAATGGCAGAAGGCGTTATATGTCATGGTCTGATGTTCGTCAGGCTCATCTGGCTGCAGCTGGGACTGGGTTCCAGGGAAATTTGATGGTGTAGACCTTTCGCTAGGATCAATAAGTGGGCTTGTTGCGCTCGACAAGCTCTCCACAAGCGTGCTCGCGAAAACGGAGCCGCAGGTCCGGCCGATGCTTTGCGAGATACCCCAGGAATTTGATAACCCCTTACTCGTACGAGCTGCATTCGCGGCTGCCATTGTGGTGTAATTAAAATCTGGGTTTGTAACCCAGCCACCAGAGTGACAGGCCGTAGTAATGAGGGTCACACGTACACCGGGCTCAAGCACACCTTTCAACCTCATGGCGGATAGACCCTTGTGTCTGTTCCCATTGTCTAAAAGCAAATCAAAGCTTGGCAATCCGTGGCAAAAGACAAGGAGGAGAAGGGGAGCCGACGTTCTCTTCGCCAGCTCGGAAGCCCTCTTTGCTTCCATCAGAAATCGGTCGATCATTTTCGCTGAGCTAACCACAGTTACAGGCGAAAGCTCATCGCTGTCCAGAAGCTCTTGGCTCAGGCATATCTTGCGCTCCTCATATGGATTTCCATGCAGGTATGATCCATATTTCTGGACGAGCTTCTCGGGTTCCGCGGCGGTTAGCCAAGTCTGTTCCATGCCAAGTCCTTTCAACAGGAAATTGAAGGCGTAGAAGTCTGATATAAACCAGCCATCATGTATCGGGTTGCCCGTGGAGAGTGTAGGGTGGGTCGCTCCGAGGATGATGGTGTTCTCGTCCACGGCGGGCACTGTTGAGGAGATAAACATGGAAGGCAATTCATCAGGTTGATGAGCATGCCCTCCCTGAACAAGAGGCTGGGGAGATGACTTGAATGCCATATTGACGGCGTACGAGAAGAGAATCTGGCAGAGAACAGGATCCGGTAGAGTAGGCGCTCTTCAGACTGAAAGTGAGGCTAAGCTCCGATGTAAACGGGGAACAAATGGAGAAAAGCCGAGGATCGAACAGACTGATGGACTGTAGTATGAGACAAGGAGAAAATAGAGGGGAAGGGAGGATCAAATGGAGATGAGGTTCTGCGAGTGAGAAGACTCTGAGAGTGAGGAGGCTCTGAGAGTGAGAAGGCTCTGAGAGTGAAGAGAATGGTATGAGACAAAGATCTAATAGAGCACAGGTTCTTTATATTGAAGGCGAGAGGTAGATTGAATCGCCGAAAAGGATGATGAGAAGATAATGGTATGGTTCTTCATAGATGTAAGGATTTTCTTCCTATATATACACAATTTTAAAGTCCGATCTCTTTCTAGGTAGTACCTCAATACCTACTTAGGTACACATGTCCACTGTTAGACAGAAGATTACGTTTACTACCTAGGTATTCATCCCTCAAACTTTAATTACATACTTAGACTTGCAGTGATGTAGCTCTGGATGATCGAAGCACGCTGTCTTACTGTCTTTCTTACTTTTCAAAACAATATGTTATAGTAAATAGCATTATATCTGTTAAAAGCGCTAATATCACTCGTGGGAAATTCTGGATAGAGTTTGGGTCGCGGCCCCTCCGGTACTCGAAATGGACCGGAGAGCAACCTTGGAAGAGGCACCCATGGATGATATTCTCATGAAGGAATAGGCGGTTAGAGAGACGCAGTAGGGTCTAGGAAATATAATGGACTACTAATAACAATTAGATATGTTAACAAGGACTTATAGATATCGCCTATCGGAACTATCCATCCTTGGGATTCATATAGGACGGAGCCTGTGCTTCGCGAGGCTGTAGTGATTGTGTTACCACGAGCCAGAACAGCATCACCTCTGTCGTAGTCAGAATGAGAAGTCTCCTCTAACTTTGGGTCGTGGCCTTCGTAGCTTGTATGTTCTCTTTCTGCCATGCTGGCGCGTGGTGACTTGTTTTCTCTAGCTCTGAATATGGCGGCTGAGTAACATTATGGCTATTCCGAAATAGGCAGGTACCTACTTAGACTTTATTTGCCGGCAGGAGCGACCAACTGCCTATATACATATGTATGCCTATTATCAAGAACATGGCAGTTTATCTAGGATGGTGGTATCAAAAAAAGACATCTAAAACGAGCCTTGAGAATACACCTATAAATGATATAGAGATGCCGGTAACAAGAAAAAGTGGGCATGTTACGCTCAGGCTCTGCACAAGCATGCTCGCGAGAACAATACTGTTGGAGAGTGATAAGCCGGACATGTTTCGGTGCGATGATCCCCATTCGTAGTGGCCCAATTATACCTAATTCTTGTTCTTTTGGCTATAATATATACCGAGAAGGAAAAACATCTGCAAGACAACTGAAAATATTGTAAAGACATACCAAAAAGAACACCCAAACCGACATATAAGAAGACATAAGAAGAACATCCAGAGAAAAACATCAGGGTGTTATCTTGCATATAACGTCCCTAATACCATCTTAAGCCAGACATCTGGATAAATCAAGGTATTAAAGCCTTATTTCGCTAAGAACAAAGGCAATACTCTCTTTTATAATCAATATACTTTATTTCCCTATCGGTGGATGCGCTTTCACACTATCCTCATTATTTGGACTCGCGATGCGCTAGATCATATATCTAGATTCCTAGAGCTGTAGCACAAACATGCATATGCAAAGTCGATCTATTACCCAGTCTCCATTAGTGATTTCCTTTTGTCACTAGACTTATCTGTGTGACTCTAGTACTCTTCAGGGCTATCAAATCATGTGCTAGTAGTGAATGACTCTGAGCGGGGCAGCCAGTCAGGCGGGGTAGAAAAGTCAGCAATTTTTCTTCAGCTTTATTTCACCTCTCACACATTTCAGAAATTATTCCTTAAACTACAAATTCCTTCGAAGGTATGTAAGAGCTGTGTCTTTTCTACATATCTCATGAGGACCTTGGTGGTTGCTAACCCCCCATCAGATCTACTTCATCTTCTATCAAAATGAACGGACACGCTTCCTGTCCCAAGTGCGGTGCCGCCTCTGACGGCTCCGGCAAGAGCTGTGGCGCCTGCGGTGCTGTATGTTGATTCTGCAGTACTTTTGTGCAGGCTTATACTAACCATACCAGACCTGCCCCGTTTAAAGCATTCCCTATTGAATAGGCCAGTGTGTACTCGAGTGTTTTGGACGAAGGGTATCGGAGTTGGGACTGCCCGTGGTGTAGTGATGACATGAGGATGCGTCAGGGCAGGACTTGGATATCAATATGTTCATAGCAATGATATGATGACAACGAGACCCAACGAGAATGACCTCAAATCCATTCGAAACCAAGTGCGATTGTCATGTACGAAAACAAAAGAAACGACATGAAGATATTTCCCTAGAATGAAATAAAAGAAAAAAGATATAAGACAGTTCATAGGTGAGAAAAAACCATCAGGATATAGAGTGCGCAATAAGAATACCTCCTCTCATTCTTCCTTTTCAGGCCCGGAACCCCAAAATCACCCAAGTAGTGGGTCACCAACATCCCACTTCATCGCAGATCAACTATACACTGCTTAAACAGGTACAGCGGTCTTGCGCCACTGGGACCAAACACCGATCAAACTGCTGACGGTACCTGCGATACCGACGAGGCCATCGTCGAGGTTAACCATACCAATGGCAGACAAAGGTGCAGCCAGATCGCAAACATCGGAGATGAGCTGTATCCGAGCAACAGAGCGCTCCCTAATAAAAATGTCAGCATGCAATCCATTTCTCATTCTGGTAATAACATACTTCTCAATCTTCTTAGCCTCAACAACACCCTCACCCTCCTTGCGGTCAATGGTCTTCTCCTTCTCCTGGAGACGAACAAGAGTGTAAACACCAGCCACAACGCTGAAAATCAGACCAGCGCCCCAGGAGCGGTAGGCAGAATCCTGCAGCCGCTTAGCGGAAGCCAGCTTCCGAATGCCGATCGCATCGACGACTGTGACGGCATCGAGAGTCAGGTAGCTAGCGTATCCGAGCTGGCGACCAATAGCCAGGTATCGCAGAACGGGGTCGGCGGGAGACTTGTTATCGAAAGCGATAGCGGCGGCCTTGAGATGCTCAAGGAACTTGCCGATACGCATAATCTTGCGAGTCGTGCCGAACTGCTTCTTCACGGCATTGTAAGGGTCGATCGCGGACTGTGGCTTGTTCGTCCGGTATAGGTACCACGCGTAGAAGCGGGAGAAATATTGGATTGTGCGGAGGAGCTTGTCACGGCCGACTATAGATTGCGTACATAGTTAGCTCGCGTGTTCGGGTATGGACGGGGGAGCTCAGCTGCGGTTTCTCGGCCGAGTGCTCGCCACATTGGGGGTTCGCTGCAGTCGCGATTCGAAATAAGAGGGCTTTTCTTTCTTGTATGGATAAAGAGACTGGAGTGTTCTTTTTTGGACTCCGGCTATCTATCACGTACCGGTTGTCGCGACGAAGCGCAGCCAGTGCGCCAGCGCAGGGTGGTAGATCAGTGTGTTGGCGACCATTTTTTCTGTTGCTGGTGGAAATGGATGAAGTGCAACGTTTCAGACACCGGAGAGAATATGTCAAGAATCAAATGTGATAGTTCATAAGGAAAGGGGAGTCGGTAATTGACCGGCGTATGGAGCCGGAAGACCGACCTCGGCTGAACTCATCGTGTGGGGGGAGGTCCGCAGGGTTGATGTAATGGTATTTACCATAATTACATCATTCAAGGCATTTTAACCCTTACTGTCTTGAAATCCCTTGAAATCCCTTGACATGCTTGATCGATCTATTTCGGCTTGTGACTTTTCTCTTTTCTACTTTCACATGAGTCTTCGCCATCCCATTCTTCCGGCCTTGCACCTGAAGATATATATTATGCATCTGATTTATCCCTTTTTTTATGCCCGGCATTGTTGAAGATTATGCCTTCGATCCATGGATCCAAATCTAAATTCCAATCTCATCTGGGCACACGACCACCAACACTATCACAATAAATATTAGATCAAGTACCGTTGTTGACCCTATACTCATGGTTCACCATCTCCCACCCTAAACCGAGAAAAAATAACTTACCTGACTAGTGCCATTGTTTCGAGACTCACTCCATACTCCTTGGGCCATATTGGATGATCCTTTACGGGAAATGTTCACCGAGCATTTCTGTGAGGTATGGCAAGTGTCAAGGAGCCTAGGCTTGGTACTACCTAGATCTATCCCTGTAGTAGCATTGTGGTTTTGGTGATGGTTGTTTTGAGCATTATTCTGTCCCCAAAGGGAGGGTGGAAGGGAGTATTTATTGTTGTTCGCTGCTATATCCCTGGTTGCAGGCATACTAGGTTAGATGTTAGTAGTAATACTTGAAGGGGGAAATCTGGAGTCCGGGGTAAAACGGCGAGGCTGTAGTTAAATAAGACGCTACATATACAACCTAGCAGAGCCCCACAAAATGCGGCATTTGTCAAATGTTACTCAGTACTTGGAATACTTTATAGGCTAATTTAAATGTTTCGGTATTATACATGGGTTTACAGGGTGTGCTATGAACGCTAGCACACGAAGTATTCCAATAACCATTTAGAAAGAGACGAGGATATCAACAAAAGCAAGCGACAGTCTCAAGATGACTGTAACTTGTTTTACAAAAGTCTCGGTCTCTATCAAAACAAAGAGTAATTATTTGTCTGATGATGTGGACAACATCAAAGTTCCCACTTGAATTACATTGTTTATCATACAAGTCAGGAGTTCATCTTCTGTCCCGCGAAACGCACCATCTAGCCCTCACCACCAGATTAGACATGATATGCCCGCGCCCTTTCATACAACCATAGGTCATGTCGCAGGGCAGTGGGGTGGGATATCTCAAATCGCAAGGGCCAAATAGTCGCTGTCGCACCGATACTACCACCTCGGTCATGTTGACTGAATGTGCATTACCGCGTAAGGGTGAAGTTCGTAAAATTAAGCAGGGTTGGTTAGAACACAACAGCCCAAGAGAGAGGACAAGTATGTATCAGACGCAATGGGGTTCGTCATAGAGCGACCAAATTACTCTTGTTCGCGAGTGTCGTTCACGCGGTTCTTATCGCCCATAGTCGTGGTATCGTATCCATTAGCCTCAAGATAGGTGCGGAACCTGGCATCCTCCAATGTAATGGTGTCCTGAGAAAATGTCAGCACATCAACAAGGTATTCTATATGCAGCAGTTCATACCTGGTTAATCTGCGGCAGCATGAAAACGGCCATGAATGCAGCCAAGATACACAGTGCGCTGGAGACGAAGAATGGGTCCTGGCCTGCGCGGATCGGGTTGGGTGCATTCTTTTGAATAACTGGAATCACGTAGGTGCCCACAAAAGCTCCGACCTTGCCGATAGCCGCGGCGTATGAGTAGTATTGGCCACGGATAGCAGTCGCGCTGGTTTTGGCGGCGCAGAGACCGATGTTGTCGCCCGGTCCCATTTCACCGAGGGCAGAGAAGATTCTGTTCTCAAAATATCAGCATTACCAATTGCTAAAGTCTAGGGATTTGAATTTTTTCTTTAGCAGACTTACCCGAATACGACAACAAAGGCTGCGACGTTTTCTGAGGTCGCAAGCCACTTGTAGCATCCGGCCATGATGAACCCGATGATGCCCTGGAGCCCAACACCAAGCGCAAGGGTGTATCGAGGACCAATCCAGTCACTCATGAAGGCTCCAAGGGCTGAGCCTGGAATATAGAAGCAATTGATCAAGGTAGTCCAACCGAAGGTCTTCCACAGGGGAGCGTCGTCACCCAAGATGATCGATAGCCAGGCTGAAGAATAGATACCGAAGCTGTAGGCAGAGAAGTCGTAAAGGAACCAGATAATAGAAACGACAGACTATATATCACACCAGTCAGTTAATCGATCCACGTTTATGGGGGCAAGGTGTAGACGGGGTTTGGTACCAAGCGCTTCCAGTAGAATCTAAATTGGTTAGTCAACGAGTCCACGCACAGGGAATATCGTAGAACTTACTTGATGATCAGCCAGAGAGGAAACTTGTGCATGCGCTCCCGGGTAAACTCCTCGGGCTCATTCAGCTTCAGTCGAAGGTAAATCAAACTCATAGGGGGGATCACTCCCAGTCCCAGAGCCACACGCCAGCAAGCATGCAGATGCTTCTCGGTGAAGATCAGGACGAGAATCATGGCCACGAAAGCAGCAATCACGAAACCGAAATCGATCTGGAAGTTGGTGAACATGATAAACCAGCGATTGCGATGGCCTTTCTTGAGCTCTCCGGTATTTTCTGCGGCGCCTACTGAGCCAGCAGGGTATTCTCCGCCAATGCCAATTCCCAAGAAGAAACGATAGGCCGTCAAAGCAGCAAGCATGCCACCAAGACTGCCACCAGCTCCATAGGAGCCAGCACCAAGGGCTGCAAAGACAAACAGAATAATGGTAGAGATCATCAGAGACCACTTGCGCGACCAGTGGTCACTAGTGTAGCCAAATACCAGCATACCGACGACAGTGCCTGCAAAAACAATCGAAGAGACATTCTGTTGGGCTGTGGAGTTGGAGTATGCATCCCCATAGATCTTTTGGAGCATGGTACCCACAGGACCGATGATCTAGATCCAAGTGCGTCAGCAAATAATTAAATATTCACTAAGCTGCACACCCATATAGGATTATGTAGCTGTGGGGCTGCATAAAGCACAACATACCTGGTTCAAGTAGCCATCAGAAAAGAGACCAGCACCACAGGCAATAGTGGGCCAACTACGTTCCCATCGGCCCTTCTTCACCACATCGAGAGGCGGTAGCTCGACAGACTGCTCCTCGAGGGGGCCAGCGCCCTTCTCAGTCATCATTTCCTTGGGGTATAGCGGAGGCTCGGCCATTGCGATCGTGTTTAGGGATAGCAAGACGAATTTTGGCTGTGTTTAATCACCAGCAAGTTTGAGTCTCCAAATAATAACAAAGTTGGCGCAGGATCAATGCACGAGACCAATGCAGGGCTGATGTGTCACCCGATCACAGTGACAAGAGTCGCGTCGAATAGAGGCGTCTTTTTCTCTAAATAGAGAAGAAAGACAAGATTTAATGCAGGGAGAAAAGATAAAAAAGACCCATGGAGGAAAAGCCAAACGGCATTTGAAAATATATATTAAAAAGAAGGATTTTTTTTTGAAAAAAAGAACCAAGATTGCCCGGGAATAGTATCACTCTAAAGTCGCATCGGGGGAAGTACCAGGTACCTGTCACAAAGTGCAAAGACTGGTGTTTAGCCAGGTATTAGAACCTGGTGGGACCCCTCAAGCTTGATCAGTCTAAGCCTTTAGCCTTAGAATTTCAGCTAAGATATATATAGGCCAATGATAAACGCAGCAAATATCAAGGGCAATCCTCTAGCCAATGGTGTATCTGACTAGATAGGCCGGTCGGGGCATGTTGCAGTTCAATAAACTCGGCTACTCCGAATGTTGCAGGAACATGGGTTGATATCGGTATTAAAGTGAGCGCGTGGCTTTCTGTTCAAATCAGATATCGAAATGGGTTTGAACTGTCAAGGATGTCAAAGGTGAAGTATCCTATGGGCCATGCACGTGCTCAGTTCCCTGTTAGAATTCTTGGGGGCTGGAAGCACCTGCCGCATTTTGACTGGACTAAGTACCTAATATGGAGTCTTAGTCCGACTCCCTCGATCCTTTAAAAACTTTTCCATTCAAATATTTGAGACTACGAGTACAGAGTACTCCATATCTAGTATTCAGCTGCCTAAAACAGCAAGTTGGATATAACACCACTCTTTTGTTTGCTCAAATCCAATACTGGACGGGTGATGGACCTTCGAAGGATTTCAATGTCTTCCGATTTCCTTGGGTTTTAGGACTTGATAAAGCCACAAAGAAAATAGTTCAGCTCTATATTATAGAATATCCCCACTCAGGTCATGAAACCAGGCTCAAGTCTTAGCTGTAACACACCTGGGCACCCTGCAGTTGTACTTTGCAAAGAAACTTCCCTTGAGCAAATCAATACACGGCATTCTTACATAGTATTATGTAGAATATGTTCAATTTGAGCCTTGATCAAATGTGAATACTATAACCCAGAGTACACAAGGCAGATATATATATATTTCGAACATTGCTATATCAAGCGGGCGATAGATAGAAATACAATTTCTTTAACGCAGAAAAACAGATATATTTGAATCTAATAGACAACCAGACTTTTTTAAGAGAAATAAATATCTTTTGAATCTCGTAGATATAACTGGACTCTTGTACAGATAGACTATCTTGACGTTCATAGGGAGAAGGTTAAAGAAAGCTCGGTACGGAAAAACATTCCGCCAGCTGAGCTCGGGGCTGTGGTGATGCACCTGGCTTGATCTCATCCCCAACATCACCAGCTCCCATCTCCTTCCTACTCTATTGCATCGTTTTTTTTCGCTTGTGGTAGTACTTCCAGCATATCTAGTTCCCCACCGTCACAATGGGGTCTGATCCGCAGTACATCAAGTTCCCCAACCTCTCCCTCGCCCAACATGTCTTCAACCTCTCCAACCCAGCATGCGCTCCCTCCGTCCAGCAAACATCATTGAAGACGCTTCAAGATGTTATCCTAGAGCACAAAATGGCTCCCTTCTACCGGCATCTAGCCCATCCCACCGAAGGCATCTTGAACAACTCCGGCGAAGGCGTAACACAGCACCCACAAAATGGAGGGAACTCAACGAAGCCTCTCATCACGTCCAATCTTCTTGCATCTCGCCAAACACCGCTAAAGTTCGATTTCCCTTGGGATGAGAAGCTCTACCAGTCTCTATTGGAGGATAACAAGAAAGAACTGGAGACCTTCCAGAAGGAGGAAGATGACGCAGAAGAGGCTGCTGGGGAGACTGAGGTACAAGCTGCGCGCGGGAAGCGAGCTGAATTCTGGGCTCGCGTGGGAGATAAGGTGAGAATTATTCGTTTATATTTTGTCAAGCTTGTGGGGTTTGCTAGCTGACACCAGTATTCCAATAGGACAAAGCTATCGAATCGCACGAAGCTCTCCTCGAAAAGACCGGATTCCTCGGCACTAAGATTGATCTGGTGATGGCTATGCTCCGCATCGGACTCTTCTTCGGCGACCTTTTGTTTGTGAACAAGACCATTGAGCGAGCAGAGACCTTGGTAGAGAGTGGTGGAGACTGGGACCGCAGAAACCGCCTCAAGGCATACAAGGGATTGCATTTGCTCACCATTCGCTCTTACAGCCTTGCCGCCCCTCTCCTTCTCGACAGTCTGTCTACCTTCACAAGCTACGAACTTTGCAGCTATTCTTCGCTAGTGATTTACTCAGTGCTTGCGGGATCCTTGTCCCTCAAGCGTGTGGACTTCAAGGCTAAGGTAGTGGATGCACCAGAGATCAAGGCCATCCTTGGCTCTGGGGAAGATCAACTGGCGGCTCTGAGTGGTGAGATCTCCTCAGGCCCCGGTGCCCGGGATGAGGAGATGAAGGATGCAACAGCGTCACTACCCACACCCGCCGGTGCCAAGACCGCTGTCAACATTTCCTCTTTCTCAACCGGCTCCGGTGTGGCAGTAGAGGCGGAGGTGCCCATCGATTTCGCACCGCTCGCAAACCTGGTCAACAGTCTCTACAACGGCAACTACCGATCGTTCTTTGTGGCACTCGCGGCCGTTGAGGATCAGTTCCTGACACAAGACCGGTATCTGCATGAGCACCGGGCATGGTTTGTTCGTGAGATGCGACTGCGCGCCTACCAGCAGCTTCTTCAGAGTTACCGTGTGGTGGGGCTGAGTGGTATGGCCAACGACTTCGGTGTGACAGTAGACTACTTGGATCGGTATGTGCTGTGTGGGTCTCTTCAATTAAGTCATTTGCTAACCATGACCACAGGGATCTTGCCAAATTTATTTCAAACAACCGCATCACGTGCACCATCGATCGTGTCAATGGTATCATCGAGACGAATCGACCAGATGACAAGAACAAGCAGTATGCCGATGTGGTGAAGCACGGTGACTCTCTGATCACCAAGATCCAGAAATACGGCCAAGCCGTGCGTCTTCGGGGAAGCGAGCGAAGCTAAAGGTCTACGAACTTGGAGGCATTCTGAGCCTTAAAACCACAAGCTATGATCAACTATGTATGCCTGAATGGAGAATCTTACTTACCGCGTGTTCTTAAACCCAGAATTTGCCCTGGCATATCCTATGACATGCCACCCATGAGATGATCAAATCCCTTGGCTAAAGTAGATCCTTTGAACCCCCGCACCGGGCAGCCCCGGAAAATGGGTTTACACCGGTCAACCGTCTGATTTTCCCTCGGGGAAATGATCGTCGCCGATCATGCTATCATGCATGAACTCGTATTCTCGATTCAAGATGAGTGCATAACACAGTAGTTCTCGACCAAACCTCCGCTGTAACCGCATCTTTCGCGGTCTACTTGAGTCCAGATGCCTGATATGTATCCCGATCAAACGTCCTTATCGTAATCGGATAATCGGCTTGCCGGTGTGGGGAAATGCTGACTCACAGGTTCACCGCCCAGTGGCGAAACAATGTTTTTTTTTTCCCCTTCTTTTCCCGATCGCAAATCTGACCATCATAGGGGTTCGTGTCAAAAGGACTTTTTTAATTGCCCAATCTGTCCGTCGATTGGCTATTCGTCAAAATGTCCTGGCAATATAAGCTCGTCTCCAGCGTGCGGGCCTCTCCGCTACGCACTACCCGGCCGAATGCCCTCCTACATTGCCCGGCCGCACGTGGCGCTGCGGGGTGTCTCTCCGCTAGGTCAGGTACGTAGGGATACCACCCCAGCTTACATAGTTTGGCGATCTCCGCAATCCTACGTGAGGCATTTCACCTCATTTTACCTCATTTTATGGTGTGATTGTTTGGACTATATCTCCCCATTTCGGTCGTGATTTCAACCATTTCTCCGCCTTTATATATACTTGATTGTCTTCTCAGTTTCGGGGATACTACTCTACTTATACTATACATCAACTAACCTCCTTCGGGTCATTCCAGAGACCATCATGACTCAGACTACCGTTTCATATGCCGCTAAGCGCACCATCTCGGCTGTCCCGACTCGCAAACGCCTGAATGTTGACAACATCAACCAGTATGTCAAGGAAGCCAAGTACGCCGTGCGCGGTGAATTGGCCGTCAAGGCTGAGGACTACCGCCGGCGTCTGATTGATGGCGACAAGTCTCTGCCCTTCGAGAGCGTTATTTTCGCCAATATCGGTAACCCCCAGCAGCTCGATCAGAAGCCTATCACTTTCTTCCGACAGGTCCTCAGTCTTGTCGAGAACCCCTTGCTGTTGAAAAATCCCGAGGTTCTCAAGGAGTCGTTTGGATACAAGCAGGATGTGATTGACAGAGCCCAGGCCCTTTTGGACAATGTGCAGAGTGTTGGTGCCTACAGTCACAGCCAGGGTGCACCAGGCATCCGTGACAGCGTCGCCAAGTTCATTGAGAAACGTGACGGCTTCCCTGCCAACCCCCAGGACCTGTTCCTGACCGGAGGTGCCTCCTCCGGTGTTAGCACCATCCTGAACGTTATCTGCAGCGATCCCAATGTCGGTATCCTAGTCCCCATTCCCCAGTACCCTCTTTACACCGCCAGCTTGACACTGCTGAATGCCCGCTGCGTCCCTTACCTTCTCGAGGAGGAGAAGGCATGGGGTACTGACGTCAACGCCATTCTCAAGTCCGTTGAGGACGCCAAGGCTACCGGCACCGATGTGCGCGCCATTGTCGTCATCAACCCGGGCAACCCAACCGGTGCCTCTCTGAGCGCCGAGGACATCAAGAAGGTCCTCGATGTCGCCGCCGAGGAGAAATTGGTGGTCATCGCCGATGAGGTGTACCAAACCAACATCTTCAAGGGCGAGTTTGTCTCCTTCAAGAAGCGTCTTCGCCAGCTCCAGGAGGAGTTCCCCGGCACTTACGACGACGTCGAGCTGGTCTCGTTGCACAGTATCTCCAAGGGTATGGTGGGTGAATGCGGTCACCGTGGTGGTTACTTCGAGCTCGCTGGCTTCGACCCCCTGGTCCAGGAGCAGATCTACAAGCTCGTCAGCATTGGCTTGTGCCCGCCGGTCGTCGCACAGTGTCTGCTCGAGTGCATGGTCAACCCTCCCCAAGAGGGCGAGCCTAGCTACGCGCTCTACCAGAAGGAGTACAACTCCATCGCAGAAGGCCTGCGCAAGCGTGCCTTTTCCTTGTTCAACGCCTTCCAGCGCATGGAGGGTGTCGAGCTCCAGGAGCCCCAGGTATGTATTGTAAACTTGCTCAATTCATTACATATCCACTAACCGTCTCAACAGGGTTCCATGTACCTCTTCCCCACTATCAACCTCCCCGCCAAGGCCATCGAGGCCGCCACTGCCGAGGGCCGCCCCGCTGATGAGTACTACTGCTTGGCTCTACTGGACGCCACCGGTGTCTGCGTCGTCCCCGGCTCCGGCTTCGGTCAGAAGGAGAACACTCTCCACTTCCGCACAACCTTCCTTGCCCCTGGCACCGACTGGGTTGAGCGCATCGTCAAGTTCCACTCCGAGTTCTTGGAAAAGTACCGCTGAACATATACAAGGTACAAAAAGCTCTGTAAATGTGAACTGCCCATCCATCGCCGCGTCTTGTTTGAGCGATTGGCTGCCAGCATATAAGATTTTTGGTTAGTTTTCTTTTGTTTCACGTCTACACGAGATGGATCATCGGCATCCATCTATGTGGCCTCTACGACGCAATGTTTAGAATATTTGAATTTGGATCTGGATCTGAATTGGTTCGCCCTCGATACCTATAGACTACTTACTCTATTGGGCTTACTATTTTTGATTCTCATTTTTGGGTACTCTTCCGAGGCACTTATGCGTCGCATTTTGAATACTGGTTTGCATTTGCATAGCTTGTTTTGTTTAGATAGGTACTGCGTACCTTTTTGCCGTTTATAGAGAATGAATTTTGCTGGTTGAAAACAATATATTCAAACTTCTGTCCTTGCTTTCATTTTTGGCTAAAATTAAATGAATGAGAGGGGAAGGAATGGCTAGGAATGCTCAGGAGGTGTTGGGGGAAAAAAGATGTGACATAAAGTGCTAAATTCCATCCGATAATGATAGAGCAAATATTGGATTCAGCGATTTATTGAATATCACTATTCACTTTCCAACTCGAAAAGAGCAAAGCAAAGCATGGTGATCACTCCACGGCATGGCTGCTGCGGGCTCAGTCTGCTCAGACTCGGGTATATCCGCGTCCCTTTCCGTACCCTGTCCGCCATCCAACTCCCCCACCCGTCCAGGCTCAAATACTTCAATTTCTCTCGCTTTGAGACCAATCATCGCGACTCTATCCATCCGATTCGGCGGAAACCGCTGCTTCCCATCCGCACCCCAAGTATACCCCGGATCTGCCGGACGAAGTGCCATCCACGCATCCGTAAGTCCATTATTCTCAATGAGAACAGCATCTTCATCCAGAACCGGGTTGAAATCACCAGCAACAAGCCCACAACCCGTACTACGCAGAAAAGAAGAAACAATAGAGAGTTGCTGGGGCCGATGGGAGGGCCTGATAGGCAGGGAATCCAGATGGACGTTTGCAAACCGTACTCGCGTGGTAGAAGTGTCTGTAGATGAAGGAACGAAGAGATCGCAAAAGAGTACATCTCTTCCGAAGTGACTAGGGAATGCTACCCTCCAAACAGGTCCTAGTGCATACTCACTTATCTCGGAGGAATGTCGGGATCCAAAGCGTGTCTTGGATACTAGGGTCATTGTCGTGAATGGGTGTCTGCATGGCGTGTTCTCGTGCTCGCTTGAGAACCATGATTCACGGATACGTTCATCGCTCAGAATTAGTTGCAAGGCTTGCTGGGAAACTTCTTGCAGGAATATGATGTCTGGCTTGGATGCTAGTTGGTTGATGAATTTCAGAATTTCCGGGACGCGTTCTTGCGTCCCCGCGGATAGTGCGTCGATGTTCCAGGTCAAGAGCGTTAGATCGGATGATGTGGTATCATCGGTGCAGGGTGGCTTTGCTTTTTCATTCGCGCTCACTGGTTCCCACTGCTGGGAGGTAGCATTGAAGTGGTGCCAAGACTGGAATTTTGGTTCTGCTGGTAGGTTGGTTGGGAGGGGTGTGTCATTTTTCCAGGACGTTATGCTTGTCCGAATGCGGGTGTAAATATCCATCGTGAGAATGGGGTTGATCACTTCCACGGTTGTCTAGTGAGGTTCACGGCTACCTGTTCTTAGAAGGAAGGAAGCGTTGAGTTAGTCTGAGGATTAGTTAAGCACTAAGCCTGAGGCTGATTCGGAGTAACAGGGGTGGGTGTACCTACTACATAGTAGTGAAGATATATAGATGAATGATCTTTATATATTATTTTAGTAGCTCTGGCTTTTTGTAGTAGCAATATCTAAATCTAGAGTCTCAAATGCCCCGCTCATAACCCCCATATCCTACAACACTAGACATGTTGACATATTCTCTTATTAGGAATGATATAGACTCCCTATCAGAGCAAACCCGCTTCCTATGTACCTATGCTCTATCGATAAAAAGGCGGCTGTCCTTTGAATATTATCACAACAACTCCGATCTGGACAAGATATACCTACATACAGTATATCAGAACAGTAGTCTATCCATCTGCGGACCCACCCCAGCCCTAAAAGAAGAACAATTACTCCATACATTTGACCACAAAACCAGAATTGTCATCAATAGATAATCGAGCACAATATTATACAACAGCATACAAATTCTATACCTCGATCTGACATGTCTAGTAACACAAAGACCCAAAAAAGCGGTGAGCCATCGAAGGACCACAATGACGAACACAAACACAAAACATACACCGATCCAATAGAGCCTAATAAGAAGCAATTCCACCTCCATCCCCAGATCCCCGAGGCTCCCCTTCTCCTCTCCGGTCCCAACAAACATATCTCCCGTAGTACAACATCCACCCTAACCCGAAATCCTCACCCATACATATGCAAGGCGCCTAGGCAAATCCACTCGCTCCCATGCACCTTGCCTACATACTACGGAGTACATACTTACATATAGTTACTTGTTACATACGTACATACTATATATAGTTACTTGGTTACATACATACATATAGTCACCTAGTTGAATACATACATACACAGTTTCCGGCTACATCGGCACTAGCAGCAGTCCCTGGTCTCCCCAGATCGCACACGCAACACCTAGTCGATCGTACAGCAAGGTGCAGGGTTCTAGGTGCATTGCAGACCGCACACTCGGACGAATACCGCACCCACCTCGTGATCGAAGCCTGTCTTGCGTTGTCTTGGCTAATGCTTAGCTATGGGTTGGTGCTGCGACTGGGGGTTTTCCCTGTTGCACAACGTGCGTTATGCATGTGCGTTGCTGCGTTGGATACCGTTGGACTATATGTACATGATGGTCGTTAGACTGGTATGTTATGTATGTATGTTTACAGAGTAGAGTAGGGTATGTGTATAGCTAGGATGGAGATGGAGATGGGTTTATTTTGGGTGGAGTACTACATATGTAGTGTGATATACGGAGTACTACGGAGTACGTAATATTTCTGGGTTTGGTATTGTAAATTGTTATTTGTGCGATGTAGATTGTCTCGGTGTTTCAGATGAGAGATTGTGCTGTCGCAGTAAGGATCGGGTTGTGATGATCGCGTACTTAGGGCAAGATAGCAAAAGGGCGATCTTCAGGGCTGAAGATACTTTGACCTGACCAATCCAGTCGATCAGTCGATGAGGCAGCTGAGTAATGTGGGTATAAGTTCGGGCTTTCTCACCGCTATATCCCGCTGCGTGGTCGGGGTCCTCTTTGCGTTCTATTGACTCCGGGTGATTGTGACTAGTGTTCTGGAAGATGCAATACCCCGAGCAGCTTATTTGGTATTCAATTGCTTAACCTAGTTGATAGGTAACTAGTGAATTAGTGATGTCATCGGCTTGGGATATATCAGCTAGCGTTCTGTGATGCCCTGTATAATAAAATACGGGGTGCATGATGATAGGTATCCAGAGGCAGACCTCGGGGTCTGTAGTGATCCGCACTGTGCATGCATCTGGGTATCGTTGTCCGTCGGCGAATGTATAGAGGAATACCGCCCGAGTCATTGTACACGTAAAAAGAGAACAGATGGAAAAATTCTATACATCAGCAAGAATGCAAGGGCAAAAGAAGAAAAAAAATCGCATATACGGGGAGAAAAAAGTCAAAAGAAAGAATGTGCAGGCACGTGCAAGTGTCCAAACCGCAAACCCCTCTAGATTGAATGGCTATCAAAGAAGGAATCTAGACTGGCTAATGGAACAATAAAGAAGGCATTTATCATCATCTCTCATCATGGTCATGAAGACAGGTGGAGGTGGTGGTAGATCGCCGCAAGAGAGCAAGCCCCAGGACAAAGGAAGTATAAGAGGAAGAGAATATAAAGCAAGGATCAACAACGAGCACCGCTGTTTATTACTGGGCCCAGGATTGTTGGAAGAAGTTGTCATCCATGGGCGAAGTGGAACCAGTATTGAAGAGAGCGCCAGGCCAGATAGGAACGGAGTCCGATGGCGGCGAGGGAGCGCTAGTAATCGGGGCCGACGTCATGGGCTTGTATGCGGTGTAGATATCCTGCGCAGGGACCGACTTTGGCTCCATGATCATGCTGGCTTGCAGCTGGTGCTCGAGCGCAGCAGTGGACTCATTGGTCGATTTAAGGAAATCATCGATGTTGATCGAGTCCAGGTCATTGGATGACAGAAGACGGGTCTGAGGTAAACCGACCAATGAGGATGCAGAGCTGACGCGAAGATGGTCCATGTCAGATGCTTCGCTCACGCTGTGCAGATCATGCATGTCATTGCTAGCATGACCCAAGCCTGGAAGCGGTCCAAACTCATCAGCCTCGGAGATGTCTCCGGAGGATGATGGCGCTGGAAGACCGGAGGGATATCCGTTGTAATCAAAGCTAGCGTATGAAGGAGCTTGCGTGCTGGTTGCGGCAGGGAGGTCGGAGTATAGAGGGAAACTTGACCAGTCGACCGAGGGAGCACCCATACCAGTAGACCCCATGGGCATTTCGGAGTCCGGAGAAGTGAAATAACATTCTTGGTAAGGTTCTTGGAATGCCATGCAGGTGATTGGAGAATTGGTGCTCGTGGTGGGGAAGGAGGCGAAAGAGGAGACGTCAAGCGGAGGGACACTGGTGACAATTTGCTCGAGAGGGAATTTGTCCATGGTTGCAGGCGCAGATGTCGGATTTGACAGCGGGTCATGGGATCGATCTAATGGAGGAGCAGGAGGTGCCGGGGTAGCGAAATTATCGAGGTAGGAGTGATCGAGAGGAGCGGGATTCAAATCGTCTTCGGAACCCGAAACAGTCGCGCTGTTGGGAGAACCGTTTTGCGACGTCTGTGTGGGAAACTCGGACAGATTGAAAGGTTCCTTGACAAAGGCCGACTGGGCTAGCGGCAAATGATCCACCGACCGACGGGGTAGGTCAGTTGGGTGGTGGATGGTATGTGATCGTGGGATCATATAAGGCAATCCACATTTGTGGGCCATGTCATTATGCTTGTGAGCGGGCTTATGATGACCATCGCGGAAAATTGTAAGCGTCGATTCCGATTTGGTAGACGTAAGAGGCGGTTTCCGTGGGGTCTCAATCGTAAGCGGGGGCGGAGAGAAGGGAAGACCGGTTTCAGGCACAGTGTCTAGGTGTTCCTTTTTGAGTGCACAAGTGCAGCGCTGGCCATGACAGCAGCCACAGCGACCATGGGGGGCGCCGGAATGACAGTCGTCTTTCTTCTTCTTATCGCCGCAATCACACTGGGTGTGAGTTGTCCGAGACTTGCGTAGGCCGCGGCAGTGAGTACATTGAGAGACTGGGCGGCCTTTTTTGTTGATGTGGGTCAATTGGCGGTCTAAAGGGGAAAATCAGCATCGAGGTTCACTTTTGATTCACTTATTGATAAGAGCGTAAGATTGAGCATACCACTGTGATGACAGCTGCTGACTCGGTGACCCCGGACGCAAGCTTCACAAGCATACTTTTCACCATCGATGAGCATCGCTGCGGTGTTACTGGGAGATACACATGCGATGATTCGCGGGGGATATCGGAGAAAATCGAAGTATTGATATAAAAGAGACCGAGACCGGTTGAAGAGACCGAGATATCAAGCCGTCAAGGCGATTGGCAGCGGCTTCTTCGAGAGGTCGGGCCGGAGTAGAACAAAATGAACAAAAGGGTATAATCGTATAGTCGAAAGGTCCCAATGCGCGGAAGGAGTTTTGACACAACACCGGACTAGCAGTGTAAAATGCTGAAAGCCACCACACTTTGTTTTTGATTGGAACAGAAAACAGAAGGAAATTGAAAATCCAAAGGGTATCTTAGGCGCGAGGTAGTAGAGGGAAGGGTTTGGTCAGGGATCGGAGAGTAAGAGAAAGAGAGAGAGGATAGAGAGGGGGACCAAGCCTACGCACCGTTTGGCGCCGGCCGTTAGACAGGACACCAAGTACCGGTAGTGGCGGCCAAGATAAAAAGCGTTCGATAAAAGAAGACGTTGGACACCCTATGAAGAGGAAAAAAGAGGAAAGAGAAGGAGGGCGGGTAGGCCGTTAATATAACGGGGTATGGAACGAGGATTTTCGCTGCGCCACTGGTCTTTGTGGGTGACCGTATAGGTACGGGGGAGACCACTTGTATTGTACTTTTACTGGCTTTTACTGGGATTTTACTCCTTTTAACTGCTTTTCACTGCTTTTATTTACCGGTTGAAGATGGTAATGTTTTTACATAGGTAAAATGGGTGTAAACGGTGTAAACGGTGTAAACTGTACTATTCTTGTACTATTGTATGAACTATTATACTGAATATTCACTAAACAAGAAACCCTTTGAATAACTCCTAGGAACTACATACTCCATACATAACTAATCACTGAGGAACATATGTTATATTTTTTTTTGCTTATTTGGACTTCTATTTTTCTTTACTTTCCCCCCTTTTTTTTTCTCTTTTTTTCTTTTTTCCAATACTTTTTTTACTTTTAATGCCCAAACTGGCAGCCCCAACCGTATAGTGTACAATCAAACGTAAGGTGGCAATCGAACTCGTGGCCACTGCATAGAAATTCCTTAGAAAATTAGAAGGCCTTAACTCCACTAAGAAATTATGGATCTAAAATCTGGGGCCGTCCCGACGTAAACACTTTATATGTGTCTTGACTTGACACCCTGGGGCTGAATCTATTCTGAGAGAACATCTTTCAGGGGTTAGCGCTTGTACCTCGAAAGAACTTTCCATAATCCCTGTAAAGGCTCGAATGGTCGATGAGTATTAGGAAATAGACAGGTTCTTGGCAGACTAGAAATGGGAAATGATAGAAAGAAAAAAAAAAAAGACAAGAAAAACAAAGCCAGTGGAAGGAGTCCACGTATGTACAAATGCATTGAAAATTACGTATAAAATACCTTATACAAGTACAATACCAAAAAAATGCATGTCATAGCGCTATGGGCTGATGGCGTCAGTGTTCCTGCTTCGGGCGGCCTGCAGAGACAGAGGGTTTAGGGCCCTGATCTGCGCTATCTGGGGGTTTTACGTACTCGATTATCTAGGAGGGATTCAATATGTTGATTCAAGAGTTGATTTTGTTTTAATATATTCTTTACTATATAGTATTCACAATTGAAGTGCTGGATACAGTATATTGGACTAAGTTATACACCTTATAGACATATGATGTGGAAGCCATCGTCTATTTGACCCGATTTGGGATTGACGGTGATCTACGCCTGGATAATCAACTGCCTAGGCCAATAATCCTTGTTTACCTATAAGACAGTGTTTATTTGACCCTTTTTTTTGTCTTAGATATTATTAAGTAACTAGTTAGTTAGTTACCACATACATTGTTATTAATACAAAGCACTGATCTGATCCAGGGAATAATACTGGAGTATAAGACACTACGTGCGAACGGGATCGTTCGAGATGGATCTTATTATCGGAATAAAAGGCCCAGTATTGAATCCAAGCAAGAGCAAATACTTTATCATATATCATATCCTTTCCTTTGGTTGATTTTACATATATGAATTTTGGAACACCATCCGTGACTTTAGGGCAAAGGCGAAAACAATATCGGCATACACAAAGCGTTCACCGAATACATAGTCCAATCTCATTTATCAGCCTAAATGTATGATTGATACCCTCACTAGGGCAGTAATCAGGATATTTAGCAGCCTGGCAAAGTGGCACCACTGGTACAGGTGCAGGTACCTACTTGGTATCCCAACATTGATAGTGTAGACCTTTGTAGCGATAATCTCCGGGGAACATTAGCACAGACTAGTCACATTAGTCCAAACCAAGTCAGTACCCTCAAATATGGCACTAAGTATGTCAAAATATTCCCAACTTGAATATTGAAAATGTACGTGCTCTGTACTCCGTACATGGTAGTTCATCCGAAGCCGAAGGGGAAATAGTATTAATCCGTTCACACGCAGAAACGAAAGGCCGTCCTCCGTGCGATCATCTAAAAAAAGACTCGGGGAAGTAAACAACTGTATATAGCTTCAAAATAACATCTAATTCCAATGAATCCTCTGTACAAATGTTGTTGCTTAATGCGGCGCTCTCGGCGCTAGGCCCCTTGAAAACACCCCACGAAATTTTAGTTAAAACTTCACTTCTGGCACTTCGCGTCCTGCACTATCTTCCCCCCATCCCCCGGAGGCCCGCTTTGCCCATAAACCATCATTTTCCCGGCGGTTTTCGGCCTCGTATCCCGCGATGAACTCTCGCGAGCAATCTGACATGCCTCCGGCGCCCTCTTACCCATCTCCGAACGGTGCGCAGATGGCCCAGGGCGTGCCATCCTATTATGGCAACCGCCAAATGACCACCGACGAACTGCTCTCCGCCGAACTTTCGCGCGATGCATCTGGTCCCGGTCTCGGCGAATCAAACAACGGCGTTCATCATGGCCAGTCTATGGTGTTGGGTTCCTCCAATGCTGCCGACATGGGTCGAACCTCTTCGGAGGACCAACACCAGCACCAGCACATGCTCCAGTTCCCTCCAAGTCAACAGGTGGGCGTCGACCCGAACCATGACTTGAGTTATGGTGAACAGAGTGCGCGCAAACGATCGAAGATTTCAAGGGCTTGCGACGAGTGTAGGCGAAAGAAGGTATGATCATAACAATTCTCCTTGGAACGCGATTGTGAAGCTAGAAGCTAACACGCGTTTTTTTTCTTCCAGGTACGATGCGATGCGAGCTCGGAAACCGGTCTTGAAACTTGTTCCAATTGTAGACGTCTCGGCGTTGTGTGCCAGTTCAGTCGCGTGCCCATGAAACGCGGCCCCAGTAAAGGGTAAGAAAAAAAAAAATCGCACCACCACAAGAATAGCCAACGCTGACATGGCACGCAGTTATATCAAGGAACTCGCCGAGCGACTCCATACTCTTGAAAATCAAATGCAACCAGGGATCGTTCAGCCTGACGTGCCATATCAGACCATGAACGAGGTGTCGCTACCAAGAGGGTACCAGGACTTTGCATCGCCGGTGGAATCAACCTCCGGCAATCGCAAGAGGACTTACTCAGTCTTTGAAGGTCTCCCCAGTTCCTCGTTCGCACAGCCTTCCTTTAACGCTCGCGTGTCGCAAAATGCCTTCGACACGTCCGATACCGTAGCAGACCCGTACAACCCAGCTGTCGCCAACGGTAGCGCACCGAAACCTGGTAACCTGTTCTGGAACCCGACGGGCCATGAGAATGATCTCCCAAGCGGTCTCGAGATGACAGATTTGCCAAAGCATGATGGTGATGACGACATGACACCAGTGACTCTGGATGAAGGAGCCCTTGACGCGTACGTGTAATCTGTACCCCTCTTAGTTACGAGGAAACCAGCTAACATCGGATTGCAGTTATTATCAGAAGATCCATACTCTTCTGCCAATTCTTCCCCACACCAAGGAGCGAACATTGGAGCTTTTGCACCAATGCAATCGCGAGGCACAGGAAATTTTCTGCCATGCGCTTTACAGCGTTACTCGAACTGACTTGTCTCGCGTGGCAGGCAATTTCGAGAAGATCAATGGATTTGATAACGCCCAGGACCTCCTCATGTTCCACACCCGCCAGCCATTGATTGTCCACTCGACCCCTGTCAACATTATCTGGCTTCAGTCTCTTTTGCTGATGATTATCGACTCTGATAGTCGTGGCCCGGATAATTTCGTTCTGAAAGATGGTGTCCCCAAGGGCAGCCTGGTCCAAGCAGCTAACAAGCTCGGATACGATTTGGCCAAGAGCCAAGGCCAGCTGAAGAACAAGCGATCTGTGGATGCTGATGTCGACTCGGATGCCAATCTCACCCGGCGCAACTGGGTGTCTTTTGTCATCTTGGCCCGGTGGTACGCTATCAGTGTGGCAGATGTCACCGTTCTGGGTGGTCATGAGATTGGTGGCCGTGAAGATGAAAGGATTGTTGGTCAAATCACGACCGGAATTGCCTGTATGTTGATCTTCCTTATTTTACAACTGTGCTATTTCACTAACTCGTTTTGCGCCAGCTTACTCAACATTCCTCTCAGAAACGGTCACTCTAGCCAATGTCGACCACAACATCTGCCAGACCAACTCCGGCCTGGGTCGTATCGTCGGCGCGAACCTAGTCTCGTCCCTGGAGCGTCTAGCAGAGCTGGAAGACATCTTCCAGATCCACGAACTACCCGAGAACTCCACCACCCGCCCACTTTACGAGAGCCTCCAAGCCCAACTCTACTGGACCGTCCGTCTGCTCATCAAGCGCCACGTCTTCGTGTACAGCCCATACGAGATCATCTTCTGCGCGCAGGAAGTCATCAACGAGATGCACAAGTCAACCATGCAATCCCGCCTCCCCTCACCCTTCGATCTGCACAGTCTCGCCCTCGCCTCAATGACTCTCCTCGAGGCGACCGTTCTCCCCGAACACGCAAGCGAATGCTGGGCCACCCTCGAAAAAGTCGAAGAGATCCTCGACCGCCGCTCCAAGCGCGCATCACAGGACTCCGAGTTCGAGAATATCTTCGGCACCCCGGAATGGGACGCTAAGATCCGCATCTTCCTCGAGTGGCGCCGTATCAAGTCCCAGGAGAGCCAGCTCCAGGAAGCCGATATCGGCGGTCTGGCTAAGTCCCAGCAGCCTGTGATGGGTCCTAATGAGCAGCGTTCTCTCCAGCACCTTGCTGATCTTGCGGTTGGTGCGGAGGGCTCTGTTGGTCAGAATACGGCTACGCCCCCACCCGGTCTTTCTAATGAGCAGGGCGAAGCGGAGCAGAATCTTGCTCCTCAATTGACTCAGGCGCAGGGCGGGTCTGGTCGTGTTGTTGTTGATTTCACTATGCTCACTAAGGAGGGATATCTGAACGTCTTCTCTGGTTTGATTTACCGTCGTACACGTTAAGGTTGCTTCGGGGTTATGGTCTGTCTCCGCTTGATCTCTCTGTTGTCTACAGGTGGTTTGTTTGAACAAAGGAGGCACCTCGGAAATCTTTTTTTCGTTTTGTAATATTTGCGTTCGTTAGGCTTCTCTATGCCTCAAATTTGTCTTTTGTATCTTATGTTGTAGTAGTCTCTCGGTTAGGGAGAGGGAATTTAGCACTTGAATGGAATACATGTATGGTTTGTATATGGCATATCAGTATTCTCATGTTTATTCATGAATTGATAGATTCGCAGAAAAGCTAGAAACGATGAAATCCGATTCAAGCGTGTAAATTCCATTCCCTGGTCAAGTACTCTTGTAATATAGTTGGAGTCCTCTTCCTCCATATGGCATCCATAACATATGATATGATATAACATAGTAGAATAAGATACAGCATTCCAGGGGGAAAATCGAATACAAGTCCATCACTCCTCACTTCCTTTGTCCGAATGCAAACCGCCTCCATGTCCCATCCACGTCCTCGCACAGCGCCATGAAATCATCATCATCGATCAACTCACACATCCAGTTCTCAAGAAACACAATTCGCTCAGCCGTTGGTGAAGACAGATACCGCGCAAGATCATCTTCTATCAGGGCTGTGACTTTCTCGTTTGGCTTGCTGGCCGGGGCGTCGTTGGAGTTCGACTTAGGTACATCATTCTGTGTGTGCGATGTGTCCTGGACACTGGGTACTTGGGATGTCTGTTCGGCGGGTTCGCAGGTCGGAGCTGTGTTTTGCGATGCAGGGGGCTCTTCACAGAGTAATGGCTGGCTCGCCTCTGGGCAGGGGTTTGGTTGGGATAAGACTTGAGAGTTGGAGTCGGGTAAACTAGAGTTAGTATCAGGCTTGGCCACAAGAGAACGTGGAGGTTCTGGATCCTTGGTTGGCTCAGTGGGTTGAGAAGTTGGTGACGGAGCTGAAGGGGGGTGTTTCTGTGTTGTTCTAGTTGACCTTGCAGCACGTGGTTTCTTTGCGGTTGGCTTTGGGAAGGGCAGGTCTCTCTTGGGAGGGAGCATCTGGTTTAACTGGTCGAAATCATGAGTTGCAGATATGGTGGAAATCTGAGAGCTTGGTAGATCGGGTTCTTTGTTCGACATGTGTGCGAGAGTAGAGTCATGCGGTGGTTGAAATAAATCTACCGGTTCCATGCTTTGGGACGGGGGATTGAAGGCTGGTACAGGGCCTAGTCTGGACATCGGGTGTGAAATAGTGCTTGCAGGAGATGATACTCGAATGGGTGCTGCCAAATCAAAGACGTAAGATAGCTGTTCGAGCGGTGGTTGGGGAAGTCATTACATACTTGTCCCTCCAGACCCTAACGCCCCCGTGGGGTAAAAGTGAACTCCATTGCTGCCAGTTGAAGTTGCTGCCGTATTTGTAGTTCTGGGGACAATAGAAGAGAGATTCCCCGATGTCCATGATGACACCGAAGGAAATCGTTGCAATGCTGGAACTGGTATCTTGCCTTCTATCAGTGGGCAGTTGATCTCGCCCAGGACAGCTAAGGCTGTGAAGTAGTCATGCTCTGTAGCGAACTTTATCTGGAACCGGCGAAGCTGCGGAGTCGAAAGGTGGTTCTGTTAGGAAACATTACTCTAAGTCATGTCCAGTGCAGAATATACACACCTGTGTTCCGCCATGAGGATACTTGACTGCAAGACAAGGCGACTTTACAACGACAGCAAAGTGTGGTCTTGAGGGTGGAATCAACCCGGCCTGCATTGCAGCCATGCGAGTGAAGAATACGAGATCAAGTTGCTCCTAAATCGGATGACCCAGATGTTCAGCATTACTGGCTGTGAAGCTTTATGCGTGAGTGAGAGTGTACCATGATGCAATCGCCTCGAACCACTTTCTGAATCAATATTGATGGCACAGATGCAGAATCGAGGAACTTCTCAAAGATGCAAGCTAGATCTCCACTCCCAGGGATATGGTTCCAGGTCAGTGGTCCGACATGATCGATGGTAGTGGTTGTATGGGAGAACTTGGCGATGGCTAGACGAAGGACCTGGGGAGGGATGTGTGGTTGCAGATGCTGCATCTTATGGAGCGAGAGTAAAAAGCAAAGAGTGGAAGCTTAGAAGATATCCATGGATACAATATTGATGATGAATGATTGTAGTGTCTAGTGAAATGATGTTCGAGGTGAGGGCAAGGTTGAGAGAACCCTCGGTCTAGTACTCCCACTGTTAGTTAGCATTGCCCACACCATTAGCACCTTTGGTCATAGTGCATCCAATCGAATCTATGTGTATAGTAATTTTGATGTATACCTGATATGCCATTTCAGAATATTAAACTCTTAGAAGTCATGTTGAGACTCGAAAAGTATGACTGAGTTCCTCTAGGAACATTGTAGCTCATCATCTGAGATTTCGATCAATAAAAATTGCCATCTCTATTAGTTTGATCACTTCAGAATGGAAATGAACATAAAGGGAGAGACTGGTCATTGTCTCTATTCTATCTGTGCACTATTCAAGAATGTTGCCTGAGGCAGAAATATACATTCTTTTGTCATCAACCGGAACAACCAGTAGTCCGACAACGCGCCCTAGAGAAGCGCGGACTTTTGGCTGATCAGTGCCGTTAATCGCAAAGCCCAGCTCTAGCCCTCCAGGGCCGCAAGGCATTGACGATTATTTGACTTTTGAAACCTATCGCTGATTTTGATCGCCTACGCGCAAATTTACTACTGCCTTAGAACTGCCGTTGCTGCTGAGCACTTTGCTCTTTTCACCGTCGCATCCAGTGCTTCGACATTCAAACGCGCGAATCCTGCCACCCAAGTCGAATCACACCCACTGGCCGTCGCTATCGCCCTTTTTCGGCCAGAATCAACGCTGTATCGCCTTGTACCCCGACCTTTCAGAAGCTGAACGAAGTCGCAAGTTTGACACCCCTGCAATTTCTCCTGCTCGACTCGTTTGGAAACAAAGACGCATCAAGGGCAGCATCCCTCGAGCTGTATCTTCAAAGTCTTCGATCGAGACACGAAGTTCTTGTCCCCGATTGCCCCTCGAATTTTTGAGGTCAAGTTTGTCGGTCCCATCCGTTGCAGGACCGACTCAACTCGTGCGTTTGAAAACGTGAACGGCGCAAAGCTGTCGCGTCCCTTCAGTAGCACCATGTCTGCCTCTACTCCTCGCACCTCGCTGCGACGTAAGACTACCACTATCTCTCAACCGACAGGTGTGGGATCTGTACTAACACCACCCACAGAGGGCTTACGCCATGCTCCAAAAATCAACCAACCCTTCATCCCCGATACAACCCCTGCTCGTCGATCACACATCCATCATGGGCTCACATCACCGCAACCGTCAACCAGCCCCCACCATGTAAACATCAATCCCGCCGCCAATCCCCAAAGCGCGCAGTTCGTGGTCGATAGCTGGGAAGGAAGAGACACTCGGCAGGTTCCCATGTCGACAAGGGAAGTCCCAACACCAGGGAACCGACCAGTCATGTTTTCCCATCTGCGTGACCCTTCGAAAATGCCCCGGCAATTGGATTATTATGACCCTTATTTCCCGTTGAGATATCTTGAGGTCCCAAGGAGTCAGCTTCACCTACATTCCATGAATTGACTAGAAATACTGACGGTCTTGGCTTTTTTTTTAGCGGATCACATCTACAAACGTGCTCATTACGGTCTGCAGTCAGGTATTCCAGACGAAGTTGACTTTGCGCTGTATCATCTGGTACAAATTTCAAATCAACGGTGGGATAAATTCAAATTTGAAGGGTTTCCCTTGCTTGCGGAAACTTTGATGCAGAACGCCCTTGACATTACACAACTCTGCACGGGGGTGAAGTGGGAATTCCAGTACGACCCTCGGAATCCTACTGACCGTGTCAACGTGCTCAACTCGCTACATGGCACCCGTGATATTCTGGACAAAATTAGCAAAATCCCAGTGAACATCCCCAACGATAGCCTTGAGACCTATGATTTCAATCACCGACTGAGAAACATCAAAGAGGCCACGTTAGTGTTGAGAAACATGGTGCTCCTGAAGGAGAACGCATTTTACGTGTCGCGTTATGCAAATGGCCTATTGCGGGACTTTTTGGTTATCTTGATCAATACTCCCAATCAGCCTCGACTGAATGAAATCAAAAATGATGCGCTGGATATTGCCGAGGAAGTCACCAAGTTCCTACGAACTGATCCTGAAGATCCGCTGTGGATTTCTTTGGTGAAATGCATTGAATCCCCAGACCGTGCCCATGTCGTGCGAGCCCTGTGGGCCTTGACACACTTCGGAACTGAGCTGGATGATGCGGATGCAAACCGGGCCATGGAGACCCTGACTAAACCGACTTTACAGCATATGTACTATCACACGCTTCTTGACCTTGATAAGGACATTCTGAGCGGTGCACTGGACTTTTGGTATCAATACACGCTCAGTCATGACAATATCGAGACATTGATGGATGCTATCAATTTCCCAATCGTCTTTGTTCCTCGCATGGTCGCACTTCTGACATATGAAGCACGGCCTACCAAAAAAGAAACTGTTCTTCAAGAAGAGAAAGTCGCACCTCCCCCCACCGACATCCCTCGTGTATCCCCCGAGCTTTTGGAAAAGCTCATGGAACTGTCGGAGCCGGAGCGAAGCTCCCAATGGCTGCGTTGCTGCTTCATCGAGGATCCAGAATGCGAGATTACACAGATCGCTTTATGGCAAGCCTACCAAAGCCGATTCGCAGATCCCCGTGTCACTGGAGGAGGTGTTCTTCCCGCTGCAGAGTTCATCAAGAACGTCAGCAACACATTCACAAACGCTCAAGCACAGGTAATCAACGGCCCCGGAACTGCCACTAAATTCATTATCAAGGGTATCCGACCTCTGGAAACTGCCCACACATTTGAGGGCTTCCCTTATTCCTACTGCAGATGGGCGGACAACTCAAAGCCTTCGAAGATGTGTCAACGCGCCTTCACATCCCCGACAGATCTCCGGAATCATGTTTTCGGCGACCACATGAACCTGGAACCCACAGAAATTCCCGGGCAGTATAAGCTTGATTCCGCAGATTCCCCCATTCATACCTGCCAATGGGACCACTGCTCACGGTTCCGAGCATCTGGACCCAGCGCCAACACATCCATGGTCGCCGGTCACGTTTCTTCGCATTTGCCCGAAGATCGCCCTGCAGACGCACAGCCCACAACCGCCAAGCGTGTGGTTCTCCAAGAGCGAATCGTCCGCAAATGGTACTACATGGATACTCCGATCAACGAAAAGGGCGAGCCATTCGGCGTGGCCTACAAAGCCGCATTGGTGCTGCGCAACATCGCCCGCGGCCTGCCGAACCGGACTACGTCAAAATATGGCGGTCTTCCCTGGAAGAAGGCCTGCTTCACGAGCCAGCGCCCCAAGATCGTCGAGGTCTGGGACCGAAACCGTGCGCTACGCAAGGAGCTTACTGAGTTAATCATGGTGATTGAGAAAGAGGTAGACTATTAAATTTCCTATATGTTTTCCGGTGTTGCAATCGCCTCTTTTTCTTTTTCTCATGAATCAATATCTCTGTACGATTAATACCCTGATTATTCATGTTCTCACTGTCTTTCTGGTTTCCAGGTCCTCCATCTTGTCTAAATGTACAATATCTAAGAGCCAGGGCCACATTGGCGGTGTTTTCTTGTTTTGTTGCTTTGTTTTTAATGGCTTGTCGTTTTGATCTAAGCCTAAGTTCTCGCACGCAAAAAGGCCCCCGAAGAGTATGGAGTTGCATTACTACCTAGGGATGGGTATGGGGTGGCTGCTGTTTTGTTTTTTTCCGGCGTCTCTTAGGATAGAAACTCGAGATTCATTAGTTAACGTACACTGAGGCTCGTTTAATTCACACTTTCTTGCTTCAATGTGTTATCAGTCACTTTTTAGGTCCGATTCTAATCAAACATCGGGATACTAGACAAGATTGAGTACGGGGTAGTTCTTTAACATCTTCACAACTCCCCCTCATCCCCTCGCCCCAGCAGCCAATTCCTCCAAAACCCGCATCGCATCCTTTGCTCTCGCAACGGGCACATAGATATGATCATGGAAATACCCACTGACGACATTGGTACTGATGTCATGGTCTTTCAGCCGGTTAGTAATGGCAGCGATCAAGCCGACCGCTTCCAGGCTGGAGTGGATAGTAAGAGAGATTTTCTTGCAAGGGAAGGTTGACTCGTCGAAGCCATGCAATGTGGCGAGCTCTTCTGTTGTCACAACCGTTGTGCCCTCCTCTTCTGGCACGATTAGTTGCGGCTGGAGGGTCGAGAGGGGCAACAAGTGAAGGGGTAACTTGGCTGTGAGGAAAACGTAGGTTGTTGGGTCTAGGCTTGGTTGCATTTTTGCTAGGAGAATTGAGATATTGCTTTCTCCTGGAGGTGCCATTTTGGAAGTTGGATTGGAATAAGTTGCTTCAAGGATGGTATATGTCACTGTTGAAAATAAAGACAGAGGAAGAGCAAGTTAGTCACGGGTCATGTGGATTATTTACCAGCCACTTATTCTGATGGGAATGCTCTAGCAACCAAATATCCATCTAAGATTGACTACCATTTTTGGCGATCCCCCCTTAGGAAGCTTATTCGCTCATATGGCCTCTACACCTACGGAGTACATCTTCTACCTTCTGAACAAAGCTCAAGAAAGTTATAACGGTTAACATAATAATCTATATTGAGCTCATAGGTTTCGTTCAATGATGGGGAAAAAGTATCTCTCAGATCGCTTCCAATGCAGTGAAGCAGAAGCCCACAACACAAGACGTATTCTCGGGTTCTTATAATCTAATGGCTTCATCATCTTGTTGCTTCACTCAAGAGGATCTCCGGCTTTTCGATATTCCTCCAACTGGGAATAATAAAGCCCGTAATGAGATAGATCGAAACAACAGCATATTCCATCAACAGCCCCATAGTCAAGAATGGAGCAATTGGACCACTCAGATCATTCCACCTCAAGTCGGATGGCTCGAACACGGACAGAAAGAGGTATACGATACGGACGACTATGAACGGTGTAGCCAAAGCCGTCGCGTTGAGAACCTTGAGAAGATGTTAGCCTTGGAAGATTGGACATATGCGGGGGATCAACGAACCGTTCTACTTGTGGCTGATAGAGACGACCGATGTGTCCAGAAATACACTTGCATGGCCAGTAAACATCCGACAAAGACAACCACAATGATGTATCCGGACTTGACAAGTTTAACACCAATGAGCACATCACTGGTGGTGTCGCTCCCTTCCAGAGCTCCGCCTGCGACGGTAAGTCCGATGCCGACAATGAAAAGGATTCGGGATACGACTAAACATTGCCGAATTTGTTGGTTCATCTCTCTTTCGAGAGCCGTTCTGCATTACGTTAGATTGATGATGATTCTTAATAGATATTGGCATGATTCTCCATGCTGCCAACTTACATGATTCGAATTAAGCCCAAAGTTGCTGCGATCAAGGGAAACACGCCAGCATTGAGAAAGATGACTGAAGCTACCATCACACCAGTGCTGGAAGACTCTTGTCCGATAATGACCAAGATGCCTGCAGTGATACGAACTGAAGACAATTATGTTAGAGATATCCAGATACAAGATCCTTGTAGTAAGATACTTACTGATGGAGAAGAAGGTTAGGATAATCCACGCCATGCGAGGTCGCTTGTGCCGATAGCACGCCAGATAAAGTGCAATAACAGTTACTGGTATATAGAACACAATCCGTGCGATGCTTAATTTTGAATGACTGCCCAACATGTTGATTTCAAAGTTGCAGACTGTCGGGATAGTTCGTTTTTCTTCGAGTTGTAGGTTGTCAAGAGATAATAGATGAATATTGTAAAGAACTCAGATAAGGAGACTTGTACCATTTTATAGGCATCTTTCCTCGATTCTCCTCAAGGTCAGCCCGGCTGTGCTGAAATCCTCTCCATAAGATCTCCATATATGCCCTCGCAAGTTCAGCACCTCTTTGGGCTTAGTGTCGGGAACCATTGGTAGTAGATTGTTTGATTGGCCTACTCTATATCCACCCGGCTCCACCTACCTAGAGAGCCCCCAAAGCCCAACGAACGCCACTTAATCTGACCAACAACTCTGACTCAAAAATAGGCACGATTAAGCATTACTTCACAATTCTTGATCCTCGTCCAATATTTTTTGAAAACTTTTGATTCCACAATGTTGTAATGCAAATCCATCTTATAGTGCTCGACCGGCTTATGAGATGGTTGGCGTAGCTGGTAAGTCAAGAGGCTGCAACACCTGTCGGAAAAGAAAGATTGCAGTGAGTAACGCTAGATCTGTATACAAAATGAAAGACCCCACTGACCTAGTATCTAGTGTGACCAGCAAAGGCCGGTCTGTGCCAAATGCACACGCTCAAACCGAGTATGTGGTGGATACCAGAAAGACACAGTATTCGTGCTGGTTCAACCAGCGGCTGAAAAAACACATATCTTTCTCAGACCCTTTTCTCCACAGGGCACTGCTGAAAGGCCAGAGTTCGAGTCTGCTGTCTCCAGTCCAGCCACCGTGATTCACAGCAATGAATTCACCCATTCATTTACTGAGACAAGCGATGCCTATACGATAATGCATAGAAGCATCGAATGCCAGAACTTGATTCAAGCCTTCCTATTAAACTGTTTCCCATTGCATTGGCCCCCAATGTCCCTCTCCTGGATTCCCTTACTTGGGGAGTTGCCTACCAAAAGTCGAGCACTGGAGATGTCAAGCGCAGCAGTTGCAGCCTCGGCGATGGGACACATGTTCCACAATCATGCCCTAGTTAAGCAAGGTCTGAATTACTATACACAGGGCCTCCAACAATTACAAAAGGCATTATGGGATCCTAGTCTCATGCGAGAAGATGGAACCCTGGCTGCGTGCATGGCACTAAGTCTTTACGAGGCCCTTGAATGTCCCAATCTGGGGTCCGAAGGCTATTTTAATCACTGCCGTGGTCTCATTGCTTTGATCCAATCCCGCGGTCATGAAGTGCATTCTTCAGGCGCGGGACATCGATTATTTCTTGGTGTTCGAGTGCCAGGGGTAGGTCTTGTACAATTCCGGAGCTTTGTTTGCTTTACTAATAACCTTGCTCTTAGATCTTGTTATCTTTAAAACACCATACCTCGACTATTTTCTTCGAGTCCACTTGGATGGAACAGCCTTGGGCGGGAATACGGAAGACGTCTCACGATCGGGTGATAGATTGCCTCGCTCAAGCCCCTGTGATTCTCGAACGTGTGCGATCATTGCCCCATCAGAGTGTAATTCAACAGATCAATCTACTTCAACATTTAATTGGTGAATGTTGGCAAATTGATAAACAGTTGGATATTACCTATGATGAAATGCAGCGGTCGGCTTCAGACGTGCTATACTGGCAGGTGCCATTTCAAACAGACCCTCTGATTGATTCTGGGTACTCTGAGAATCTGTTCCCAGTCGTTTTCTGTTTCCAAAACGCCCAGGTCGCTGCTACACTGATGCTCCTGTGGGCAACACGGACGATGCTTTGGTCGGGTCTTTCCAATATGTACCAGTACCTGGAAAGCTGCGTGGCTCTTGATCCTGCGTTAGATCAAGGTTCCGTTTCGGAAGTGTTGAGTAAATCTAGTGGTATTGACCGCTGTGGAGAGTACCTATCCGTGGCACATCAAGTCTGTCAATCCATGGACTACTTTCTAAAAGATGACATGCTACTAGCCGGGCCGTTATCTGTTAGCCCCGCGCTTGGGATTGTGGTCGATAGTTTACGGAACCGACCTGGTCATGATCGAGAAATTGCGTGGATACAAGCAGCTCTGGAAGTAGTTCGGCGAAAAGGACTTCGTGTTCTGCAAGATGTGAGTCTATAATCAACCTAAGTAGATGGGCAAATAATGAGACTCCAAGAAAAGAAAGTATCCATAAAAACTTTAAGAATACTAGTTTATGGCATGTGGTGAGAATATATATGATCAAAAATAGATATTGTTAGATTAGGTCTACTGGGAGAGAAATATAATACAATGTAAGCCAATTTAAGAGTTGAGAGAGCTAAGAAACTAAGACAGACTAGAGAATTTCATAGTAACAATATCCGAAAAAGACCTTCACACTCAGTAGTCACCGGTAGGCATTCCGCCCACAGTCGGGACATGCTGTCCATGGAATCCAAACCCAACAGCCCCATCGACATTTGCCCGACCAAGTTCCGACAAGTTACGAGCATCTAGGCAGAGCAAATAACTCTTGCCACGCATGCCATCGAGAACCACGCTGAGAAGAACACCATCATCCTCACTGGTGCCCTCAGGGTTCGCAACGAAAATCGCCTCACCGGGCGACTGGCCGTGACAAGCCCAAAGCTGAACTTGCTGGGTATCACAATCAAGCTTCATGATACCATCTGTCAGAGTCGACTCTCCGCGGAAGGTCGTAGCGTAAACATATCGGTGTTTCTGAGTGACTGTTTTCGGATTGATAGTTGGCAGCTCAGGCGACAAGGATTTGCAAACGGACCACTCGACTATTGCTTTCTTGTGATCGGCGCATGGAGTCGAAGGCACCGCAGGCAGACGGAACCGGGTAAAAGATGCATGGAAAGAATCGTTTCTCTTCTTTTGGAAGGCTTTGGCTGTATCCAATGAAGAGATCAAGTTCTCGTAATAGACGGATTGCAAGAATTCAGAGCTGTCGGTTCTCACAACATCTGCAACAATATCCATCTCCGCTGGATTCTCCTTTGATGGTTCGAGCCATGCGTTGACCGTGTGGAAGCAAAAGAATGCAGGACTTTCGTATGTTGCGATCAATCCCTTGCCGTGCTTACGGTCGATGACATACCACACTGCCGGCTGGCTTGGGTCTGTTGGCATGATTGAATCCATGAATGAGGAGTGTAACTGTCGTGGATCTATGTGTGCATTCCACACACAGAGCACAACATGGTCCTCGGTGATAAGAAGGGAATGAAGATAAGCTGGTGTTGCCTGGAACGTTGCTAGAATCGTTGTCTCCCCCGTCGAAGCCGAGACCTTGAAAATACGGTATGTACAGGTTGGTCCCATGGCGAGATTGTAGTTGAACACGTCTCCCGTGCTAGGATCAGATCGAGCATGAGATGCAGAGAGTTGACCCGAAAGTTCAGGATGCAGATTAGCCTGCGAGGCTAGACCGATGGGTTCCAGAGTTTCCGGATCGAGCTTCTTGAAAGCATTGTAGTCGGTTTTCGCATAGAGAGTTTGAATTCCCTGAGAATCGCCCCAGCGGGAACTCGACTCATCGGGCTTGGGATCGAGGCCTGGGAAGTTGATTGAAAGGGTGACAGATACGTTCGTACTCGATGGAGTGGGTACTGGGACAAATTCGCTCTGGACTTTGCCCAGGACGCTCTTGCAAGGATCACGCTTTTGTCCGAAACTGATCATGTTCAGAGATCCCGTCTTTCTTGCTTCCTCAATAAGGTCGTCAGTGGAGAAGCGAGAGTTGTAGAGTACCCGAGGTGAAGTGTGAAGCCCATCTGGAGCAATGATCTGGAAACGATGGGTTTGACCGAATCCATCGAACCAGTGGGAGAGTTGCAGTGTTTCTCCATTCTCAGCTTCGACTCGGCTTTTTCCTGGACCTGTGCGGTATAGGATACCAGCAGCGTAGGCAGGAATCTGTCCTGTCACAGACAGCTCGACAGGCTTGCGCTGCTCGTATTCAGGATCGAACTAGCAGGGGTTAGTATGTATAGTTCGAGGTATCTACTACTTCATACTTACCCCTTTATCGTTGGGCCAGTTGTTGTAATGATCGGTTATGTTATTCTCCATGATTGTTGAGTCTGTGCCAGTAGAAGTCATGTTTCCAAGCCTGTGATAAATTGTGAGATTGGGCTTGTTCAGAGCAAGCAATTGATGGTGATGCCTGATGTTTAAGGCTAGTATGTCAGGATTCGGGATTCAGGGTTGTGTAGATAGTTCTGAGAGCTTGTTTATTCCTTTCTATATGGAAGTTCACCCTTTATATATTTTTAAACCCTGACTTTCACTATTGAAAACCCCCCCATTTACTAGGCCCCAATTTTTGTTAACGTCATGGAAATATTGGTGGGGGAATCGCGACGGGCCGAGTTTCACAACTTCTCCTTTTTCTCTCGCCAATCGCCGACGTCGAATTACCGAGTCTCGCTCATCATCTTCATTTCGAGCCGCGCCAAGTCCGAAACTGACTTCGGATCTCGGATGCACATTCAATTTTGGTTTCATCCGGGGCATCGTGGCGGGATACACCCACCTGAAGCCTTTTTATAGCCCGTCTTACACGCAAGGCATCCTTAAGAAAGATTACCTTGTGCCATCCACAAAATCCCAGGCTGTCACATTTTCGGTGCCTTCTATTAAACCGACGCCAGCCCCCCATGAAGCAACAAGTACGGAAACCACAAGTACGGAAATCCGAGCCCAGAACAGGCCTAAAGATGTGGGAATGTAAAGACTGTTTCTCGAATTTCCAACGATTAGACCATATGAAACGCCATGCGCTTACTCGTATGTTTCGGCCAATACTAGGACGGATACAGTAATGACTTCTGATAGATCACATGGCAAAGAGCCACCTTTGTTCATTTTGTGGCTCTACGTTCAGCCGAGGGTGTGTCATCTTCCATTACTTCCGAAGAGAGAGATATGTCACCCCGTCATGTGTGCTGACAACAATACACAGAGATGTGCTACGGAGGCATTGGAAATCGTGCAAGGCCCGTGTAGATAGCGGCCATGCAATCCCCGAACCGGAGCACGGCGGGAAACCTAAACGTGCCTGCGATAGTTGCGCCAGCCTTAGGAAAGCCTGTAATGGGGAAACGCCGTGTGCTGAATGCACCCAAAGAGAAAGATTGTGCACTTATCAGCGTCTTCTCAACGAAGAGCCCTCCTTACCATCTATATCCGACGAGCTTCCCTTACCATCCATCTCGCAGGCTCTACCAGGGATACTGAACGCCGAAATTTCAGGTGCGAATGAGGCTCCTAATTGGGACCTGGGCCCTGCGACACTTTATCCACCTCATTTGAAAAATCGACGCCGTAAATTTGCTTTTGGCTGATTAGAAAGGCGAACAACCAACGAAATCTAGTTTGTTGCAGAATCGGGATGCGGAACTAGATATAATAACTGCTTGGCTGCGAGTCAAAGGGCATAGATATTGGATGACATGGTTTATTCATGGTACGACACATTCCTAACGCGATATGCGATATATAGATGTCATTGGCGAACAGGTCAGCTCAGATTCCTCCGACAAAGACAACCACTTACTTCCCGCGACGCCTTCGGTAGTTGTTTTTATTTTATTTTATTATATTAGATTCATTCAAAGTGTCTATTTGGTCATAATGGCACGAGTGGAGATCTAGCTATGTACATATCTCCTGGATATGGTGCCTGGACATCTCTATGCAATCCAGGTTCCCCTTCGCTAGCTTCCCAAGGTGAGTTTCTCACCGTGGCAAGAAAATAGAATCAACGCTATCATAAACATTTTCGATAAAGTTCTCATAGCTTAACCAAGCCGTGTCGTCAGAGCTATTTTGCAAGGTCGGATCACTAAGATCCATCGCATCCCACACATTGGGCCAGGGAACCGGCGCAAAGGAAGTCGGCACTTCTGCAATGTGCGAATTTCGCGGTTCATTGACGGCCTCTCTCAGATCAAGCGAAAAGTTCGTAAGGCCCTGTTGATGTGCAGGTTGTTTCGAGCAAAGCCCAGAAGAAATGCCATCGAAAGGGTATTGAGACCCTGCTTGGTGAGAAATATCAATACCAAGGAGCTCATTTCTCCGTGTTTTCACCTGTGACATGAGCCTCTCCAAGGGCCTCCAGAGCATTCCCTGCTGGGAATCTGCGATTATGAGCCGCGAGCGCTGGTACACGTCGTCAACGACAGTCCAGTAGTTTGACATCACCGCTGGATCTTTGCAGACGCAGAGTTCGGCAAGAGCCACAGCCAATGCGTGCCACGGAACCCACATCGAGCCATACCACCGCCAATACCTGGCGCCTGGGTAGTTGTATGCCTCCTGCGACCACTGCAGGTTATCGGCTGCGATTTTGAGGAGGGCGTTCTCTTGAATTTTTGGCGGTATGAACTTTCCGCTTCGTTGCAACGGCCGAAGACTGGCTAGCTGGAGCCAGCTGCCCATAACACCCGATATCTTTTGCGAATACCACTGGAATTCTGAAAGATCGGGCCTGCAGCCTCTCAGAAGATCCGAGGCCTTCTGTTGGAAATCGTGGACGACTTGCTGCCGTAAACTCATGATGGTCACGGCTGGCTCGGTGAGGTCCGCAAAGGCAAGCGTTCGAGTCGCGAACGTTGACGCTGCGATAATCAAGGTGTGCGTCATGTCGGTAAATGTGCCTTCTGTGTGTTGGGGGATTGGCCCTGGCATGTCAAACCATAAGTCCTCGTCGTTGATATTTGAGGGCTGGTTGTAATCGAGCCATGCGGACTGCATCATCGGCTCAGATGCCCTGTCTAGAGAGGCTGCTACATCAAGAAGGCCGATTCCTAGCCATGCTCGTTTGCGCATCTCGTGCTCAAAAGGGCGCACGGTGAATGGCGGCTGGGGGACGTGGAGAGACAAAGCCTGGCCTACTCGGAGTGCCATGCTCAACATCGTCCAGACCCTTCGGCTTTGGTCCTGAGATCGCGCGGCGAGCTAGAAGTATTGAGATTAAATTTTGGTCTTAAGAGGTCTTAAGATGAAAGACCAGAAACTTGCAGTTGTACTTACCAGAGAGATAATATAAGCTTGCAGAACAGTGAGATCATTCGTCGTGACAAAGTCCGCCCTTGAGAGCGCGAGCTCGGCTTCTTTCTGGAATTCCGCGATTATGGCCTTTTTGCTCGTGTTGAACATTGCCTGACATTCGGCTTCGTCAAGACTACACACAGCACAAAGATAAATAGCCGAGGCAAGGGTCGCTGGCGCCTGGGCATCCTGCTCGTAGTCAAGATAAGGCTTGCCATCCTTAATAAATGCTTGTAGCGACGGTCGATGTAAAATTTTGAAGAGAGGGTCGACGTTGCAGAAGAAGAAGTCACATAACCTATGCCGAATCTGGGGTGGAAGATTTATAGGTCTGTTGGCTTGTGGTGAGTTTGACGAGCTGTCTGGGCTTTCTGAGCTCACAAGTGATGTACCGAAACCAGATAGCGAATTTCTAACACTATGGTCTCCATTTTCTAGACGACCTTCCAGGACAGAGCGCAATTCTTGTGTCTAGTGGGACATGAGTTAAATCACATTCGCAAACTGTGGGTTTAATAGGCTCACCTGCTGCATAATATCCTCCCAGAATGAACCACCCATATACGCAGTTGAAGGGCGAGGAAGATGTGGCTGATTTGCACTAGGCAAGCGGTCATTCTGATCCTGCAGAATCTCAGGGCCGGCGTTGCTGGCCTCGGCCACTGAATTCTGCTTTGTATATGAAGATGCGGGCGTGCGGACTGTCGGAACAAGCTGTGATTCACCACCTCGCTCATTGGCAACTATTTTCAGAAGATTTTCCAGTCTCGCTACCCGCTCAGATAGTTCTTTGTCCGAGCCTACGATCCGCTCGGGTCTTCGCGTGCGACCGCGCGGAAGACGCGCGCGTTCCACAGAAACACACACGAGGCCAAGTCTCTGGCAACTTGCACAAGGACTTGACTTGTCGCATTTCACTTTGCGCTGGCGACATGCTTCGCAGGTGAGGCGGACCCGTGGTGCGGAGGACCGCGAGTGGGTGGTCCCGGCTTGGCCGGCGGGATCGGCCATTGTTTTGTTGAGAACGCAATCGGTCTGAATACGAGGCAAATGAACTTGAAGTAGATTGTTGTGCTTTGTATGTATACCCACCCTTTCCGACGATCCAATTGAGGCTTGTATCCCGGGGGTTCTCCAAAGCTGCTTTCGCCCCCGCGAAGCCATCGATCCACAGTAAATATTACTGGCCAATCAAAGGATGATCTGCGCAAGTCAAATATTTAAGAATTGGACTATACTGTTGTATCCATGTTCTATGGATGAATGTACCACTAGTTTCAGCTAATAAAGATCCTCTTGGATACATATTTATGTATGTCGATAGTACTTTCCCTTTTTAGGTGTTGACCCTTCAGGCAAGAACTTCCTTCTCATAGTCTTTTATACATTTTGCCGTTTCGCTCGAACTTTTCCCTTGCAACATTCCCCTACTCACCAATCTGCAATGTTCCACGCCTTCAACTATCATGAATTCCATCGACTCGCCACCGAGTATTGCTCTTTGTTTTGACCTGCGAGTTCATCGTCTCTATATTGAGTCGGTACTGAGTTGACCTTGACTCGCGTTTTCAGATCGTCATGCCGCCCTCTCGTTCCCCCAACAACTGTCAACCCATGCTCGTGCCCCTGGTCCGGAAGATTGCGTGGTGTACGTGCTGCCTTCGTGTCGCAAAGCGTGATTGGGAGTTACAAGTCTGTGGATTATGCGTCCCTCTCGAGGTTCGATGTATGTCCGACACCGCAGCATCGAAGAGTTGCTCCCACTGCGCACGCCAGAAGGTGTGCGATTAGGTAAGTGATTGTGGTATACTCGGGATACTCTCGGTGTCAAGTCGTTCTAACTGCTTGTACCTCCAGGTTTCAGTTGCTGTCGCTGTTATGTTAGGCTGCCGAGTTCTGGGCCAAGTCCGAGGGTGAATTGGGTGTACGCCTTGGCCAGGGAAATACTGAGGGTGAGCCTGTGACAATGGTATATATATATGATATACCAAATGGGAAGATTGACAACACTACTCCGAACTCTGTAGAGTTGTTGGGTTCAACATAACTCTTTAATGCCTTCTTTCCCTTTTCATAAGTTTTCCGCCATTCTGTGTCAGCTATTCCATAGAAGAATCTCTAGTTGATATGTCCCAAGACGTCAAAATATCTAAAAAGGCTAGAAGGACCTTAATTAACTATGTTGTATTAAAAAACCGTTAGGAATAGGAAAAGAGTAGATTGTATATAACTAAGGATGAATTTGCATGACTTTGTAGATCACAATGTGATGATCGCAAACTAGTCTCATCTGATAGTCAATGATTTTCTTCCATCGATTTGATTGAAATTCTCCGACACCATGCACGCAGCATTTTTTCCAAAACAGGGGTTTAGGGCATATGATTGAGATCACGTTCTACCTTCACATTGTTCGATTTCACGCGCAGATAAAGTCTTTGCAGGTATTATTGACTTGTGATCAGGGCAGTAGATTTTCAAATGTCCAAATAATCCAGAGATATCCCCGAACTCCCCGAAATTGGAATTTCTGGGGCTCCATCCAGGATTATGCCGGTACAAAAGTGGGCTGCAGAAGGTGATTGCAGATCATAGAAACAATAGGTCTGCCCCCACTTAGACTATTGCTCTCGTTCTTTGGATCTTAATGGGGAACATTTGACACTATTGATTTTACAGACAGCTAAGATAAAACGGCATTTAACCAAAGATCAACCAAATATAAACAGCAAGGGAGAGGGGAAAAAACAAAAACATATGTGAAATATCGTGTTGGTAGATATATTCAGCTATGGAGAACACTTCCTGCGTCATAACTGAGCCCGCCTGCGTTCTGTGTGAAATATCTAAGTGGATCTTTTGTCAGACTAGTGTGCTTTGCTTGCCTTAACAGTGCGTTCATGCCACTACGATGGAGTTAGCCTGGGTAATGGGGTTATGGGATTGATGATCTCAGTTCGACTTGACCATGTGTGTAGACCAATTGATCCCCGTGGGGCTCAAAACAAAAAACAATTATTCCCACGTTCTGGGGTTACGTACGGAGTAGTCCAGTGCTATTGCAAAACCTCGAGAGCTTCCTTCCTATTATGGATGTATAGGCCGTTCACGGGCGGTCAAAGAGCATGGAGCTACCATGGAACAAAGAACTGCACCAACGAATCAGAGAGCATTTTGTTGAAGACAAAGTTCATAGTGGGGATGTCTAATTTGTACCTAACACACATAGCCCTATAGTATATGTCTTTTTGTCTAGTTCTGCACGGAGTATAATAATAACATAGTATAATGTAAGATCAACAATCATCTCTCAAATTTCTACCAGACGAGAGCGAGTTTGAAGGCTGATGGGACGAAATGTTAATATCTCTTCAAAATTAAATAGTCTATTATTGACGCTCCGCAACTTGACCTCTAGCTCGGTGGCTGAATGGTGATCTTCAAGCTAAGTGGAGAGGATCTCGTGTCCTTAGCTTTCTCGTCTTTAGGTTGTATTATTTTCTTTGTGCGCAATAATAATAGTTCGGTCTCATTTCCCTCTTTCGTATATGTATTAAGAAGCGGGCCATTCCCTCACACCATGATCCCAGGAGACCTCGTTGCAAGCATCGACAAAGCGGCGTCCTAATCTACTATAAGTCAACAAAGGAACTTTGCGATCTCTCTTTCAGCGCATTGAATACCTTCCTGTTCACAATCAAAATCCGTGCACCAAATTGCCATTCATTCATTTATATACGCCTTTATGATACGATGACAACGCTATCAACATCCCGCGGCCACCAGGCCCTCGCCGTCAGCATTGTGTTTACAACTACGGCAACAATCATTACTGCCGTCCGTATATATACACGAGCATTTCTCGTAAAACAGATGGGAGCGGATGACTATGTTATTTTAGTCTCTCTGGCCTTTTCGTGGATTTTCTTCGGCCTCATGGTAGGCGAAGTCTACCACGGTATGGGCGAGCATTATACTGCTATCCCCGCCTCAATCTTCAAGGCTCAGATGATCGTATGTTCTATCTCAGCAGAAATATGCCTCTAATAAAGTGCAGTTCCATTGACATACTTATCTTATAGTATTTCTGGGCTTCAATTCCCATATACCAAACAAGCCTTATCAGCACAAAGATGTCAATCCTTCTCCAATACAAACGAGTCTTCTCAACGCCACGCATGCGCTTGGCATGCTGGCTCATGATCGGCATTCTAGCCGTCTACGGAACCTGGACTATCATCAGCGCCTGGGCTAACTGTGTTCCTCTCGCTAAGTTCTGGGATCCAACCGTCCCAGGCTTCTGTTTCGATAAGAAAGCCTTGTGGTTCTCGAACTCGGCTATCCACATTACAACCGATATTGCCATTCTCATATACCCAATGCCAGTACTGAAATCCCTGCACTTACCCAAGAGGCAAAAGTTCGCTCTCATGGCTGTTTTCGCCCTAGGCGGATTGTAAGTCCAGCTCCATATCACGGATAATCATCTACAATACTAACAACCACTCTCCCAGCGTCTTGATCACAAGTATACTCCGTCTCAGTTCTCTCCTTACTATCTCCAACTCAAATGACCCAACCTGTATGTACTAACAAATACCTACGAATCACCTCCACCTACCAACGAGCAGACCTAATAAACTACTCCAGACGACAACGTTGGCGCAGCAACCTGGTCCGCCGTCGAGTGCAACGTAGCAATTATCTGCGCCTGTCTCCCTGGCACACGCGCCTTCCTCTCCAAGCTCCTGCCGCATATTTTCTCCACCCGAAGCAACGGCTACCGCAGCAAGACGACACGGCCTTCGCGAATCAGCCGCGGTGCTCTCACAGGAGACGGAAATACGCAAGTCCTGGCCTCTGTCGTTGGTGGACGTGAACATAGCTCGGAATACGATCACGATCTGGAAGATCTGTCGCCGTCTGGCTCCTTTCATAGCTATGCAAAGGAGCCTGTGAAGGAATCCTTTGCGGGTATCAAGGTCACGACCAATGTTACCCAAGAAAGGACCTCGCATTCGAACATTGTTATTAATGATCATCTGGGCAGTACGAAAGAGTTGGTGACGAAGCATGGCTTTTGATCTATAATGATATGCGTTGGTATAACGGGTTCCTTCTTTATATACGTTTCTCAATTTCCTTTTTGTTTGGTGGTCTTCACTCTTGTCTTATATACCTATGGCTTTCATGTGGCGGTCTTTTGTTTATGTTTTGTGCGATGATATACCCAATTATAACAGGCTAGACTGTGTCTCTGGCACAACTATAACATTATTACTATCGAACACCGAAGGAGTTCCTATCTCGAATAACGATCTATCAGAGCTGGCTAGTGAGTGGTTCATCATAGCCCCAGATCAAAAATGGTCAAGCTAAATTCAAGTACATTAGAGCAAATTTGGAAATATGTCTCTTCTAAAAGACGTGACCGGACCTAGTACAACAATCATTTATTAAGCTAGGGTCATTTCTAACCCTAAGGCTACCTACACATTCTTCAAACACGAGCTCTAGGGTATTATGAATGCATTGTAAAGACAAGTGTACAAATGTCGAAACGAACAAAACGAGCTGATCATTCAGTATGCATGAGACCCGCCCATTGTACATTCAGAAGCCGCCCGTATTTCAGAGACTAAGGGCTCATGACAAGGAAGATGCAAAAAAGACATAATCGAAAAGAATTCTAGGCAAGGATCTCGAACCCGATGAACACCGGTATATGCAATGCGTAATATGCTATCATGCTTGCAAATACGGAGATGTCATCATGCAAATCTCAGAAACCGAAGATACTCGCAAATCCTGGACCTGTTGCAAAGAAAATATACTCTACTCCCAAACGTTGGAGAAGAGATCGTCAGATCCACCAAACCCACCAGACTTGTTATTCGTGTTTGTCGAGGTAGAGTTGGAGACCGGGGCAGCACTGGCCCAGCCGCCAAAGTCCTCGTCCGCTGCCACAGTGGGTGCGGGCTTGGAAGCAGCACTAGGCGCGCCCCAGCCGTGGCCCACGTCATTCGGGGTCAAGGTGTCAGGGACCTTCATCATGGATGCAGGCGAGGGTGCAGCAGGACCAGCCGATGGGGCAGGATCAGGGGTGCTCCATGCGTTCCCACCCCATGGATCGAGGCCTCCAGACATGATGTTGGCTACTGCTGCGTTCGTAGCGCTGGGGGCTGGCGCTTTGGGAGGAGCAGGAGGCTGCACCGGGGGAGAAGAAATATTAAACGCGGATTTCATTTCCTGCTGAGGAGAAGTTGCAGTAGATTTTGGGGGCGAAACCGTTGAGGCATATGCAGGAGGCGAAGAAAACCCGAACAGGTCATTCGATAGCGATGATGAGGGAGGGTTAGGCTTAGCAGTCGGGGAGGTAAATCCGCCGAATCCGAAATCTTGCCCATTAGAGGAGATGGAAGTTGTTCGGGACTGGGGCTTCGGGGCCGACAAGGTTGGGGAGGCTAGGCTATCAAAGAAGTCGCCGCCCGCAGAGCCCGAGGGCGATGTGACCTTAGGGGCAGCGGGGGTCGACTTGGCGCTACCGAAAGATGAAAGATTAGCGAATGCCGATGGCTTCTCGGCTGGTTTAGCGGCTGGAGGAGGAGAAGTAGTAGTCGGGAAGCTCAGTCCACTGAAGGCATCCGTCAGACCGCCCATGTGAGACGAAGCGGAGGGGGCGGGAGGCGAGGCCATGGCGCCGAATGAGTTGCCCCGCTGGTGCTGCACGGGTGGTGCCGGCTGCGGCTTGGAGTACAATGACAAGATCGACTGTTTGAGGTCTGGCCGTGACATTCCGGCTGGGGGTGCTGGTGTGGATGCTGTGCTAGCCGGGCGACTGCCGGTAGTAGGCTGGGTGCTACCGAAGAAGTCGAGGCCCAGCAATGAATCATTGGGCTTTTGAGTCTTGATTGGCGCGGACTGTGCTTGTCTGGGTGGCGCACGCGGAGTAGGGCCGGTTGTGCTAGGACGAGGTGGAGGAGATATATCGTCGCCGAACAAATCAATCGAGGCTTGTTGACGGTGTGCCGGGGGCTGGCTGGGAGCGGGGACTCGTTGCGAAGCAGAACGTTCGAGCTTTGCTTTCTCCTGTACAACCGCAAGAGGCTAGTAAGTCAGTGTTTGATGCTCACTGGCTGGTTTACCATGCAATCACTCACCACATCCTCATCACCGTCATCCAGTGTCGATGGGTCCGGCATTTCACCATCCATTACCCATCGCTTGCTCTCGTACTTCGTGCGGATGAAGTTCTCGATTTTTCTGTTCACACTGATTGTCAGAAACTACCACCACCGAACGACGGCGATTCGAATGCTTACGCATCGGAGGGAACGTGGCCGGGTGCCAGTTTCGCTTCCCAGTATCTGCATCCTGTTAGCCCATGCTCAACGTGGCCGGCTCAATTGAATGCGACGAACTTGTTGGCTCTTCCATTGCCCCATCTTACAACACTTTGAAGTTGTTCATCGGTCCATGCATCGAGATCCACGGACTTGACTCGGCTGATATGCGTGCCCATACCCCTATGGATGCCCGAGCACCGGATGCAGACAAAAACACCCAGATTCCATGAAGCCCATCGCGGATCTATTCAGAAGAAAATTCAGTATTTGAGCGCCAAGAAATAGCCTTGGAGATGAAGCCAGCGTGGGCGCAATTCAAAGAGGGGATCCGGGGACCACTCACGCTTGTTCCGTTTACAGTCGGCACATATCTTGTTGTGTTCGAGTTTCAGCAGAGCCTTAATAGTCTGCGAATTTTGGGCAGCTTGGCCCGGAGTAGGGCGTCGAGACATAATCGTAGCGAATCAAGAATTGATGGATGAAGGGAATAGGGAAACAATGAGAGCGACCTAATTATTCTTAGGTGGCGGTCGGCACAGTTGCGGCCTAAGGCTGTAGTTATCTATACGGATGGGGGAAAATGCCAGTCACGCAATTTGATGTAAAGTAATATGAGGTCACTAACTAATAACAGATCTTTGAAAAGATTCATTACTTTATTTATTTGCTTCATTTTTCACTGAATAATTTCTTTAAATTCAGGATTTACAAAATATGGTTGGTCCACTCAAACGACGCCTCTCTTCGTGTCATGCATGTCGGTCTTGCTGCATTAGTCCCCGCAAAACAAATGACGATTAAATGTCATAAAAAACTTTCAAGCTTTCGACTGAGGATTCTTAACAGCGCTAGTATCCTCTGTGAAACGCAGACTGACACTATTCACGCAGTGGCGTTCGTCCGTGGGAGTCGGATACCCCTCACCCTCGAATACATGACCGAGGTGACCCCCACAGTTGGTGCATACGATCTCTGTCCGCTTCCTGCCGAAGGAATTATCAACCTGTCTTGTCACAGCGCCAGGGACGGAATCGAAGTATGCTGGCCAGCCACAGCCAGATTTAAACTTCTGGTCGGCAGTGTAAAGCGGCGCATCGCAACCAGCGCAATTGTAGACGCCTTTCGATGGGTGGTGGGAATCGTATTCACCGGAACCAGGGGCTTCAGTACCCTTTTCACGAAGAATGCGGAATTGTTCTATTGCAATTCTTGTAAGCACAAACCAATCATATATCGCCTAGGCGTTGTGTACAAACCTGGGTTCAAAACAGCTCTCCACTGCTCTTCGCTTCTCTGGTCGGGGTGGGACATTGTATCGGTTGCTTTTTCGGGGTTGTTGTTGGAACTGAAAAAGGCACCAAAAAATGGAATGGTTGGTGCAGCTATAAGAGGCTTGGTGCTGCTTGTCTTCGAATGAGGAGGCTTGCGCGTCGAGGACAAGAATCGGGAGCTAAATCTCGGTCCAAGTCGGATGGGGATGACCTGGTGTCTAAGGGGTGAAATAAGATTGCGAGATATTTGGGATCGCATAGAGAAAATGATTTGATAGGGAACTGGGAAAAAATAAGGTCACAGTAACTGAGAGATGAGAGTGGGGTGAGGTTAATCCTATATCGGCACCATGAGCTCCCGTTTTACGTCATCATGCGGGGAGTCCTCCAGGGCTGAAGATCTCCACGGTCAAGTCGGGCACTCTTTAGGGCCTAGTCAGACACTCATCTATAAAGCACAAATATATTCATATATATTCTCTTCTATGCTCTACAGTGTTCCAAGAGAGGTTATTTGTATATTTTTTAAAAAATGTTTGATTACTCAAAACAGCCCCAGGTCCCACCTGGGAAACTCCAGCAGTGCAGGGGTATCTCAACAACAAAATCCGACATCTGAACAAGATTGAAGAAATAGAAAAACGGAAAAAGAAAAACAAGCCAAAGAAAAAGCTTAACGGCGGTTCACACCAGTCACCAACATGGAGCCTCGGTTGAGCTCCACCCGCCACCCCTCCTTCTGTAGCATTTTCCAAACCGCGGGTCCAATATGTGACTTACGGTCAAGAGAGTGATTACCAACACCGCACACAATGTTGAACCCGCCGTGGGAGCTCTGTCCCCCACCACGGACGTACTTCTGATCCCCCAGTCCGTCCCACCACGCCTGGACGCTCTCCCGTGCGATTCTGACCGCGTTGGCGACTGTCACGCCATGCAGATCCAAGTCAGAATGCGATGATTGGCGGGCCACCAACCGGTCAGAAGCTGTTGCCAAATGACGCATGGCAAGCTGGCGTTGTTCGTTTCCAACGTCCCGGTAATACGCAGAGGCGCCACCGTAGAGGGGGTTGGAGCGTGCGCGGCGGGCTGACTGGGATGCCTGAGCGAGGGCAGTTGAGCGGGCTGCGAAGTGAGAGTTGGCGGCGGCGGCGGCTTCGTTGAAATCCATGAAATCTGAGGCAGTTTCCGCTTGCTGAGCTGGAGCCAGATTCTCCTCTTCATCGTCGAGATTGACCGGGGCTGAAACAAAACTGATGATATTTGAGACAGAAGTGAGATCAGGCCGACGGGCTAAGGTATCAGCTAGTTCATCCGTGGCTGAGACCTCATTGTCTGTAATTCGAATCAAACCAATCAGAGTGGTAGGTTGGATGCTGGGGTACTTGTGACTGAGCTCCCCCGCTTGTGTAACGAGTACAGGATCATCCTCGATTTCATGTATGTCCTTAGGCCCATAGGCCTGCGCCAAGGCTCTGATCGTTGCACAGAGTGACATTGAGTTTTCATGATAAGTTGAGGCAATCTTCTCCTTCTGCAAAGCGCAGGCCCGCGAGGAAAGAAACTCGATGTCCTTCTTTCCTGCCTCCCATTTATTGGTAGAGGGAGTATTCATGGCCTGGGAGGCCAGCTCAGCTCGACGTTGCTTCTGCTGCTTTTTCTTCTTGCGGGATTTCTTGCCACCGGCGTTCTCGTCCTCCTGGGCCTGGAAGCCATCAATTGACTTGGGAATGGAGGATTGATTGTCCTTAGCAACCTCGTTTGGGGTTTCTTGAGGAGTTTCTCTAGCAAGTTGTGTCTCTTCAATGAAAGCAAGATTGAGCAAGACATCCATTGAGCGACTGAGGCTGTCATGGCAGTCTTCAAGGATGCGCTCAGCTTCCAGGCGAGTGATAGTCGGGAACATGCTAATCAAGTTTTGTGCCTTGTCAGCAGTGGTCATACCCAGGAAGGTGTATGCAAGCTTAGAGTCTTTGAGCCTTTGTGCATCAGGATTGGGATTATTGGAGTCTTCATCATCCTGTTCAACAGTGTCAAGTGATGGCCAGCTTGTAAAATCTGAGGGTACGTCGTCGCACGATTCGCCGATCAGAGAGCCTGAGGCCTCAGAATTTCGAAGATTAGTTGTGCCTGTGGGGTCAAATGGCAGGTTTTCTTGCTCAACAGCAGATGCGTTCAACACGTCCAGGGTTTCACGCAACTGTTCAACCTGACTGGGAATCGCTAGGTCAAAGTCTGATACGATCGCAACAAACAACGCGGGATCAATTGGCGGACAGTAGGTGCTTTGCAGCTCCTAAATAAAAGACGGATATTAGACCAGAGCCAGACAAGTAAGCGGTATAACAACAAGCTATTCACGCCTAAACTGTGTGTGGATAAGCGGGGCATGACGTACCTTGAAGAGCTCATCGTCACGGTTCCCCATGGCTGTGATCATAGATTTATTTGCAGTGAGATTGGAGGTATTTGTTTCATTCCCTGTGAGCGACTGTGAGGTTGGATAATTGTAAGTGACGTTAGTGGGAGTGATGAAGATGAAAAGTGGCTTTTTTTTTGCGATGATCTTGATAGCTCCCACGATAAGATAGAGATAGAGATCGATACGGGTAACAATGATGGGGCAACCAATCACCGAGCCAGAGGGCGTGTCACGTGCTATTATCACGTGGGTGGGGTATCCCAGCTAGGAAGTCGTACGCATAGCCATATCACGTGATTGGGATTAGTGTGGCTGAGCCTCAACACTAGGCCAATCGGATATTAGGATTCGAGTGGCCTTGCTTTTTCTATGACCTGACAAGAACGTACATGATTTTATGTTTCGCCCTGAGGTTTTATCTAACCTGCCCAAATTCACACTTACACCTATATCCATATATCTATCTCTCTACCGGCTTCTCGAGATATTTTGCTTAGTGGAGCCTGCTTGTTCGTACATCGGGGTCTGGTTCCGGGGTTCAGCCAATTTATGTACTTCGGTACGTCCACCCGACTTTCGAATTCCCACCAACACGAGTATATCTTGGTCAAAGATGCCTAGTATCTAGATTAATTCTTCAAAAAAATTCCTGTCTACCTCAAGCGTCAAGGTGCTCTTATAATGTTTTCATACCGCTGTCTTCGAACAAAGAGCATTGTGTTCTCAGCTGTTTCTCGGCCTTTGCAAAGTTTTTCGAGCACAAGCGCACAAAGAAAAGAATTTATTTGCATCCTTCCCGACAATCCAAATGTCCTGGCTATCAGAAAACAGGTTAAAGGGTGAGTGTATCATAGAATATCTAGATAGCTAGGTTGGACTGAGCACAACTAACATTGACCAGACTCCACTACGACGGAATCAAGCCATTGATAGCTGCCGGAAAGCTTGTTGATGGCGGTGCCATATTTGAAAAACACCCCGAGGAGTGCAAGGATGCCCTTTGTAAGGGTAGCATGGTCGTGTACTCGGCCAATGATGTTGAAGAAGTCCGCACCATCATCGAGAAAGACATTTATGCCACTAGTGGTGTGTGGGACTTGAGCAAAGTACAAATTTTCCCAGTGAGTAGAGCCTTTCATATCCATGAGTCAATGCTAATAAATGCAGTATGTCCCGGCCGTTCGAGAGCCACTTCCATAACGAATATAGATGCTCGAAATATGTATAAAAAGCACCAAATTTTATGATAAAACAAGTATAGTCAGGTTAGACCAAGTGAGAAAAGCCACTCTGATCTTATGGGAACTTCGATAATTGCCTGTAAATATGACATGCAGGATCTTCTCATTCGAGCAATATATGCAGTTTGCTTTTGCTTGCCTGCATCTCTCTCTCGCTTCTTGCCTTCCAGGCCTAACTCTTCCATTGGATATAGAGTTACATCCGCCACTTTGCAGTTAGATACTTTCAGTCTCTATTATTTACATGAGTCATTAGGATATCAATCCATGGATGCACAAATCCCTCTCAGCAAGCGAATTAGGGAACTTGTATATGTAATGGTCACCGATCAAGCTCTGGAGGTAACTTTCTAAGGTTATTCGGGCCGTAGCCGCAGGTGGGGCTATCCGTGCAACAACCCCTGCATAGCATAGGCCATCTCGCCGACGTTAACACCAAGTGGTGGCAGGAAATACTAAAGAACATCGGCACCGATAGAACAAATGAGGGTAAAGTGTTAGCACTTTTGGGTGCTACCATTACTGATATTTGAGGCAATATATATATCCTTGGACAGTGCGTCAAAACCACTGGATTAGTTCTGCAAGCAAGACGTCAATTTCACTGCTAGCCAACGCCCATAAGGCTCAACGCGTGGCTGAAGATTTTAACCGGGTCCCCTGCTACTCCATGTAAATTTGTCAATGCCGAGACTAAGGAGGATGTGATGCAGATTTTCTACAAGCTACTCGCGAACAAGCTGGCTCATGATTTCCTACATAATATTTTATCGCTATCAATATGCCATCCATTATGTGTACTCCGTTCATATTCGTGGTATTAGCTGACCGAGTTGGTCCCTAACCATGTACATAGCATTTAATAGTGGTGATGCTACTCGTTAGTCGATCCCTAGTTATATTAAAAACGGGTTCTATAAAAAATGGCCTAGGCTTTTCAATCTTAAATATAACGTTCCCAATATTGTGAGCCAAATGGATCTGATTATTGAAGACCTAAGTTCTCAAAGACAGTGGCTGTATACGATACTGATTATTCCCGTGAATATAAATCCAGATGTACATTTGATAGTACACCTAAGTATAGACTAAGGATATTGACAACAACATTTAAAGTTCAACAAGATGCGAAATTGACACAACACACCAACACGTCCGTGATTCATTCGTATGGAAATATTTAAGCGCGGAGAAAAAAATAATGAAATACAGACAATGTATAGCCTATGATCGTGGTGTAAACAAGGAGGGAAAGAAGAGAAAAAAGAAAACCCCAGACGCTATGCGAAGAGATAAATCAAGGCTTGTGCCCAAATACGACACTTAGCCCCGCCTTGTGCCGAATATACTGCACTATTCAGTGCCAGATGATCATGATACCCAGCCAAAAAAAAGAGACGCTGCAAATAAAGAGGAAGGAACCCCCTGCCAAAGCCGCATTTCACCTTCCGTGGTGCTAGATGCCAATGAGTGCGTAATAATACGAGTCCGCCATGAGAATTAGTACACGGGGAATTATGAAGAAACATTTGAAAGGATATGGGTAATGCATGAAAATGCGAGAACGCGGCTTGAGTGTGTACATTGATGTTCTAGGAACATCCTGAACCGACAAAAAGCATGGGTATTTCCGTGCGCTGCTAAAAACGAGGAAGCAGAAGTGTGGGAAGAGAAATAGAAAGTAAACGAGTGAGGACGCCAGCCCCAGATTCACCACATATCATCGTCATCGTCGTCATCGAGTTGGACGTCATCGCCAAAGGACGAGTGTCCGTACTGATGGTGGCCGGGGCCGTAAGCTTGGCCATTTTCATAGCCTTGCTTGTCGCTCCTCGAATGGCTACCGTAGCGATCATGCGGATCGTCATCATAGTCGTACATGGAAGAGTCGTCGTAGGCACTGTCTCCGTAGTGTTGTTGCTCCTGAGACTGTGTGGGACCGTTAGTAGTGTTGCTTTCCCCCTAGGAACGAGAGCCATCTTCGCTTACCTCTTGGTATCGCTGATATTGCAAGTACTCATCTGGCTGATCTCTTGATTTCGATGATCTCTGGGATGACCCAGATGAAGCAACCGGCAACTGCATCTGTTGTACCTTGGCGAGGTAGGAGTACATGAAGTTGCTTAGCAATACTTGAGAGTACAGAGCTCGCCGAGGATTCGCAAGCTTGATATGCGCCATCCGGTAAATGGCTCGCTCTTCCAAAATGGAGAAGCGAGTCCATGGATAATCGACGTCGGCGCGAAGTACCCGAGTTGGGGGATCGGGAGAGAGATTTCGTGCCGAATGTTTTCGGTGGTGGCCTTCGTTACTGTGCTTCTTTCGTCCACCGCCAAAAATCGAAGAGAAAATGCCATCCTTTTCTTTCTTTGAGTCTCCCGATGCCCTCCTCACGCCGTCTTTGCGCCGTTCCTCCTCAAGCTTCGGATCAAGGCGGTCCAAAACAAGACTTTCGCGTCCCCGCGGAGTGCTCTCGATAGATGATTGTAAAACGTCTAGACGTGTGTTGTCATGCGTTTTGTCGACAACCTTTGTTTTGGTCTTTTTCGAGTCGTTATCCTTCTCCTTCTTCTTATCTTTTTCTTCGCTGCCCAGCAACCAATGCCAACTAGACTTGCGGCTACCATCAGAGTCCTTCTTGTCTTTTGATTTCTTGCTCTCGGATTTCCGTTCTTCAGGTTTGCGTTCTTCTGAGATGGTAGGGATGAATGAAAGACTGTCGGTGCGGGTGCTGTTGCCAGGTACCATCTGAGGGTTATTGGCAAAGTCATTGAGTGAAGATGCAGGTTCATGAGGGGGTAGGCGAGGATTCTTGGGACGTTTTGGTGTCGGCTCATGCGAAGGCGTCGGTTTCGACGAAGGTGTAGATGCCGTGGCACGATCCGACGACCGTCTGCCTTGTGAAGGTGGGCTCGGTATACGGGTGGAGTCAGTAGCGGGGGGTGGTGTTTCAACTATTTCAGGGATTTTCTGGTCGCCTGGGGCCACGTTCAAGGTAGATCGACCATTCGAACTAATCCGAGAATGCCATTTGCGTGAATTGGCCGTATCTCCCGAATCAGATCGATCCAGAGTAGCATCCGATTGCCCACCGGAAGTGGGCGAGCCTTCCTGCTCCGCCTCAGGCTGATCGACAATTGAATCGAAAGTCGAACTCACGGGTGAACTTGGGGCATAAGCTGATCCATGCGATGAGGTAGATGGGGCTCGAGCAGCTCGCGTCGTTTTAGAAGTAGGATCTTGAGGTGGCAGAACAACCGGAGGGCCTGTATCACTCCCTGCAGATTCAGATGCCCCCCGCCCAACTCGTTTAGAGTAGGGCAACTTTTCGCCCTTTTTCAAACTGCCTGCTTTCTTATATTGTGTCCGAGTTGACCGGCGTAGGCTGTTTCCCGGTGGTGCTGGTGGCAGGATCGGCAAGTCTTCATTTCCTGAGATACCAATATTCTGGATGCCGCGCAAGAGTGATTCTTTGTCCATCGGTTTCGAATCATCCACCAAGCTTTCCAACTGTTGCAGGTTGGGACTCAGCATTCCACCTCTCCTATTTGATTCAGAGCGTTTACGTTCCAACCGATCCGCGCCATCTGTATAACCCGACGAATTGTCGATTTGTCTCGATAACATAGAGCGTTTGCGATTAAGACCACCTCCCGACCCTTGGCGTTCGGAACCTAAAGTCGAATACTCGGCGGATCTGCGCTTGATATGGTCGGCTTTGCTGTCCAGAAACGACTTAAATTCTTTCGGAGCCAATTCGGGGTGCAGCCGCGCAGGAACCCAGAACAATCGGGAGGCGTCATCTTCGTCAGCCGATGGGGAGGGAGGTGAGGCGAAACCTGGGAGGTCAGGGTCACCGGCGGCGGCCACATCCATCGACATGCGCCGAATTGCGGCAAGGTTGTTCAGTTCCTGGGCGACGGCTGCAGGGTTCGATTCATAGTCGATATCGTTGAGAGGAAAAGAGGACGTTGCGGTGTCCGAGGGCTGACGAGTACCATCGGAGTTCCCGGGATCACTTTCCCGGTCAAAAGACCGGCTTCCAGTAAGTGGCGGCCGTTGGTTTCCATTGGTGTGTATCGTTTGCCTATCTGGCGAGGATTGATGCAGTGGCGAGGACGGAGAAAGAGAGGACTCGGATCCTGCGGCGGCACGCGGGATGGTTGTTATTGACTCGCCGAGGGGGGTCATTATATAACTCAGGCGCCTCGGATCATTACGATCATAGTCATCGTCGTACATGTGCCCGATGGCTTCCGTCACATGGTGGCTTGGATCGCTGATCGATAAATGGACGGCGTGACCTCTCCGCGTCGCATGCCCGCCAGCCTCGTGGGCACTTGTGGAAGCCTGAAATGGAACAAAATCTCATTAGAATCAAGCGCTGGTTTCGAGTCGAGGTCCTGTTCGAGGTCCTATTCTCAGGGTCCATGGGAAGGGGGTCCAATTCCACAATAATGTGGTTGTGCCTGAGGGGTTCGAGGTTGAGGGAGGGGAGGGGGTGTTCGACAAAAAGTCACGCCCACCCGAGGAACACCGGGAAAGCGACGCACCTGCATGGGAAGCCAGTTGTACAGGAACCCAAAGACGTCAAAGACGGGGCCCGAAGGGCGAAAGCTTAAGAGGAGGGGGCAGTGTCAACCACGTTGGATAGCAAGGAGGAACGGGTCATCGAAGCGGGGAAAGAGGAATGGAGACAAAGAACCGCAGCGTAGGGACTAGACATTCGGATACCGAGTCCGAATGAGCGTTCATAGGTCGATAAGTTTGGAAGAAGAAAGGAAGAGAAGAATGGAGGATGGGGGAGTTCGGCGGGCGGAGAGCAGATGGGAGAGTGTGTACATACTCTCCGCAGCACCTGACATCTTAAACTCTTCTAAATGCCAAGTTTATTATATTAAGACTTTCTGTCTGGATTGTATTTTATTTTTCTTCTTGAATTCAGCTAGTTTAGCTAATTTAGGCCTCTAAGGTCTTTTAGGTCTTATTTCATTGAGGAACTTGTTTGGGGCTCCACTTAAACGGGGAGAGATACTCCATAGACGATCGGTTGATCTACACCGAACATGTTCTATTGGTTTCTTCCTTTGCTCCCTCTACTTTGATTCAGAGTGATACATTATTTTGGTTCGGATTCTAACATCGGACTCTAGAGAATTAAGTACTACCTATCTTTCAGCGCTGACTTGCAATATATTTCTTCCATCCGTGACACCGCATCCATGTACATCAAGGGCTGAAAAGATCGCCTCCCTCGTACTCATTACATCCATCTTTGATGTTAAAAGGTCTGGGTTAACATGGCAAAGATTGTAAGTACGCAAGGAGTCCAAATTTGGCATTGTAAATCCACTTGGCATCATTTTGTCCATAATATCCCCATATATATGAACTAGTAGATAGGTCAGACCTGAGATTCCCATATAATGTTGTATGACTTTATTCAAACTTCCCCGCGGACCGAAGACAATAGCTGGATATGCCAAGCAAGTGTTCACACGGGTCATCAATGATACGATAAGGCCCAGGCCAGAATGCAAACGATTTCAAGTCAAGACCTGAGTGTACGGGATTATTGTATTGGAACCATCCATGAATGTTGTCGGACGCATATCAGCTTAGGCCCCCAAAATGGAGCCGAGAGGTATATTTAACCGAAGAGACCAAAAAAAAAACCTATTGAGGCATAGATGAAACAAACTCTGGAGAAGCCATAGAGGAAATCAAAATCAGATGAGATATGAAAAGATACAAGATGACGGTATCCCCAAGCTTCCCCAAACGAGGCAAAAAAAGAACGAGAAACTCCACGCTGAAGAATGTAGATGACACCAACAACTTTAACGGAAATAAACGAAAGAATGGAAATGAAAAGAATTTGACGATTCCGTGTACGCCAGGATATATGGAGGGCAAAAGTTGGGGGAATGTATGTTCATCAAGACCTAGAGAAATGTGCATCAAGGATTCGTCACAGCGTGTGATACATGGACCAGTATTGGATGCGCACAAGCTTAAGAGGCTTCAACATAGTTGCTGCAAATGAATTAGCTGTCAATTCTAGAAAGTGGAAGGAACAAGTTCTTACCTGGGGAAGATGCCCACGCGATCACCAATGCGACCAGTCCACCAGTCTTCCGCCTTCTCCGTCCGCTTAATAATGGTAATAATTTCACCCTTCTTGAATCCAAGGTCACCCTCTTGATCCGCATCAAATGTGAAAAGGGCAACAGCTTGGTCTGATCGCAATTGGGCTGCACCAGTCTTCTGTTGGAAGACCGGCTTAGGGGCAGTTGGACGTGTAGGTCTACGATCCGAGTAGACATATTCCTCCTCGAATGGCACAGTGTTGCTCCGGTTGCGCCCATAGCTATCAAATGAATCTCCGGCAGGTGACCGGGTTGTCGCGGAACGACCAAGACCCGAGGCCGGCCGATCATAAACATCATCAGCCCAGGTGTTCGCACGGCGCGGCTTATCGCGATACTCGTAGTCATTTTCAGTGTTAGATCGACCACGTTGAACACCTTGACCGTAGGCATCGCCCTTACGTCCCTCCCAGACCACGTCGTCATGGCTGTCGTCATAGACAGGGATGTCATTGTACATGGAGTCACCATAGGCCCGCCCACTTCCTTGGAATGCACGGGAGCTGAGCACGCGCATTAGAGCATCGGCGGCCGGTGGGGGACGAATGCTGCCGCCGAGAAGTTGGTTCGCGGAGACACGACTGCGGTACAATTTTTCATTCGCATCCCTGCGTTCCACGAGCATACTGCCTTCTAGACTGACACCGGCGAACAGACCCTTGGTTTTTGAGTAGGAGAAGACGGCCGCAACGCCCTTCGTACTGGCTGCGCCGGCCGCCTCGGCATTTCGTCCAATCGGTCCAGCAGCAAGAGATACATTACCGCCCAGTGTCAGTGTTCCCTGCTGGGAGAATGTGCGAACAGCAGCGGCATCATTGAGAATGAAAACAAAGTCAGTCAACTCAAACCCGATCTGTCCTCCAATTCCGGCACCGGCAGTCGCAATAGCTGATGGAGCCGACCAGGACCCATCGTTAAGACGAGCGACAACGATACCAGAGCCAAATCGTCCTGAGCCCAGGAAACCGGCCTTTAGAACCGTGAGGACCGCGAGACCCTAAGGAAAAAGGCCTGTTAGCTAATGATGGTCCCAACTGAGGCATAATGAGTGTCTTACCTTTGCATTGGCCAAAACCTCTGGGGGGATGACCTTGTCAGGACCGAATGATTGCCTAGGATCAACGAATGATGTCAAGATTTTTGCAGCCTTCTTGCACTCGCCTGTTATGAGAGAATCCACTGTCAGCCGGATATTCCGCATGCGACTGCGGGGAAGCGGGCTTCGGAGTGTTGAAACTTACTAGCCATAGACGAGGGCAACGGATTGTTTATCCCGAGAGGCATCTTGGCTGGTGAATATCAGGGTAGAACGAAGGAAAACTCGACTAGGGGAGGGAGAAAAGGAAATCAGCTGTTGATGCCCAGGTGTCTGGAGGGTACGGTTAGTCAGTGCGATGTGGGCCCTGTCCAGGTGATGACGGCTAATACGGGACGCCGGTTCGTGGGAGGCTCAAGACGTACCTCGGAAGACTCTAGTGGGCTAGACTGCAATACTAAGTAATGTCAGAGAATTTCAAGAAAGTAACCAGATAACTTCAATTACAGATACAACACCCTCACTAGTGGATAGCTCTTGATATCCTACGTATTTGGGCAATTGTGGTATCTCTTGTTAGTGTTTAAAAAGTGGCCGAGCGAAACGAGCGTTGCTTGGCAAATTGGGACATCTGGAGAATATTCACAATTTACATATTTAAAAAAGGAGCACAAAGAGATTGCAACCAAAGCAACAGTCTCCCGATGTGTAGAGAAATTGAAAAGCATTGCATATATACACAGAGTGTACAACATACTTAACTGTTTTCCACGTGCAGATGCGCTAGGCGCCAAGGCCTTTATCGTATCGCGATTGTCTCATCCGGAATCAACCTTGGAACTTATCCACCTACCTCCATACAGTGCCAGGCTATGGTTGAATTATGATCAATAAGTGACTCACTGGACGCGAAAAATGGCATCAGGTATGTTGGGGATCACAATCCCCGAAACACTGCTGACAGGCCATTTGTCCAGTTCGCATTTGCGTCTGCGGTGACGAGGGCACTGGCAAGTCCAGTCTCATCACCTCCCTTGTCAAAGGCGTATTTGTTACGAACAAAATTCAACCAGTTCTCCCCCAAATCACCATCCCTCCCACCCTCGGGACCCCCGAAAATGTTACCACCACGACCGTCGTCGACACCTCAGCCCTTCCCCAGGAACGGAACAATCTCGCGCGAGAGATACGGAAATGTAATGTGATTCTCCTCGTGTATTCTGACCACTACAGCTATGAACGGGTGGCTCTGTTCTGGCTACCATACTTCCGCTCGTTGGGTGTCAATGTCCCGGTAGTTCTGTGTGCCAACAAGTCCGATCTGGCGACTGGTCATAGTGAGACCCGAGTGGTTGAGGAGGAGATGCTTCCCCTGATGGCAGAGTTCAAAGAGATTGACTCTTGCATACGCACGAGTGCTCGGGAGCATCGCAATGTCAACGAGGCCTTCTTCGTTTGCCAAAAAGCTGTCACTCACCCGATCGCACCGCTGTTCGATTCCAAGGAAGCGGCTTTGAAGCCTGCTGCGGTAGCAGCCTTACAAAGGATATTCTATCTCTGTGATAAAGATCGCGATGGATATCTATCAGATAAGGAGCTCAAGGATTTCCAACTCCGGTGCTTTTCCAAACCATTGAATGAAGCGGATCTTAATCACATCAAGGAAACCATTCAAAAAGCTTGTCCGGATTCGGTTACGGAATCAGGCATTGATTGCCAAGGGTTTATTCATCTGAATAAATTGTACTCAGAGAAAGGGCGACATGAAACAGTCTGGATCATCTTGCGAGCGTTCCAGTACACGGATAATCTCTCCCTGCAGGAGAAATTCTTACACCCGAAGTTCGAAGTGCCGCCGTTCGCCTCTGCCGAACTCTCACCTGAAGGTTACCGATTCTTTGTGAACCTCTTTCTTCTATCCGACAAGGATAATGACGGGGGCTTGAACGAGGCTGAACTTGCATCCTTGTTTGCTCCCACCCCGGGGTTGCCTGCATCATGGGCCGACGGTTCGTTCCCATCCTCCACAGTCCGTAATGAGGCAGGACATGTAACACTGCAAGGCTGGCTTGCTCAGTGGAGCATGACCACCTTCCTGTCTCCGAAAACTACCCTCGAATACTTGGCATATTTGGGCTTCGAGCCCTCCGACCAAGGCGATCAATCCATCACTGCGGCGTTGAAAGTCACACGGCCACGCAAAAGACGCCGCCGCCCGGGCCGCGTGGGACGCAATGTTGTCCAATGCCATGTTCTGGGAGCTCCTGGATCCGGAAAATCGGCCCTGCTCGACGCACTTCTTTCCCGCGGATTCAGCACGACCTACCATCCAACCATCCAACCACGTACTGCAGTGAACACAGTAGAGCTTCCGGGCGGAAAACAGTGCTACCTTATTCTGGATGAACTAGGTGAGCTGGAGCCCGCTTTGCTGGAGAACCAGTCCAAATTGTTGGATCAGTGCGACGTAATTGCGTACACGTATGATTCCTCGGATCCGGACTCATTTGCCTACATTCCTGCATTGTTGGCCAAATATCCTCATCTGGAGGAGCTCCCAAGTGTATTCGTTGCCCTTAAGGCCGACCTGGATCGGACGACCCAGCGAGCCGAGCACCAACCTCATGAATACACAGCTATGCTTAACATGCCTAGCCCACCACTCCATGTCAGTGTTACGTGGAATTCTATCCAGGAGGTGTTTGTCCATATTGCCGAGGCTGCCATGGAGCCCAGCACTGCTTTCCCGCGTAGTGAAGAGGATGTGGAGGGCAAATGGATGTCGTGGGGAATTGCACTCGGGGCAGTTGTTTGTGCGGGCGCCGCCGCAGTGATGATTTGGCGACGAGTTGGCAGCGGCAATTAGGATGTCGTTCGTGTTCTATACCATACCCCATACTTTAATATACAAATTAAATGTAAAATGATCTGAATATCTCAATCATAATATTTAGTTAGGCACATTGGATTGGCCGGCTCAGTCGGATTTAAGCCGGTCCCGCCAGGCACGTTTCTTCTCCGCTCGAACGTTACCCCGGACATCATTCCCTTGCTGATCCTCCCCTCTCTGCGCCTCGACTTGTATCTTTGAACCCCAACCCCCCGAACCTCGAATCATATATCATTACACGCATCTTATCAAGTGCATATACACACTAGTGGTCGCCTGTTTACCAGTTTATCGCACATCTTGACTCGCTGTCGCCCCTTGCAGCCATATTTGCAACCTGTCCATCGCACATTCACCAACATATAAGAGCTTGCAGATATCGATATATATAACCTGAAACAGCAAAGGTTGAGTAAAGTGCATCGCAGACTCAAAGTTTGCGCAATTGCCTTATCAGTTCCAAGGTTGAGCTGTTGGTCACACCAGATCCCAGAGTCCAGAAGCCTGTACGAGTGACGTCTAGTCATGTTGTAAGGAACCCTCTTACTTTCCCATTCGTTCCCCCTTCAATCTTCAAGCCGAGGCTTCTGCTTTATTTTCAATATTACCAACGTAATTTGAGAGGCATAGCTGTTAGGTACCAGCTATCACACTTCACTTGCTGACAACAGCAGCGTCCTTCCCCCTCCCCCTCCGCGCTATACCATCCCTGTCGCATATGCGGCGGGGGCGGCAAATGGTATGGCGGTCCCTGTTGTAGAAACGAACAATACGATTACCCACCCGGAGCTTGGGCGTTCATTGCAAGTTGGCGAGGGTATGTGTGCTCAGCGGTCGCTGATGTCCTCTATATATCCTAGATCTTTCAGAATCTGAGAAATAGCTTACATATTATATTGCGATAGGAACGTACATCCTCCAAGATGATCTGCTCCTCGCTACGCCGCCTCCCCACCCATCTGAAGCTCCTATCATCAACCCGAACCCTCTTGCGACGCTGCCCACACCTCCTACATGTGGCGTAAAGCTCACTCTTGTCACTCTCGACCCGCGAAAGAAGCCTCCGACTTTCTTGAAATCAGCTGTTACAGCTCCCCAATTTGGAGATGGAAACATTGCGCTTGCGGCGCCACCGGTGGCAGCGAAGGACATAGGGAAGCGAAGAAAGCCCAAGAACAATATCATCAAGAGCAGTTCTTCCTTCGTTTCGCGAGTCATCACCCACGAGACATCTGTGAAGCGATTGGGCGATCGTGACCCGAACGGCATTTTTGCGTTTGCGAATATCAATCGCGCATTCCAATGGCTCGACCTCGGCTCGCCTACGAAAGAGGAGCATCTTACCAAAGTTCTATTTACTAAGGCGCATATGCTCTGCCACGATGTCAACGAACTTACCAAGACATCGTCACATTTGGACATCGTGATGGGATCTTCTGCGGGCGACATTATTTGGTATGAGCCTATGTCGCAGAAATACGCTCGGATCAACAAAAATGGTGTCATCAACAACTCTCCTGTCACCCATATCAAATGGCTTCCTGGGTCCGAAAACCTGTTCCTAGCGTCCCACGCCAACGGTGTGCTGGTCGTGTACGACAAGGAGAAGGAGGATGCTCTTTTTGCCCCCGAGGTGAACGGCCCCGAACACGAGGTCGGACGGCTACCATTAGATATCCTTAAGTCTGTGAACTCCAAAAACCAGAAGACCAATCCGGTCTCATTTTGGAAAATGGCAAACCAGAAAATCTCGAGTTTCTCCTTTTCGCCGGATCAAAGGCATCTAGCCGTGGTTCTCGAAGATGGGTCGCTGCGACTCATGGATTACTTGAAAGAGGAGTATGTCTACCCTATGTCAACAGAACTAAACAATTTCCAACTAACGCCTTCTAGGGTATTGGACATATTCCGCAGCTACTATGGGGGCCTGATCTGTGTCTGCTGGTCGCCCGATGGCAAATATATCGTAACCGGAGGCCAAGATGATTTATTGACCATTTGGTCTTTCCCCGAGCGCAAGGTTGTCGCCAGGTGCCAAGGACACAACTCCTGGGTTTCGTGCGTAGCATTTGACCCATGGCGTTGTGACCAGAAGACATACCGCTTCGGCAGCGTCGGCGACGACTGCCGTCTCCTCTTGTGGGATTTCAGTGTTGGAATGCTCCATCGGCCTCGAGCACACCAAGCCTCAACTCGAAGCCGATCCAGCCTCGTACTGTCAAACTCACAAATTACCAACCGCCACCGTGCCGACAGCGGCGACAACCGTGTGCGCTCGGACTCTAATCAAACAGACACGTTAAGCGGGGATATCGATCAGACGCCGAGCCACCCCGTGGAACCCCGGTCTCGAACGGCTCTTTTGCCCCCGATCATGGTAAGCATTGATTGACGCGCAAATTTTGCTAGCTCCAAAAGAGACTAACTGAACCATAGTCCAAAGTCGTCGGCGAAGATCCTACCTGCTGGCTTGGCTTCCAGAGAGATTGCATTATGACTTCCTCTCTTGAAGGTGTGTATAATAAGATTGTTCGGGGTCAAATGATGCTAACATTCTGACATAGGCCATATCCGCACTTGGGATCGACCCAGCGACAGCGTCGTCAGGTCGTGATGCTGCATTGCGGTTTGTTGTCCGCTTTTTCGGTACAGGATGACTCGAAAATCCGTCCTGTATGTACCATGTAATCGATCTCGATTCAACAATCTTGGTAACCCTGGAGGTTACCAATAGGGGGGGGTTCAGTCTTTTAGCGTCGCTTTTCTTTTCCCAATACTTATGATATCTTTACACGTTTATATTACCTTTGCCAATCTATACATATTTATTACGCGCCGAAGGATTTTCTATCTGTGAAGCTATTAGGCTGACTTGGTAGAAACCTCAACAACACGCCTAATTGAAAAAGACTGCGAGGTTTTTAGCTTTCCCTACTGATGAAGTGAGCTTCGAACCTATCTCTTCCCTTGCTTGGCAGCAGAATTTGATGAAACAATATAATAGCTAATCCTAAGATGTGATTTATAGTATAGTACCAAAATTATAAAACAGGCATAGCATTATCGCATTTCTCATTAATGTAAGGGTCATATCATAGGTCCATAGACCAAATCATCAACATCAACATCATCAAGCAAAATAAATCATCACTAGTAAAATAAACCCACTTCAATAATCCCTTCAGTAAATAGTAGACTTTGTCCAAAAGAACTACCACAGATAACCGAACTATCTCCAACTCATATATTTAAGTTCCCGGATGTCCAGCTGGCCAGTTGCCTAGAGCCGGAGAACGAATAACTGAACTCAAGATTTAAAGGACCAGAGCGAACAGACCCAAAATCAGACTGCCAGCGGGGGGCAACAGGACGGCAGCAGCGTTCGTGGTAGTTGCCGACTCGGTAGCAGTCGAGGTTGTGGTCGAAGAAGTACGGCGAGTGGTGGTCGACGTAGTGGTCGAGTGGGTTGCGGTGGACATGCTAGTCGAGATCGAGGTCGAGGTCGAGGTGACGGTTGAGCTCCTCACTATGGATATAGTCAGTCACTTGTTCTTCAATGTAGTGGGTGAAAAGCAAAATGCTGTCTCGGAAGCCACGCTTTCCGCCTTTACTAACCAGGGGTAGTGGAAATGTGGGTAGAATGGGGTGTGGTAGAGGAAGTAGTGCTGGATGAGAAAGTCGAAATGGAATGTGTGGATGAAGTAGGTGAGTGAGAAGACGAGGTAATGGAAGCAGAAGTGGTCGGGGTGGCAGAGCTGGATGTAATGAAAGAAGAAGTTGAAGGAGTAGACGTAGAAGAGATCGAGGAAGAAGTTGCAAGTGCAGATGTGGAAGAGACTGAGGAAGAAGTGATAGTGGTAAGCGTCAAGGTAGAAGTCAAGATCTTAGAGGATGTAGTACTGATGGAAACAGGAAATGCTGAAGGGGGAGAAGATAAAATGGAATAGGTAGACGCACTTGCAGAAGAGCTGGTTATAAGAGAAGATGCTGTACGGGTAGAGAAAGAAGATGAAGCAGTAAGATAAGAGGACAAGGTAGGGGTAGACGCACTGGTGGAGGAGTGAGCAGTCGAAGACAGGTAAGAGGAAGCAGTCGAGGAAGCAGCCGAGGAAGTAAGATCACTGGTCGACGCGGTGGAAGACATCAAGGACGAGGCAGACGAAGTTTCAAGCGCAGTACTGGTTTCCTTACCAGAGCTACTAGCAATTGCACCAGGTTCGGTGACTCGGAATTGCTGAGACTGAGCCAGAATGCCACTTTCCGGGGAGATGAAGTTGATCTGATATCCCTTCCTATATTGATTATCAGGTCAGTAGCTCAAAGACAAGGTAATCAAATTGCACTTACCCATCATCTGTATCTGTGAATGTCTTTGCTTTGACAGTATAGGAGCCTTTGGAAGAGTCTATATCTTCTGCCACAACCGTTGTTGTCGGAGGATAGACATTCTGATTGACCAGTTCGATGTTAAAGGTATCCGGGTCCGTTCTATTGATATTGCAATTTTGGTTAGCATATTGTGAGTTTTCGTGTTGAAAAACCAACAGCTTACGCGACAACCTGCCACTTGATAGTAAGGGGCATATCAGGGTCAATCTTTTCACCAATTCGTGGCGAGGTGACAAGGAGACCTGATTGAACGGTTAGATATATTTGTATTCTCCCGGGACAAATGGTCATACCTGCAGCTGTTGAAGCTAGAGCCACCAACGAGATAATATCAACCCGCATGTTGATGGGTTTCAGTAATAACTGATATCAAGCGAAGTAATTTGGGGAAATATTTGTCAATCTTGGAAGGTCGGGCCACAATATACTATTCGCTAGCTTGGAGGAAATCAAAGTCAGGGGAGATATACGACGGGGACACGATACTTTATAGTCCCTATAATAGTCACAGCAGACTGAATCTCTCACAGGGTCTTATCAAATTTCAATTTCCATCTTTATTTCTGGGCTGATTTGCCGTGGTGCCTTGATCCATCACGCCTCGTGCTCCCAGGTATGTGTTGGAGTACAAAATAGTTAGATGAGGACCACATCCTTTAATCCCCGTGATGTGAATTTACTACTGTGTTGCAGTCAAAGAGATCCAGAAAAAAGACTGTTGCTCCTGTAGCTTGCAACTTCATTTTCAGCCCAGATGGTAATTTTTCCTTGGCTCAATCCATGATGCACGACGTCTCTGGTTTTGACTGGCCGCGCGTCATAGCTCCTCTCCGTATTGCAATGGAAAGATTCTATAATGAATTGCCTGTTCATATACTCAGCGTAATCATAGTGATTGGCTAGGGCACGGGACCCCTACCACTGCGGCCCGTTTAGATTCAATGGCGATTGTCAGGGATTCATGAGATAGCTAGCTTTTTTGAAGCGTCTTAATTACTGATAATTCATTGAGTGATCCTGTTGCCATAAGAAGACCCTGAGGCTTAAATGTCAAATATCTCATAAAAATTAAGCTTATATGGAACTATATATCTAGAGAATTCCTGACCTCGGGACCCATATTGAACACTTATTCAAACACAGTACTTTCTGAAAGTTGACTGCAATTGCACTCGACAATCTACGCAATGTGAGACAATGACTCCGAAAGGTCTAAGCACACCGGAAGTATTGGGTTCTTGGTATTCTTCGTCGATATGCACGCAAGTCGCACAAAGCCAAGGGAATAGGTGTTTCACATTTTCAACCAGCCCCCGGTCCACGCACAAAAATGACATGGAGATGGTAAAAGAATAACTCAGTTTTTTACATTTACTAGTTCAAACACAATCTTACATTCTGAGAGGCTCTGAGATTTCAAAAGGGTTGCCTATGAGGCGGCATTGGAGTACATAAGGAGTTGTACGAAGCATGAACACAGGTCGGAATAGGACTTATTGGACAACTCTTAGGAGATATTAAAATAGTCCAAATGGTATCTAGGTTACTTGTCGGGAGAAATCCTTGTCTTGACTGTCGCAATAAAAGGTCCCCGTTCGGTCTTGAGTGTGTGTGTTTGTGCTCTCCGACACTTCCATCACTGTTAGTCCAAGTCACTAGTCGTCGTCAGCATTCAACCAAGCTTCAAACATGACGTGGAATGTGAAGGAAATCTAAAAGAAGATTGAGGGTAGACATGGTAGTTTATTCGCCTCACGAATAGACTGTGAATCTTCCGGATTTCTATTCTGTGTAGTGACTAGATACGGAAATACGCCGGCATACAATAAATATGAAGAAATAATTTCAATCATTGTATTGATCACCTGTCACTTTCAAGTAACACACATAAATCCATCTTTTAGATGTTCAACCAATAGCGGAGAGCTGTCATGCGCGGTAAATGCACCTTGCATTTTCACTTCAACCTTGAGGTCACCTTAACGCTCAAGCACGCTGCGACCACCATCAACAGTGATCCGATTCCGCACTCGAATGTGGGCGTAGGCTGTTCCGAGCTGAATGACACCAGACAGAGTAGGCTCCTCTTCAGAGTCTGAGTCCGACTCGGTTGTCGTAGCCTGAGCGATGTCCACAGAGGGCGATCCATCTGGAGTATCTGGCAGATTGGAAGATGCAGCACTTGAAGACTCCTCACTCTCCTGGTCGCTGTCCTTTGCGATGTCCAAAAGTGCCGTTGGACAAAATACCAGAGCCTCCCCAGTCGGCAAGCGAACGATCTTCTGAAAGATCGTCGACGAGGCCGTGGTCTTTGAACCAGTGCCCTCAATCCCAGCCCCCGCAATGTGTGACTTGATCACTTTGAACCAAGCCGGAGATGAGAATCGATGGATAATTGTGACGTTGCAAAGCTCAAGCAATGCAGGTGCAAGGGTTGGTTCCTGTGTGGCTATCATCACTCGCGCGGCTAGATGACGCTGCTGGCGGACGACAGAGAGCAGCGTTTCAGTCAGATCGGCAGCTTCGGGCGAGGTTGAATTCATAAACTAAAATGAAATGGAGTGTCAGTATAGAAGAACAGGGACGACCCAAGAAGTCGGATAAAGTCCACGAACCTTGTGCGCCTCATCAAGGGCAATGATGCGGCCCGCATCATGGCGGTTCTTCAAAAACAAAGAAACAGAGATGTTAAACAGTGCGCATGCATCTTCTTGGCCAACGAACGGGCAGCTCAAATCGATTATTGTCAAAGTCCCCGGGGGAAACTTCCAGACATCATCAATATTATGTTTCTTTGACTTATCCGCACTTGCACCAGGCACAGATCCAGGTTCGAAAAACGATTCAAGCACTGCCAAGCGCATATTCAGTGGCATTAGCTGACCTTTCAAGAAGGTTTCACGCTGCAGAAGAAGTTTGAACGAGATGTAGTTGAAACCGGAATCTCCCTGGTTGGCAATTGCCATATCTCGAAGAATCTTCATAACGACCTATGTAAGTAGAGCATTAGTACGCTATCAGCATGAATGACAGGTGTGATGACCTACCTCGATATAAAGAGGCTGCTCAGTTTTGTTGTTGATACCCATCAGGGTCTTCATCATACCAATGTTGAGATCCCTCTGGGGCAGATACAGTGGCAGAACCTTTAACATTTTCGAACCACCTGCCAGTTTCTCATATTCCTTTTTCATGGCAAGGTAATTGGTGGGCGACACCAAAACACGAACAGGAATCTTGGACGAGTAAAGATATGCCGCCTCACAGAGCTGCGTGCTGGAAAAGGCCGTGAACTTGTCATAATGAATAACTAGTCCAGCAAGAGGAGACGATAGCTTTCCAGCCGGGGAGGATGGGATTAATGCATTCTCTAGAAGGCATGACAGAGTGTGACTTTTGCCACTTCCCTGGCTGCCACAGATGAAAGCAGACCAAGGCGCTGACACATTAGCGTACACAAGATCCTCTTGTGCTGGCTTGTTGCTCGCAGATCGATTGCGCAGACCAAGTAGTCCGTATTGCGGATATGTCTGGTCTCCTTTGATAGCCTGCTCATTATTCAGGCGTTCGGTATCCAGAACCTCGCATGCGGAAAGTGAGAATAGAGGGGCCGTTATAAGCTCCTCTTCTAAGTGAGTGTTCTCGCTTCTCGATGTTTTGTCACCTTTTACAAGCTTCATATGCTCATCTGTCTCCAATGTGTCCCTGCAAAGAGGAAGAGGTGCCATGATGACAGGTAGCCACGTAAGAAAAGCTCGTACTGGGCTCGTTGAGGGTGGGAGATCCCAGTTGAAGGGGGGTGGGGAAATGAGAGATGAGGGTTGGGCGACATTAGAAAGAGGACAAGAGACAGTTGAAATTTTATACCCACAAAGCATTGCACAGCGCGTTGTTACCAGGTATCCTGACAGACAATCAGATAATCCGACGTCAAACATCCTCTATCAATAAGCAAAGTTTTATCGTAACTTCAAGCAGGTGGCCCGACTGTCTACTCACATTCCAGTAAGCCTTGGAATTCAATATAATTATCTGTATTGTTTTATAATTTCCCCCTTGCTAGGAGGCACGTAAAATGCGTGATTTATTAAGAGATATTGTCGTTGATGCTAGGTTGTTGAACTACTAAATTTGATATTGATATATGCATATCCTAGTAGTATGTTCAAGTAACTAGTCAATAGTTTTATCGTAAGCTTTTATCTTTGTACTTTTGATAGGTACATATCGAAGTCGATGTCTCCCACGCGAGGTATAGATTCAGGGCATGCCACACATGCTTGGCAGCGGCTAACAACTTCAATCAATCAAAGTTCAATTAAGCTGTTGCAGTCTAACTAGCTGCGTATGACTATGCAGGAGCTTCATCTAGCTGAAGCAAGAACTCGAAGCCAAACGCCAAGTTGGGATCACTCCTGAGAGTAAATACAGAGGCTGGTTTATAAAGAGTATGGAATCAGCCCGTTCCTGTATCCTGTAAATCCATAGGAAAATATATATCAAACGAATGCGGCGGAGTACACCCTCCGCCTTCCATCTCTGTCATTCTCTGTCACTCTCCCAGCTTCATTTTTTGTTATTGGCTAATGCCCATTGTCCTCCACACCCCACTATCCTAATCGTATTACATCCCTGCACTGTTACATCGCCAGGACCCCATACCCTGCTCAAACCCCCACTACAGTATTTGTGATTTAACCACTTACATAGTTCTCTCCTCTAATCATTTTTAGGATTTTGCCGGGTTTCATAATTCCAGCTCGTGGGGAAGAGTCATTCGCGCTTTGATCACTCAATTTCCCCTTATTACAATTCGAAGAGAGGCTCTAGCCAAATGCATGCGCTACGTTTGAGAAAGAGTCCCCATTAATAGCCGCCTCTGATACCATCCTGCAGCCGATCACATCTACAACGTCTCGGGAATTATATAATAATCGAGTTTGTAGCTCGATTGGCTCGAGATGGACGATCCGCGACTATCAGCTGCCGGGGCTATTACACGATGGAATTTCGGTCGTATCATTTTCCTTATTACACCAATAATACTACACATTGCCCTGCCTAGACGCAGTGGGCGTTTTAAGGTGCTTGCATGGAATATGCGTCATGTCTGCTCAGCCCATCATATAAATGAGCGGACGATCGCTTTTTCCCCCCCAGCTCTCGCTCATTTGAAGCCATTTCATCGAAGATTTCACATAACCTCCAACAAAGAAGAATGACATCCATAACGCAGAACCCTGGAGCCTCTCTGATTGCGCAGCTAGCGTCTCCGCCAAATATATCTCTACAACTGCTCGGAACGCACACGGCCGGCGACCAGACCAAAGTTGTCGATTTCGATCTCTGGATTGATTGTTCAAAGAAGGCGAAAATCAAGTCGAGAAAATTCTTAACTGATAATGAAATTGATCATCGCTTTTGGGATCATTCCGATGAATCCAGTGACAGTTTCTCGGCAACCTCATCTAATTGGCTTGAAGATTGGCTTGGTGACATCAACGATGGAAGAAGGTACATTCTCCAACTTAATTATCTTTTGGCTATACTAACTAATATATTTGTGTCAAGCTGGAAGATCAGCAAACTACTCTCCTTGCATAATAGCGATTCTGCTGCTACAAAAACCTACGCAGAGGGCCTCGCATGCAAAGTTGCATATGGCGGATCCATCACAGTTGAAGTTCACGCACCACCCCTCGAGGTGGATGCCTCTGAGTACGCCGCAGTTGTTCAAGCGGAATGGAGCTTTGGCAGTCCTTTGATTCCCATGGAGAGTCTATGGGACCTGTTGGTAATGAATGCAATGGTGGATCGCAGAAGAGGATTTATCTCTGTTGATGAGCCGCCACGACCATCCTACGGAAGGTCACCGTTTCGTAGGGCCATAAAATCCGATAACACTTCTACAATCATATCAGAAGCCCAAAATGAAGAGGGGTTCAAGCACACAGTACTGCAATACTCAAATTGGGGATCTAATACTTAATTCAGCAAAACACCAGCCTTCTACTCATAGCTTTTCTGCTACTACGATATATAGTCCTCCAGGTTGATTTCGGATAAGTGTCCTTGTTCACATGATGTATTCCAGTAGTATAATTTATATACATTTCCTACTTATCCTCACATTTGGTATTCTAGTAATGGAGCCGATCTCCACAAAGGTCTTCACAAGAATATTTGCCGCTGCTCAAATGGTAATTATGAGACTGGCATTGTATCGATCAGTAAAAGTTTCACAACCTCTTAGCGATACTCGCACCGTTTGTTAGGCAGTTGTTATTGCGATATAGACGACGGGGTTTGCGACAATCTGGGTGGGTAAAGAGGTTGCTTCCAAGTATGATCTAATAGGTTCAGGAGGCTAAGTCTGGGTCAATCAAAGTATCGAACTATATAGTACAAATGGATGGATGGTTTCAATTACAACGGCCTCGTACCGAAGCGGTATGTACATATGGTCTATTAATCCAATATCAATCCATGTAAGTTTATATATAGTATACTGCTACACGAGCAGACTGAGAGCCTTCAAGGGCTGTCATGACCTAGTTATTTTCTCTGTGTACTAACTAAAAAACATTCTAGCGGCCTACTCGGGGAGCTCTAACAATGAGCGGATGAATACTCAAAGATTTAATTTCTCCATTTCACAGTTCAACTGTTGTTTGTTAAAGAACAAAAGACATCTTGTCTCTTGTCAGGGTGATCTCCGTCTTCCGGATAAAAGATGAAAAAGAAACAAGATCAAATCGGTGAGAGATGAAAATTCAAGACAAATAGGTGACCGATCAAATATTTTGCTGATACAGGAATGATGATCTCTTGGGTTTGGAGTAAATGTACCAGTCTGTTCATAGCTCGATTCCTATTTCTTTCGCGATGCCCCTGATCATGATCTCCCAAGGCCCAGGTTCATCAGCAGAATATCCAGCCTGCAATCGAGGGATGTAGCTGATTCCCATGTCCATCAATTGAAAGATGACTTTCTTATCTTTGTTAAGAATTGCGTATTCCAGGGCCTCGTAGCCAAGCTTCTTAACATCACAACGACGGTCAAGCATAAGTTTGAGCAAATCAGCATCACCACCAAGGAGCACAGCGTGGAGTGAGTTTGATAGGTGCGCTGACCAGCCAGGGGTGCTAATTCCTCGGATGAATTCAATGCTTTTGTGCGATTGGACCAGCCGAACTTGTGGTCTCTCGGGTAGTTCATCTGGGCGTAAATCCGACGAAAACTGCAACGTGGGCTCTTGACTTTTGTCATTCGGATCGGCGCCCTTTTTGAATGCGTATTCCATAACATTTGCATGGCGGTGCCATAGTCCTTCGTACATGATGATCTGTGCAGCTTCTTTGACGGTGATGTGTCGATCACCACGTCTGAGGAAAGAAAACAGAACCTTGAGCACGTGTAAATGGCCACGAGCTGCAGCGATTTTGATGGGCCGTCGCAGCTTGAAAGCACCCGTGAATACAGCAGGATCTTTTTCAAGCAACAACTTCACAACGTCCACATGGCCATTTGCTGCGGCCTGTCTCATAGGAGTTTCGTAGTATTCGTCTAGCAAGTTGGGATAGACACCTTTTTCGAGGATAAGCTTGATACAAGCCACTGAGCCAATTTCGGCTGCTGCGACCAAGGGGTGTGGTTTTGGGTGTCGTGGGACGACGTTCAAAGCCTCGGGGGCATCGATGTCGCGCAAATGAGATCTGAATCTGTCTCGCCGGGTGATCTTGGCACCGGCCCTCAGGCACTTGCGGATGGTGCTATCGAGGCCTCTCTTAGCTGCCCATAAGATGATCCAGGCGTTTTGGTGTGCCGTGTTGTGTTTGTAGAGTTGGTCATCGAAGATGAGGGCAAAACGCGGGGTTGTGCGAATGAAAGCATTGCGGTCGCGTTGGCGCTCGAGATTCTCCTCAATCATGAGGATGAGCTCTGTGGGGAGCAGAGCAAGCGACATGGTTGCTGTCCCCAGAAGTAGTAGTTGAAGTTGTAGAAGAGAGAGAAGAGAGAAGAGAGAAGAGGAGCAGATGAGATCCGAGTGATTATAAAGTGAAGAAACTGGGGGATAACAATGGCAGTAATTGGGATTGATTGAGGATTATTCCAATAACAGGTATTGTTTGTCATTCATCTCTCACTCCAGAGCTTTGTATACAATTAAGGTTGTCATTGAGAGTGCCATCGAGAGTGCCATTGAGACTACCATTCAGAGTGCCATTGAGATTGAATAGCCTTAGTTTATATTCAATATATCTACCTATTCATGGCCATCAATAGAACAGCTGAATGCGAGAGAGATGTACCATCCTGCTCACAGTGGAGGGTCATATTATCTAGTTCACAATTCCTTGCCCGTAAACTTCATTAGACTCCTGATAGTTGATTGAAGTGAATCAATATGATCTGGTCTATTTAACATGCATTCTTGGAAAGCGACATTGGTATATTGGTATATCTTATTGGATTTTCTTGCATTATACTAATTATATCCTCCCAAATCTTCCCAACACAATCCACATAATATAAAAAATAGGTTATACTTCAGTATATTGTGCTCTATATTCTCAGGGGGAAAAGATTGCATTCATCTGACGAGTCGATCCAAGACACAAGCTCTCGTTTATCCATCCCAGTTCATGGGGTATATTCAGACCATGTTGGGTCACAAAGTCGCCAAAATAGTCAATCAAGGCGACTTCTACCATTGACCGCAGTTGGGGGTCTGAGGTAACAACCCACGCTGCTGACAGACACATTGTTATGTATCCTGCTCCAATAGGTCTGTGCATATTGGATTTCTGAGCATGGACGAGAGTATCTTTGACAAGAGATCTGGATTCTACCACACAGGTGTAGTCACTAGGATCCAATGCCTGCAGGATGCAATTGAAAAATGCTGTGATTGCGAGACCAATTCCATGGGTGCGGAGATAATGTGCTCGCATGATCTTGGTCATAAATGTTTCTGGCATAGTAATGAGCTCTGAAGTCTCAGCTTTGGCTGTTCGTGCTTTCAATTCCGCTAGGAGCAATTTGCATTTTTCGTATATTGGTCGGACTTCCTTTTTCAAGGGTGTCAAATCTTCGCCGTCGCGTATAGCTCGTTTCCCACGTTTGATCAGGACTGGAGCTCGTGCTAGACATCGCAAAATCTGGCCTTCAGGTAGGTTTTGGTCGAAGTCGTTGACGGCTAAGGCATCCCATTCCTCGGGGGTCAGGTCGATAGCATCGTTGTATAAACCCTCGAACAACTTGGCAATGTGATCAGCTTGACATACCAAAATGGGGGAGTTTGGGGTGACACACCACGCTTCCCCGTAAAGAGAGGAACATTTTCTGCTCGAAGTCGTCGCGTGGCCCAAAGTTCTTTCGCGCGCGTAGAATGTTGGCGGCCCCTTGGGCATGTCCTGATAGCATTCGCCCATTATTTCCCATAAAAGTTTGACAGATCAAAAGTATCATCACAGCACATAGTGTACTAGAAGCACTCGCCTGGATGGGGTCATCTAGATAGACTCTTAGGGTTTTGAGCGCAGATGAATACTTGGCTAGTGCCTCAACCGAAGCTAGTTGGCGCGTGCAGAAGCCTGCGTGGGCAGTGGTCACAGCGTCAACTGCACGGTCAAGTGCTTCGTTACTGCCGAGTCGTCTAGGTACTTCTTCCAAGTAAAGGCCGAAAGACCACCACATATTGTAACGGAGGTCACTGGATCGTTTTATTGCGCCAACGAACGAACTGGTCAATGATGTCATACTATTGCCAGGACATGCTTGAGGGATTTGAGAAGAATATTGTATCTCTTCTGTTGGTCTCGATTTCGAAGAGAGAACCATTTGGCCGCTTTGATTTGGTTTGGAGGAAAATTGTTCCTGTTTGAACTTGTATCGTTGCTGACCGGACCCCACACAGCTCACTTTCAGACGAAGACATCGCCCACACGCAGGTTGTTTTTCATCGCACTTGACATATTATTAGGAACAGCAGTCTGTACCTCAGTCTTATCGAACGTACCTTTTTCTTCTGCTTGCGACACGCGTCACAGGCCCGACCCGATGGGACACCCGGCATGGCGGGGATACCCTAGTGGAGAAAGCGGAGCGTGGATCTCGAACCGGAACACTGCAAGCCTTCAGGAACGTGTTTATCTCGCGCAGGGGCACTCCGTTAAGACTATGAAATCGTAATATATTGCACTAAAACAAAAGCAAGGACAAAACGCCTCAAACTCGCAGGTTGGGGTTATTTGGGCTGCGCAGTCTAACCGCTTCTGGTCAAATGTGCCGCTCTACAAGGCTGAGTTGGTTGTCGCTGATTGGCCAGTTCATCAAGTATATGGCTCGGGCCACATTGGGGCTGAATTGCCAATGTCATCAACAGGCACAGCTCTGTCTAACCCAATCGAGACATATGTAGCGCTTCAAGATGCGTAAATGATGTCAACTAAAGCGCTGGCCAGAGTTTATTTAAACATGCAGTCCCCTCAGTCTCATACCCCACAGTTCATCGGACTTCATCATGGCCTCAAATAACTCGGACGCAGAGACAAATCTCTACCGGTACAATCCAAGTCATATCCTACCAGCTGTATTTGCTGCCTTGGTTGGCCTGTCTTTCGTTTTGCATGTTTACCAAAACTAGTAAGCATTTAGCACACAATTTGAGAAAACCAAGATTGTTCTAACATCGTCAGCCGCTATCGATTCTGGCGCGTCACATTCTTCATCTGTTGGGGTGGAGCCCTATTCACCGTGGGCTGGATTCTCCGCTGCATATCGAGCTACCACCCAGGAAATGTAAACATCTATATCGCATCGACAGTCTTCATCTATGTCGGTCCACCAGTTTACTCAGCCGCCGCGTATAATATCATCGGACGGCTCATGAACTACCTACCAATGCACGCGGTTCTCAACCCCAACCGTGTCCTGATCTTCTTCATCTATGTCGGCGCCGCTGTGGAAGCAATTACAGTCGCAGGAGCAGCCAAGAACGCATCAGCTGGGTCTGATCTGGACAAGTACAAGTCTGGTGGGACTCTCGTCGCAGCAGGGCTTGTTCTCCAAGCCGTGGTCGAATGTTGCGTGATCGGGGTTGTTTCAATAGTCCACAGACGCTGCTCTCGGGCTCGGATGCTGTCGCCAAATATCCGCATGGTCTGCATCACACTCTACGGGACATCGACTCTTGTCTTGCTGCGGTGTATCTTCCGTGCCGTGGAGTCATTCGAGATGTTTGGCAAGCTCAGCTGTCGAGTGAACTGCGGGTCGATTCTTAGCAACGAGTGGTATCTATATGCATTTGAGCTAGGCCCTATGCTTGTCTTTACTTGGTGGCTCAATTTGATGCATCCTGGTCGCCATCTACCCCGCCAAAAGCTACGATATCTTTGTCCTGATGGTCGTACGGAACGAATTGGACCTGGCTGGATTGACCGACGATCACAGTGGGAGACCTTCGCCGATCCGTTGGATTTGAAAGGCATGCTTAAAGGTGCGCCTTCTCATGAGAAATATTGGCTGCGACAGGATGAATGGCCTGTCTGCAAGGATGGTAGCTTTGCTTTGGGGACTGCTACCAATGCGAGGGCTGGATCTGAGAATGAAAAGGACCTTGTTCCACTTTCTCCTCATGTTTGAGTAATGGATATGTGATGTGATTTGATACCTATATTGTCTTTCCATATTGTGTTTTCTTTTGTTCTGCAATGCTTTTCTTTCTTCGTGGAGCCGAAGGACTCCCAAGATATTCATCTAGACTTAGACTTATTATATAATATATATTTCGTGAGGCACCAAGCAGTTGAAATTTGATGTGAAATAGTCAGTGAGATATATATTCTTTTTGGTCGTTTTTTTATATTTACGAAAATGATAAAGACCATAGCCTGTGCAGACGACTGTTCAATGTATAACTAAGGATATATATCGTAGCAACATGGCGTATCATTTACAGCTTGGCTTGTTCGAGCGGACTCAATTTCCTCAGAGGGGGTCCTGCTCTGCTTCCATCGCCCGCCATGGGCGCTTTTGAGTCACCCTGTGGCGGGTTCATCCTCCACTTTTGGCGCAGAGCCTCGGACGCTTTATTCTCAAAGCAGTCCGCGATATATTGGCCTAGGATAGGGAGGAATTTGAATCCACTAAAATCAGGTTAGTCAGTATACGCCGTAGGGTGCGTAGTAATAATTTCAATCAACACTTACTGTCCTGCGCCGCCGGTAGCCATGAACAGTCCCTGGATGGTTGGGTGGTGGTCGATAATGAAGTCACCATTGGGTGTATCCGTGTACCAGCACAGTCGACGGTTCATCCAAGGGCGATCACCTAGCTTGGGGAAGAACTGACGCAAGCCCTTTCGCAGCGATTCATCCGCGTCATCGGGCAAATATCCGGTGGCTGCATTGCTGGTTTCGAATTTAGGCGATGAGAGCGACTTCTGAACACCATCTACATTGACGGTGATGTCGGTCGCATACCCGTAACCGTGGCGCGCAAGCTTCAAGACATTTGTGTCCGGTGTGGGCGGGAATGAGAACACACCGGAGCTCATGTTGATCATAACCGGGATCTTTCTCATCTCGAGAGCCTCCTCCTCGGTCAACTGAATGAAGCCAACAGGTTGGCCAGACGAAGATGCAGCATTACCCATATTCAAAAGACGATTGGTCCATGCGCCAGTGCTCAATATCACCTGTGAAGCAAGTAATACCTGCCCTCCGACAAGGTTGACGCCAACAACGCGTGATCCCGCCCGGCGCAGGGAAACAACAGTACCGCGAGGCCCGGCAATGATCGAAACACCCGCCACAGTACACTTGGAAGCCAGCTTCTGGATGCTGCCTGCGGCATCGGCCCAGCCACCTTTCGGATTGTGATATCCGTTCATGCCGGAAAAATCGGCTTGAACGCTGGGGTAGAGCTTACGGATCTCCATGGCGTCGGCGAGTTCGTCCAGCTTTCCACCTGCCGCCCGAATTACAGCCTTGGACTTCTCCATGTATGCATTCTTAGGCGTTTCTGAGAACAAGGCGAATCCTGATTCGAAGTATTGGTCCTTGTACTCGGTGGTCCATCCCTCGTATGCCTCCCGGGCCATTTGAGAGTAGACTGGGTCCGCATAGTCGGCGCGAATAATGCGCGAGATGTCAACACTGCTTCCATCTGCTGATGGAGGTACGAATCGATCGACAACAGTGATGTCGGTATATCCGCGCTTGTTGAGTTCAAGGGCCGTCGAAAGACCAAAGACGCCAGCGCCCACGATCAGGATTGAGTCTGTCTTAGCTGTGGTCATTTTAAGCGACAGATTAATAACTAGAGGAATTTTGTCAAACTATATCCACCGGAGATGTCCCAGGTTTATAAACTGCGGTGCGGGTAAGGAAAGGCGGCTCAGTGCCGGGGCTTGGCGTTCCAAGAAGTCAGAATCCGGACCGCGTTCCCCGGATGAAAGATGAATGAAGTATAGATCATCAAGACCTGAATTCCACCTGGGCAACATCATGTCGGATTAATGCTAAGCCAATCCTCAAACGCCCTCTCATAATCCTGGAGTTGTAGGAATATTGTATCACCCCCACTAATCTCCATATTAGGATCTCTCGGAAGTCCTGAGAATTCTATCCTCGGTGAGGTCTGACTCGGCGATTGTATGGAATCATCATTCTGCTCGGGTGGATATGTGACACACTCGGTAGCCACTGTCTTGTGGCCTGAGATTCCAGCGGATCCAATCAATGAAAAATCACGATCGGTGATATCACCAGCAGAAGGGGCTCCCGAGCATCCGACGCTGTCTTTGGCAAGTTCTGGGCCGAAGATGTCGCTAGCAGGGTCTGGGATATTGCTTGCGTGGGCGTACACTAAGATTTTCCACAATAGCTGTAAGTTCACAGACCACTTCTGACGGGAATTTGTTCCTCCCGGGGCGATGTTATCTGTCATAAGGCCTCCAGGAGAAACGCTGGCCCGGAGTTGCTGCAGTTGTTGAACCTAGAGGCAACATCAAAACCAATGCACCATAGCAAGAGCAGAGTGAAAACTAACCTGACGATCGATGTGTGGCCATCGGTGACTCATGTTACGCAGGAATCTGAGACATTTCTCAAATCCCGTTTGCGCCTTTCTGTTAAAAGCTTGATCTTCAACAAAACTATGTTGAAGATAGATTGTAGCAACAATTGCCACACATTGCCCTATGGTCGGGTCAGAAACCTCGAAGCTCTTCGCCTCAATAAGCTCGAGAAAATGAACAACCCAGCCGGAGTGGAAGGTCAGCTGCTCGAAAGAATTGCGGAGGAATGACTGAGGCATCGTCCTCCGGAAGTTCCGAAGTCGCATAGATAACAGAAACGGATGGTTAACTAAACAAGGCACCGCATGCCAAACCAACTGGAAGAATAACCATGGGCTCCAGTAATCACGACGAGCCTGAAGTTCCGCCGAGGGATGGTCTTGGAAGCGACTTGCATGAAGTCGGAACCTCAACGGCATGAGACTCTCATGCTCACAGTGCCGGAAATTTATCATGGCGTAATCGGAGCTGGGAGACCAGGGGGGTGAGCGTCAACGCCGACATGGCTGGCCGCATACTTACATGCCATCGCCCACAGCTCGCTTGTGTAAACAATGCTACCATTGATGCCAATGTCTGGCTTGGGGTCACCGCTGTTACTGTGGGAAATGCCTTTCTTAAACATCATGGCTCCCAATGGAAAGGCGGTTTCACCAGGCTCTGCTAGTAAGTCCAAGCTGTCTCCAGGTGGATGTAGGGACCCCTGAAGATTCTTAAGCATTATGAGGCTTACGTAGCAGAGCTTGCGCTCATCACGCTCGGTTTCCAAGTTGCTTAGAGACTCTAGGCCATTTATCCTGAGGTTGCTCATCAAATATGTGGCAAGTCTAGTATAAGACCCTGCGCGGATGATATGGCCCGCTGGACAAATGAAACACAATGTTAGAAATGAGCACAAGGATAAAGGCTAGGGCTGCTTTACCTGTGAACTCCAGCATACTTAGAAGACAAATGGTCTGAATTGTAGATAACTCCACAGTACCTGATGCCAAACGCATCATGACCATCTGAGAGGCTCTTTCTGTTTTTCTCTTGATCTCCAGTTGTATGTTCTGGTCAATGACCCCTGGCTTTTTGAAGCGGACCCCAAGAGCTTCAATCGCCAGTAGAAGCTCGGGATCCCGCTTTCCCAGAGATGCCAGAGAGGATCTGTGGGGGAATAACAGAAGGGGCTGCGCGTTACAAAAGGTTAGATAAAGCTCGGCATCTGGAACTCCAGACGGCCCAGTTCTATTTAATTCGTCAATACCAATCCACTAGTGAATTCAAAGCCAAACTCACGTAGAAAAGCTCTCCGGAGGTGAAAGTTCAGGTATCTGAGGGTGATTCTCGATGACTGGGGAGAGCTGGTTTGAGGCAGGCCGCCTGGGACCTTAATCAGCCAAGTAAAACAACACATAGGAATGCTATAGCGTACGTAATATACTCCATCAGCTGTTCTAGCTTCCCCTCAATGCCAGAGATGCGTTGTTCCTATACCGTATTGGAATCTGCTTAGGTTTAGGTAGCAATGAAGTATTACTTACCATCATCTTCTGGGAATTTCCCGCACTTTCCTCCCCAGCTTCAGCGCCTGTATACACGCACTGTTGACCCAGTCGCTGGCAGTAAGAGCAACTCGGTTTCTCTCCTGGGCAACGCGATTTTTTCCGGCTGGAGGAATGTCAGTTTAGATTTGCTCTCACCGCGAAACAAGGTTCAAGCTCACCGACATGGCTCACAAGCCTGGCGGGCTCTTTTTGGTGGTCTTTCGTCTTCGGTCGATGCCATTTTGTGTATGTCACTATAAATGTGATGAGCTGGGCTGTTCCACGCGGGTAAAACGTCGATCCAGGGCGGGGAACAGGTGTGGGTCCGAAAAATGCATACATACAAAGTGCAATGTAGCTCTGGCTTCTCTATATTTCTATATCTCCGAGTTGCAATATACCTTCATGTATGTACTACTGTGCCCTTTCCCTGTACTAATATGTTGAGAAATGTAACCAAGTAGAAATCTGATGGAACTTCAAGGCGAGTACCAGGCTTAGGTATTCAATTCAAGGAATTTAGAATACAGTCTACGCCATAGCTAATTCTATTTAGCCTTCACGGACTCTAACGGTAGAAGGAACAACAGTAACTACAGTCGAGCGCTCAATTAAAATTTAGTGGAAGACAAAAAAAAGGTTGGTTAAGACATCTTCAGGCCCAGTTTCATACTATCACAATAAGTTCTGAGGCAAGTGGAGCTTCAAAGGTACAAAACTTGAATATATACTATATCTTCATTAGAAAAACAATTGGAGATATCAGCATAGCTCATCTAATTGCAAAATCATGAGCATAATGAGACTCGAGTTTGCATGTTGTAGATTGCGCGCGGATTTGTACACGGTATAATATATATAGCACCAGGGTGTCTGTAACATCAGCAGTAGAAGACTGTTCAGCTTTGCCTTTTTCAAAGATATAATGAAAAATGCAAGTAGAAATGTGTTGTAAATTTCCACATAGTGAATAACATCGATGATCATGTGATCACTGGACTGACGTCGGCTCCGATACCCCAACTTCGAAAGCTGGAAGCTTTTGGCCACTCATTCGCCTCACTCATTTTTGTGACAACTCAGCGGGCTTTGCATCACTCCAAATACCTACCCTACGAAGATCCAGAGAAATTCATCCAAAATGAGTGACGCCTACGAACGTGAGCAGTACGTCCCCCCTTTCTCCACCTTGCCCTGTCGGATCCCCCTACGAAAGGAGCTATGTTTGGATTTTGAGTGCTGACACTTTGAAACAGGCAGAATAATGCGCTCCTCAATTCCCTCTCCTCAAAGGTCTCCGCCCTCCGATCCGTGACGATCGATATCCACGATAATGCGCGGGATCAGGACACCATCGACCATACGGTACGTCTTCACTCTTTCGCCGGTTCGATAATGATGCAAGACATTTGCTTGTAACCTGGACATACTTTGACTGGCGCCTTGATGGTTAACTTGCGACTGACAATCCTGCCTTCTTAGAGCGATGTATTCTCCTCCTTCTCAACAAACCTGAAAGGTAGCGCCAGTCGACTCACGCGGATGGCCAAACAAGGCGATTCCGTGGCCGTGATGAAGATTGCGGCCATGTGCATTGCCGCTGGTATCGTTCTCTATATCATCCTCGGATGGATCTTCTGAAGGACTTCCTGTGTCCTTGCAACCTGCTGCTTCCTCGCACCCTTTCACCCACGTCACAATCAAATTCGATACCCTTGCTGGACCGAGACTCGTATTGAACATCTATGATCCGATCCTATCATCTTCTTCATGGCGGTTCGTTGTCTTCATCTTATGAGGCGCATCTGTGCTTCTTTCGATCTTAACATGGCATAGCACGTCGGAATGCAGTGTAAATTGTGCTCCAGGATTCCCCACCGTTTTCGATATACTTGTCTTTCTATTTTCGGGCTGTGCCTGTCATAGACATTGCGACGCGACTCCTATCACCTCCGACCAACTTCGGTCATCCCTCCACCGCTAGGTTCTCTTTATTGACGTCTTATGATTCGAAAATCAGCCCAATTTGTTCTGATCTCTTGGAGCGGCCGGGTCTAAACCTCATTGCGACTGGACACTTTTGCCTCCTCCCCTTTCCCATGTCATTAATACTGTGGTTACTCGTGAACATAATACATATATACTTGGCCCCGGGCTCACTGAATCTGTCCAGGCATGCTCCAGTATCTACTCATTGACGTACACAATTGATAAGGAGGATACACATACCGATTGGTCTCCTAAGACTATACTGTATATACTGACATTACCACCAAGTGGTCCATCATCCTGCCGTAATAGATTTGGATGAACGCCCGGAATTTCTAACCAAAAAAAAGCCCTCAGAGCTGATCTTGAGTTTAAGACCACCAATAGAATGTTATTCAACGACGTTCGAGTCATACGATCTCTACTCCGCAGCTGTCAACTCATTCAGCCCGGGGAAGCCGGTCCCGCAGTGGAGAACAAGGACACACTCTCATGATCTGTATCGTAGACAGTCCTTCCACGTGTCCAGTCTCATTGCCGAGGCGGTATTTCGATCCTGGATTTGAGGCCGGTTGCACTAGATACCGTTGAGTTCCGACAACCGAGGCTGCCTACTTACATACGTATGATGGTATTCACAGCCTGCTGGACGGAACGGAGGACCATCTATCCGCACAGGCAGCCGAGGCGTAGTCAAGCATCTCCCTAGCTTCGATCGGCCTTGAGCGGCTGCAACATAGCTGATTATATGAAATTTTCGGGCGTTCACGGGTGTTGTCGAAATTTTCTAAATTTGATTTGCATTTTTAGATGGTTAGTTGCCAGAGATGATCCATGTTTACAATATAAGCATTGAAAGCTAGGCTCTTCTGGTTGACATGAAGTTCGGTCTTTATGTTGTACATATATAGAACATATAGGCATACGATATACCACGATCTAGACCATCGGCAAACCCAGACCGAATACCCGAAACAAAGACCCTTACTTTGTACCCATGTGGACTAATTCCGATGTACAATTGGCCCACCCGAGGCCCTGGAAAGCGCAAAAATTCTTTCCCGTAGATCCACGCGATCTCTAGTTCCCGCTCTAGACAAGTGCAACCTTGGAACCTCACCCCTGGCGATCACGAAAGATAAGTAATATCACGGCCTCTACTCGGAGAACTATATAGTACCTAACGAATACCAGCACAGCTACGCTTTGATGCTTATAACCCTAGTTCGGATATTTGACTTATCAGGTTTTTCCACAAATCAATTCTAGAGTGTTTTAAAGTGTTTTAAAGTGGTTTCACGTGTTTCGTTGGTTTGTATTTAGAGTGGGTCAGATCTATTGCGACATTTGGATCTACCACTTCTCATTGGTGCGCAAAGACCTCTTCCAGCTTCTTATCTAACTTCCAGAAAGAATATTAACCGAGATGATAAGCGGCTACTTGTAATGTGTTGCGATTGGTTATGGAATATCTACTCTTTGACTGGACGCCTCTTGATACTTATTGGAAATGGTTTGATATATGTTTAGGTTTAGGTTTCATCTGTGGCTTTACATGCACTAAGACCTTACATCCATGTACGGTGTGCGTTCAGCTGTGTAACATGGCTGCTAGTTTAATAGTATGGTTAATATGTTTGATACTCCGTAGTAGTATAAAAATAACAATGTGAGTCAATCACAATGACGGCATGCAATATCTTTATCTTGTGTTATCAGTTTGACGCGTAAAAGAGAATCCATATTATGGAATTTTATTTGGTATGATGCAATCTGTGGATAAGTTCTGGAACTCACCGAGAATTTTTATAGTGGATAGCGTTACTAGTGTCTACAAGTTCATGATCTACTCGGTGGGGCCGTAAGGACGAAAATTTGTAGCTTTGACCCTGATCTTCTGATCTTAGAGCTTTCTAGACATGATTATGGCGTTCGGCCTTAGACCTATCAGAACATAAGCTTCCATGGTTGTGATCAGAAGGGTTAGTATAGGTCGCACGCCATGCGAATCGATGTTGCCCGGCCTAGATGGCACTGCCAGATCAATAAATGAAAAATTGGCAAAAAAAATAAAAAATAAACTAAAACAAGTTCCAGCCCAAAATATCACACCGGGAAACCCAGTATGTATATACAAAGACAGCACATACGGCTGTAGATTAAATCGGCACACAATCGGGATTCCGATCCGGTGAAAAGCGGAAATTCCAAAGGCATCCCGACTAGGCCCGCGGTCCGGTCTGCACAATCGGGCGGCCGAGTTACTGCAGGTGTGGCATGCAAAGTAGATTACTAGTGCTAGTAGTATTGTATACTAGTATACCCGAAACAAGTCCGCAAAAGTGGGCCGCAATTAGTTTGTGTTGAGACCTTATCTTCCAATGTTATGTTTGGTCCTTTTCCAGCTTCCAAGGTTATATGAAATCCCTCGCAATATGACCCGCTTTGAACCTATCATAACGCCACGGGCAATGGCAGTTAGGGTGGAGTCTGATACATCCCAGTTGATTCCCGCCCTTACCGCGATGCTCATCAGGGACTTTTGGTGATGTAAGTCTTGGGTTACTGTACACGGTTAGATCACGGATATTTCCGAATCTTCCCGGTGAGATTAAGATAGGCCAAGCTTGGTTATGTTGTAAAGTCAAAAAGGTACGGAGAATACGCTCCGTCCTCCGCTCCGTCCTCCGTACTCCTTGCAGTACAAAGTATATAAATTCCGTGCATCAACGTGCATTTCACATTTACAGGGGGTTTTCAGACACCACACTTGCAGGAAGACATGGCCATATATCGGGCACCTAGGCAGATTGAAAACTGAATTTGTCAGCGTATATGAGGAGTATGTTGTATCGGGGCGTTGGAGTGCCAGTTCTTGGCGTGAACGGGCGGCAATTGAAGGGTTAACAAAGGTCTAAGCCATGCCTTCTGCATTCAAGTGGCGCCATCTGAAGTTGGTAGAGATTGAGCGCTATATATGTGCTACATGTACTGCGACTGTCTGGACCTATATAGGTTTAGCATTGGTAGTATAGATGGTCCCATATAGCATTAGAGTGGGGTTTAAGTTGACGATCAAGTTCTGAAGTATGAACCTTATGCCATTTCTTGTGTAACTCAGAGGCATATATGCATGTTGACGTCGCGCATCCTCAAATTCTTCAAACCATGCGAGAAGGACGATCCCGAGGTATGTACAGCATTGCATGACATGATGCATGAAATGCACATGTGGATAAATATAGACCCCGACGACCGAGGTGAATTGGGTGAATGATTCCACTCATATGTATGTTATTGAACTCTTATCATGAATATAGGATGAATTGTATATAGCAAACAGAGTATAAATAGGGAACAAAGGAACATGCGTGTAGGGTAACCTATGTATATGTAGGTAGTATGCGGAGGTCTGACATTCATATGATAGCGCTGACGTAAAAGATGTAAAACACCAGGCACTCATTTTGATGTGATTAACCGGTTAAAACGGCTGCTTGTTCTTAAATCTCTCAAATCCTTTAAATCCCCCCCTGTTTCTTCTATTACATTTGTTCTCGATTATATGCCAAGACAAGTCGGAGCCTAACATTTCTCACCTATCTCCCTATAAGAGCTTAGTCATTTTACATCTTGCCACCTAAAAACGAAATCGAAAAACGGCGAAAGAAAAAAGAAATTTAAAAGAAAGCGCCGGAAACGGCAGACACTCCACTGAGGACCCGCGAGTCGGACCAGCCTTGCGTATCTGGCCATGTTCCGGTAGATCAACGATAGAGAAAATACGGAAAAAATACCGGTCATACAGGACATTTATCCTGGCTTTATTCTTTACCCTTCTTCTCCCCCTTCACATTTTTATTCCACACATTCTCATCTTGCTGGCACATTCCAAATGGCCCTCAGCTTCTTCAGCGGCGGCGGAAGCGCCAGCAGCGCCAAGTACTTTGACATTAGGTGAGTGGGGGAGACCTGCAGCTCGTATGCGAACTATGAAAATCTGACTTCATCCAGGTTGAACGACGAATATATCGTCTTCCGTGGGGGTGAACATGAAGCTGCCAGTGCGCATCTGCGGGGCACTTTGGTCCTCTGTTTGTCCGAGCCGCTCACCATCAAACACATCCGTCTCCAGCTGACGGGCATGTCCCGCGTTTGGTATGTGTCGCATACCCCCCCAATTTTACATAATTATCAACTAACAGATTCCTCCCACAGCTGGCACATTCCGTCTAGTGCAGCCGCCGGTGGGCGCAAGTCATGGCGGGAACGTGTGTTCTACGAGAAATCATGGACCTTCCGGGATCCGGGTAAAGGCAAAACCGAAGTCCTCCCCGCAGGCAACTATGAGTATCCCTTTGATGTTGTACTTGAGGGCTCTATGCCTGAGAGTGTAGAAGGTCTTGCGGAGACATGGGTGATGTACCGCTTCAAGGCCGAGATCGGCCGCAAATACGTCAAGGACATTGTGGCGCGCAAACCGCTCAGGATCATCCGAACTCTGGATCCCAGCGCCTTGGAGCTTTCACATGCAATGGTAAGTGGCGATTATCAGCCCAACCGGTGAACTTTTACTGACCAACATCCCAGTCCGTGGACAACATCTGGCCCAACAAGATTGAATACTCCATCAGTACTCCGACGAAAGCGATTGTCTTCGGAACCGCGATTCACGTCGATTTCAAACTAATCCCGCTTCTCAAGGGCCTTCGCATCGGTCAAATCACGTCACAGTTGATCGAAAGCCACGATCTTACCCTCAATCCAGAAGACCCCGATTCAATTCGAAACACATACAAGATCACAAGGACGATCTTGACCGACGAGTATGAGCTGGACGAGGATAACATTGAAATCATCGATGAAACGGCGGAGGGATACCAATGTACGCGTATCCTAGATATGCCGCAAACGTTGACCCGTTGTCTGCAGGATACGGACACCAAGGGTATCAAAGTCCGCCACAAGTTGAAGTTCCGTATTCAGCTGCACAACCCCGACGGTCATATCAGTGAGGTGAGTGAAAGTAAAACCACTGACCATTCTTTTATGAGGCTAACATGTCAATTCAGCTCCGCGCAACGCTTCCAGTTTCGATTTTCATCTCACCCCACCTTGCCATCGACGACAACAACAACCTTCTCTCGCACACCCCTCAATCTGCCCGCATGGCCGTCGATGATTTCGCGCACCAGGCGCCTCCCCTTTATGGCGAGCATACCTTCGATCAGCTGTATAGCGAATTGGATCCCAGCGGCTATCGCACACCAGGCCCCGGCAGTGGTCCAGGCACGCCATTCACTCCTCTCAGTCGCAACATCTCGTCAGATAACCTCGCCTCCATGAACGCCCTGACCAACACCGATATTTCGGCCTCAGCTCTGCACCACCGTCTCACAAACTTGAACGCAAGTTCCTTCCACAATCCTAACCACCCCATCACTCCTGGTACAGTCACTCCTAGCGAGGCGGCACTGCACGGATCTCACTCCCCAATTCCAATAGAAGGGCACAACATTCATCGCCAGTTGGGTGTCTCCGGTGACTACTTCGGACCGTCTTCATACCCACACAACCAGGCGAGTCCAGAGCTCTCCCGTCGGCCATCCGACGAAGTGGAGCACGACACCCTTCCCTCAGGCATGGCAACCCCCTTCCACCCCCACTACGCTGAGGTAGAGACCCTCAGCCGGGTCCCCAGCTACTCGACCGCAGTGCGCTGCGCCGTGCGTCCACATGACTCGGGCCTTCCTGATTACAACGCTGTAATCGCGAGCAGTCTTCCCACACTACCAGTCCCGCAGTCTCCCCAGCAGGCTTATATCCGCAGCGGACGTGCAAGCGGGACTGCAACTCCCCTAGAGGTGGATCGCCCCGGCTACTTCAGTTCCCACGGCACCCATGCTGATGATGAGGATCGCAGACTTAGAATTGCGCAAGCTCGCGCCAGAGTATGAGGGGTGGACATGATGCTTCGATCCACGAATGATCTTACACCTTCAATTTCCGCCAAAAGTTTTACTTCGTGTACCGGTGCTGGACACTGAGACCACCGCGAACCGCCCTACCCCTTACCACGTCTCCCGCAATTTCTCTCCACTTTTCTTTTTTATCTCCCTCATTTCATTCCATTTCCCACGAACGATCACGGCCAGACCCCAGCATCACCCAGCATCCAACTACCCCTTTCGACCCTCAGTCTCAGCCAATCTGCACGCAGCATCGTTCTGAATTACTGTCCACCAGCGACAGCTTCCCACCTCATCTTATTTCTCTTTACCTTCTTCTTCAGTCATTTTTTTTTCCCTCTGGCGTTCGTTCATAGACGGGCAGGGATATTTTCATAGATGGTCACGCGCGGTGTTTTTGATTTTTCTTCTGCTATTTTTTAACCTCACGAATGGGATTTGATACGAGCTTTATGACATTGAAAAACAATAATGCCCATATGAATCACGCATACAACGCCCTATGTACTTAATTATTTTGTTAGACTAATGCTCAACACATTTGAGATCTGCAATGATATCACTACCCGATTAGGAAATTAGCTGTTGATCGAATTAGGTAATGGGCCTCCCCGTGGGTCAGGGCTGGCTGACCCCTGGCTGGACTTCAGAACCTTGGAAGACTCGGAAGACTCTACTTCCTCCGTCAATGGCATTGTCTTCTTCCAACATTGATTCATGGGCACATGACCTCTGCCAATTTTGAGTACCGTTGCTCTATAGGTTCATTGTATATTTTTCTTTGCTGGGCTCTAGTAAGTAGGCTTGGCTATAGTTGAAGCCTACATAGCTATACTTACCCAGTTCATTCTTGGCAGTAAACACAACTTGCCCCCTCGAGTATAATTGCTACATTTGCCTTCAATTGACGTGATATAATTTGGAAATATCTTCCAGCGCTGAAATAATCTGAATTGTGGCAAAAGATCAAGCCACAGCACGTACAAAGTACCCAGCTGAGATCTAATAGGGTTCGTGTGGCTTTATCTCGAGCGAGGGGCACGGTGACCTCATTGGCGTTATTCAATCGGCTAACCTGGGAAGAATGTGTTTTCTCGCCAGAATTTTCCAATATCAAAATATTTCCACCTAAGGACAACATCCCATGTCCATAAAACTGTTACCTGGCTTTATGCAAGTCCACTTGTTTCGAATAATTATGGATCTTTTGTGTGCTAACTAGCTAACTAGTCCGCCCATAGACTAGCGCTCCCCCGCCTTGGTCCTACACAGCCACCAAGCCTAATACCCCCCCCCCCCAAATATTTATTTGAGCCACACCATCGCCTGCTTCTTCGTCTCTGGGTTTGGCACGGACAAGAAAGCCTTCGACTTCAATTGTGAATCGTCGACATAGTCAATTCGATCCTGGACTCACCGATATACCTTACCCCGCTCCTCCGTCACTATGTCCACGAGCCCCGCGGATATCAAGCTGCCACAGCGGTCTGGTACCGTGAGCAGCAGCTTTACTCGTCGTACTTCTATGAGTGATGACGAGGCTATTCCTGAGACCGATAGCAGTGAGGTTTGTATCTGTGATGTGCCTGAAGAAAAAAGAGTAGCTGGGACTGACAATATGCTTGTTTCCAGACTACCACTCTCCTGCTAGAGCGTCTCCGAGCATGGAAGCATATGTGCGGATATCTCGAGGATTACTTCAATGCCACCGCCAAAGTGCAGAAGTCCCAGTCCAAGGATTATGAAAAGATCCTGAAGGTCAGCGTTTATTCCCATGAGCCGGAGGAACCGAGACTGACCAAAGAAATGGGATACAGGCCGTGAACGAACCCCTCAAGGAAGGCCACCACTTCAGTTCCAGCGCCGGCGGCGTGTCCGGTCTATTCGAGAACATCCGCCTCAACACCCAGGGCATGGTAATGATATACAACGACGGCGAAAAGAACCTAAAGAGCGCGGTGCTGCCCACCCTCGAGCGTCTACACAAAGAGATCAAAACCAAGTCCAAGGAGCTGAACAGCGGCGCCGTCAAGGGCGCCAAAGCCGTCGAAAAAGCCCGCGGCCTAACCCAGAAGCACATCGAGCTCCTAGGCCAGAACTCTGCTTCCCACGACAGTTCCTTCTCTAGCAAGATCGAGCCACACCACGACCCCTACCTCCTCAAGCGCGGCGTCAACCACCGTCTAAACAACCAAGTCAACGAGGAAAACAACCACCGCCAGGACATCCTCGCCGTGCAGAACTCCTTCCAGCAGTTCGAAGCACACGTCCTGCAAACTGTCCAAGGCGCCCTAGACCAATTCCACCAGCACATGGGCAGCCAACTCGACCGCCAGCGAGCAATGTACGCCGACATCCTCGGCACCGCCCAGCGCATCCCCCCAGACTTCGAGTGGATCAACTTCTGCGTGCGAAACGACGCAGCTCTAGTAAACCCAGACTCGCCCCCGCGCTCCTTCGCAAGCATCACCTTCCCGAACATGGACCACCGCTCCACACAGCCGCTCATCGAGGGTTCCCTCGAGCGTCGCTCGCGCGCCATGATCAAGGGCTACAGCTCGGGGTACTACGTCGTCACGCCAGCGCGCTATCTGCACGAGTTCAAGGACAACGACGATTTCCGCCGCGACCCCACCCCCGAGCTCTCGCTGTACCTGCCAGACTGCGTTGTCGGCGCTATTGATGGCGTCAAGTTCAACGTTAAGGGCAAGGACGTCTCAAGCGGTAAAATCGGTAATGCCTTCCACACAAACACCGAGCTCAGCTTCAAGGCCCACACCCCCAACGACGCCGAGAAGTGGTGGTCGGTCATCAAGGAGTCTAGTCGCTCTCCGGCTCCGGCTCCCCCGACGCTGGCGGTGGCGACTTCGCCCACCGCTACCTCGCCCGGTGGCGCTGTTAGCCCCTCTCGTAATGTGTCTGGCCAGAGTCAGCCTCCTGTCTACGCTGATACGGAGAAGTCCCAGGGTACTGCTTCCCCTGCTGCTGCTTCCCCTGCTGCTGCTTCCCCTGCTGCTGCTTCCCCTGCTGCTGCTAGCCCGGCTGCTGCTAGCCCGGCTGTGGGAGTTACCGGCACGGCTAGCTCGGGTACCGCGCTCGGCGTCTCCGCTGTGGAGAAGTCATAAGATGGCTTCCCTCGTGCTTGTTTAGGCATGCATTTTTCTGCTCTTATTGGTTTTTTTTTTTTGGACTCGCATTGCCCGCACACATATTTATGTAACGCACGTGCATCTGGTTCGTTGATTAGGGTGTTGTGTTCATTCATCCATCCGGAGAAATCGGAGGAGAGTGAACTTCCTGGTCAACTTGATACATATATATACATCCTAATGAATTTCTTTTCACACCAAAATACAAGAGTTAGATATCAACGCTAAATGGATCAAAGATCCTTCAATTATCAAATACACAAAGCTGACAGAGTTGTGTCATCGAATCATATCATAGCCTATGGACACACACGGACATGGGCTAGCTAGGTAGTCCCAGCATACATAACATTGCTGCAGACATTTTCATCTTCCAAGATTAAAAAAATTCAGAAATCCTCGGGACTTTCCAAGTCATCCAGCTTCTCTCCAAGGAAGCGTCCTAGCGCAGCGCATTTAGACTCCAGCGCAAGCAAGACAGCCGGTGAGGCAGAGAGGTTTAAACTAGACAGACGCGCGAGGTCAGCGCTGCGGTCAACCTCAAACTGCGGGTCTCGGTGGCCGTTTTGAGTCTGGTTCGGAGATGCAGGCACGGAAGCCAGTGTGCGCGAGATATCACCCTGTGAGCCGTCAGGTGTACAAGTTCCATTACTAGCATCGGCGATGCTATTATCAGCCGCGACAGAGTCGGTGTTGGCGGCACCGTTTGGCTCTGGGGAGTCTAGTCTGGATGGGCCGACAGCGGCCACGAGGACTTTGTCCGCGATGCGGGTTACCACTGCGACGGAGTCGTCGAGTTCGAAGACAATCGAGCCTACGTCGCCTAGCGACATTGATTTGGCGGTCACGTAGGATGAGGGATGGCTGGCTGGGTTGACGCCCGTCAGGTTCCCAGTCGAGGCCATCTTGGCGTAGCATGTGTAGGCGGCGCCGTAGGTTGCGCTGAGGTTGCGCAGTTGGCGTGAGGAGAGGGAGGAGCCGTGGGCGAAGACGGCGCCGTTTGTTGCGAAGACACTATAGAGAGATGGGGTCATTAGGTGGATATTCAGGTGGAAATTCAGGTTGAAGCGCAGCTGCATACATGATGGTTGTGATCTCCGGTGGTGAAAGGTTATCTTCCAAAAGGTCGCTTAGTGCCTCAGCGTCTAGCATTTTGATGTCGGGGAGACCGGGAATCATAGTGTCGGTGTCGGTGTCCTGGCCTACCGAAGGCGTGTATTCCTCCACCTGAACCTCGGGTTTCTTCTGCAGTAATACGCAATCTGCTTCCGCGATGTAGTCTTTTGGTGGTGTCCACGAGCAGTCTTCTGGGAAAAAGAAACAGTTGTCGTGATAGTCTTCGTCGTCGTGGTCGTATACGATTGGCTCGTCGGAGTAGTCCAGTAGATCTTGGGCACACTTTGTCTTGTAACGGGCCCAATAAGGGAGGAAGGTCGGTTCGCAGGGAGGCTGGGAGGTAGATAAGGATATAGTTATTGAGGAGCAATCGGATATCGAATCAGAGAAGCCGGGATCTGGAGGAGATTCGCATTCAGCCATCTTCACACCCATAGATGCAGAATCCGCGCGCGGAGATTAGGACGTGGCGGTTGTTTATTTCCCCACGAAAAAGGTAAAATCAATGAATAGAGGGCACGAGGGAAGCAGACGATCTTCTCATAGCGGGCCCTGGGGAGGTAAATGATAGGGAATGAGGGGAACACGCAGTGTTTCGGAACCGTTGACTCAATGAGAGCTAGTCCAAATGGAAAGGCACGATGATTCCAATCGCGTCTGGTGGCACATAGGAAAAAGCTAGGGAAACGGAGCTTTATGAAGCCCCGTACGACCAGCAAGTGTCATGAGATGTGAGCAAGCTCCGCAATGGGAGCACCCCAACGATCGGACAAATATGAGGGAAGCGTGTACATGTGCGCCAACTTGATTGGGGGAGGGAGAGGGGAAGAATATGTGAAAACCGAGAGCTAAGCGCGGCAGTATGAGAAAGTCGAAAATAGAGAGACCGTTCGAGATGCGACACGAAGCCGGGGGCAGGATGGAGACCAATGGTAGGGAAGGGATCAACCGGGAGCGGGGAAGAGAGTGCGGAGCATGCAAGAGGATTTCCACGAACCTGGCCTGTGCGAAACGGGAGAATTGGGGGGATCGAGGAGTGTTCGAGGGTTTTGAGGGTGTTTGTTTGTTTAGAGGTTGAGTTGGGAGGAGAAAGAGAAGAGGAATTGGAGATAAAGGTCCGGTTGGTGTGGAGTTCCCGCATGACGTTCTAACACGCTGGGGTCTATAAGTACAGCTGCATACATATGTACATAGTAGTATCATATGTGTAATATTTATTAGTTGGCTTGCAAGTAATTTCTATATTTTTGATCCTTTTCTATTACCTATGTATATTGTTAAATGTTTACTATATACACTTTAGCTTCATCTTCGTTCTGTTGCAAATTAGCAACACACATTACCAATCTCATAGAATTATTAAGAGTGACTAAATTATAGAGTCTAACGAATTGACCTCAGTTCTATACATTCATATAAATGGAGTACTCCAAATTCTGTAAGCTACCTACTTTATAGGTACCTTGGGGCTTTCCTATCTTGGCTGCCGCTTTTATGAGGGTACTCAGAGTCAGACTGAGTAAATCTCAGTCTGGGCTCAAGCTCAGTGAGCTCCTCACTATAGTCACGTGACTACTATCCAAGGCCCAGCGCTTGCTTACTGAGCAGCCAATCACGCCCCTCAGTGGGCGCGCAGTGAGAGAACCCACAACGTTGGTATTCAGCACGTTGCGGTATTTCTTCTGGGAAGGGGGGTTTGCCAGCGAAACGATGCCGGTATTGTTGACCAGGATGTCTAGACAGCCGTAGTCTACAGCCACCTTCTCTGCGGCGGCGTCTACAGACTTGTCCTCAGTCACATCGAGTTCAATGCCTGACACGGTTCTTTTGACATCTGTGTCGGCTTGTAGCTTCTTCACGGCTTCCTCTCCGTTGTTCAGTTGGCGACTGCCCGGAATGACATGGCAATTGGGCCAGGCCTATAGGAGATCTTTCGCTGTTTCATATCCGATGCCTTGGTTTCCACCTGTATTGCAATCCAGCTGTTAGCTTCACTATTTTTGAGGATGTCATCAACTGGATCTTATATTACCAGTAATTAACACGATCTTTTGAGATGCGGCCCCCATTGTGATAGTCAGACCGCTGAATTAGGTTCGAAGACTCTTCTTTGAGAATGACCCAAGGGGAGTCAAAGCCAAGCACAAAGGTTGTAGCAGGCAGTGTCGGTCTATCACTGCCCAAGTGTGGATGGAGACGGTGAGAGGAAACAGAAGGAGAGAAAGGCGAGAGTCAATCCACACTGGCTGTTCTGAACCCAGGAAGTAGAGCTGTTAGCAGGTTGAAATAAGACTGCGGCAGCTCAGAAGGTTTAAACGTAATAGATGGCCATCGGATATAGGAATTTGGGCCGGATTGATGACATAGGTCTCCTGAGGTCGTCGTATCAAAGAAAGCGATGGTTTGCGTTGATATCAAACCGCAGCCTCGCAATACTGAGCTAGGAAGTTGATTAGCTGTTTGCATGTAGTTCGCACTTTCTGGCTAAGTCCGTTAACTCCGATAGAACATCCAGCCATCAGGTAGCCCGCATGCTGTGACGAGCTATGTCCTTATATAGCGAGCGCAGTTCTAAGGCGCGGCTTGGAATCCTAGTGTTTTGCTCCTGGCAGAGCGGTTAGGGCTGGTCGGCATGCCCCCCGAGGCCCTGATCGTGACACCATGGCTTGGCCCCAAAACCGAGAGATCTTCAAATTTTGACGAGACAAAGAGCAGGACAGTCGTCTACTGAAGAGAAGAAGCATGCGGCATTGATAGGTGTGTTGCACCATGAAACAAAAAAAAAGTGGACAGGGAAAAGTAGGAAGAGAGAGAGTGAGGGGAAGAGACAGAGAGAGATGCGTCTAGGTATGTATGGGCCAAACCAGTCATCTGCCCGAACCTCGATAACATTGCACCATGCAGGACCATCCTAGGAGAGGCAAACTCTACCTAAGCCTTTGCTTTTGCGTGTTTCAGTTGGTTCTTTTTCTGGGACACAAGTACTCCGTAATGCCACAACAATCTCATACTTGGAGTTCAAGCATCAAGGCATGAACATTGGCAAACCGCCGGAGGCCCCTAAGCCAGTTTGGGATCTAGTGCGGCTCAACTAGTACCAATGGAGGAGGTTGAGCTCCGAGCAAATATATAAGTCCGCCGCCCCCGGGGCCACTTCCCCTCTTCAACTTCCGTTGATTTGAGCTCACATCGAGCTCAACGGAAAATATCACGTACTGTCCACCTGGGCAGAATACATTTGGCCCAACATGGCACTTTCAGATTCTGAGGGCTCTGATGTGGTGATGGTCAGCCCGGGCGATGTCCAGGATTTCAACGAAGGAAATATCCTGCCTCTCCCAGCAAGTGATCTGAAGAAGATCAGAGAGTGGCTGCAGCCAACACCCTATGATCTGGAGGGCTCTGAATTTTCACGGCACCTCGAGTCGTACCTGGTGGGTACAGGCCAATGGCTTATCTCTACAAACACATATCAGCAGTGGCATCAAAGCGACACGAACGGTCTGCTGTGGATCAAAGGCATACCGGGGTCTGGAAAGTCTGTCATGGCTGCATCGATCATCCACCAACTACGTAAAGAGAACGTTCCAGTGCTCTTTTTCTTCTTTCGACAGATTATCGATGCAAACCATCAACCAGTCGCAGTCCTACGGGACTGGCTTTGCCAAATCCTCCCCTTTAGTCCAACCTTGCAGGCCAAATTGAAGAAGGATTACCTCGAAAAGGAACGCTCTATCGATAGTCTAGCTGCTAATGACCTGTGGAAAAATACTCGATTTGCTCTCACTACTTTCCCTAAGGCATACTGCGTCGTCGATGCCTTGGATGAAATGGACCAAGGTAATGATGACTTCCTCCAGGCTTTAGTGGAGCTAGGCCAGTGGCGCCCCGCCAACCTCAAGGTTTTGATATTGTCACGCCCAGTCGTTGCAGTGGAATCGCCTTTGAGACTATTCTCAGTGCCCGTTCTACCCTTAGATAAAAAGCTTGTCGATATCGATATCGCTGCCTACGTGCAGCACCGACTGCGAAACTCACCCATACCCGAAGAGTATTGGACTCACATAACTGAAGCCGTTCCCGGTCGAGCGAATGGTCTGTTCCTGTATGCTAGGCTTTCTATGGATGCATTTTCGAAACCTGGGGCCAATGCTGGAGATGTGCTTAATAAGTTGCCTGCTAACCTGAACGTGATGTATGATGGGCTACTACGCGAGCATGCAGAGCACTCCAATGTTCCTAAAGACCTCCAAATACTTATTCTGCAGTCAATTACACATGCTACCCGCCCTCTTCGACTTCTTGAGGTCGCTGAGATGATCAAAGCGACTTATACTCCACTTGGAACATCTAGCTTGAAAGAGATCAAGAATATTGTCCGAGCGGCTTGTGGCCCCTTGCTCCAGGTTCTTCATGACGAAACCGTCTCGGTCGTTCACCATTCTTTGACTGAGTTCCTCAAGGGGCTCACTCGCCTCACTGTCATTGATGAAGTAACTTTCCCAATTTTGGAGGCCGGCCCAACTAATCATCGACTTGCTGTTGCATGCTTGGATTATCTTATGTCTGGCTGCCTAGAAAGCATCGATGTCAAAAAGCGCAAGAAGGATGACGAATATTACAATCCTAAAAAAGCCCAGCAGAGTGAGATCCGCCTGAAATTCCCATTCCTTGAATATGCAGCGAACAATTGGTACATCCATACTCGCCGTGCCGCCTTGACTGGGATGGATTTGTCATCACTTTACTCGGTCATTGACGAGTTTTTTGGAAGCAAGAAACAGTTCATCGCTTGGTTGGACATCGACTGGCCGCAAAATTCTATCCAGAGTGTTACTCCGCTTCATGCTGCCGCCAAAGCCGGGCTGGCTCAGTACGCCGCCCACTTGTTCCAAAAAGGCAACTTCGACCCAAATGTTCAGAGCCATGACGGAGATACGCCTCTTTACTGGGCTGCCTTTAGTGGCCATGGAGATGTTGCACAAGTTTTCATTCAAAACGGGGCAGATCCGGACGGCGAAGCGAACCAAGGATACAAGCCTCTTCATAAGGCCGCCAGCAAAAACCACGCTGATGTCGTCAAAGTCTTGCTTGCTGCTGGTGTTGATCCAATGACACCGAAGACACGAGAAACTCCAGGCAGGCACTGTGGCAATGCGCCGACATCAGTTGGTCATACTCCATTGATGTACGCATGTCACAATGGTCACCTCGAGGCAGTAACTGAATTTCTACCCTATCTCTCAGAGGACAACATCAAGCGGGCCCTCAATTGGCTTTCAGGCTCAGGACACGCGGCATGTGTATCTCTCATTCTTCAAAACAGTGTCGTGGACATGAAGTCACACTTCGGAGGAAAAATTTTGTTCGAAGCCTGCTTGAACGGCGACCTGGATACGATCAAGGTTCTTGTTGGAGCAGGTGCGGATCCCAACACTCGCTGTTTCTATCCCGAGGACGAGTTTGGGGGCATTGGTTCTCGCATGCGTTATCCAAGGAAAATGAAAACCCCCGGAGAACGAGAGGAGCCCAGGGGCTTCACTGCTCTACATGCTCTGAGTGGAATCAAAGACCGTGAGCGAACTCGCAAGATCCCGCTGGAATGTGTTTCAGTCGTCCTCCAAGCTGGCGCTGATGTTCATACGAAGTCCAAGGATGATGGAAAGACAGCTTTGCATTTCGCCTGCGCAAACAATATAGATATTGTTCAACTTCTTTTGGAGGCAGGGGCGGACCCTTACGCCAAAACCGACAGTGGAGCCACGATACTACACACCGATGGAAAGAATGACAAGAAGCTGCTTCCTATCCTGCTTGATTCGGCAGCTGTTGATATCAATAGGTTGATGGCGGAGAGCAATGGCGGACCCTTGTTCAGTCGTCTTCGTGGTTACTATCCTGAAAGGGGAATTGAGATTCTGAAGTACACCACGGACCCAAATTTGACCGAACCAGACGGTAATAGCTTTCTCCATGTGTTACTTGATCGGTATAATTTCTCCAAGCAAGATACTGTTCTTGAGGCCTTGCTGTCCGCTGGCGCTGATCCGAATCTTCAAAACAAAAAGGGCGAAACGCCACTGCATAAAATGAGTGATGACACCAAAGTTGAATCAATCTCCAAGTTGGTCAAGGCAGGTGCAGATCTTGAGATCCGGGATTTGGAGGGTCGAACAACCCTCTCTAAGAGTCTTTCCGGGTATTCGAAGGGCATATCTAAATTTTCTAAATCCCTTATCAATCTAGGCGCCCGACTGGACACACGGGACAACAAGGGCCGTACTCTTTTCCACAAAGTGGTCTGTAAAGTTGAAGCTCTGGACGATTTGATAAAGATGATGGATTTCGACCCTTCAGTCGCCGACAATGAAGGCAATACGCTCTCCCTTGAGCTCGTTTTCGCAACTGATAGATCGGACAGCACGTCAAATTTCAAACATCTCAAAAGTCTGAGGGTTGATATTGACCATCCTAATTCCCACGGGTGGACAGTCTTGCATCAAATGTCCTTCAAAAATCAGACTAACTGTCACAGGAGACCTTCTGCCGAGACAACGTTTGAGTATGTCCTCCGAGAGTGCAAGAACAAAAGTCCTCAGGATACAGACGGGATTCAGCCTTTGCATATTGCCGCCGCTGTGTCAGAAGATAATGTTTTTGGGCTTCTCTGCTCTGGGGCTGATATGTTCGCCGTTACGAAAGAAGGCATGACGGTTCTCCATGTCGCAGCTCGAGCCCGACAACCTGGCATAGTTGGTCTTGTTCTTTCTAGAATGATTGACCTTGATGATGAAACACGGAACACCTTCATCAATCAAAAAAATGTGGAAGGAGACACGGCACTTCACTTCGCCTGTTGTTCTGGTCGACCCGAGACTGTCGATCTTTTGTTAAATGCCGGCGCAGATCCCAATCTGCCGGGCAAGGATGGATATACTCCTTTGAGAGCATGTGTCAATTTTGAAATGGAACAAGTACGATGGAAGAAAATGGGCAAGATTGAGGACGTCAAAGCCCTCAAGACCGCCAGCATCTGGCTTGGTATCCGAAGTCTGCCACCGGCGAAAGATGACTCCGAGGAGGGATCCAAGGAGTCTCAATGGAGATCAAATAGTGACAAGGGTGCTTCAAGCTCGACGCGTCTAGATGAGATTCTCACTTCATTGGTACTGCACAGCAAAAACCCTTCTTCGGACAATGACTCGCTTCGGGAAGCATTCCAAGAAGCAGTATCTAATCAACGCGACTATACCGCGGAATGTTTGCTACGGCTCCAGAATCGTGTGTTCCCTAACCTGAACCTGATAGAGGGACCGGGAGGTAACGGTTTTACCCTGTGCAACGCTCGGCTTCAAGCCGAAATATCGTCCCTCAGAGAAGAAGAAAAGATGCGAAACGAATGGATGAACACAAAAGGTGGAAGCAGAAATCTCCACTTCGAACAAATGGTTAAGTATCTTCGTCTTCGGCAATACGGTCTATTCGAGGAAATGGCTTCACAAACGGATCTCCTCGTGCTAGATTACACCCATATCTCTGTTCTCCACTGTCTTTTGGATGATGGTCTTTCAGAACTCTTAGATCGTCTCTGTACTCCAGAGCAGGCTCTGAAGTTTGATGACCACGAATGGTGCGAGCATACCGAGAATTCCTGTTCCCGTTCCGGATCTCGTATGCGTTCCAGTGCTAGGACACTGCCGCTTCTGATGCACGCATGCCACCGCAACTTGCCAAATATGAAAGTGGTCCGAACACTTGTGGAAAATATGGGTGTGAACATCGATTCAAAGCGCAGGGAAGAAAGATATGTCGATGGCGATTATGAGACCGTGTTGGATCATGCCGTTCTACATGACCTCGCTGAGGGCAAAACTTGGTGGAACGTGCATCAGGCTTTGCCGTACCTCATCAGCAAGGGCGCGAATCTGGAGGTGCGCGATGACAAGGGGGAAACACCTTTGCATATCGCCCTCGACTATAACAAGTACAAGGGCGTCTTTTACAGAGATGCTGTGGACATTCTTCTGGATCATGGCGCAGACGTCAACGCAGTCAACGCCAACGGGGAAACCTGCCTGTCAAAGGCTGGCGCTGATATTGACTTGATCAAGTTGCTTTTTTCTCGTGGCGCTACGATTTCCGCTACTGCTGTATTCGCCGCCATTGAGTTTTGCAATGTTGAGTTATTGGAGCTCTACCTCTCCCATGGTGATGTCGCCAACATGCGGCGGCCCGCGCCAAAGAGTCGAGTAAGGCCTCATGCAATTCAGAAGACCATAATCCCAACTGCTGAAGAGTATCCTTTGTTCTATGCGGCAACTTTCAAATCCGTTGAAAGTCGCAAGGAGTTTGATATTGATTCTGTTCGAAAGGACACGATGGCAGCGCTTCTTCGGAATGGTGCAAACCCATACGCTACCTTCTTTAAGCTCCATCGAGTAAAGGATGACTCTCTCAGTGATGGCGACGACTCGGACTCGGACGATGTGCATGCTGGTTCCAAAGATCAATGGGAACCCGAAACCTGCACTGTCATCCATGAGATCTTGACTAAAACGGAGGTGTTCGAGCCACTGCTTCAACTGCCATCTCTCCAACTGGAATGCCGAGATGACAAAGGCAGAACGTTGATCCTTTGTACTAGTGAACCCGAAGTAATTCGACACCTTGTCGACCGCGGGGCTGACATTACCGCTCAAGACAAATCTGGCAAGACCGTTGTTCACGCACTCATAGCCCGCCAAGCCAAAGAGGAAAATATCAGCATCATGCGGGCTCTCTTTGACAAGGATCCTAGCATTGTGCAGATAGGGGATGAAGCCGGTGATACTCCGCTCCACTATGCGCTTCGCAAAAGGCCGATACAGTTCAAACATGTCGAACTACTACTCGAATACGGAGCAGATCTGCACCAACCCGATTCAAACGGCGATACAGCTCTCCATATCCTTTGCAGAAGAGCATCTAATCACAAGACACGCATCGAGCAGCTCTTGGCCCTCGGGCTCGGCATCAACGCACGCAATAAGAAAGGCGAAACTCCACTCATGCACTGTCTTGCGGAGGGCAGATTACGATCTAGTATGTGGTCGTACAGTGGCGACAGTTCCAGCGACAATGACAGCCTGCTCTTGCTCCAAGATCTTGGTGCGGATTTCCACGCGCGAAACGACGCGGGGATGTCGATGCTTCATGTAGTTGCTGGCAGGAAGGTGCGCGATACCCTTGGTGTTCGTGAGTGGGAGATTAAAGACAAGAAGGAAAACCTCGTCAGTTGGTTCAACTTCATCATGGGCTTGGGTGTGGATCCTATGCTTGAGGATGCTCAGCAGCGAACTTCTTTGGATCACGCTGCCGCTTGTGGCAACGAACATATTTTGAAGTTGTTCAAGCACAAGGACGCTCAGGAGTGAAAGCGGTCGGATGAGCTCAGGGGTTTTTCCCGAGGTCTTTGTTTTGTATAGTCATCCTTTGTGTTCTTCGTCAATTTATATTCCGAGGTTTCCATAGCTATTCTAAGGTTGCTGATTCACCATGGAGTAGAACTAAAAATGGAGGGACAACGGTCAAGAGTTCTAGTGAACAACTGCATTTGGATGGGGCTAGCGTGGTGCATTTTATTGAGGTGAGCTGCTGACTTAGCTGCTCCCGCATTTCGCGCCGCTCAGTAAGTGGATCAGGGCTACTCAGTGAGCAAATCAGAGCGCTCAGGTCTCGTTCAGTGAGCTCTATGATCATGTAATACTCAGGATCGTGCTCAGTTGTACTCAGTGAGAAAAAAGCAGCAAGTCCTGAGCACTAAAACGGAAAAGGAAAGCCAAACAGTGGCAGAGGAAATCGACTATATAGGTAGAAGAGCTTGTACAATAGCGTCATGTGCCCCACAGTCTCCTCACGGATGACAAAAGTCTCGGACTTTTTGCCCCGCCATCATCTTCAATGTTTGCTCGTCTTTCCTCCAGAATCCTCAAACAAAGATTCTTTGTACCAATTAGTAGGCTCGTCTCTCACTCAGCTGAGCAATTATTGACCAAATTACCAGGATCCCTAGCAACCATGACTTCCGATACATCCACCTATAAGCTGAACCGTTCGTGCGCCATACTTCGATCTCTTTAACACAATTATTGACAATGCGAACGTTATAGACACGATGATTCGGGTCAAAGACCCACAGCGATCGGTGGATTTCTACAAGTTCCTCGGTCTGAACTTGGTCAACAAGATTGATATGCCTGAGTGGAAGTTCTGCAACTACTTCCTGGCATATGACGGCCCCGCCTCTCTCCAGGGTAGTGATCGCCATTGGACCGATCGCAATGCTGTTCTGGAATTGACTCATAACTACGGCACTGAGAACGACCCCAACTACACCGTGGTGAACGGAAACACTGAGCCGCACCGTGGCTTTGGCCACATTGCCATCTCGGTTGACAACATTGAAGCTGCCTGTAAGCGCATCGAAGATGCCGGCTACCCCTTCCAGAAAAAGCTGTCCGAGGGCCGTATGCGACACATCGCCTTCGCCAAGGATCCCGATGGATACTGGGTTGAGATTATTCGTCGCGCCGATGAGGATCTCAGCACCACCACCGACCCTGGTAGCTACCGACTGAACCACACCATGCTGCGCGTTAAGGATGCCGAAGCCAGCTTAAAGTTCTACCAAGAATCCATGGGCATGACTTTGGTTCGTACCTCCGAGAACCCGGAGAATAAGTTCAACCTGTATTTCCTGGGGTACCCCGCGTCCAACCCAGAGATTAAAGAGGGTAGCAAGAATGGAGTGGCGGAGTGGGAAGGTCTGCTAGAGTTGACCTGGAACTACGGCACCGAGAAGCAGGAGGGCCCTGTCTACCATAACGGTAACACTGAGCCCCAAGGTTTCGGACATATCTGTAAGTGGATGATCACATGCCGTATAATTGCTTTTCTATGGTTCCTAATTTGAATCAGGTATTTCTGTTGACGACCTTCCGGCTGCCTGCGAACGCTTCGAGTCTCTGAATGTGAACTTCAAGAAGCGTCTAACCGACGGGCGGATGCACAACATCGCATTTATTCTGGACCCCGATGGATATTGGATTGAGGTGGTGCAGAACGAGGGAATTAAGCGCACTGGAGACTGGTAGTACATACAAATACTCTACAAGCCAAGACATGTATATGTACGGAGTACTATATATACTCATTTTAAACCCGATGTAGTACATCACTTGACCTTACAAGGCCTGCTTATCCCCCACCATTTCATAGGCTACGGTGGACCCTCTTCCCCCCCGCCCCCAGAACATTTTTTGGTCTTTGAGAAGCCAACCCTTTTTACGATTTAGAAATCCCCTTCTTCAATAGTTTTGACGATGAGAATTTCTAAAACTTCAAACCTTGACACGGGATGAATTAAACTGGGATCTCGTCCATTTCCTCTTATTTGAGGGGATATATTGCCACCCACTCACAAACCCAAGCTTCAACAACTTGGAAGAATCGTCGGGGACGTGGCCTCGAACTTATAAAAACCATGTCGCCCGACCCAGAGAAGACGAAAAAGCCACCCCGTAAACATGTCACCACAGCCTGTGTGCCATGTCGGGAGAGCAAAATTAGGGTATGTGCTCTCAGGTTGGAGGTAAAACGCCTAAATGGGCTTGAAATAATCTAATGTGCTTCCTACCAGTGCGACGGAGCAACTCCGAACTGCCAGAATTGTCAGCGCAAGGGAAAAGAATGCAAATACCAACATGGAGACGATAAGCGCAAGTAGGTCCCTTCTTCAGGCATACATCACCTAATGTTTAAAGGCTAATATGAATCAGAGTATCTCTTCGCGCATCAACGGAGCTGTTCTCAGCTCGAATTGACCAGCTTTGTCAGTTTATCCAGGAGCAGGGTCTGCAGCCACCGCCCATGAATCCAGAGGACGAGGCTGGCATGAATAGGGTTTTGGATACCCTCCAGATCCCGCGCGGATTCCATCAAGTCTCAGCAGTAGCCGCTGAAAAGCGAGCAGATGAGCCAAAGACCTCTGCTGTCTCAAGCAAATCTCTATCCCAAGATCCGCCTAGTGTAAATCCCAAGGAACAGACCCAGATCACCAATTTGGTTGCCTCAGGTGCATCCCCAGTGCAAGATAGCACCTCTAGCGGAAAGGGCGTGTCACCTGAGGGCTGGAATCCATTCGGAATGGTACAAGGCGCTTCTGACAATCAAAACTTCGTCCATTGGGGCTTCACTTTGCCAACGGCTGAAAGTCTGGACACGATTTACGCCAATCTCAACGGAGGACCGGGAGTCCCTTCATTGCCTAAAATCCCCGTCAACGCAGAATTGAGCCCGGATAGCTACCAGCTAGGCATGGACATGGCTCAACAGCCAGGGGTTTTGCTAGGCCAGCTACCTCTTGAAGGAGAAAATGACTCCGACAGCGGCGAAGAGGACGAAGCTGAAAATGACGTTATTGAGCAATTGTCGCACCGAATTGGCACTTTGAAAATTGCAGGTGATGGCCACCTGCGATTCTACGGTGCCACGTCAAATCTCAATCTGGTGGACGTGTCTGCGACACAGCAGCGACAGCGACCAGACGCACGGACTGTGCGCCACGATGGGCAGGACATTCTGAATCACCTTCGGGTCGGTCAACCTGTCAATCAAGCCTTGGAGGATCATCTCGTGGAACTATACTTCACCTGGCAGAACCCTAGTACATACATTGTCGACAAAGAAATGTACATGATGGCACGAGATAAATGGCGCAACGAATTGGATGATACTCCGTTCTACTCGGAGGTTTTGACTAATGCAATGTAACTTCACCTTCATTTTGTGGTGTCTGAGGGATTTGCTAACCTGGTTGCAGGTGCGCGATTGGGAGTGCCTTCGAGGCGCGCTACCACCCCACATTCATCACTTTCCCCAAGTCTCTCTCTGAGTTCTTTGCAGACCGTGCTAAAGCCCTTCTGGAAATTGAACTCGATTCTCCTTGTGTGGCTACTGTGCAGGCCCTTGTCATTATGAGCTGCCATGAAGGGGCATCAAACCGCGATGCTCGAGGTTGGCTGTATAGCGGTAAGTAAATATCTTCGAGTTGGGAAACGATCAACGCTCATTGCTAATGGTTCCAACAGGAATGTCTATGCGGCTTGCTTTCGATCTTGGTTTACACCTAGATATGACGGCCTACGTTCACAAGGGTGATATCACCCAGTTCGAAGCTGATGTGCGTCGTGCAGCCTTTTGGGGAAGCTATGTCGCAGACCAGTAAGTTTTCGCACTTTTGTACCATGAATATGTCTGACAGAAACCAGCTTCTGGGGCTTCTACTTGGGCCGCCCGTTCCGCATGAACGCTGGAGACATTGGTGTTCCAAAACCTGCCTCTGCTATTTGTCCTGAAAAGGAAGAAAACTGGTATCCATACGGCCATCAAGCTGCTCATGGGCTATCTGAGAACGGCCTGAGGAATCCCATGGAGCTAATATGCAGGCAATTTGTCGTTCTATGGGAGATGATCTCCCCTGTTGGTCATATTTTGTATGTGACTTTTGCATGTTATTCAGTACAATGCTAACATGCCTAGGTATGGATGTTCTGACATCTCTCGGCACGACTTGCAAAGAATCTGTTATCAAGTGACAGAAGATTTGTTCGCCTGGAAAGCAAATCTGCCCTCTAGCCTTCAGATTGATCTGGAGGATGATAAATCACCGATATTGCCTCATTTGATGATGCTCCAGTAAGTTTGTTCCAATACAACAGGCACCCAGGATCATACTAACAATCTGTTTCAGCATGCAATACCACCAGATCATTATTTTCTTCCACCGCCCATGGCTCTCCAAAAGCTATATCCAGCCACGCAGCCCTCGTCAAGGACCCGGGTATCACCACGCGCGGCGCATGTGCGTGGAGTCAGCTACCGTCATCGCACGACTACTCCAACTATTTGAGAAACACTACACCTTCCGCCGCATGAATAACCAAGTCGTAGCGATAATATTCAGTGCTGCACTGATGCTTCTTTTTGTAACGGTATCCAGTTCTCCAATGAGTCCAGGCAAGGGCGACAGCCCGCCATACGCGCGCAGCACGGAGATGGTAGCATATCTTAACCTGTGCTTCCGTGCTCTCGATGAACTTGGCCAATCATTCGATAATGCCAAACGCACCCGCGACTACCTCGTTACTCTTCAGCGACGTTGGCAAGCAAACATGCGCCGATCCGGCTCTGCGACGAAACGCCAAAACAGCAGTGCTAATTTGGTCTCGCTGGGCTTGCAGAAGCCGTCTTCACAACACAACCGGGCTGCTAATGCGCACGGAATAGAAGGCTCACGGAAGAAATTCCGTTTGTCTGTTTCTGGAGCCCCTCCCCAGATGCAGTCAACAGGACCTGTGACGACCAACCAATACTCCGGTATCTCTAAGCAAACCATGCCTCCTCATCACCAATATCACCAGCAAGGCTCTTATCAACAACAAGCTCCCTTCTCCGTCTCAGTTCCCGATTCCCAGCTAGGCGATCTAGACTGGATCCCAAACTCGGACATGCGTCTTTTGTCAGAGGCTCAAAATGGCAACGCACTAAATGGGATGGGCCAGATCACTTCTCCTCACTTCCCCGGCGACCCCAGCATGCTTTCAGAGATCGCGGACATTGATGGGTGGTGGACATCGGAAAACTATCCGACGACCTCAATGCCACCATGAGATCATTACTGGGTGACTACATAGTCACTGCCCTTTGCTTTGCTTGTTTGAATACCTACAGCGCCCAGTTTATCGTGTCTGTCAATTCCATCACACTTTACTACCTGGAAGCTATACAGTGGAACTCCTATAATCAAATGATATACACCGCCCCCTGGAGTTTACATGTATGTACCATTGTGCCCATTTTGAGATTTTGAAATTCCAACCTTTATGAATTCCTTGCATACACAATTCCGGATGCAAATTCGACGTTATATTCATTGCAACCAAATTTAATCTATATCCTCCAATTTTCTTTGAAATACACCCTTGAACCAATCGCCCGCTTCCTCTGCCGGATTATTATCAGAACCCTGAACCTGAGATAAAGTCACCCTCCGCTCCCCAACACCCTTATCGCGACCCCAGAAGCAAGCCCGCCGCATAGCAGAGACCATCTCATCAGCCTGCTTAGCAAGAACCGTAGACCCTTGACCCCCCTCTCGAGTCTTCTTTTTCAACTCGGTAGCAGGCGAAGCGAGAGAATCAGAAGTCAAACCAGTACCATCCTCTCTCGAGAAAACCCGCACCCAAGGCAAAGCCGTTTCCAGTCGCCCAATCCCATCATCAGGCCCAGACCACGTATCCCCACTAAGCCCATAATCCAGACCATACGGCGGCCAGCGCGAAAGCGCCTTCCGACGCCGATTAACAGTAGCACTAGCATCATCGACGTCATCAGAATCCATGTCGCGATACACATCTCGATCCCAGATCGACCCGTGGGACGCAGCATATTGCTCTGCTGTCGTGCTCCGCGTCTCCTTCAGTACGGGAACGGGATACTCCGGCCCTGTAAGATACTGCGGGAATTTGCGCGGCACGTCCCGACCTGCGGAGCGGAGGAAGAGGATTGGCGAAGCGAAGGAGTCGAAGCAGCGCTCTGGCGTTGAGAAGAAGTTTGACCGCGCTTGGAGGAGGGGGACTAGGTCTGGCGGTGCTGGGGTCCTTTTTCTTGATTGGCGCTTTTGTTTTGATGGTGTTGGGTTTGGAGTGGTATTATCTCCTGTTCTAGTTTTGGGTCTTGTGATGGTGCTCTCGCGGGTGCAGTACTCGTCCAAACCGGGCCAGTCGCAAATGGGGTCGACGGCGGCGACGGCTTGGATGCATCGCGCTTCTGTTAGAGCTAGCATGAGAGCTAGAGAGCCTCCGACGTGTGTGCCAAAGATGGTTAGTCGGGATGGTCGGAGGTTAGTTCGGATCCAGTCGAATCCGGCCAGGGTGTCGTGGACTGGGGTTGGATATTTGTAGGAGTTGGATTGGGGGTTGCTTGATGTTAGGGTTTGATCTGGGGCTTCAATTGGCTCCTGGGAGACGGAGCTCTTATCTGAAGATGGGGAGATATGTGTTGGTATCTCCCCGAGGCGGTAGTTGACTGTGACTACCAATGCAGATGTAGTAGATGCCAGGACATGCTGGGGTGAACCTGCTGTAGGGGCTAAGGTGTTTATGTCCCCAGTCCTTTGGTAATCAACTTCAGAATTTCCATGTTTTTGAAGTGTGTCCGTGCCATTTCCCTGCAATAAAGGCCCAGGCGGAAGGTAGATGATTACATCTGGGCGTTCTGGAGACAGCCCCTGGTGAGACTGGCTCAACGCGCTCGGTCGCGTAATTCTGAGGACAAAATTAGCATGTATCACTAGGGCTAGTAGGAAAGGCTATGTATTACCGGAGAGATATGGCCCCATTGTTTCCAACAGGAAGAGAAATTGTCTCATCTGTGCAATCGGATACAACAGTCGAATATCGCGTGCTTTGGAAACACGCGATGGAAATGCGGGAAGCACCTCTTTTGCGACGCAAGAAAATGGCTATGCCGCGGGAGGTGCAGATGATATTTCGCATATCACTATATGAGTGCGCACTTGATGATTGATAAAACTTAACAAGGATCGGGCTGTTGGCCTGGCTATCCGGAAGTAGTTGATGCCTGAATAATCTGGCTGTCTATATGTGTCGGCGCAGATACACCAGGATACCGGAGGATTTATTAATCCTAAGTATGCAGTAATATTTCTTATGTAATCAGGACAGTATAAATTGCCAGGAAGTCAATACAGCAATACGGAGAGTTGAATACCATTGATTGGACCCATACATTTCCACCATACGGAGTAGTCGGACAGTTATGAGCCCGGTTCGCACTGAATAAGACTACTATATCGGCATATAGTACCTAGCAACTTGCTAGAAACTGTCTTATAAACCTCCACGAAGCCACTCCGCAGAAAGTCATCCCTTGTTTCACATCAAAACAACACAGCATCCAGCAATGGAAACAGCATCGATTCTCTCCGCCATGAAGGGCGATAAACTGAAGGATGCACCGCAATGGCTCACCTGGTTTGCGAAGGTGCAGCTATACGCAATGCAAAAAAATGTCTGGGATCACTGCAACCCGGATACCCCGTCAACTGAACGACCTGATACTCTAAAGGAACCGGTACAACCAGAATATCCTGAAGAGGGCACCGAAACAGATCGAAGGAAATGGAGAGACCAAGCAGACGTGTATAAAATGAGCTATGCTCGATGGGAGAAGCAAGCAAAGGGACTGAGTGATGTAAATGAATATATCCTCACCTATCTTGACCCAGTACACCACCTCGCACTGATCACATATCGTACACCGTATGATAGACTTGTGTATCTGAAGTCTCGGTTCGCTCGATCGACCGCGTATGAGGAGGAAATCCGAATGAGTTGGAAAGTGTTTGCAATGCAGAAGCCGACTGGAGACATCGACAAGTGGCTTCAAAAGTGGAACTCGCTAAGGGAGCAAGCGGTTAGTCTTGGTATCAAGGACGGAGATGCCAATAGGGACTTCCTGCACGCCGTGAAAGAAGTTCTACCTATATGGTGGCAAGGCAAATACCAGGAAATAGTGATGGAAAAGAAGGTGTACGATACCCGAGATCTCCTTGAATCATTCCGCGCGATGAATCGCGAGATAGGAGCACAGGTGGTGTCATCAACCACTCCTCCAAAAGGCGCTTTCTCGACCTGGCAAGGTCACCAAGAGGCGAAACCGGAAACAAAGCAAGAGAAGCTTCCGTTTGAGAAGAGACACTGCCCTTGTGGTAGCTCACACCCGAAGCATAAAGTTGCTACTTGCTGGCTCCTAAACGAAGCGATTCGGCCAGAAGGGTATACCCTAAACGAAGGGAAACTAGAGAAAGCAAAGAAGAAGTTAGGAAAGGACCACGCTTGGAAGCAATGGGTGGATAAAGTGATAGCTGAAGCTCAGCAAGCTCAGCAAGCACAGGAAAAACCAGCCGAATCCGCCAACCAAGTCAGCTTTGCAACCACTTTTCGAAGCAAGCCAAGTGAAGCTATACAGATTAGCAAGCACGTGCTCTCTGTGGCAAAGGCAGGCGAGCCCTCCCTCCGTGACCGGTGGATTCTTGATACCGGATCAAGTGCGCATGTCTGCAATAACCGAGCCCTATTCGTCGACTTCACACCTGATATAATTGACCTAACAACCGGAGATAGTACCACGCAGGTGCTAGGGAGAGGCAAAGTCAGACTTTTAGGGAGACACCCGGTAAAGGGAAGGATGGAGATCACCTTAAGCGACGCTCTATACTCACCAAGTTTCCATACGAGTCTCGTGTCGTACGCGATGCTAAAGAAGAAAGGCGGCCTCTGGTGCCAACGTACAAACTGTATACGGGACCCAAATGATAGACCTGTCGTCTGTGTGAACCTATGGGATCAATTCAATCTCTGGATCTTTGACAAGCCAGGCGAGGCTCCGCCACAACAAGCATATGCTGTGCAGCAAGCACAACGGAAATCAGTGAAGCCACAGGAATCAAGGGCTTCCTCTGAAATTTGGCACCGACGCCTAGCACACATTCAACCGCGGACCGTAGCAAAGCTTGCTACTATGGTAGACGGCGTTGTTCTTGACGATAAAGGAGGAGCAAGCACAGAGCAAGAATCTCTATGTCAGACCTGTAAGACAGGAAGTGCTCCGAGGCAGATTTCAAGACGACAAGTTGGACGTACCTTTGGACGTTTTGGAAGGGTGCATTTCGACCTAATTCAGCTGCAGCCAGCCTACAATAAGCACCGCTGGATATCCCACTTCTACCTAGAAGGACCGAGATTCCACTGGATCATGACTCACGAAGTGAAACCTGAATGTCAATTGGCCATCAACCAGTTTGTACAACTTGCAAGAAATCAGTGGAAGCTGCCAATCAAGGCCTTCCACTACGACAATGAAGCAGCAGCTGGCAGAGCAGCGGAGTATAGTCTCACAAGCGATGGTATCCTGATATATCACTCCCCCCCAGGGCACTCAGAGATGAATGGGTATGCTGAGAGATCAGGTGGAATGATTATCACCCGGATGCGTATGCTCGCCCTCGAAGGGAACCTCCCAAAGGAGCTATGGCCGGAGTTCGCAAGCGCCGCCGTATGGTTATTAAATCGTACACCAACGTATATCGCCGCCGAGAATCGGTGGGTGGTACCATGGGAGGAAGTGAGGAAGGAAGTCGCACCACAGGCGCCGAGGATAAACCTATCAAATATTAGGTTATATGGAAGCTTGGCGTACTGCAGGATTGAGAAGCAAGTACAGTCCGATAAGATGAACCCACGTGCAGAGATTGGCTTCGTGGTGGGATACCTTGCCTCGAATATCTGGAAGATCTGGTTCCCATATAGTGGGAAAGTGAGGTATATCAGGGATGCAGTCATTGACGAGACACGAAAATATACCCCTGATTATGAGAAATATCAGCCTATCCCACTACCAGCTATAACGGGACCACAGGAACTCACCGTTAAGGAGGTCGCACAGGTGATAAACCACCAAATTACTAGTCAAGAGGAGACTAGTACGATGGAAGAGAGGACTCAGGATCTACAGGAAGCACAGGAGCCTCAGCAAGTACAGCAGCAAGAGGAGGTTCCGCAACAAGCAGAGGTCCAAAAGATGACAGTCAACCAACGAGGGACTACCCCAGTCCAGGGGGTGGGTGATAGGTCATATTGGCCGACCCCAGACCCTCCACCACAAGCACTACCAGGTTCCTTTCCGATTGAACAGCCCCTACCACCACTACCAATCACCCCACCGCAGGAGCAAGAGAGGCATACTGGCTCTGGTCAGGGGGTGGATACCGAGGGAGATCAAAGGGACCAGATCCAGCAAGAAGAAGCGGATCTTGAAACCACTGAAGACGAACTAGAGAAGCAACTTCAGGCAGAGCTACTGGCTCCGAGAAGAGAGATAATCGGAGATGTGGATACCAGCAATATACTCAGTGGTAGGCGTAGACGCCAAGTAAGGCAGGAAAAAGACTTCGCCTACGCGACAAGCACCACCCAAGAAGTGGAACCGCCGGCGCTACTCCATGCTTTTGCCGCTGGCTTATACGCTGAGAAACCAGACACTCGCCGCCACCGAGACGACCTCCCACCACCGCCAAAATACTGGAAGGATGTGATGAACCACCTATTTCAGGAAGGTTTTCTCGCAGCGATGAGGAAGGAGATCAACTCCCTCTCTGAAAAGGGGACTTTTGAGGTCATTAAGAAACCAAGAGACCGAGGGAAGCAGATTCTCCCTCTTTTATGGGTGTTCTCATACAAATTTGACCAGGACGGGTACCTTTTGAAGCTTAAGGCCCGTATCTGTGTGCGCGGAGACCTTGAAACCATCTCTCACGAGGAAAAGAGAGCTGCTACGCTAGCAGCAAGGACAGCGAGGATGATTTTTGCCTTGGTTGCTGCCTTTGATCTTGACCTAAGACAGAGAGATGCTGTCACCGCGTTCCTAAACAGCAAGTTAGACCAAGAGACGTATACGCATATACCTGAGGGATTTCAAAACCTAGGTAAATGCTGGAAGTTACGTCGCGCGCTATACGGTCTACGGATTTCACCACGACTTTGGCAGCAAGAAGCAGCAAGCGTGCTCCGCAAGCTAGGTCTACAGCAAGTGCCAGAAGACCCATGCGTTTTTATGGGAAAAGGACTACTGGTTTTCTTCTATGTAGATGATATCCTAATCGCCAGTCATACCAATGCAAAGGCGCAGGCACAGCAATTAGAGCGAGATCTCGAAGCACACTGGGAACTGACCGATCATGGAGAAGCAGCATGGTTCCTAAACATACGAATCATTCGAGACCGGCAACAAAAGAAGCTCTGGTTATGTCAAGATAGCTATGTGACAAGCATTGCTACCCGATATCACTTGACAGAAAGGGCACCAGTCTATACTCCACTGCCGGTTGAGGAATTGACCCCTTTTCAGGGGGTGGCAACGCCAAAGGAAATCCTGCTATACCAGCAAAAGGTGGGCTCAGCAGGGTATGCCACCATTATCACTAGGCCCGACGCTGCAAAGGCGACCGCGAAGCTCGCGCAATTTCTCACGAACCCCGGTCCACAGCACCAGCAAGCAGCTGATCGAGTCATCACCTACCTCTACTCCACCCGGAACCTAGCGATTGAGTACGGAACAGCCAATACTGGGACCGACTCGGTGCAGTTTGCAAGTGACGCTTCGTATGGAGACCACCCGGATAGAAAAAGCTCAGCTGGGTATATCTGTCAAGCATACGGCGGTCCAATTGACTGGAAAGCAAGCAAGCAACCCACAGTGACAACGTCAACCACAGAAGCAGAGCTACTCGGCCTATCGGAGGCAGGAAAGCAGCTCCAATGGTGGCGCCGATTGCTTCAAAACCTCGCCTTTACTCCGTCACACCACCTGACAATCGACTGTGATAACGAGAGGACTATCAGCTTATTGACAAGCGAGGACACAGCTTTTGAAACGAAGCTTCGACATGTCGATATTCACCACCATTGGCTCCGCCAGGAAGTCCAACAGGGTCGAATACGGGTGCGCTGGGTGCCTACAGCAAGCATGGTTGCTGATGGCCTCACCAAATTGCTCACTCGGCAAAAGCATGAGAGCTTCGTGCGACTGCTCAACATGGTTGATATAGGCCATCTTATAGACTAGGAATTACAAGATGATACAGCGATCTCAGCAAGCATACTGGGACCGCTGAGGGGGTGTGTCGGCGCAGATACACCAGGATACCGGAGGATTTATTAATCCTAAGTATGCAGTAATATTTCTTATGTAATCAGGACAGTATAAATTGCCAGGAAGTCAATACAGCAATACGGAGAGTTGAATACCATTGATTGGACCCATACATTTCCACCATACGGAGTAGTCGGACAATATGTGGGTTGTCAAAATTGACAGTATTGGAAAATGATCTCAATTGAATACCCGAATACTAATGATGCTTGTTTCAAAGATATCTCTCGTCTGGATAAATTTCATTACATTCTGAAGTGCTATATATATCATTATGTTCTCTGCGTCATTCTTCAACCCAACAACGAGGACTAAGCCAATCATGCGAACCGAAAGTTCTCATCGCTCTCCAATTTCAATAAAACAAAAATACGCTATCAGCCATGCACTAAATAGGCAGCTGATTGCTCCAAGAGTCCCTCCATGAGGAAGGGTCTCGCTGAGAGGTAGTCGCTGACGCCGCAGGGTCGTCCCGGTCCAGAGGCGCTTCAGTGTCATCCTCTGGCACAGGACGCACAACCTGCAAAGTCAACATCGGATCCTTGGAGTAAACCCGCAGGCCAACCACACAGACAGCATTCCATGGATCAACAGGAGGTCCATCACGGTCCGTTGATGGAGGGTGATTCTTCACATCTGCCTCGTCAGGAGGCAGGTCAATATCGCTGTCAAATTCGAATCCTTCTAGTATCTCGATATCACTTGCGTCTAGAGCGTCTGTAGCAAAACGAGCGTCTAGGCTAGGATGCAGAGAGTCGGCTCCACGTCGCCAGCCACTGCTCGCGTGTCTTGCGTGTCTTGCGTGCAGGCCCTGGCTACCGTTGAGGTGGATAGTCGGGACGGAACCGTTGACACGGTGATCACTACTTTCGCTTGAGATACTTCCAGTGTCGATAGGAGAGTCCTCTACTGGTTTCTCTGCCAGAATTTGACTGGGGACAGAATCGCTTTCGTGGTTGCGACAGTAGGAGCTACCGCTGGGGGTGCGGCTCACATGCCTTGCTTCCATGCGCTCTCGTCGGGCATTTAGCTTCTGGTTGCGGATCCAGTCTTTCTGCATCTTTTTCTTTATATCATCGCGTGCTCTTTTCCGCTCGATTGCCTTGAAACGCTCCTGCTCCTGCTTTTCTTGTTCTGTCTCGCCCACCATTCCCTTGGCGTGGGCGAGGTCGTATGAAAGGCCGACTTGCACTAGTTTCTCTCTTCTTGTCGAGGCAACCTGGCGGACCATTTCCTCAGTTGATTCTGCCTCTTCGTGGCGGAAGGCTGTGATTTTCATGAGGACATGGTAGTGACCCGGGTCAAGGTTAATCTCGGCGTTGACCGATCGGCCCATGAAATGGCTGCTATGGCTGCGCACGAGATAATCTTCTTCTCCTTTCTTTTGCAAACGGAACTTGAGCACAAAGCTGTACTCGCCGGCTAGTCCTCTGAAATAACGTGAATCAAGCTGTGTCTGTCAGCCACTGTGAAAGAAGGGGGAGGGGATAATTAAATGGCAAACACAAACCTGGGATAGAACAATTACTACCGGGCCACTCCTAGTCACATCGATCATGAATTTAGTGCTGTGATAATCGGCAGACCAAGGAACATTCAAGGTAGTCCATTGCTGGGTGATGGTCCATTCAGGTCCAAAGAGGCGAGTCCGGTCGAAGTGCTGGTATTTCTTGAGGAGATCTTTGTAAGAAATCCAGAAGAACTGGGAGGTCAGCATATTTAGTAACAACGCAATGGATGAATACATACACCGTCGTTGCCAAATTTATGACCAAGACGTTCCATCCACTCGGGCGTCCATTCCTTGGATCCATCACCCCACGCCCCGTGCCATTCTTTGCGCCCCCATGGATTCCTAGGTGCTGTGAGATTTTCGTTCATTGCATTTGACCATCACGTTCATGCACATACCTCAGTCGCAGTAGCCGCTTCCCGTCAATCTCCCGGGCTTCCATGATGGAATAGGAGTGGCCCTCCGAAATACCCTTTCGATCCCTTGGAGGACCGTGGTACGTGGGTTCTAGCCAGTTTGTAAACAGGCCCGTCCCGCAACCAAACAGGAATTCCTTGTTAACCTTCATAAGTTCCTCGTTCCAAAAGCGGTCTTTGTTTAGGATATTGCTGGATAAGACCTCAGACGTGACGCCTCCAGTGAGATCCTCAATAGCTTCACCAACAAATCCGCCCTCGATCGCGGAATAGTCACCGTGAGCCTTTGCGAAGGCTTTCTCCAAAAGAGGTAGCCAGGTCTCGTTGTCATCTACGCACTGAGCGAAGTATAGAGCTCTTGAGCCCGTCTGCCAGACTCGCTGGTACTCCTCCTCTGTATTGGTTCGGTTTATGTCGTCCCAGAGGGGTCGCTCATCCACAGACTCGTCATAGTCAGCAGCGCGGAGATACAGCTTGTCATCTATAATGCACTGCTGCCACTCGCCGTCTGATTATTGAAAAGTCAGTATGATTCCAGATGTAATCAGACTCCAAGCACACGCTTACCTCGATGGAAAACAAATCCGTAAATCCCAACCTCTTCATTGCGAGCAACACAAATATTCCGGATCAGCTCCTCCTTGTTGCCCATGGTACAAAGCGCAGCCATGAGCCAGCAATCCCCATCATTTCCCTGTCGCACATCTGACGCGGTGGGCCCGTTAACGAAGAACTGCGGGTTCTCGAAAATTTCCTGTATGAAACCCATCAGCAAACCGCAATTCACCTAATGGTAGGTAATTTTCGAACTAACGGTCACTCTCTTCACGCCTCGGGGTCGCATCTCCATATTTGGTCTATCCAATCCATCGAGATAGTGTCTCCGACCCGTCTTTAAATCTAGCTCGATATCAAAGTGGGGGTCTGAATATCTCTGATTCACACGTTCGCATTCCTTGACAATACGGTCGACAGATTTTTGGCATTCCTGGCGCGCTTGCTCATACGATTTGACGGCCTCGTGGCCCTTGATAAGGCCGCTGGGTACACGTTTGGCCCGCGTCCGTGCGTATGGGTTGTCCGGTAGCACCGTGTATACTTTACCTGGGAACTTTGTGTTGAATTGTTCCCAGAACTGCTTGACGGATTCCTGGGGTGCTTGACAGCGTACGCGGGGCGGTCGGCTGTTCGAGCGCGAGGAGCCAGGTCCTGCTACAGCGTAGCCCATCTCGTCATCGAACTCCATGATTTGGGGGACGTTTGGGTTGATGTTCTTTGCTTGAGGTTTCACAGGTTCTTCCTCTTGCTTTTCTCGGGTGGTAAACACAGCGGTAGGAATCTCTCCAAAGTTGGGCGGCTATTTCTCTTATATCACACTAATGACGAGCAAGGACGAAAATAGAAACATGGGATTGGGATTGCTGTAAATAAGAGTTCAGGGAAGACATTCCCCAATTTCCCCCTCACACGGGCACTCCGAGCCAAGTACATAGCCTCAGCGTTCATTGCCTCAGCGTTCATTGCCTCGTATTGATTCGCTAGGCTTGGGCCTCTTCTCCATAAAAGCGTTCATCGTAAGGCTGCAGGTGCATTCGACTAGTGTACGAACGAGCGAATCTGACAAGGGTGCTTTCGGCCCCCACCTCGCTTCTCAGCCCCTGCTATAAGGGCCACCAAGCGAATATGCATTCTGAGTCATATTTAGACCTAATCAGACTGTCTCGAGCCAGTAGAGAAGTGAGAAAGCAGCGAAAAAGCAGCGAAAAAGCAAGGAATGGAAAAAATAAAAACCAAGTTTGGATAAGACGTTAAGATGCTTAGCATGTCTCAATTCCAAATTTATGTGGGGCCAAGTTCAGCTGACACGGCTGATAACTTGACCTGCACCTCATGGCATTAACCTGAGGCTGAAAAAAGCTGAATACAATTGTACCATCACGTCATTTTTCGTATCTGGTTACAGGGTGGAAAGGGTATGTACGCCTGTTATTCAAGACTAAAGCACTTCGTATCATGTAAGCCCGCCCTCCATATCACTCCCCATTGAACGCCGAAAGAGGAGAAAGAAATCATGCCCCGAAACCATTCCCCACAGTGAATAGGATTACACAATGTGTGGAATCGTCAGACTAGTGGAAACCGTTACTTGGACCACGTCCAGAGTAGTGTGCCGTGCCGTGACGGAAGTACGGGTGGAGACATGCCTGTTTGGCTGACAGTCGGTGTGCAGGGTCAAACTCGAGCAGAGACTCTAGGAGCTGACATCCAGCCTCCTCTAGCCCGGGAACGATCTCGGTGTCAGGACGCTTCCACTTAGGGAAAGTGGCTTTATAGTCGGGGAATGAAGTTACGCCGGGCCAGATGTCTTCACCAGGGGTACCAAGGATGCTGCAATTCGTTAGTATTGTTGAATACAGAACAGAATGGAACCAGTCTCACCGGAAGATCTTGAAGATCTCGTCAATTTCAGAGTCACCGGGGAAGAGAGGCTTGCGTGTACACATTTCTGCGAAAATGGCGCCCACAGACCACATATCAACACCCGTGGAGTACTGACGTCCACCCAGCAGAATCTCTGGAGAACGGTACCACAATGTGACAACCTGTAGATAATGTCAGTAAATGGACAATTTCATCCATAGTATCGAAGATAGAATGCATACCTCGTGAGTGTAGGTGCGAAGGGGAACACCGAAAGCTCTGGCAAGACCGAAATCGGCCAACTTCAGGTTGCCTTCCCGGTTAATCAATAAGTTCTGAGGCTTCAAGTCACGGTGCAAAATTCGGTGGCTATGGCAGTATCGGATGCCCTCAACAAGCTGGGCCATGAATTTCTTGACAATTGCATCGCCCAGGCCCAGGGTTGTACCCGCCTTAAATCCATCGGGCAGAGGCTTCCCTCGCCCACCGTCACTGACGGGCAGGGCCTCCATGTATTTCTTAAGATCAAGATCGAGGAATTCGAAGACAAGGTAGAGCTTGTGGCCATCAGCGTGGACGATGTTCAGCAGCTGGACAATGTTGGGGTCCTGCATCTCCTTGAGGAGGGAAATCTCGCGGATTGCGGTGCTGGGCACGCCCTCATCTTCGGCTTCGAGGCGGATTTTCTTCAGGGCAACGATACGGTTGGGGTGATTGAGTTCACGGGCCTTGTAGACCACACCGTAGGTGCCTAAGGAGCATCGACGCGTCAGTTGGCCTGTGGGTGACACCATCGCGTTGAGGGTACATACCTTCGCCAATTTTCTCAATTTTCTGATAGTTCTCCATAGTGCCCGACATCCGATCCTTTTCTGCTGTTAATGATAAGAGAAATTTGAAAACAAAATGAGCCGAATGGTGTTTGACACAGAATAGAGTGAGGTTGCCAAGGAAGAATTCGTAGGGGAGGTAAGGAGAGGAGGTAGCCACTACTTACTTTGGGGATGTTGGTATCTGAGAACAGCTAGAGCAGCACGCTCTCCAAATTCCACCTGGAGATCAAAAAAAGCGATTTGTAGAAGAGATGATTGACAAAAGACAGTATTTCAATGGTGGGGAGAGAAAGACACAAAACAAACAACCCCCGCGCCTATCAGAGGGCGGTGAACCGCGTACCTTTTTTCTTTCCTTAATCAACTTTCTCTCTGACTTCATCTCTTCGCAATGGCTCAAATTAAGGGTCTGAGTGCTTATGATCGCCCTCCCGATGCTGTGAGACTTTGCTACAAGAAATATTCTAAGATTGCCTTGTCGGAAGTTGACAAGGATCCGGGGATCCTCGATTTGCAACGGATCGATCCCGACCAACTACCGGACGGAGTGACGATCGAGCAGTATATGTCCAGCCAGGATCTGCGATTGGCATTTGATGATTTCATTCGCGGAAGCCATGCTACAACAGAAGAGGATGCTCCTATGACTGAGAATATTCCAGTATTCGCTCACAAATCGATTTCCGGTTAGCATTGTATCGCCTCAATTTGGAACTGACTCAACAGGACAAAGAGCCATGCCTGACCTTCTGACAGGTCTCCTGATGATTCCTGCCCTGCTCCCTCCTACTATCCAGATCGAACTGCTCTCTCGCCTATTTCACCGAGACTTACCCAATTCCGAACATCAGACAAACCTACACCTACACTACGATATTACGTATCCCGATGAATCAGAAGACACCCGCATGCCCAAGTCGTTCTTTGCAGACGATCCCACCCGCACTTTGCAGCCCAAGGATCCTCAGGTACACAACCCATTGACGGTTCAAAATCTCTTAGAGAAAAAGCTGCGCTGGGTGACGTTAGGTGGACAGTACGACTGGACTGCCAAAGTATACCCGCCTGGTATTCCGCCGGAGTTCCCGCCGGATATTGCAAAGCTGCTACGCGCGGCCTTCCCACAAACTTCAGCACAGGCTGCCATTTTGAATCTATATTCCGCCGGGGATACACTGAGCGTGCACCGAGACGTGAGTGAAGAGTGTGACGTAGGTTTGATCAGCGTGAGTTTTGGATGTGACGGATTATTCTTGGCTAGCCACGACGACGGGAATGGTTGCGAGATCATTCGGCTTCGCTCAGGTGATACTGTGTACATGAACGGTAAATCGCGTTTCGCCTGGCACGGAGTCCCGAAGATTCTGCCCTCAACCTGTCCGAAATGGCTGGCTGACTGGCCATCATCCGGAGTGTCTGCTCCAGGAATGCCGCCTGGTCCATACGAGATGTGGAAGGGTTGGATGTCTAGCAAACGGATCAATCTGAATGTTCGACAAATGACAACCACTCAGGCTTCCGAAGAGAGAGCAGAACACGTTTGAAAATGGGAAATTCAGATGTCAGTAATGTCCACGGATCCTTTCCTTCGTCCAAGCGTGGAAGCATTGTATCGCGAACTACTCAAGCACAGAGACACTGGTATTGTTCCAATGCGTTCGATCAGATTTCGCTCTTCAATATCCAAAAGCGTACCATTTACAAGGCACTCTGTCTTTTTGCCAAGAGCAATGCCGATTTGCATTTCTGCGAGGTCCACCCCGGTGGAGATAAGCAGCCCTTAGACGAATCAACCGCACTTAACTAGTCGGGATGATATGGCTATCTTTGTAGTACTCCAAACCAAACCCCGACGTAGTGCGGGAACTGCACAAAGTGACTCCAACAACCCCGCACCTACGAAGGTGAATAGCGGCCAAGGTCTAAATGCCTAATTTTTCAGGCTTGCTGCCTTAAGTTACCTAAGGATGCCTTATTTAAAACTGGCAGAAAACTAAGATACCTGAATTACTATGGATGACTGGTGCCTTACTAAGCAAAGTATCTTTCCAGGTGCCCAAGTTCAATAAAATGAAGCTATTCCCACCACACAAAACAGCACACCTCCTAGTCCTGGCCATCGATAAAGACTGTTAAATAGGCTAGCACAACTTGGGCAAATCTGACATTTCTCCACGGTATAGCCCGAATAGCCGTATTTGTAGTGTTTTGGGAGAGAAATTGAAGGACCTCTGCTTTGTGAGGTTCAAGATCGATGTAAGTAGGTATTTGGGCGGTCGCGCTCGGTATCACGGCGATGGATAGATATAGGAATAGGTAGCTTTGGGGCGATGACGATGATGACGATGATCATGATGGGAATAGCTTCAGTTTCATTAAAATGCGACACGCTACAAGAATTCCGCGCTCTCATTGGCTGAGTCGGAGTGATGCAAACATCCATGGATGGCTTCATTTACAATACAGCGCATAGAGCGGTGTCCAAAAGCGGTCTAAAATAAAGCATATTGAGACACCTTCAGGCATTTAGACCTTGGCCGTTATATACCCTCGTACGCACCCGTACGTGCACTGCCCGATAAATATATAGTGTACTCTGTTCAGAAATCTCTTACGATATTTCAACGAACATCTCTCATCCAAAATGACTGGCGCGTCCTGGGAACTTAAAGGCGAATCCAAACGCCAGTCAATTCTAAATGCCATCCCCGAGAGATGGCGATTGGAATATCCTGTCCCTTCAGCTACAGAACTACGCGATGTCACGGGGGATTATATCCGACAATACCTCACCGAGCGTGAGATTAAGATCACAGAGACAGATGCTGTAGACATTGTGGCCCAGACATCTACAGGCCGCTGGTCAGCCCTGGAAGTGACAGAAGCCTTCTGTCACCGTGCTGCACTAGCTCACCAACTTGTACGTTTTATATATACATTTACAGCCCACACGAATGCATCAAATTACATACCAAATAAAATCTAATCATGAGCCAAACGTTAGGTCAACTGTCTCCACGAAGTATTTTTCGAAGCAGCGATTGAAGATGCCAAACAGAAAGACGAATACTTTGCAAAGCACAAAACCCCGATAGGACCCTTGCATGGCCTACCAGTCAGTCTAAAAGACCAGTTCCACGTGAAAGGCGTCGAAACCACAATGGGTTACGTAGGCTGGATAAATACCTTCCAAGGCAACCAGAATGACCCCCGCAGTGGCACAGAAGAAAGCGAACTCGTCCGCGAACTGCGCAATCTCGGTGCAGTTCTGTACTGTAAGACCAGCGTGCCAGCCACCTTAATGACTGGTGAAACTATCAACAACATCATCGGCTATACCTGGAACCCGAAGAACCGCCTGGTGTCCTGCGGCGGCAGCTCTGGCGGCGAGGGCGCTCTCATGGCGCTCCGCGGTTCGCCTGCGGGTTTCGGCACTGATATCGGAGGCAGTGTGCGTATCCCGGCTGGGTTTAATTTCCTCTATGGGCTTCGTCCTTCATCGGGCAGGATGCCTTATCAGGGCGCTGCGAACTCGTTAGATGGCCAGAGCACCATGCTGTCTGTTATTGGACCAATTGCACCAACTGCGAGGGCTTTGACGCTTTTGTTCAAGGCTGTGCTTGGACAGCAGCCTTGGCTGTATGATCCGCTTGCTTTGGAGCTACCGTGGCGGGATGAGGTTGTCCGGGAGACCAAGGAGTTGATTGAGAAGGCTCGGGCTGGAGAGTCGACGCTTGCATTCGGATTTATGAAATACGACAACATGGCCACCATTCACCCTCCTATTGCCCGAGGGCTCAGGATTGTTGAGAAAACGCTACGGCGCTTAGGTCATCGAGTTGTTGAGTGGAAGCCTCCTTCTCACGCTATCGCGGTTGAAATATTTGTATGTATCTGTAGGCTTGACATTTGGATTGACTGCAGCACGGGGCTAACTTTTGGTAGAATAAAATATTCAACATGGACGGTGGCGCTGACTTTGAGCATCATTTTGGTCTATCTGGAGAACCTCGAGCGGCGCAAGTAATCGGTGCCCGTGATGGTGTTGAGATGACAGCATCTGAGATTGCCGCCCTCAACGTTGCAAAGCGTGAGTATCAGAAACAGTACATGGACTACTGGCATAGCACAGCCAAGTTGACAGGCACGGGACGCCCTGTTGATGGGATCTTTTGCCCATTGGCGCCTCATGCTGCAGTGATTCCCAACCAATATAAATCTGTGGGATATACCGGATTTGTGAACGTGCTTGACTATACTAGTATTGCGATTCCAGTCACGTTTGCCGACAAGAAGGTCGATGTACAACCGGCTGATGCATCTGTGAATGATTTTGAGCACATTCAGTGGGATTGTAGGTTCTCCCATGCCTCCTCTCTCGTAACTTAATCCTAATCGCCGTATAGATGATGCTGAGGCCTACGATGGGGCCCCAGTGGGAGTGCAATTGGTAGGCAGGAGATTGCAGGAAGAGAAGATGTTGACTCTAGCTGAATACCTGGGCGAAGAAATTGCTCAAGATGCGAAATAGTGTCTGAGTCCAAAGATACCGAACTGTATCTAGCCCGTAGTGCTTTTTTTATTGTCAATATCATATCATATCGCTGTAATAGAGTACCTGAGCATTCATTGCGATTCAATTAAACCACTAGACGTTCATATGAGTATATAATGATAATCATGTTATTCTCTAGTAAAATGCGTAGATCCAGGAGCAGACCAAGCTACATACTATCTCAAGCCAATGCAAAATATAAATGATAGCCCCTCAACGCCGTGCCCAATGCTTTTCTACAAATATTATATTCCAGATCAATTCCTGGACGACGATGGAGGCGTCTGTCCCGAGGGTGCAGCAAGATTAGATAAATGGGGGGTGGAAGATCCCCAAGGTTTACCAGCTGTAGGGGGCGGAGCATGACCAGACTCGGACGAAGGACCAGACGGGTCTTCTGTACCATTCATGAGGCGCTGTCGCTTAGCCGGAGGCAGTCCACCCACGTGGCCCATACCACTGGGTAGGGCGCTGGATGGGCTGCGAGGATCAGCATAAGAGTGCGGTGAAGCGTAGTGGGTAGACGAAGCAGGAGTGGAGGCAGCCGCAGCATCTGGGCTCAAAGCCGCAGCAGATTGCAAGGGGCGCAATCGATTCGGATGAGAGGTGGTGTCTTCGCCTGGGCGTGGAGGCCTGATATCAGGGCTCTGCTGAGACTGGCTTTGCTCTGAATCCCCCAGCGGACTGGGGTTTCCACAACCAACCCCAATCCTGCCCATGCCCTTATCGTGCATGATAACACGTTTCCATTTGGCAACCACGTTATCGTAGTCCCATCGGGCAGAATCGGCACTGATGTAGCTTTCTTGCGCGTCTAATTCCCGCGCTACCTCCCGTGGCAGGGGAAGGGTATCCGGGGGAAACAGTGCGAACTCACGAGGCCACTGGCATGATCCGAGGCGCTCTACCTGAGCACGCAGCTGGTTTGCTTCCTGTTGAACCCGAGCGAGTTGCTCATCTGAGGATTTGCGCTTCTCTGCCTCCCGCACAAATGCACGTGTAATTTCCAATTGCCACGCCTCACGACGGGTGTCGTGAGGCAGGGAATTCCAATGATTGAAGGCCAGTTCCAAGTGTCGAAAACTGATATCCTCATGCTGTTGTGCGCTCCGGTATATCATATTCGGATCCACCCCGCTATTCGCATGTCTCGAGTGCGCCGCACCAGTAGAATCTACTGCGAGTTGGTCGGTCTGCCACTGTGCCACCTTCGAGCGAAGGGCTTGGCGGATTATATCGAGGTGCTCCGCGCCGGGGGGCTGTAGGGGAAACGAGGCAGTAGAGGAAAACGGATGCGGCGCAAACAGGCTGGGTGGAGGAGGGAGCAGCTGCAGACACATGGAGGGAAATGTCTGAGCTTGAATGTCGAAGTCGAACGGAGATAACCGAGGCCGAATACGGGAGCTAGTGTGTTGTGAGCCTAGGAGTTAGATATAACGACAGGAATGAGCTAATATACCTCGCAGCTTTGATATTATCAAGCACCTCGCGTAGTGCCAGCTCCAGCGCCCGCATCGTATCCGGGTTGCTGGAGTTAGCACCTCTACTTGCATAGTCTGGTAGCTGTAACGACCCTGTCCGAGACTGTGATGGCGCAATTCTGGGCCCATCCGGCACGCGACTGGGGTTTGGAATATCGTTTATCACCCCAGTCGCGTGCCAGGTAGGTGTATTAAACATCATGCGCACCGGAGCCTCGCGCGACTTCGATCCCGAGTCTGCGGCTGTAAATGGCTCTGATGGGCCCTTTCTCTGGCCTCGGTCGGGACTGCCCTCGGTCTTCCCTGTGGATGTTCGGGCCTGGCGCCGGGTGATTCCACTGCGAATTCGTCTGATCTCTTCGACGTCGTGGATTCCGTCGGGTTTCTTCTTGAAAAGGAATTGGTCGAGGTGTCGACCCAATGATGAGGATGTAAAAGCCTGTTGGCAGTACTGGCATTTTCGATCCTTCGCGGCAAGACTGGCCTTCGAATCGTCACCAGCAGCCGAGCCATCGGGGGTATCTCTAGCAGTGTCTGTTTCTTCCTTCATGGTCGCGGAAGTAGAAAAAGGAGGTGAATGGAATAGGTGGAAAGTTGTTGAGCTTATAAAATCATGGCATATAACGTGGTGCGCCTAGAAGCAGCAAGTTGGTATAGGTAAAATTCTACGCGCAAGATGAGAGAGGGTGAGAAGGCGGAAAAATGCCAAGCTTTTGGGCGCGGAGTTGCGCGATGAGCAATTTTGTTGGCCAAGGCACATGGAGATTTATCTAACAATATATATCCGACTTATTGATCTCTAGCGAATTAGATATTGCGTGTAACGGTTTCAATGCCACCCATGCAAGTACCAGGTAGAGATCTTCAATGTAACTAGGCCTCCCTCAACCAATGGACTACCTACATAGTAGGTGCATATAGCACTTTGAGCAAATTAAATTTAAGGAAATGGTGTGTTGTTCCGGAGATATATTTGTTATAATAGAACATAGGACTCGAATACCCTCTACCTTATCAAGTCTCGGAGATTGTGCCAAGTCAATGACACACGCGGAGAGAGTAGATGAGAGAACACAAGAGGCTAGAGACTAACACACGATGCACCCGTGCGCTGCATGGAAGACACGGTGTAACCACTTTCAAGAATGGTCTTTGCCCTTTCTCGTCTTACGCTCACTGAGCCAGCGTTTCATGTTGCGAACACCGTGCAAATACAACCAGGAGAAGGCAAAAACAAGAGCAAAATTGAAGATGATGAATGCCCAGAGGATCCCCTAATGAATGTTAGATGAATTTGACATTCAAAGTTAGCCCAAGATCTGTAAAGCACGATACTCACATAATCTCTCCACTTGTGCGAGTAAAACACATTGAAGCTCTTAGCCTGGAAAGTGTAACAAAGTCCTAGTTAGCCATACCCCAAGTTTGCCGACTAAGATATCCAAGCAAAGGAGATCAGGACGATGCATCACTTACCCATTGACCGCCGTTCGAGTATTGACAGAACGAGCACATTCCATTCCCAACGTCTCGAACATATCCACCGGCTTTTTCGGCATAAGACCTAGCGTAGTCTTGACAGGTCATTCCAGCCGGAGTGCTAAAGCGGGATTCTTCGCGGTCAATACAGCGCACGGGGACGTTGTTCGTGATAGCTCCAACAAGTCCTTCAAGCAGATAGTGGAAAGGCGTAAGCCAATACATCCACGACTGCCAAAAATGTGGCATCGCGGCGTAAGGGACAACAACACCGCAGAAGGAGGCAATGAAGGTAAAGAAAGTCGGCACAAGCAAGCTTGCAAATAGCTCATTAGGCGCAAGAGCGGCTATGAATTGACCAAGTCCAACATAGTATAGTTCAAAGAGCATCAGGCACATCCAAACGTAGCCGGAACTAAATGAATCGCGCGGAAACCAGGTTCCCCAGTACCTTTTGTATTGGTGTCAGAGATGAGAGATAAAGTTCCATCTTAAAAGCCACTTACCAGCAGTTAAAGTAAATTGACCCGGCGACAATTGAGTATGGCAGTTCTGGGACAATCGTGCTCGTTACAAAGGCAGCCCAAGAGTAGATCTTGGAGTTAGCCTCGCGAGATTCATAGAGGCCTCGGAAATGGAGATACCGCGGTTGAAGTTGCTGTATCAGAGGTGGAGCTATCGTTAATGTCATGAAGGCAGAGAAGAGTCTTGATTGCATGTCTATGAGGCTGTGTCCTAGATGCCAGAATGTGAAGGTGTTGAAAAGGCCCGTGAATATGTGGAGCATGAATTTACCCTGAGTAGTGATCAGCTAAGTAAGTTAGGTGTAGTATTTAAAACGAAGTGACTTACAAGCACGTAGTCTGGGGCCCTCCAGTAAGCCACGAATGCGCGCTTGGTGACTGCCACTAATTGAACGTAAAGTGGCATTGCGTACTCGCGGTCATCGTTGATCTTCTCGTCATCTTGACCATTGCGACGGGAGGCAATTATACCTTCTAGTTCCTCGGAAAGCTGCTTTGATTCTAGCGAGTCGGCCCACACATTGCCCCAATCCTGCCCCTTGTAATCAGGGTTTCCGGCTCCAATGACTTCCAACATATACTAGGGAGAATATCAGTGAGGAACAATAGCTCTGGCTTTAGAATGCACACCTCTGCCGGATTCTCATGCGGTGAGCATTTCTTCCCTCCATTTCGTTCAAAGTAACCAATGAGCGTCTTAGAGTCGTTTCCAAGGGGCCCATTGTAAACAACCCTTCCGCCGCTTTTCAGCAGCAAGAGATCATCAAAATTTTCAAACAACACATCAGAAGGCTGATGGATTGTACATAACACGGCCTGGCCGGCATCTGCGAGTCGGCGAAGGAAGCGTACAATGTTGAACGCAGCTAGAGAATCGAGGCCAGACGTCGGCTCGTCCAAAAAAAGTAATAGCTCGGGTTTACTTGCCAATTCCACTGCAATGGTAAGTCGTTTGCGCTGCTCTTGGTTGAGGCCCGAGCCCGTGGATCCAACAGTTGCACCTGCGATGGACCGCATTTCTAGTAAGTCAATGATTTTCTCACAGTAATCATACTTTTCTTGTAATGGGACTTCTTTTGGTTGCCGTAACAGAGCAGAGAACCGAAGAGACTCCCGCACAGTAGCGGTGGGTTCGTGAATATCCATCTGTTCGGCGAATCCAGTCGCTCTCTGGAAGCTCTTTGGTAGAGGCCTGAAAATATTAGAGTGCGTACTTGGTGAAATAAATTAAAGATTCCCTACCTTCCATCAACCAGGAAGTTTCCAGTGACCACCCCAAAATTGATTCGCTGTGCTAAGGCATTGAGCAATGTAGTTTTCCTGGTGCGACATTAGCGTCGAGGACAGGATCAACCTTGTTGCATATCTTACCCTGCGCCAGAAGCCCCCATCAATGCAGTCAGCCGACCAGGCTTGACATACCCTTGAACGTTTTGCAATAATTGTCTCTGGCCACCCTTGTATGGAATGGTGTAGTTGACGTTTTGCCATGTAAATATTGCCGTGTTCTTAGCAATGGCCTGGACCTCATCACCAGATTCACTTGAGTCGTTTTTATTGGAGACTCTGCCATCTTTCTCCGCGGACTCCTCGTCTTCTCGGGCGCCGGACCGTTTGATGACATCTTGAACTGCTTTCGGAGCTTCGCTTCTTTTGAACACAGTGACCGAGCATCCACCCTTATTAGGTCTCTGTAACTCCATCCCCAGCATTGTCAAACAGATGAAAAAGATGAGCCATCCAATGATGATGCCAAAGTTCCGCCACAGGTGAGCTCTGGTATAAGTGTACGCCGTTTTGATATACTTGGGGCCATGAACAACCAACTGGTCCGGGTCACTGCCTTGGATTGCACAAGTTTGGTGACCAGGTACCGCATTTGGCCCATCAGGCACAATGTAGGGAGGTTCGCATTTTATCTGGAAATGATAGAACTCATTGGCCATCAATGCTTCAAATGCGTATTGGACAGGGTTGATCCAAATGAGCCACTTTAACCATGGATGCATTTTCCACGGAGGAATAAGATAACCTAAATTACGTTGGCCATTAATTTCAAATAGCAGTTCTTATTGTACTGGGCTCACCTGTGTAGACGATCAATGCCTGGATGGCGACACCAGTGAGACGTGTGGCTATACAGTATTATTAGAGAATTTTTGATAACAGAGAATTTGCTTCACTTACCAACATCCAATGAGGCACATAGGGCCCCAAGGGCACGAAAAAATGAGTACATCGTCATTGTGAGAATGAAAATAAAAAGTAGATTTATAAAAAACTGTGAAGCTGTGCGTGAAAGGTTTGCCATGCTACATAGCTCATCAGTTTAATCCATGCAAAGCGCCCAATAGGACTCACAAGTATACTATGAGATCAAATAGGACGACTTGTATGAACACAAGAGGCACATCAACCACAACCTGGGCAAGCGCATATGCCGCAGGGCGATAGAACGAACTAGAAAAATTAGTCCTGTTATTTCCCGTTTCTTCGTTCCTGTTCTCACAAGCTTTTATGTTTCATCAAGATTGGTCGACTCTCGAATGCTGCTGTTAACTCTGCCATAGCAAGCAATGCATTGAAAAGCAGTATAAAGAACATCACTCCACCCCTCGTAAAAACGCCGTTGCTGGAAATGGTGAGTTATATGGAGTCTAGTCATATTTGGAATGGCAATTACGTACCTGGTATCCGGGAGATTGTAAAACAAGCTACCAACAATGAGGGCTTGAAAAGTTATCACACTCCACTTTCCAATTAATGACTTTCGGTCACCAACCATAACCAGAAACTGACGATGTGTCAGAATCATGACCTGTTTGTAGAACGAGATCGTGTAGTTTTTCCGCTTGCTGCTACTTCTTGCAGCCTCTCTCTCCTGCCTTTGGGCTTCGACATCGGCCTCCAAGCTTTCAATATCCGCCAAGTTGCCTTTGTAAGTCTCACTTTTGCGATATGCAGCTTGAAATTCAGCTGCATTACGAGGAATTCGGTCCTCCCAGCCATCTTTGACACGTCTTGCGTGAGGGTCACTGACAGAAGTCAAGAAATCGGGGGTTGTCCAGCGTGGGGGGCATACAAAGCCCAGCCCTTCAAAATAAGCCTTTGCATCCTGGCTGGGTCCAAAGAAAGAGCATTTTCCATCTTCTATTAGAATCACCTTGTCAAAAAGATCAAATAGATTCTCTGAGGCTTGATAGAGAGCTACCACCGTTGAAACGTTGGCCGTGTTTGTTAGACTTCTTAAACTTTGAACATACTCCAGCGCTGTACTAGCGTCCAATCCCTTGGTGGAGTTGTCCCAGCACTGTGTGCTAGCCTTTGTAACCATAGCTTCGGCAATCGAAGTTCGTTTCTTCTCACCTCCAGAAACTCCTCGGATAAGTTCGTTGCCAACCTTGGTTCCTAGAGCATGTTCAATCCAGAACAGCTTAGCGATGGCAGTCAAAAAGGTCTGCTGATATTCCTTTCTGCTTTCTCCTGGAATGCGTGAGGCCTTGTCGGGAGTTCGGGTTTTCAGGGCAAAAAGCAGTGTATCTCGCACAGTCAAAGTCGCATAATGGAGATCATCCTCAGGGTTGTACAAGACTGACAGTTTTAGTTCAGAACCATAATCATACAAAGGATAGCATACCTTCAGACCTATACTGCTTTGCCATTGTTTCTGAATCAGTGCCATCATACCGCACATCGCCTTCAACGCTTTCGTAGCCCGCTCGTTGGTTTCCCAGCACTTTCAAGAAAGTGGAACAGCCAGAGCCAGGGCGACCCAAAACAAGCAGCATCTCCCCCGGACGAACACAACCCTTGATGAGGGATTAGGCGCGCCGCTCTCTGGTGGTGAGAAATAGACTTACATTAAAATCATCCAAGATGGTTCGTATCGGTGCTTTTCCAGCCCCAGCACCTTTCCTACCCCCAGTGAATAGTTTCTTGATGAGCCGTGGCAACCCAAGAAAAATATCCCCATTGGTAGGCTGAAGAGCAGCCCCAAGGCCCACACCCTTCACAGTGAGGTTCCTCCATACAACTCCAACATGACGTGTTTTCTCTTCTTCAGAATTCGCTTTGCGCTCAGCGCCGAACATCCGTGAGATCAATCTTTCTATCTGGGCCCATTCCTCTCCTTTGGTATCATGGCCGGAGGCATGACTGCGTCGGCGAGATTTAGTACGTGCGATGCCATCTTCATCTAAATTAAGCCACGAGGGATTTTCTCGGGAGTCCAATGGAGCAGTGCGGATTGGCGCGAAACCTTCGGTCGGAAACGAACCGACTGGAGAAGATGAAGCGTCAGAGGAAGAAACGGAATTGCGAAAAATTTGTTCTAGGTTTGCAGCTAATATGGACTCGCTTTCCATAGAATGGCTGTTTGCCATGATCCTTTTTCAGTGTAGGCCGAGAAATTTCGAAATGCAGACGCTCAACCTAAATATCTCCCGCGTTGTCATACGCGATTATGAGACAAGGTGATACCGGATGACCATAGGTGCATATGTAGCTGAGCGCGACACCTCGGTTAGCGACAACAAACAGAATCATGGATATCCCTGATGTGAAGGAAATGAAAATGCAAAACACAAGTCTTTTGGAATGTAGGAATTACGTCAAATATCGTTGCAAAAGGAGATCTCGGATCGGAATGTGAAGGAGCCGAAATATTATCCAGCCCTTTTGTTATTTCACTTAGTTTTGTAGCTGTAAGGAGGTATGCGGCTATTTATACAGCTGCGTCATCACACCTTGTTATATACGTTTCTCAATCTAAAGGTATATGTACACCGTACTAAACGCGAACAACTGATTGTAGGGACATATCTTCGTATCTATTAAATTGTAGGGAGTAGTCTAATATGTGTGAGACATCTCAAAAGTCCCACATTCCAAGCTCTCTATCCCCAGTCATGAAGTCATCGATTCTACATGGAGTCAACATAATTTTAGATCAATTATAAGATGAAAAATTCTCAAGTCGTAACAGCTGCGCAGGTATATTTCAGCTGATAGTTGAACTCTTATAAATTTGACTTTGGGATAAAGCAGTTCATGCTCAGGGACAGAATGGGCAGTGCTGTCAACATGACCTGTCTATATGGGAAAATATAAACATACACGGAATTGACTGCCGACGAGATTTACCAACTTATTTTACTATGGCACAACAAAACTCTAGTTTTATCGGTTTACCAAACAGTCATGATGAGAGTAATTTTATTATCATGATCTCGTCATTCTGGGAAATAGAAGTCAATCATACATCTAACAATCAGACAAATATTGACTGCGGCTATCAACACAAGACTACCGAGTAGAGTAGACAGAGTGTTAGTAAACAAGATACCCCACATAATGTTCCAGTAGGTGTGCGAAAATGTAATAGATCAATTCTAATTTAGCTCTCGATCACTGCCTAGAGATTTTATGGTGTTCACCGAGTTGAACATTAAGGAGGCACGAACGGACCATCATTCCCTGATCAAAAACAGGGCAGCACGCCATGATTACAACATACTCTCCTATTGTGTAGTGATAAAGCTCTAGATTTCTGCCTCAGGGTAGGGCAAATGAGCCTCTCAGCCTAGAAATCCTTCAGGCTTCTTGTTCAATACTCTTATTGCTGATAGCAATGAAGCCCCATCGCGCTCACAGATTCCTCCGAAAGGTATTGGAATTCTTCCATTTATCTACTCCTTCATCCAAGCGTACGGTCAAATCTCGCAGCAAGTATGTCTCCAACTTTCCGTAGGATAGATTGCCAACGATTAACGAGTGGTTCAGTGCTAAGCTGTGGTGTGTTGCTACCACTACACCTACTCTTCACAGTATTTCTGCTGCCAGAGGATGTGACCATGCCGAGGTGAATGTTCAAGTTGATGATCCTCCTCAGTATAGTAGCTTTGGCAGTGGCGCCCTCGAAAAGCCAGCTTCGACCCGCAGCCAACTGGAGTGTCGCATTGTGAAACTCTGGAAGAAAGTGTGGCTGGGTCTTTATCAAATTGATGACAATGAAGATCTATACCATGTCGAGCGACTCGAGGCACTTTCTCTTGGGGCTGGCCTAACTCGTACGTATCGAGTTGGTGAGCTTCAAGTTCTCATGCGTCATTTTCTTCGAAGTGAGACCAACAACGGCATTGCTTCAATGAAGCTTTTCCACGGTCTGTCTCTTTCAACCCTCCTAGCTGTGACCCATATTCTGGAGGCTTATGAAATTGAAATTGACAACATGAGGCTACTCTGTTCCATTTTACGAAGTGGCCAGCTTGCACTGCATGAGACTGCCGACCTTGCTCAAACTGCTGTTGTCAGGACCGAGTACATGGCAATTGCCGAGCCAATGGAGAAGCGGATCAGACATTATGATATTCGAATGAATGTATTGAATATGGAAATTTGTGATGAGGCAAGGGGTTTCTATGAGCGACAAAAGGGGGAATATATTTACCACAAGGCATTCCCAAATGCGTGGTAAAAATGCGACTTTTTGGATCTATTCTCCCTTTCACTGTGACACGTGTTAAGGGATTTTTGAGTACAATCAGTATGATTTGGATTATATATAAGTTTAATATCCTGTTTAAGTGATAATTATGCTCATGTTGTTATTGGCCTGTAAAGTCCAGTAGGCACAAATCTGCAATGATAAGGCCACCCACACGCGCTTGCATGAGCTTTGATACTGAAGAGTTTCAAATTTGACTCTGTCAGCATTTAAGAATCGAGATAGCACTGTTGAGGGTTTGTAGAGCTGGATTTCAGCCCGAGACACAAGGCATTCCAAACCACATCGTCTCTCTTTGCCACCAATAATGTATGAATAATATATATTCATGAAAACTGCCACAACTTGTTGGTAACGTTTGAACTCTTATGTACATATTGATTTATGTATTTGATTTAAAAAATCCGAGAATGATGCCATGGCTCACACCTGGGGGCGATCCGTTCTAACGGTACCTTTGACTTTCACAGAGTCTGTCTCACCCTCGCCCTTTTTGCTCTTGCCAGGGTCGTTCACAAATGGGTTCATGGTATCCCCATTATCAAGGCCTTCCTGCTTGAGTGATATGCTTCCGCGTCCATCGGGTGGGCCCATGCCTCGAGGCTGTATGAAGGTTAGACGTACATTCTCTCAACACTCTCGATCATCAAATGACGATAGTGCAACCCAGGCTCTGAAGATAAGATACGAGAAGAAAAAACAAACCTCGTCATAATCAGAAGACCTGAAGCTGAGGTTCTGTCCAGTGTCTTCATTGCCCTCTGCTCCTTGAATATACTCTTGATTCGCCCCACGTCGCTCTCTAGGAGCCGGAGCCTGGGTGGTAGGCATGTTTATATCGCCTTTCTGCCACAGATAGATTGATATTGGTAGCCCTAGGCCAATCGATACTAGTAACCTATCAGAAGGAATAAAGTGTAAGTTAGATGTGACAAGTGCAATATATTTCATAAGGAAGACTAACCACCGGGGGCTCTTTGCGTGGCCACTCGGTTTTTCAGTGGCAAAGAATCTTGGACTAGGATTCGGCCGATGTGATTCAAGTCCTACAGATGGGCGGAAATGCTGTCTCACTGCTGCATGTCGAAATGAATGGCGGATAAAGCTCATACTCGTGGTTCGATGAAACTCAAAGGTGAGTAAATAGGACCATAGAGCGATATATATTAAGACTAAGAATGGAGAGAAGTTGAATTTAGTGAACTACCACAGTACATGAGCCCCACACCATCGATGTGCTTTCATTGTTACATCATTTTACTTCTCGGACTTCTTTCCAAACAATTGTTCTAAGCTTACCCTTGTACCTCCAATGGGACTCCATTGTGACTTCAATGAGAGTTGTAGAGCCTTATTATGGGCTCGAGCTAAATGGTGACGCCTCTGGAGAACTTGCGGGTGTACAAAGTTATATGTAACCCTCTGGCAGGTTGACTTTTTTCACTCACCAGGACCTGCAAGGAAACCTGCAAGCCCTACTCGATAAATTGATCTTATAGTCTCACTAACTATTCGAAATTTATGAGTTGCTTCAGTATTCCTTTGCCAACAGTCAACATATAGTTGGAGGTCTAGAGGTTTGCCACCACAGAAATTGATCTATACAAACTGTGTGTCAGACTTCATAATTACAATAGTTTGCATTCGCTAGCTTCTGCAAGGGGTAATGAGGAACATTTTAGTTTTTACAGTTTGAGCGTTAAGACGATGAGAAAAGTTATTATACACTGATCATTCTCACAAACCGATCACCAAGGGCATTTGCCGCCAAAGGATTACCAGCAGATACCAGCTCCCGATGCAAAGTGGTACCGCCAGTCTTTTCACGTACACCCTCAACCATCACCGCACCCTCATTTCTCAAAGTCGACTCAACTTTCTCGGCCTCCCCACCCCACAATGTCTCCATCAGATTCTCTTCCGCATCGCTCCACGACGTCATCTTGTACCCATTATAAACAAATGACCCATCTCCTGCCTTCCTTGTACTCAATAGTGCGTAGGGTCCATGGCAGATTACAGCTGTGGGCTTGTTCTCCCGATGGAAATAACGCAGAATTCGCCCCAGTTCAGCATCCCCTCCGAGATCATGAAGCGGTGCATGTCCACCCGGGATAAAGACAGCCGCAAAGGTGGTCAACTCACCGTCGCTGATAGTGCTGAATGGACGTGGACTGCTGAATCCGTTCTCGCGCTTCATGCGTTCGATAAGATTATTTTCACGCTGACGTTCGTAGAAATTTCCGGCATTTGCGATAAGTGATTCGCTGCTTGGGTCTGGGGCGGGCTCGTGGCCTTTAGGTGAGGCAAATGTCACCTCGTGGCCTGCGTTGAGTATTTTGTTCAATGGCTTTGCGAGTTCTTGCAGGAAAAATCCTGAGGGCTGATCGACAACCTTGCCAGCATCGTGTCCACTGTTCCTCTTTAAAGGAAACGAGTGTGCGTCGCTGAGGATAATGAGAACTTTCTTCGAATGCATTGTGAGAAGAGGTGAAATGAATTTCGAAACCTGAATGTTCGAACCTTACAACCGTCCTGGTTTTATATCCATCAAATAACATCAGTTGTCCTACAATGACAATGAGATGACGTACCAAATCTCCGCCCATATCATATGTAGCCACCACTCATCATATGAAGTTGCATGGTTCTCCGTCAGATTGACATATCAAAAAGTGATCCTCCTTGACTAGCGCAGTCAAATAAATACCCATGACTGAGAATATCGTACGTATATTTTCAAAAGAAATATGGACAATTTGTTCTCGGTCAGGAGGCTTCCCGCATTCTACCAACATCCGATCAAGTTTTCGTTGGTATTTTCCTGATAGTAGAAGTTCTGCAGATGAGTTTGTAGAGATTATGGGCCCTATGAACCCGAGATCCGTATGTAGTAAGGGGCTGGAGTAGACAGAGGGGAAGGTCGTGGCGATGGGATTGATCATCAACACCCACAAATATACGCAAATATCCACAACAAGTACTCCGTACTGGATCGTCTATATGTGGACGCGCCACCGGGAAGGAGACCAACGATGGCATCAACGGGGAGCTTGGCGGTGATGGTGTTGAGTAGCTACCTAGGTAGACGACAGGACTTCTGACAGGAATTCTGCGTGACTTGGGACTAGAAGTAGCGCTGGAAGTAGTGGTGGCGACGTGCAGATCAATGGACAGCTGGTCGTCGTGGCAGTTCAGGATAGTATTAATATCAACCTAGGATAGATGCGACAGATGGCTTAGAAAGAGAACCTAGATTGAAATAAAGTCAAGTTTTTGAGAAGCTGTATCCTATTTTGGGTAAGAGAGGTGGTTCGTATCTAAACTGGACTGGGGATGCGGCAGGTGGCAGGCACTGTTCTGGCAGCCAACCATGTGACTACAACAGAGACAGAGAAACGAATTACGCAATATCTCATAATTAGATGTCTTGCAAGATATAGAAAGGAGCACTGCGGCAAAATAAATTCTAGCAATCGCAGTGTTGTTTGCAGAAGCTGACAATATATGAAGGACGCGGATATTGGTATCTTGTTCGTGCGCACTGTTACGCCGTGATAGGACATTCATGCAAATATCTTCCCCTTAATTCTCTAACTCTTCTAGAGTTTTTGCAAGATTACTTTGATGCGCTTAATGTGACTCTTCCAATGTTGCTGTCTCTTCAAACTCCTGCTCATCACTGACACCGTTGATTGCAGCCATTGCGGCCATCTGCCGTGCAGCCCTACCACAGATGAAAGCAGTTTCCTCTGCAAATATCCCGTTTTCTGCCAGGTCACGGAATCTTGCTTCCCAGAATTCCCATCTCTCACGGGACAGACCCTCTTTGCCGAAATATAGAGGGCCAGGTTTCAAATACCTCAAGTTGGGTAATTTGTCAAGAGAATGAAATATTATGTCTCTGGAATGTTCGATCCACTGCGCGGAAGCGCGGATTCGACAATCCAAGAATTCCTTTGCTTCAATATGCTCCTCTTCGAGCGCATCATGGAAGCACAAAGTCGTCAAATGAAACCAATCTGCTAAGCCAGCCTGAAGTACGCGGGCTGAAAATGCATGCCAATTTACCCATTTAGCAAACTCAGAAGCATCACCCTTTGGGCTAGGGGCTGTTCAGTAAACAGTTAGTTTATATTTATATGGATATTATGTTTCAAATTGACGTACTGATATAAGCCTCGCTCCATACTTCCATTAAACAAGGAAGATCTGTCCAAATTCGCGGTCGTGCCTACATAAAAAGATAAGCAAGTCAGTTGAGGAGCTGAATATGACAACTGGAAAGCTAATACCGTTTCGTAAAACGTGACTTCCACTCCCGGCAAGGCTTTCAGCTCTTTCATGATCTCAACCATTTTATCTTGTGCTGGATGGTCATACGAGATTTGCTTCACAATCTCGCTGAATGTTCCCCAAAATTCCAAACACCAGCTTTCTGGGTGTTCCGCCTCTTCGCCTTTTGCCTCGCGGCTCATCGGAGTGAGTTCATTAATTCCAGCCGCGGCTTTGGCAGCTGAAATCTTGCTGGCTGGTTGCAAGCAGTCATTTAGGATCATGAAATATTTCTGCTCCACAATCCATGGGTCATCACTGTCAAGAGACGCAAGGCGTATCTGGAGAGGTGCAGCCATGATATATGTAAATATTACCAAGGAAGAGGTTTGGGATAAATTCCTATCTAAAATGTACTAAACGGCGATTTTATCAAAGCGGGGGGCTGCCACTATATATTAACACCTGATATTTGCGACCCACGCGCGCGGTTACTCCTACAAACTAGGATTTTTTTGATATTTTTTTGTCTTCTTTTAAACATATAGCGTAGTTGGACCCATCCTTGGCTTTAACATTGGCCAATCAAGGAGGATGATCAGCACTGTTTAACCGCCGCTATCACCCCATGTCGGCCACTTTAATACGGTGGCCCCCACCGTCACTACGATGAAACAGTGTCATGTGCAATTCTCATACTTTACGGAGCATTTATGACACTGAAAATGAGGACCAGCTGACTGGCAGCTATCTTTTCTTTACACAAATAGCTCTACATATTGTATCTCTCTGCGGGTACCCCGTGATTATAACCGAGAGCACCCTCTTTGACCCCCGATGCTATGGACCATGGTTTTCATCATGCGATGGAGCATTGAAAATGATTACATAGTTTATAACTGATTGCTTGGTGGATGAAGGCGCTTATCTCTGTTCGTAGGCAGATTATACTTCCAAGTCTTTATTCCTATATCTGGTTATCTACTTGGTTGTGTCATATATGAGATCTTTGCAACAAAATGAGTTGTTGATTAGTATGTAGTAGCATGGTTTTTCCTTTCGCACTCTTAGATGAAGAGGTTCTTAACATGGAAGGCACTAGGAAGGATCAATTACTTAACGGAAGGAGCACCTCGTAATTGTGTTCGTACCCTACTGAGTACAAAAAATATCACGTTCCTGTCAAATTTGATAATCTCAACGGACAGAACTCTGGAGACTTCCACGGCAGTTTCTATCACCATCCCCCTCTCCTTTCCCGACCTATCTTCCATCTTCCTCCCCATCTCACCTGTCTTTTGTTAACCCATCTCCCTTTTAGCGAGACGCATTTGCAGAATGGGTCGCTGGGGATTCCGTACGTCAAGATCGCAGGAATCCTTCTCTGGACTCAGTCTCACTGACCTCTCTGTTCTAGGTCTGTTCGAGTCAGCCGATGACTTGGACTTTCCTATCATGCTGCCAGGAATCCTTGGTATTGATGAAAATGAGTGGGAATATACACTTCGCCAACTAGTCCACCAAAGTGATATGCTTGCTCTAGCGGAGTCGACTGCTTGGTAACAGACCCTCGAATACGCCAAATTCCTTGAAGAGACCATAGTCCCCCATGTTTGCAAGAAACTCGACACGGATGGGCTGAGATAGCAGCTGTTCGAAAGATCGCGCAACGGTGAACAGTTCTTAGAGCCCTGATACCAGACTGTTCTTTTGGCTGCTATTATGATGAGGGCGGGGGCTCTCATCAAGCCGGAACATCTGCCGTACCTCCGCAAGGCAGCTCTGACGATTGAGGCAAAGTTGACCCAGATCCAATTTCTTGCAGGTTTAGATCACTACCAGCCTGGTGTTCCCCGGAGTTTCCAACATGATTTGTTAGTTGAGTCCTCGAAGCATGATATTTGACTTGCTAACTAGGATTTTGTAGCTGTATCAACTGTGGCGAGGCCACCGCTAATTTACAGCTCTTTAAACAACAATGATGCTTCCTAGGGCCCTTTTCTGCGTTTGCAGCAAGTTCGCCACAGGTTACGGGAACATTTCCTAGCGAAAGAACAGTCGTGCACTAGTTATCCTACTGTATAATTATATTTTCTTTCAATTATCACAGTATATCTGGGACTCTACATAGCTATAATTCTACAAAGTACACATATAAGTGTGTCTTGCTCAAGTCAAATTTAAAAGAAACAATGAAGGAGGCATAGATATAATTTGCACATGTAATCATATGTAGTGTCCACTCACAACCTCGGGAGAATATTGAGTCCATTTTATTTATTCAACTTAACCCCTCTGCACTACGGAGTACTCCGTAATGAATTTGGAAATATTGGATTACTACTTCGTACCTTTTCATTGGTCTAGCATTGAAGTTAGTACTTGCCAATCGGTAGATCGCCTCGTTCCTCATTTTCCATAACCGTGCCAAGCGTGCCAACGCCACTAGTGGTATCTAGTGGCGTTCGTGCGCCCTAGTAAGACAAAAGCTAGAAATTAGGTATCTTTCATATGAGTTCCCCATACAAAGGGTACTTAGCTATCATCTGGATTTTCTCAACTGAAGTAACTAAAAAGAAGGTGAAACAGTACTAATTTATAATAGTCTAGCTCAATCTCAACGCTCTGTAGTTATAGCGGTATATGTTTTGGTACGCTTAGTGGATTGGGTCTAGATTCTAGTATGGAGTCCCTATGTACGGAGTACGGAGTACTGGATTTCTTATGCCACATCTTGGCATTCTCTTTCCGTTTTAGTCCTCATATCCACGCTGCTTTTGCTTGGTAAGTATAACTAAGCACGCCTTCGGGCGATCTGATATGCCCATTGAGCCCAACCCGTAGCATGTGCCCGTGCCCCTTTGATGAATCTCTGAGTGACCAGTGATGGGGAGCCCAGACTGAAATTTACCCACGCTGACTCTGGGTTATAAAGCGGCGGCAGCCAAGATACTAAAAAAGCTCACCCGAAGGAGGAAACACACTCGGTCTCCGCTCCCAGGCGCGGTGTCCATCATGTCTCACTCCCTAGAAGTGCGGTGTCCGAGTCAAGGAACTCAGCCGCAACTATGAATCAAATGTACGGAGTGCTATAAGATCTTCATTTGAGAAATTGTAGATCGTTCAAATACCATGAATAATAATTGATATTCAAAAAAACGCAAAAGTGGTAGTTGGTTCATAACTAGTGCATGCAAACAACCTTGGAAGGTCTGATATCCAAGGCCACGGAACAACATAAATCCCCACGTTTTATGTTTTAATATAGCGATGGATAATTGAAAATCATAGCAAAATGATTGGGAGAAAAAGAAAGGCTAGTTATATGAACCCGGATATCCCGTTCTACCTCCGAAGTGGATTCCATTTGTCGATTTAAAAAAATTATGTTGCATGTACGGAGTACATAGTTATAGGCTTGCTGCATTTGGTTAGTTGTATATAGCAGAGTCAACCGCAAAACCTCGGTAAAATTTCAAACATACAGAAAACGAGGTGAGCATGTACATATATTTAGCTATATATGGCTCCTTTCTATGTCAGCTACCTAGAGCTGTGGTATTTACAGTTTTCGTACCAACAGATTTCCTTCAGCCCGGCATGAAGAATTAGCGTAGGTGCCGTGCGGGCTATGATCGCTTAATCCCCCGCACCCGACCCCACACTTACCCCCGATACTTTGTGGAGGTGCCCTGGCATATATTCATAGGGGTCGCATTTAATTTTGACTTAACACTTAACCTCAATATAAGATGGCAAGCGACGATAGGAGACGAAAGGATGCACTCAGTTGCAATGGATGCAGACAGCGGAAAGTGAAGGTAAGGGATTTTTCAATCCTTATATTTGTTGACATACTAACCCCAAATAGTGTGACAAGCCATCATCTGGTCCTTGTCAGCGATGTAGCAGGTTGGGAAAACAATGCCAACTAGGAGGCTCTACTTCCCGACCGTACTATCACACTTCAAAAGAACGATACGAGCTTCTGGTCTCCGTGGTTCGTCATTTCGTTCCTTCGGCTTCTTTCGGAACAGAGGACCTGCGAAAATTATTAGACAGCCTGCAAACTCGAGGGGAAGCCTCTCCTTCTCCTTCGGCGCCTACTGCTCTGGACACGTCAGTTGATGGGCCTAGCCCATGGTTGTCGGAGCCTATCACTCAAATGAATACTCCTCCAGCCTCCTCAAGTTCCCCTTATCCTCCCAGTGAGGAATGTTCTATAGAAGACCTGGAGAATACATTGATGGTGGATGCCATGAATGTTCCTCGTAAGTGCATCATCTATGAATTTCTCAGTCCCTTATCTGGGCACTGTAAGCTAACCTCTGTGGCCTTATAGGATTCAGTGGCTCATCTAGCTGCACCAATCTCAATGCCAAGATAATATCACATATGTCTAAAGACAACGCTCTATCACCCTTTGAGGAAAATGAGCCTCCGCCATTGTTTGATGGACAAGTGATCTCTTGTCGAAATGCCGACTATCTCCCCAATCGCAAGGCACTTGACCAAGCAGCTATGAGGTTCTTTGCAGAGATTAACAGCGTCATCTATATCCTTGATCAGGATAGGTTCCATCATTGGCTTGATGACGTGTATAGTGGGAAAGGGGTGCGGGCGTCCGTGCTCGTCATATTATATCTGGTCATGGCGCTCTGCGGCGACGAGGACCCCAGCTTTCACATTGCTCGATCTTCCATGGATGATGTGATACAGGAATCAAGCCTGGAAAGCGTGCGGGCACTTATGTTGATGGTACGGTTGATATCACTCCACGTCGATATCCTGTTCTGAATTACAAATGCTGACCTGTTATTGCCAGAGCTTGTATCGCCAAAGAGAAGATCAGCGCAGTGTTTCCTGGGCAATGCTGGGTGTGGCAATCCGAATATCGCTGTCACTTGGCCTGCATCAAAATATAGGCTATATGCATGACACATCCATATATGGATCAGAAGTTAAGCGACGCCTTTGGTGGTCCCTCTGCGAGTTTGACAACTGGAGTTCTTGCATGTTGGGACAGACCTCTGGCCTTGGCCGCACAAATAATAGTGTTTCTCTTCCATCACAAGTGAGAAAACTCTATCTTTTAATAATCCTCATGATGACTAACTGTAGCAGGAATTCAATACTACACCCTACACTCCGCCTGGGTATGCCACCAGCTCAGCATCTCTCGGTACTTTGATTGGCCAGATATCCCAGAAGCTGTATATTCAAAACGGCAATTTGAGGAGCAAAGAACAAGTGACTAGTGACCTTATCCAAAAAGTTGAAACATGGAACAGCGAGCTACCCGATCACCTTCGCCCAAATGCGGCATTCGCCTCCTGCTTTGCACGTGCCACGTTATATTTAAATCTCAAATATAACTACGCCCGCATGCTTATCGGGAGGCCTTACATGGCCCATTCCATACTTTGCAATAACAGCCACGATGCTGTTTTCGAAGCCCGAGCGGAGACCTGTAAAACGGCAAATCGCGAGGCGATCGAGATTCTAACGGAATTCTACCGCCGAGGTCTTCTGTCGTCATGTCTTTGGCTCGATACATACTTCATATTGGCAACAGCAATAGTTCTATTTCTCCGTGCTGTCGAATCGCCGAGTATCCATAACGAGTTAAGATCATTTTTGCCTGTTTTGAAGATGTGCGAGCGAAGCCAGATTGCAAAATACGCTGCCGAAAGTATCCAAAAGTTTCTCCACAATTTGGAGAACGGTATAACAGAAAGACCTACTATCAATATCGCAGATCCTTTTTCTCAATCATCGAGGATGGGTCATGGGAGTGGTAGTTGTCATGACATAAACTTCAATGAGCTGGGAGATTTCAACTCCCTTAGCTCTGATTGCTTCGGGTTTGGAGAAGATTTTGACCTGGACTTATGTGGGCCTTGGAACACATTGGAACCAGGGTTGTAATATAGTACAATAGCTTTGTGTTTTCAAGGCAATGCATGTTTCAAATATTGTATTCAACTTTGATCTTCTAGATACCTGTGCAACATGTGTCAAATATATATTTCTCATACCGAATCACAATTCAAGCATCATAGTCTATCACGAGCTTTCCAGCGACCTGCCCCTTGCGGAGTCGATCCACCGCTTCAGGGAATTTCTCAAAGGGCAAGACCTCACAGACCTCTCGCACCAGTCCTCTTTCAACGAGTTTCAACACAGCCTCTGTATCCTCCATCGTACCCACCAATGTTCCCTTGATTGTCAAACTCTTCAGGATCATAATAGTGGGATTGATATTGATGTTGTGACCAGACCCTGCTGAAGGTAGTCCAATGCACATAATAACTCCGCCAATTCTGGCACCGATATAATTGGCAGCAGTTGGGTATGCTGGAGGTGCTGTGACAAACACACCGTGGGATCCAATACCTCCAGTGAGACGAATAACCTCTGCGACAGTATCGGGGAACTCTTTGAAATCAACGAAGGCCTCTGCGCCCATCTTCAATGATAGATCACGCTTTTCGCTTCCTGCGTCAACAACAATAGGTCGTAGCCCAAATGCCTTCGCGATCTGCACAGCTTGAATGCCAACGCCACCACCTCCACCGATGATCGTGGCCCATGAGCCAACGGCAAGGCCAGATTCTCTGATGGAGCGATATGCGGTAGCTGCACTACACATAGCAGGGGCAGCAACATAATCTGGAATTCCCTGTGGAATCACGGTGGTGTATCGAGCTGGTGAAACAATATATTGTTGGAACGTTCCTAGAATGGACAGTGAGAAAGTGAACAATGTTGGATTCTTTCAAAAGCCGTCTTACCAGTAGCAGCCACTCCAGTGAGGACCTTCTTTTGGCAATGAGATTCCTTGCCTCCCCAGCAAAGATTGCAAGATCCGCATGTATACCAAATTGGCTTTACGCCGGCACGATCCCCAATCTGGAATGTTGTCACGTTTTCACCTAGCTTAACAATCACACCCGCGCCTTCATGACCAGCAGAGCATACACCCGACGCCGACATCTTTCTACCGCCAGTGTCGTTTAACATGTAGTGAATGTCTGAATAGCAAATACCGGTGGCATTGAGTTTGATCAAAACTTCATCGGGACCTGTAGATTGTAAGATTACACTATTTCAATTGTAATAGAGATTATTTTTGAGATTTTATTACCTGGAACTGGAACCTTCACCATTTGAGTCTTAATAGTAAAGTTGGGGCCTTCGTCGACAACGACAGCAGCTCGACATTCCTCCGGTATAACATAGCTGTTAGTCATTCTGATGGATTGAACAGCGGATGCTGTGGAACGAGATGGTAATTGGTATAAAAAGAACGATAAAAATCACCCGGCAACAGGCATATAATCCTTATATACCTCTATAATGCGGAGTAACCTGGAGGGGGTTTGAAGTGGCGCGGTGTCCGGCCCGATCTCCGTCATCTGATTATTTCGGAATCCGCTCGAGTATCGTCCCATGCAATAGAATAGTATAGCCCTTCTATAATAGCTCATAAGATCTGGTTATACCCGCTAGGACTTGCACTAGACAGATATGCTCATAGCAATGTTGATATAGTCCCTTTCTTCCGCTCAATGTTTTCTTGTCATAGGATTTTGATTCAAAAATATGTTTTTTTTTTTTTGTAATTGGGAAAGTCAAGCTCAGAGCTTCAGTTTTATGTTTATTTGGACATGGATATACGGCAGCCTTGGTAGGATTAACGGATATTGTTGAGGCTTAAGATGGCAAAACATTGAAGGCATACAATTCTAGACCTCTCCGAGATAAAGTATTTTAAATTGTCGATATTTAAGGGCTTCTTGGATGCATGCTTTGGAATTGCCTTTGATGGGATTGTGACTTGAATTTGGTATCCTTTTCGTGGTGTCTACAATGGCCTACTGGTAGAACAGGGGATTTCCTGATGTCATTAATATATCCAAGAAGGGTAGGGAGATAGCGTAATTTAGGATATCAAAAGATAAGATGGATTTTAGAGAGACTAGGAAAACATGTAGCATAAGACATTGAATTTCAAAATATCAAATTTCAAACTATAACCGTATAATTGAAGAGAACAAGGGCTAGTCTCCTGCAATATTCCAACGTCTCGAGATTGGTAAGCATCCTTTCACGCTATTGGAGATATTTTTCCTTCTCAGAGAACTGGGAAGGTAACTGGGTTGTTGCTGAATTCCGCGCGAATCTTATCGGTGACACCGTGCATGTCACAGAGATCAACGGAGTTATCCAGCTCGTCAGCTGGGACCCAGCTTCCGTGAATTCCGTTCCTGAGGCGGAAAGGAAGCTCGATAACCGCAACGGGGCCCTCGGGAACCTTCTGTGCATCCAAGATCAAGATGCAAGAAAGACCGGTATCCCGTCTGTTGGCGAGAGTGATGAGGTATCCATCAGCCTCGGCGGCTATAGTGAATTTGAGTTAGCAGCGTATCTTTTGGATATCAACTAGGAATTAAAAACTTACATTCAGGAGTGCGAGGGATGAATGCAACCTCGTGAATAGCGGTGTGGTCTCCAGCAGACCAGTGGATCAATTCGCCAGTATTCACATCGCACTTTGCAATGGCGTTGTATACACCGCCGACGGGACCATTTTCCTTGGTAGGATCGTGCATGGCATAGAAGAGGGTGTTGTAAGGCTTGCCAACAAAACGGTCGTCAACCTTAGGCATCTCGCCATCGGCATCAACCAAGACAGTAGGCTCGACGTGGAAGTCGGTGGCATTGGGGTCAAACTTCCAGCGCACGTACTGGCTGACGTTTCCGCTAGCAGGGGGCTTGCCACTGGGTGCCTGCATCGGGTCCTGGCCGAGGGGAGGGAAGAACCAGAACTAAAGCAAAGTTTGTTAGCGGTTGAGATCAAGTACTTCGATAAAATATTTATCTAACCTTGTTGAAGTTAGTAAGGGGAGCATCCAAGTAGACGCATCCATCCTCGCCATCGAATGCATTTCCGGTGTGTCCGTAGAATGCGTTCTTGTAAGTGAACCATCTGATATCTTCCGGCTTGGGGTTGCGACGGGGCAGAATTCCGAAGGTCAATGGCTTGTCCTCAGCCCAGGCAAAGTGCTTGGATCCCTTCTTGAGCTCATCGAGAGGCTGAGTCTCGAGAGGAGGAAGAATGAAAACAACCCACTTCTCGGAGCAGGCCATGTCGTGCATCATTCCAGTGTAAGGAGCGTTGAACCAGCATTCTTCCAATTTCTTGCCCTCCTTGCTGAAAAGATAGTAGGCAACGTCGGTGGTGCCGTCTCCCTTGGCCTCATAGCCCATGGTCAACATCTCACCAGTAACAGGGTCAATCTTGGGGTGAGCAGTGAAAGTCGGCGCAGTGTATTGGCCGTTGAAGTCATAAGGTCCTATTTTCAGTTAGCCAAGAGGCAAACAGTGTTGAGCTAAAGGTTCGAGGCTTACCCTTAGTCTCCAAAGTGTGCGGGTCCATCGCATATGGGGGAGAATCCTCCTTCAAAGCCAGCAACTGCTTCTCGAAAAAGATAATGTGCGTGTTCGCAGTGGAGTGAATCTCGTGCTTGACACGAACGTCATCGGTGTAGCGATTGCGGTACTTTCCGAAGACTGCCTGGCGAGCAGCTCGCTCGATCACGAACTTGGAGGTACGGACATACTTCTGCTTGAAGTCGGCATGTCCATCCTTGATGCGGATGGCATCGATCGCGCCATCACCGTTGATGAAGACATCGTCGTGGTATTTCGGTGCCCAAAGAGCATCCGGCATGCAACGGTAGTAGGTACCCTCCACTTCCTTGGGAATTGTTCCCTTGACAATGCAGTTGTACACCTCGCCTTCGAATCGGCAAGGTGCCTCGGGGCCCTCGTAGAACGGACCCTTGGGGTAGGCAACTTCCGCCTGGGGCGCAAGCTTCTCGGTAATTGCGGCGATATCAGTCATCTTGGTTGAGAGCGACTTGGCACAGATAGAAGATGTTGTACTTTATCAATGACAATACTGAAGAATCGGATGGATCGTGGAGAAAGAGGACTCCATATGTCTATATAAACAATACGTGCGAAACCCGGGGCCCGCTCAAGTGAGGCCAAATTGACACACCATGCCACCACGGTCATTCTGTTCATGACATCCCATACGTTGCGGAAACCGCCAATCAGTCTCAATTGAATTCAAGGTGAGTTTCAAACCAACCCCGCGCGGGGTATATCAACAGTGATGACCGAGGTGGGGGTGGGGATGAGTTTGTTCGTTCGGTAGACGCGGACACCGCATCAACGTCTGTCCACCTAGCGGACACCGGCCTTCATCTTTCATTATCTGTATTTAGGCATATTAATTATAAATTTTAAACCCAGGAGTATATTAAGCTAAAAGCAATTATTGATTGTACTGGTATTCACACCATTTTACATATCTTATTCCGAAATCATGGATTCACGAGACTACGCATTCAAGACATTCGGCGATGCTCAACAGATCTACGCCACAGCCCACTGGGCTAAGTCACAGACCAATGCACCACTCGGCATTGCTCTCGCCTTTCACGGTGGTGGCTTCGTCGTCGGTTCTAGGATCATGTTGCCCATGGTGCAAATAGAATATTTGGCCAATGCTGGATTCGTTGTTGTTTCGGCCGACTACCGACTATGCCCCCAGGTCTCTTTGTACGACGGACCTATCGAAGATGCGAAGGACGTCTACAAGTGGTGCAAGGAGTCTCTTCCAGGGCTGCTGAAGAATGACGCGGCACTTGAAGTGGATCCTTCCCGCACCGTCGTATTCGGCCACTCAGCCGGTGCTTGTTTGGCTTTGCACACGGTATAGTTCATTTCGTTTTCTTCTTATCACAACATTTTTGCTAATCTACCCATTTGCGTACTAGGGTGCTCTCGCAGATCCCCCACGTGCCATTCTTGATTTTTATGGTGTCAAGTACACGACAGATCCTTTCTGGTTTGCGCCTTTGCCGGCCCTTGCGATGATCCCGGCCCTTCCCAAGGAATTCCTCAACCAGGTTTTCAACGAGCCAGTGTCTTCTAATACTATGCTTTCCCTGGAGCGCGCGACAAACACCAGTGATCAACCAAAGACTAAAGGTTTGCCTCGTCCTGACCTTTCCGTACCGAGAAACGCATGGCTATTCGTTAGTTTGAAGGATGGTACACAGCTTGAGGCCATCGTCCAGGATGGAGATTATAAGCGTGTCGATCCTGTTAACTACTTCTCGGAGAAGTTCCCCCCGACATTCTTTATCCACGGCGATGACGATGGCATGGTCATCCCCAAGTTCAGTATCGAAGCCAAGGAGAAGCTTGAAAGCCTTGGAGTTGAGACTGGAATTTTGCTACCTGAGGGTAAGTCTCACGGCTTCGATGTTGGAATTGAGCTTGATGAGCCGGAGTTTGCTCCTATTCGTGCCGGTCTTGATTTCCTGATTGAACACGCCAAGCGCTAGGCTTTGAGATTTTAGAACCCTTTTCAACTTTTAGAGATTTTTAGAATGATTACGCTCATTTCCAATACAAACTTCATTACCCTGCAATCTCGATTTCCTCGAAGATATTGATAGTTCAAAGCGCCACCATTGGTGGTATGCATTCTCCAAAAATACTAGTGTTCGCATAGTCTTTGCAATGCGAAGTCCCAACAAATTCTTGCCGTCACGAAACTCAAGGTCAATACCTACCCTAGCGCTGGGAGGTCAGGTGGATAGTCGCAAGTTGTCTTTATGAGAAGTGGTGAATTTAATGCGTTCGCGGCTTCCTTTAGTGTATATTTTACTGTGTAGCATATCAATGAATGTACCCAGACCTGGAAGAAAAGTGAGATCAGATGCAGTAGATAGACTTGTATTTGATAAAATATTCTAGCATTAGATCTCAATCGGCAGCTTGAACAGACGAATCGCGTTCTCTCTGCCCACCAATTCCTTCTGATTATCTTTCAATTCCACTGTGCGCCACCATTCCTGGGCTTCCTTGACTTGATCATATGGTGTATCTGTACTTCGGTTAGCATGTTTGCAGGGAAAAATTCTTGGGCACTGTACGCACCTATCGAGTACAAGCATCTCTCGACTCCGAGCTCCTTGATGCAGTATTCTAATCCAGGAGTCGAAAAGTTGCCAGATGTCGTGATGAAGACATTGTTGTGGAAATAGTAGCTGTAATCATGGAGCGAAGGCCGAGTGGCCTTCTTGGTGGGCTTGTTATACCAGTGCGAGGCTCGCCAGAGGTTGAATGGAATATTTTCACCGAGGTGCCCGGCAACAACCTTCAGGCGAGGGAAGCGGTCAAAAACGCCGGACGCGCACAGAGCATAAATGTGGAAAGACAGATCCAAATGGAACTGAACGCCCGCGCCAAGTAAGTGTAGACGGGATCCATATTTGGTGTTGGGCTGAAGATCAGCGAGCTCTGGATAGCGAGGATGCAAGTAAATTGGCACGTCGAGCTCCTCCGCCATTTTCCAAAACGGGTCGTAGGCTGCGCTATCATAGTATAGTTGCTTCTCTGCTGACTTCGTGCTTTGGAAATCGTTTATCAGCCCTCCAAAGAACCCTAATTCCTGAACCGCTCTTTTCAATTCTCCGGCTGCCTGGACGGGATCGTGCATTGAGACAGCTGCCATTCCGCCAAAGCGAGAGGGCCTCTTGGCGACTTCCCCAGCAAGCCAGTTGTTGAATCCAGTGGCAGTTTGCTCTGACAGCTTCTGGTCCGCGATTCCCTGGCAGCCAGGTGCGGTCAATGAGAGCAGCATGTACTCTACACCTTCAGCATCCATAGAAGCCAGGCGTCCATCGATGTCCAGCAAGCGCTTCTTGTGGGATTCCGTTGCGGCATCGCCTCCATCACCTGGAGTCAGGATGTGCTGAGATTCACTTAGAATCCATGTTGTTGCTGGGTCGATCACAGCCTCCTCCACAGCGACGGTACCTTTGAAGGTCATGATGTAAATTTGGCAAGAGCAATGGTAGTCTAAAATCAAAACTGTATGATACTAAATATAAAGTAGAATTGATAAATTCTCAGCAAGAAACATCGGCTTTAACTCTCCGAGATCCTGAAACCGGAGAAGGTTAGTTAGTTCCGATATGGCTAGCTCTTGCATGACCCCACAAAGGTGGAGTGCGGGTGCGGTCCCCGAGATGAGAAGCCGATTATCCATCCTCAAGGTCTTCCCCAACGTGAAGGTGACGAGAATTCCCCATCCCCGCACCAATTACAGGCGTGGCCGATGCCGGTATGATTGAAAATACGTATGATTTCAATCACTGTGCGCAAGGATTCAACACAGGTTCTCGGGCCACCCTCGGTCAGTTTCAGTTTTATGCTTGATGACTCTCTCGCCCTTAAGGCGATATAGCAGTACGAAGCATAGAAAAGCTCAACACTATCGGTATTCTAGGAATACCCCGCGGGTGATCTCATCTTGATTTGAGAAGCGGTGCGGGGTAGTGGGGTGCTGTTGCCGGTGAAATTGTCGAATGTCTCAATGGCGCAAAGTGCGGAGACCGCGCAGGGTAAGAAATGGGTGATTACTGAAGGACGGAAGCCGTCTAATCAGCGAGAAGAGTACTCCATACTGTTGCCGTCTTTGCCGAAATCAATGGGGGCTGTGGGAGGCCAAGATGCGTAGGTAGGTAGGGGCGAGATGAAAAGCATAAGAAGCTTATTTTTGCCGTTTTTGCCGAGAAATATGGGGGTCATTTGAGGCTAAGACGCGTAAGGATGTGTCAAGATGAGAGGGGTTGGATCGTATATCTAAAACATTAGTATTTCAAACAAAATCGATTGATGGCGTAGATTGACAGAATAGAGGGGGTAAAAAGAGGCTCCGGTAAACGTCGACAGTTGTGAAACTTGTACATTATGCGAGAGCAAACTGCCTAGTGATGGGGAAACACCAGTGTTTGGGTAGAAGAAGTTCCCTGCTCGCTGATATTGAGGGAGCTGAGAAAAATACGAAAGGCTCATAACGTGTCCGTGGAGAGAGATAAAAGAGAGATATCAAGATACATGGTAAAATGTGAGACGAGAGATTGTGAGTGGAAACCATGAAAAGTCTCAACAGCATTTTCTTTGCTACGGTAGAATAATACACAAGGCACTTTAGGTAAATAGTAGAACTGTATTTTCGTCATTCTAACAAACTATTCTATCTGAATCAGGACTGACTTCTGTTCTAAGAAGGCGTTGATGCTGTCAAGTAGGCCCTCCCTTCCAACTCCACTGGACTTCCATCCTCCAAAGGATAAGTCATGGCCAGTAACTGGGGATGTGCAATTGACACCAACAGTTCCCGCTTCCAGGCCCTTTGCGAATCGCATAGCCCGGTTGATATCCTTGGTAAAGACTGCGGCATAGAGGCCGTATTCGGTATCGTTGGCCTTAGTAAGTGCCTCTTCCTCAGTGTGGAAGATGCAAATGTTCACCACCGGGCCAAAGATCTCTTCCTGCATGATTTTGGCATCCTGTGGGACATTGGTAAACACTGTTGGCTCCACAAATCCATCCTTTGAAGCACCACCCAGGGCCAGGGTACCCGACTCTTTACCCAATGCAATATATCTCCGAACAGCCTCAAACTGAACATCATCTGCCATTGGGCCATGGTTTGTGGTTGGGTTAAGTGGATCTCCTTGGTGAATCGAGGCAAAGGCGATGTTGAAAAGCTTGAGGAACTTTTCCGCGATAGTGTCTTGGACATAGATTCGTGAGTTGGCCATGCAAACCTGGCCACTGTTCCATTGGATACTGTTCGCAGTCTTGGCAGCTGCTGATTCTAAATCGGCATCGTCGAAGATAACAGCAGGGGACTTTCCGCCTAGTTCCAAAATGACATTTTTCATGTTCGATTGTGCAGCAGCAGTCTGGATCATACCTCCAGCTCTGGTAGAGCCAGTAAAGGTTATCGCGCGAACATCCATGTGCGAAGATAGGGTTGCACCGGTGATATGTCCGAATCCAGAAAGGATATTCAGTACTCCAGGAGGGAAACCAGCTTCAATCGAAAGCTGAGCAAGTCTGAGGGACTATAACATGTTAGATATGAAGGTAGAAAGGGATATTAAAATGTTGGTTTGGTTTCCGATATGAACTTACTGTCAAAGGGGCCTTTTCACTGCTCTTGAGAACAACAGTATTTCCAGTAATAAGGGCTGGGGCAACCTTGCCAGAAAGTGTGACTAGAGGCACATTCCATGGAATAATTGCTGCTACCACACCAAAAGGCTGACGGAGTGTCATGTTCACAAACCCGGGCGTATTCAAGCTTGAGACACCTCTGCCAGTATATCCAGCATCGGCGAAAGATTCAAACTTGCTTGCAGCAATCAGGTTATCGACATAGCCACTAACAGGTCGCCCCATAGAGACAGCTTCGAGATACGCAAGCTCATCTTTGTGCTGACGCAGTAGCGCGGCGAGTTTCTTCAGTGGGGCAGCCCGTTGAGCTGGGGACAATTCAGCCCACGCAGGCTGGGCTGCTTTTGCCGCGGCTACTGCTCTGTTTGTATCCTCGACACTGGCCTCATAGACTTTTCTGTGTCAGACATATGGTTCTTCGTAACAGATAGGAGGGTTCTGAATCAAATTCTTACCTTCTGCGATCAGCTCATGGGTCGAAGGTGTATAAATACTAAAAGTCTTCTTATCCGACGACTCGACAAACTAGATGATATGAGTGATATAATAATATTAATTGCAGATATTTTCTAACATACCTCTCCATTGATAAATAGTCGAGTCTCAATGTGGGTCGGTTTGCCGTCCACGAACGTACTTGTCGAAGCCATTGTTGGGGAAACTGTCTTCTTTCGAGATTGTATAATTAAACTGTGATTATGAGTTTGGCAGTGAAATACATGTGTAGGTTTTATGATATATGTTTTGCAATGTCTGCAAACTGTTTCGGTCTCCGCTAGCAGAATATCAACGGCCTTGGTAGAGGCGGATATTTCGCGGGGTCCGCCGTTAAGGCCGAAATCCCGATATATCCATGCAGCCATGGCCCTCTTATATTATACTTTAATTATGTTCTGAGATTATGAATCCCCCGCATCGGGGACCGCATGGGGTAATAATCTATCTCTTGAATTCTTTGTTCGTGTTGTTCGCTGAGAGAAGTCACAGATTATAAATCTTTCAACAATCTCACCTGGGCACAAGGTCAAGTTAAAAGTTTGCCAAAGGTTCCTAGGTTACCAACAAACCTGCGATATACTGCCGAATACCCAATATGGAAGTGCCTTGTTTTATTTTGGCTACGCAGTCGTTCGTAGAGTTTTCCGTATTTTTGTTCCTCATGAGTATCTGAAAGTTTGAGATTGAGCAGCAAGAAATTGGAGACATTTCGATAGTTGCGAAGCGAGTGGAGTCTAGAAATTATAGTAACATGTAATATGTGGTTTACTATCCAACATTTCACAATAGACCTCTCTTGGCTATGCAATTTAGTGTTTGACTTCAATTCGGTGCTAATATACATATCTCAGAACAAGAGGAAAAGGGACAAAGAAAAAAGCATCGGTTATTTCACGAATCACACTAGATTGCGGTGAATCAAGCAAAAATTAAATAGCAGAACGCCCCATATCTTGTTGCTGTGAGTTCATGTAGGTCGTAGGTGCAGTATTTATATACAGATTAGTTCCAACTCAACTACGGGGCATGACAGACATTGACATGTTTAGCAGTGAAGTTAGACCATGTACTCTCACTCTCACGAATACACTGCCCATTCCTCCACAATAACATCTCCGGGATAAGACATCACATGGTCCTAGTGCTTCAGACCTTTGTTACGTTCACTGGAACGGACGGTTTGATAGCAACAAAGGCATCATCAACATCGAATCCAGCCAGCATCTCCTTTTCATGATTCCCAAATGATAACTTCAATCGGAATACAAGTAGAGCCAAGGTCAGACTCATTTCCATATATGCCATGCTAGAGTTGAAAAAGATCAGTATCAGAAAAAACCACAGCCAGAGAAATGAAGGAAATTTAAAGACTCACTTTCGGCCCAGACAGGACCTAGGACCATAGGAGAATGGAGCGAATGCAGCTTTGTCGCACTTAATATCAGAGTTTGGCATCCAACGTTCCGGAATAAAGGAATCCGGATCATCGAAATACAGAGGATTGTGATGAAGAGAGAAATTGCAAACTCCGATTTCGGTCTAAAGGCAAGAATTTTTTTATTAGCATCGTGAAGCATATATTGTGGGCGAAACACAGCAAACCCGCGGGATGATGGGCGGCTCTGTTCTTGTATATATAATTGTTGGGGGTTCTTACACCAGGAGGGAAAATACGGCCGTCAATGGCCAAATGGCCTGGGGCTCGGTCGACAACCACGCGTGGAATCAACCCCGGATTTGGTGGACAAATTCTCAAACCTTCCTCAATGACTGCATGCAAATAAGGCAGGCCCTGGAGGGCCTGGTACTTAATCGCGTCTGCGGAGTCAAAATTGGCACGGATTTCAGCTGTCAACTTCTCCATCGTCTTCGGATTCGCGAGTAGATGCCAGATGATCACAGTCAAGGCTGTAGATGTGGTATCAGACCCTGCAACACTGTACGAGTTTATTAGTCTGGGTATAATATAGTTGATAATATAGACAGTGTGAACGAACAGGAGAAGAATTGATTCACCCATCAATTCTGGCATTTCGTACGGCTGTCCGTTATCCGGTCGACGAGCCTGGAGAATATTGGTGAAGAAATCCTCACGTTCGGATTTTCGGTTCATTTGTTCCATCATTGCTCCGGCTGCTCTCTTTTTTCGCGGCTTTATTAGTATCAGGAAATGGCTAAATTGCAACTATAGGAACTCACCTGGTAGACATAGCCCCGTTTGATCATCTTTTCCTTTGAATGAAGAACCTTCCAAACAGCACGTGGCCATTTATGCATAGTTCCTTCCTTCAGAAACATTAGTTTATAGGCTTGCGGCTGAATCAGGGATACAAGCTTACTCTAATAACCAATTCAACCGCCTTTTCCATGGCCTCCAAAATACGATCTCGTTCTGGCTCATTTTTCAAAGTGTCGAAACATTTTCCGAAGCATAGATCAGAGAGGACATCAATAGAAAGAGCACCAAGCATTGCGGCAATGTCGGTCTTTCCAGCTGCTGCAATTGTCTCACAGAATGTATCGATATGGAGACGAATCAACGGTTCCATGGCTTCCAACTTGCGAGGTGCAAAGGCTGCCGACAAGATTTGCTTCTTTTGTCTGTAGATCTTGTCATTTGTCGTGAAGCTACTAGGCATGCCAGGTGCAAAAGCTTCGTAAAACGGAGACTTCAATGCCGGTGCGTTGGCAGAATAAATAGCAGGAATTGCATTCGATGAATTGGTTGAAACAGTATTAGGTCCAACTCGAACAAAAGGCCCTTTTCTTCCCGTCAGTTACTCGAAACCGTGTTTGCCTTTGTATAAGGAAATATTAATACCGTATTTTTTGTGAAGTGCCACCAAGACGTGGTGCCGTTTCCCACCCCAGCAATGATATAGGTGCCATATATCGGTTACTTTTGCGAGCGCCGGGCCCGGGATGTGTCGTAGAGGGTGAAAAAAGAATGAGTAAATGATTTTGCTGATAATCAACCCAACCAAAGCAAATCCTAGGACAGGGAGAGAAAGCAGGCTCATAGCCTGCTCCTTCGCGGAGGAATTCATAGTCCGGGGTAACACAAAAGCAAACAGGCAACAAGACCGATGATTCGTTTCGGAGCAAAACGAAAAGGGAGAACAGAGAATGATGCAACCTCTAATAAAAGGAGGTCATAAGAAAAAGAATTCATAAGAGTCAACTTACATATATATAAATAACTTTATGTCATAACACTGGGGAAGTGGACACGGAGTTCGCACTCGAGTTGGTCGAGCTGTTCGGTGACCGCTACCATCCGTGCCCCAGCTTCAAGCCCCACCGATGATCTGGAGGCGGGATCCGTACTAAACCCCTTAGAAGGGATTTGCTTGTACTAAATTATGAAGGCTTGTTGGAGCAGTATGCAAATCGGTGTCCAGTATTGCTGTGATTCGCAAAATTTGCGGGCTACGCTCTCCGCATCAAAAGGGGAAGCATGCACGGCAGTCAGGTGAAATGCCAGAGGGGAGAAGCAATATGTATGAACTTTTGGAAAAGACCTGGTTTTAAAGATGTTGTGGTAATTTTCATGTCAACCAGCTCACCTGCTTAATTAATGCAACTAGTATAATCAACTTAGTACCCGTATACATTTTGGAATTTCTAGTTCAATTTCCCAAACTTCTCATTTCAACATATATATTTGCTACATTGATGCTTAATCCTTTGCCACACTACAAGCATGTCATGGGATCATCTGTTTACACAACTTCTTCGGCGGTCCATGGTTCCAGATGATCGAAATAGACAAATCCTTCTCCCCTAGTGTTTGTACCCTGTCAACATGCTCATTAATCCAGTCTTGTGCATGAAAGAGCGGTTCAATTTGCCAAAGATGTCTGTATCGCCTATCAATATGTTGTTCATGGCAAGAGGAAGAGGCCTGGTCAAACTTACACAACAACGGTGATGTACCTATGAGACACATTGTGATAATTCCGAAAGTCTTCAAAACATCACTAGGGCCTTCTTCCTCTGCCCAGGTGTTTATAACCTGGGAGAAACCATAGAAAATGAAGTTCTTGCCCGTCATCAAGAGGATAAAGATCTCTGTGGAATTTTCCCGGAAGGCGTCACTGTCATTTCCAACCGTTATCAGTCAAGTGCATAAAATAAGTCATAGGGAAAATACATATACTCACAGTATATAAAGGTTGGCAAATGTCATGCCTATGGTAGTACCACAGCACAAACAACCATGGCAGAATGCACCCAGATAGTAACCATTCGGCGTTGGGTTGTCAAGATCCCACATGAAGACAAACCATCCGATGCCACAGAACACAGCAGAAAGCAGCATCATTGGAATCCGGAATTCAGGCTCATATGTTCCTTTGTTCCACGTTGTTAGCTTCTTAACGATCGCATCACCTAGCCATGGCCCGGCCACGCTGCTAATCATGCCTCCGATCAATGCTGCAGGTCAAATTTAGCCAAAATTTTCTCTATTCTTCCAGAAGCAGAAAACTAAAACTCACCACCAACATAGAAAGTACCATTTTGACTGGCATTCAGATTGTAGGGAGGGGGTGTCCATATTTGGGCGAGGATGTAGGAGACAGCCACATAGAACCCCTGCATCACTTTATTAACCCCCATGCTGGCATACATGTAAACAAGAATGGAGAGGAACTAACAATGCATGCACCACCCACAGCAATTGCCTAACGATCCTAGTTAGCAAGCCATACACGAGGAAGAATGAATTTACCTACCCAGATCACTGCAGGGTTGATAATCACGGCAAATGGAGCGAAAACAAGTCGTAACAGGTTGGTTTCTGTGTGCGTTCCACTGAAGATTGCAAGTTCTTGCACAAATGTCTTCTTCGATTCCGTCAACGAATCTTCCGTCAAAGATGATTCTGTGAAATTTTCCTCATGTCCGTGACTGATTTTTGTCATCTCTTTGTCCTCCGTCTGAGCTGCGGCCTCACGGGAAAGAATGTCCGGTCGGGTACCCTTCCATTGAGTCTCTGGAAGAAAGAATACAACTGATAACAATCCAACAACGGTAAAGGGAAGATGAATGATGAACACATATCTCCAGCCTAGAGACTCAGCTATCGCGCCACCGAGGATCGAGACTAAAGATATAATGCAGGTCCATGTCATTACTAGAAGACCAGTCCGGAGAGATCGCTCGTGGACAAAGAACTTTGAGTTTTCCCAGTCAGCGGCGCAAGGAATAGGCAGGAGTTTAGATCAACACACATATCCCCCATGACTGCAACAGTCAAACTCTCAAATACCGCTGAGCCGAAGCCCTGGATAATCCGTCCTGCCAATAGAATACCATAGTTGTCGGTTGTGGTGCAGCAGATAAGTGTTCCAGCAAATCCCATGACAGAAGCAAAGATAAACTGTGGCCGTTTCCCGTATTTGTGTGCCAGAGCCGATCCAATTGGTCTATATATAAATCAGCTCAACTTCTATAACGAGACATATGTGATACACACCCGTAACAAGCAGTCGTAAGCAGTTGGTATGCGGTAAGCATTGTAATATCCTTGATAGATCGCTTAAGGGCCATCGACATCAAGACCATAGATGGAGCAATCACCGGCGGCGGAATCGAGGAGAAAATGATTGAATTCGCGAATAAGACAACATATATCAAATTCTTCTTCCATTGCGGCCAATTCTATGCAAAGTTTGAGTTTGGTGAGTCCACCACACTGTAGGGGACCACTCACCAAAGGGTCATTCGGGTTGTTGGAAGGCTGCGGAACTAGGAGAACACTTGCATGCTACATACTCCTTTTAGCGTATTTTCTTTTTTTTTAACACTTTTTGTTCCTGAATTTACCTTTCCAGTGCCATATCTCATCTGGGAAGAGAGATGTGCCGAGGATTCATCGAACAACTGAAAGGTTCCAGGTGTATGGTCCTCATTCACTTGAATTATACCTAAACCCATTCTGTATGCTGTCACAAATAGTAGCTCAGGGTATATTTGTGTGGTAAACTTTGATTCAAAGATTTGAACTGATTGTGTTCGCCGCTGGCACGCAGAGAGCGCTCTTTTATATCCTCGCCCCGCCAGGTAAAGTTTTTCTGGGGAAACTATATGCGGGGGATCTCCACATACTAGACCTCTAGCATGTACACATTTACCTACTTTGGATTTCTAAACAAAAGCACCTTGGCATTATGACCGACGACACTCTGCTATTGGACCTTCCATTAACTCCTTGTTCTGGTCTATTATATCTAGACTATGAATGTAGAAGGATGATTCAACACGACTGATATGGATATTGTGTATTCCATTCGTTGCACTCTTAATCAGATATGTATTTACTTAATTCCTGTATGAAAAATAGGCTTACGTCGACGTAGTGCATATCCTTCTGTAATGCACACTCCCCTTGATGATCTGGACGATCCATTACTATAATGACGGTCCAAGCGTGGGAGATCCGGCTGCATAACAACCCCAACTGCCAGAACCTTTCTTGTAGGACTGGGGCTTATATACAATAGCGGCAAATATAATCCATTCGGAGCCGTGGCGAGGTTGTTAGGAAATGGGGAGGGTCCCCGAAGGTGAAGTGAGCGGTGTCCGAGGGGGTGCGGTGTCCGGTGGACGGCAAACCCGTTAAGGCCTAGACTCGACAGGAACATTTAAAGGGCCGGTATAGACCAGAGGGAAAGTACACATCTTCCTCTTCGCTTGCCGTAACTACCACTTTACTACTGGCTTTTGACATTCTGTGAACTTCCTCTAGTTTGAGAAAGCTACCAAGTTCTGCCTTGTATTCTCTTTCTATAGTAGCTTTCTCTTTTATAAAGTCCATTACCCTATTGGATTTGCAGGATCTATTAACTTCGACCTATAGCTACTAAAGAGGCTTTAAAAGCATTGATTAGATTGCTAGATCCCACATATTAACTAGTAGCTGCTTTGGAAGACCAGCTCATCTCATGTTACGGATTTGATTATACGACTGTAGAACGTCGATTCGAAACAGTTTAAGGCTAAACAAGGAGTTGATACAAAGGATTAGTAATGTATTCTCTAGCGAGATAGTGTATTCACCTCCATTATCTGTAACCTAGGTCTGAACCACAGGGGCTCATTTATTTGGCCCCATTGCTCTTACTTCACATTTATTTTCCCGCAATCCGGCCCCACAATCTTCATCGAATATCCATGTCCCTAGAGTGCAAGCCATCGCCTAGATAGTTCATATAAGTCTCACCTTTGTATTAGCTATTTGGTCCATGATATCGCAACGATAACCTTAAAAGCAATCCCCCGTTATGCTGCATCTTACACCACTGATGTATGGATCAATCTTCAAGGTTCTTTCACGCTGAGACTACTTCGGATAGGATGATACCACTCTGCATAGATGATATGGCAGTTTTATTGAAGCTAGACAAAGCTATTAGACACGGCTTACCCTACCTAGAGCACTAGATTGACAAATCTTTAGAGCATTTAGTGAGAATATATCATGAAAAGAAGAAAAAGAGAAGGATATCAAAATAAAAAAAAGGAAGTCCGAGTAGGGGGAATCACCCCCGGCTGCCGTGTGAGACCATAACTAGTTATCATATGTTATTAGTTAGAGGTTTACACATTGATGAATCTCACCATAATTTACTTTACTTTATATTTTCCGTCATCCAGTACATGTGTAAATGACAGCGCAAACATAGCATCCGTAATGAGCTTGTATGGTCTCAACGGCCTCAAGAACGTAGATCCTACAGACAGAGCAAACAGAGCAAACAAAAGGGAAATCCGCGCGAATTTGCTTCCTCTACTAGTAGACTTCGCAGAGCCCACAAAGCCCAAAGCCCAACCCTGACCCAACCCGCAAATAGGCTGGGTTTTTAGCCCGGCCTCGGGCCCACCGGTGGGTTATGGGCCTAAGGTAGAAGCCCACTGCGGGTTAATAGGCCCCCAAATAGGCCCCAAACAGTACAAATATACCAAGAATTCAGAAGTTGAACCCCCTTATAGGGATTTTAAAATTACCCTTCGTTTTACCTCCGTTTCTAAGCCTTATTCTAACGGTGATATTTTATTAGTTTAAATCACTTAAAATCAATTACTATTTATCCCTCTATATCACGTTTAAAAATACGCGTTATTTAGATAATTTATAAATTACAAAGTTCACTTAGAAAGTGCTCCTACACAAACATAAAATATATATCTTACTAAAACGTTAAGATCAATAGTATCTCGACTTCTAATGGTTAGATTTTGTTCAAAATTGAAATGTATACTTATATAGCTACTATAATCCTAGCTAAATTTGAACTTTATATACTTAGTGGAAGGTCGTAATACAGCGATTACAGAGGCCGCCTAGGGTGTGCTTTAATGGGGGCCTTATAGGCCCCCACTGATAGGCTGTGGGTTGGGTCGGGTTTCGAAGGTAGGGCCCATTTATGGGCTTTGCGGAAGTCAACTCCACAGCTCCACAGGAGTCTTCTACTATTTGCAAAGCCAGAAATGTTGAAGAAGTTTCAAAATGTGGATTCTGATCAAGAACCTCTGTATTGACAGCCCTACGCAAGCTAAATTCCCTGCGACCCCGGGGTGGCTCTAGTCCAAGTCACAGTTGCCTATTAGAAATGGAACCTTACAATATCTGGAGCAATCAATCATGGTGTCAGAGGATGACCAGGTGGTCTACGTCTAGTCCTAGGTGTCGATTCACCAGCATTTGAAGGATGAAGGATATTGCGTAGATAGCCCTGGAGGTATATATTCGTGCTTTCTCATATGTAACATCATTTTAAATGTTGAGCAATCACTTAGCAAATGCCACTAACCCCCAGGCCCTGACTTAGAAACGGTCTGCATAATTTCCAACCTTGCAAGCCCTGCCTAGGTGGAGTCTCTTTTACCCAAGTGATTGCACCATGGATACTGTATCACTCTGCGGATCCGTATCTCTTCTGAACAAGATCCACTATACGACCACCAGAGTATGAATCCAAATAACTTTCCTGGACCGATTGCCCAAGCTTTGCCAATAGTTTGCGCAGTGCCGCGCGATCCTCGTCGTCGCATTCTGGTGACGGTCTCCACGCATTCTCAATGTTTGCGAGATCTTTGGGATCCTCACCTTCCATATAAGGCGAAGGGCCATATCCATCATAGCAGCACATGTAGCGATTGGAATATAGCCCGACCTTGATATCCCTCTCTTGCTCAAATGGAATATTTGAGTACCAATTACTACGGCCGATTCGAAAGTGTCGTAGTTTTGGCAATCTTTCTGCAAATAGATCGAAAATATCGTGCCATCGCTTCTCAAACGAACCATACAAAGACTCATCGCCCTCGCGGCGCACTAAGGTGTCTCTAGGTAAAGCACAGGCGTCCACATTCTCTTCCATCATACAAAAGTCGTAGAGAACGGCGCAGTCATCGAAGTAGATTTCCTCGAGGGTGTCGCCATGCTTCAGAATCCAGTCGATTTGACCATCATGGAAGAAACAGAAGTTTCCTAGTGATAGCGTCTTCAGGCGTGGAAAGAACAGATTGGAGAGATCCAGGTGAGGGTAAAAACCCCAGTATTCACGCGAGCAGAGCGAGAGATGTTGGAGAGAAGGCGCAGCGGGACTCAGCCATGTGCTGGGTAACTCCTTGAAAAACTTGCGGATTTCCGGATACTGATATTCTTAGAAAAAGCATGTCGACAGAGAATGGGTGGGTTATACCTCGAGATCATGCTCAGGAGCGGCGTCATTTGTCTCGCTGGTAATGCTTAGGCGAAGGGACAGTAGGCCTGACAGGACCTTTCCCAATTTCGCAAGTGTTTTCGGATCTTTGGGGTTATCTGCTTGCAAGTTGCGAATGCCAAGATCTTGGATTGGGTGCCGTAAGGATTCAAGAAGAGAGAAGAGCTTATGCATTGCTTGGAAGCGAAATTGAGGCGTCTGGGGGAAGTCTTCGTAATGGAGGTAATCATGATCCGTGCTGTCTGAAGTAAACCCCTTATCGAAGCAAAGAACGGCGGCGTTCAGCCGAGGCAATTCTTTCACTTGCGAAACGAGATTTTCCCAGCCTTGTGGCCATTTTTGCTCTTCTTCATCATCGTAATTCTGTGTGCATTAGTTGTTGCTTGGAGGTGGATTAAGATAATCGTACAAGACTCTCGTCCACGGTGTCTATGTAGATCTTTCGCGGAACACGACGTAGACTAGGATTGTTCAAGATCTCTTGTAACCTATTTTGGCTTGTCTTGCTGGGCTGTAGGCGCACGGTCCTGTAGAGCTGATCGGTGGCTAGCTGTGATATGAAACGGCAGGATTGGCGTAGCGACTTTAATGATGATTGATTCACATAAGAAAATGTGCGAGCGAGCAGCTCGCTAGGCAGATTGAGAAGGCGTGACATCTAAGCGTAGTCACAAGTAGAATTCGCAAATTGATGAGTCGAAAGGTGATATGTTGACAGAAAATGTGGAGTAAAGCAAGGTATGGTAAGATTGATTGATGTGTAAACCGCTAATCGTGCCACCGCCTTTCACCACCACCTACCCGGTGTTGGTGGGCCCCAACGGATCCCGTATTCTCATCGGATCCTTTCTTATCGCAGATCGCACATCCCCATAGTAAGTCCTTGGTTGAACGGGGGTTGGCGTAGAAATACCGGCTGTTCGATTGGGATTGAAGATGGCATCGTACTTGAGGAAGATTGGTGAGTTTCAGGGTAAAATTATCGGGCGAGTGGTTTTTTAGGGACGGTAAACAGGCCCAATCGGGCTAACGCCTTTACCGCCGCCTTACCATGCAAACCCGGGTAGATCCCAGGACTTGCGTTAGCCCCGAGGGGACCCCTAGGTAGTGCCGGAATGCCGAAAAGGGTAAACACCTGGGCAATGGCATCTTGTGCTTATTAACCCAACATCTATTTGAAAAACTTTCTGTATTTCAAGCTTTATCCATCATAAATTCCTTTTTACAACTCCACATTTTCATACACCACTCGCATACTGGCGATTGAGCGAGAAAATATAAATGATTACCCAGATTTGAGTGCTATCTAGGACAACTTCTCACGCGACCTCGGGACATACCTGGGTAGCATGGTTTAGTAATATCACTCTAACAAGACTATTCCATCGTTCTAAATATCCCAGCGCCAATCCCGATCTTTGGGTTGAAATCCCATCCAGCAGCGGACCCGAATACAATGAATCAGTCGCGTGGCCTGTAAAAAAGTGACAATAGAGCTTTACGGGCAGAGCCAATGACTGTCCTTGCAGCCAACAGGGTAGAAAGTTGCGCCACTATTCTTCTGGATATAGCACTTTGTACCATCACCACCACGGTTACCCACGCACTGGAAGGGAAAATGAGGTCAGCGTGTTACCTACGAGCTCATCTAAAAAATGTCGGGGAAAAACTTACAGATCTGTAGCCACACCTCGAGTTAACTAAATTACGGCGGCATGAAGTACCATTGCACTCCTGTTCCGGGTTAACAAAAATGATTGGTATATCCGGTAGAAGAGCACATTCTTACCCCAACATCATAACCAAGTTCCCTTTTTTCGGGCCTGCTGCTAGAGGGAGATGATGCAACAAGGCCCAGGAGGGCAAAGATAGCAATAACGGAAATTTTCATGTTGATCCGATTGTTTGATGATTGAGTAGATTGCAGAGATAAAGATAAGTCACTGATGAAGATGAGAGGACTCAAAATGAGAACAGACATGCTATTTATATAAATCTCTTTATCTATTCAGCCTCATCGATAGCCCCTCGAATAAGACACCCGAATAAGGCACCCGAATAAGGCCCTCAAGTAGGGGGCTGAGGATGCCACGACAGCTCCAAGTCACATTGCCACGCTGCAGATTCTGTAGATGAGCTTAAAATTTTTTGAATTGGTAAACTATAGACCCTGCTCTAATCAAGAGAACGAGCAAATAGAAGATATAAGCACCGATGCAAGACAAGGAAGCTCTTACAATGGACACAATATATCTTGAGGTAAATTGAAGAGGCAGGAACAAGGCAAAACAAGTCTAGTTTGAGAAATTGTTCTGTGGAGTGCTCGACCTCATATGAAGTGTTGCATTATCTCGCTACATCTAGGCTTGGCAGTTCGTAGAATACAAAGAAACAGGGCATTCCTCAGATCAAGGTGATGGTTCGCCAGAAGTGGAGATATACGCTTGGCTCCATTGCAATTTGCTGCAAATTCCTTTTGATAGAATATACACCGGCGAGGACAATGGAGATCTGCTTGCCAGCTGTGTTCATATTCTGAGTTTTTTAGATATGCAAGCCAATTCCAATGTGATATTGGTGATATAAGTGATATATTAGCGCTGTAATATATGGTGCATAACAACAGAATCTGCATCTCAACATATAGACTTTTAATTCTTGGCACTGGGGTTCGACAGTACGAATATATACGCTGTAGATCCTGGTCATATTTACTAGTCTGTGCATTGATGCCTAGAATTTCCTAGTTTCCACTATTACTAATGACAGGGAAGTAGGTAGGTATCATTCCAAGGTTCCATCTTATGTTAGAAGCTTCTAAGGTTTAGTCGGCCTACGTTGCGTCCTTGATACGTCTTATTTATGGCTTAAGAAGAGGAATGAAAAATATCGATATAGCTGGTTCAATTGAACAAACAAGAAACCACGATGGTTGTTTGTAAGGATATCAATCTGTTACAGGCTAGACCTCGAAAAGTACTTATCCATTGGACCAGACTCGCTGAGAATCATATTTCTATAATCTAGGAGTTTATACGTGAGAAGGTGCACTTCTTCTAGCACTAGCTACCTATTTATAAAGGGGTTCCTATACCTTCATTCAGCAATGGCTAGCTTACCAGGTTTTAATATCGCGAGCCTATCCGTAATCGTATACACTATAGCGAGGATAGAAGTACCCCGGAGTATACTGCTTCAAACAATAATTATTATGCAAACCTAGGTTTTCCAATAGATATTGAGAACTTTTTGAACCCAGTGGACGAGATTTTTGCCGATGATTTGGGTATCATGGATGATATTACTTGGTGAATTCCTTCCAGAGGTTAACGAGGATGAAATCGTGGTTGAAGAGGCGCGGGTTCTATATAATGAAGCTATTCAGGCTTTGAGAACCCTTTTTCATGAAGAGCAGTAGGATTAGGGTGAGCCCATTTAATTACAACCCTTCATAAACATGAAATATTGTCGGAGGCAAGGGAATTGGGGAAGCAGAAGCAGAAGGACATTAGGAGCTTTTTTGGAATATAAATTTGCATGTAACCCTAATATATACATTGAAGACGGGAACGCTCCAGGCAGTATGCTCTCTAGCATACGGGTCGATTCAGCAAGCGTAATCCAGTTTCATACCTTCCACAGCCTACAAAGCAAACCGGGACAGGGATTCAAGAAGTCAACTAAGAGAGGTGTAGGAGGGTGTATTGTCAATCTGTAAACTACTACTTGTAACCTCTGATGCACTAACTAACTACCTAACATCCGCTTGCATAAGTCGAAGGGGGCACGGGCGCATAGTAGTGGGTGGTCGCCACCCAAAAAGAGAGCCCGAATAATGGCAACGCAAGGGCCATACGGTTCAGCAATCGTTCGTGTTTGCCGATCGATACCTTGGGTAGGTTTGAAGGGGCAAGAGCCTTCGAAAAAGACTGGGCCGGTACTGTCAATGATCTCAGCGCCGATGAGCGTACCGGTGAACAACTTCAGAAGCAACTCGCTGGCATTTGGCACAACATAGTTCATGAAAAAAGAAGCCATGTGGCCGTCCAGCGCTTGCAATTGGCAAACCATCGCCGCTTCTTTCACCGTCGCGTTGGCTCGAGCCTGGCGCTTCTCCTGCCACTTGTGCCACGCTGACTCAATTTTCTAAGAGGTGATCGGCGCCTCATCACGGAGACTTTGAAGTTGATTTGCCATCGCAGCAGCAGACTCAATTGCATTGTTCCCAGATTGGCCAGTATTAGGGGTCATCTTATGGCAGTTATTCCCCACAGTCGCTATACGTCCCCAGCTCTACGCGTCGAACAGGGCCTCCTCCAATGGCACCAGTGTGTAGGTCACACGCTTTTCCCATATGTCTCCCACTGTCACAGTCTCGGTGATAGGTCGCCAGGCATTTTTGTGCGCAAGCTTTCCCGCATCTGCTTGAGAGCACCGTGGGAAATCTTCGGCATCTGTATAATAAACCTTGTCCAACTTCTCATGGTAAAACCAGAACACCCGTCCATGTTTTCCAGTGATCACAAGCATGGACCTGCCGTTGTCAAAAACGGTGTCGACAGTTTCCTCAATGAGACCATGTACGGGGTCAGATATGCGGAAAAGACAGTTGAATTCAGCACTCATTACTAAAGAAAGAATTAATCACAGTTCTTGAGCCGCAGCCTCGCACACTTACTCTTCTGCTTCCACGTTAAGAAGTGGTCTGGATCCTTCTCGCTAGCAAGGCGACACATCTCGCTCCGAGTCGATGCTTTGCTATTGACATCATCACAGCCAACGACCACGTCCCCGTGGTAGGAAGAACCGTCTTGAAAATGTAAAATGACGCCAGAATCTGTTTGGTCGATCCGCGACACGGTCTTGTTGGGCAGCATGTTGTCCTTCAACCTAATTCAGTCTATGAACGCCTTCAGAGCGCGTTGGTGGTCCAGAAAGCATGATCTATAGCCAAACCTGGAATTTCAAATTAAGAAACTGCTTCAAAACTAACTAGGCATACAATTACCACATACCTGGTGTTCAAGATCGGGAAAGTGAGCGCCGATGGCATGACAAGTTTACCGTCGCTGCGATGAACTTTGGACATTTTGATTGGTGCCGTTCCATCCATGATCGCTTTGACCGCCCCTAGCTGGCCTAGAATGCGCATTGCGGCGACACTAAGTCCAATGGATGCTCAAACTTCGGGGTCAAATCGACCTCGGGCCTCTTGAAACACAAAATCAACATTTGTTTTGTCCAATGCACTTGCAAGCGTCACGACCGCCAGACCCCCGCCAACAATTATTACCCACATTGATTTGGTGAGATACGGGTTTGGCAATCTAAAAATCCAATGGACTAATGCACTAGTAGCCGCCGAATAAATACGAGATCGGATGCGGTGGCGATAAATTCGAATATAGATAGGTACGCAGCTTCTTTGTCGCCACCAATAAGACAAGCTGTTAAATTATTTACGCCGTTATGTGTTAACGAATGCGTAGGTCTAGAGTACGCGGCCTGGAAGGATCAGGCGTTGGGTGATTGCCCGATTCGGTAAGGTTCCGAGCCCCCACTATCCCCGTTGATTCGCCGGGTAAGAGGCTTACGGATCTGCGACTCATAAATTTAGTGGTCTTGGATGTACTTGGATGTAGCCCTGGAGTGTTGGGCCTGTGAACGCCATGGTGCCGCTCTGTCACTTTGATATATCCGAACTTATGCCAGAGGGCTAACTAAGACCTGACTAGGCATATTCATATGGGTCGGATCATGGCCCACATAATATACAGACATCCTTGCAATACAACAGCCTTACACATGCTACTGTACATTCCCGCATCATATTTCACCCCAAATAAAGAAAAAAACTACGCGTCGACAGGGGCACTCAGGGGCACTATGAAGCGTAACCAAAAGGCAGTCGCACACTCCAACGATCCTTTCGCTCCATAATTACTTCATTCATGGTCAACTTGACCAATATAAGAAAAACTACCGCCACTGCCAGTGTCACTGCCCTCTTTGATGATCGCTGGACTACTTCACCATGCCGAGCCGCGACCTTGGAGACCAGCAAGCGCCTGTCGAGGCAGGCCAAGCCGCCACACCCGCCAACCCTCCCATGAACCCAGTTGGTCCAGCGCCGGCTGATGATGATCCGTTCAAGCATCTGCCAGAGCATGAAAGGCTGATCCTTAAGAGACAGTTGGATCTGCCCGCCACCAAGGTTAATTATATGAATTTGTATCGTTATGCGACACGGAATGACAAGATCGTCCTGGTCCTTGCCTCGATTGCCGCAATTATCGGTGGTGCTCTTATGCCCATGATGACGATCCTGTTTGGAGGTCTTGCAGGCACTTTCCGCAGCTTCCTGTTGGGAGACATCTCGGACAACCAATTCACCAGCGAGCTTGGTAGATTCTCTTTGTACTTTCTCTACCTCGCTATTGGTGAGTTTTTTATGGTTTACATGGCCACGGTCGGTTTCGTGTACGCCGGGGAACATATCACAGCAAAGATCAGAGAGCGGTTCTTAGCCGCCATTCTGAGGCAGAATGTTGCTTTTTTCGACGAGCTTGGCGCGGGCGAGATCACCACACGCATTACGGCAGACACCAATCTTATCCAAGAAGGTATCTCAGAGAAAGTGGGATTGACCATAACAGCTATCGCCACCTTTGTGGCCGCTTTCGTGATCGGTTTCATTAGATACTGGAAGCTGACGCTGATTCTGTGTTCCACTGTCGTCGCTATCGTTGTCACATTGGGCTTCGTGGGCACGTTCGTCTCTAAGCTCAGCAGAAAATACCTCGGCCATTTTGCTGAAGGCGGAACTGTTGCGGAAGAGGTCATCAGCTCGATCCGAAACGCGGCTGCGTTCAATACTCAAGAGAAGCTGGCTCGGCGATACGATGGGTATCTCATTGAAGCAGAGAAGTCCGGATTCAAGCTCAAGTCTACCACCAGCTCAATGATTGGCTTTCTCTTTCTGTAAGTACAGCGAGTGTCACAATATCGCACCTTCCAAATGGCGGTCACTTGAATTACCTTAAAAGCCCAGTGTTCTGATATTGTCTCTTTTTAGGTACATCTACCTTAATTATGGACTGTCTTTCTGGATGGGCTCCCGCTTCCTAGTGGATGGGTCCGTTGGGCTAGCGCAGATCCTCACGATTCAAATGGCCATCATGATGGGTGCCTTTGCCCTCGGGAATATTACACCGAATGTCCAAGCCATTACCACAGCAGTGGCGGCAGCCAACAAGATCTACGCCACCATTGATCGAGTCTCTCCTCTCGATCCTCTATCGACCGAGGGGCAGAAGTTAAAGAAACTTCAGGGAGATGTGGAACTCAAGAATATCAGACATATATACCCTTCCCGCCCCGAAGTTGTTGTGATGGACGACGTGAGCTTGCTGATCCCGGCGGGTAAGTCTACTGCGCTTGTTGGGGCTTCAGGCTCTGGGAAAAGCACTATCATCGGGCTGGTTGAGCGTTTCTACGATCCTGTCGGCGGATCTGTATACATTGACGGCCATGATATCAAAGACCTCAATCTACGCTGGTTGCGACAACAAATTTCACTGGTTAGCCAAGAGCCTACCTTATTCGCTACAACTATATTTGGCAATATTAAGCACGGATTGATCGGAACACCGCACGAGCATGGGTCCGAAAAAGCAATTACTGAGCTGGTCGAACGCGCTGCTCGAATGGCAAACGTGAGTAAATCAGATGCTATAACACCCCTACATTAAACGCGCCCTCCTTACCCGTGCCACATCTGATCTGAAATTCTGACTGTGATGCTTTTCAGGCCCACGACTTTATCACCTCCCTTCCCGAAGGCTACGAAACCGACATTGGCGAACGAGGCTTCCTTCTCTCAGGAGGCCAGAAGCAACGCATTGCCATTGCCAGGGCCATGGTTAGCGATCCTAAAATCCTCCTACTTGACGAAGCAACATCCGCACTTGACACAAAGAGCGAGGGATTTGTACAAGCCGCACTCGACAAAGCTGCCCAGGGAAGAACCACTGTGATCATTGCTCACCGACTGTCCACTATTAAGAATGCGAACAATATTGTGGTTATGTCCCACGGACGTATTGTCGAACAGGGTACCCACGATGAGCTCCTCCAGAAGAAAGCAACTTACTACAACTTGGCTGAGGCTCAGCGAATCGCGACGAAACAAGAGTCTAGAAACAAAGATGATGATCACATTTTGCCCGAAATCAATTACGATTTACCGCGAGTCGAATTCCATGAGAAGCGCGACAGCTTAGGCAAATTGGATCAAGGAAAAGAACCTGAGGACCCTGAGGCGGACAAGACACGATCGGACAAATCGCGAACGGCACTTGCGAAGAAGGGACAAAAGGACATGACCGATAACTATACCTTGTTCCAGCTGATACGTTTTGTTGCTGTTTTGAACAAACAGGAATGGAAATATATGATCTTTGGAATTTTACTCGCCATCATTTGCGGCGGAGGTAATCCAACACAAGCTGTCTTCTTCTCCAAGTGCATTGCAGCCCTTTCGCTCCCTCTCTCAGAGAGCTCCGAGATACGGCGACAAGTCAACTTCTGGTCGCTGATGTATTTGATGCTCGCCTTTGTGCAACTGCTCGCCCTCATTTCTCAGGGTATTGCGTTCTCTTACTGTGCAGAGCGACTTACCCATCGAGTTCGCGACCGAGCATTCCGATATATCCTCCGACAAGACATTGCCTACTTCGACACACGTTCTGCGGGTGCTCTCACTTCCTTCCTGTCCACTGAGACCTCTCAGCTGGCTGGGCTGTCTGGGATTACTCTAATGACCATTCTCTTGCTGATCACTACCTTGGTTGCCTCTTGCGCCATTGGTCTAGCCGTAGGGTGGAAGCTTAGTCTGGTTTGTATATCTACCATTCCCCTTCTGCTCGCTTGTGGATACCTCCGTTTGGCTATGCTGGTGCGAATTGAGAGGGAGAAAAAGAGAGCCTACGAAGATTCTGCAAGCTATGCCTGCGAGGCCACTTCAGCAATCCGAACTGTGGCTTCCTTGACCCGCGAGGATGACATTTGCAGTCACTACCACGAACAGCTTCTCTGGCAAGGCCGCAGCCTAGTGTGGTCGGTCCTCAAGTCATCCATCCTCTACGCAGCATCCCAATCACTTCAGTTCCTCTGCATGGCTCTCGGCTTTTGGTATGGAGGTACCTTATTCGGTAGACACGAATATACCCTGTGAGTAGACAACAATCCCACGAATAGAGGCGATATTAGTTCTAACTCTTCAATTCAGGTTTCAATTTTTCCTGTGTTTCAGCACCGTAATTTTCGGGGCGCAGTCTGCGGGGACTATCTTCAGCTTCGCACCGGATATTGCTAAAGCTAGTCACGCTGCTGCTAGTGTCAAGGCTCTCTTCGACCGGACACCGGAAATTGATAGCTGGAGCCAGAATGGCGATAAGGTTCAGAGTATAGAAGGCCATGTCGAGTTCAGGGACGTACACTTCACGTACCCGACGCGACCAAACCAGCCGGTTCTGCGAGATCTCAATCTCCAGGTCAAGCCCGGGCAGTACATTGCTTTCGTTGGAGCTAGTGGATGTGGCAAGTCCACTGCAATTGCGCTCTTAGAGAGATTCTACGATCCAGCCCTCGGCGGTATCTACGTGACGGCAAGGAAATCTCGTCATTCAACATCAACAATTATCGCTCCCATCTCGCACTTGTCAGCCAAGAGCCAACGTTGTACCAAGGTACCATCCGCGAGAATATCATGCTAGGTACGGACCGAGATGATGTTTCGGAAGAGGAAATGGTGGTATGCTGCAAGAATGCAAACATCTACGATTTCATCATCAGTCTGCCAAGCGGTTTCGATACTCTTGTTGGTAGTAAGGGCAGTATGCTTTCAGGTGGCCAGAAGCAACGTCTTGCGATTGCTAGGGCCTTACTCCGCAACCCCAGAATTCTTTTGCTGGACGAGGCCACTTCTGCTCTCGATTCCGAGTCTGAAAAGCTCGTGCAAGCTGCTCTGGATACTGCGGCTAAAGGCCGCACGACGATCGCTGTGGCGCATCGCCTCAGTACGGTACAAAAGGCAGACATGATATATGTCTTCAATCAAGGTCGCATCATCGAGGGTGGAACTCATTCTGAGCTGATGCAGAAGCGGTCGGTATACTTCGAGCTTGTCAGCTTGCAGAATTTGGGCGAATTGTAAATCTTCCAATTTGGGAACCCCGAATCTTTGACGTTTTTAAGGAAATGTTTTGTCGAGATGTGACAATCTTCTTGAAGTTTTTTTTTTCCTTCTTTCGCTTCTTTTTCCGGTGCTTGATGACCATGGACCATGCTCATCCTGTGCATTTATATTTTTTGATCATTTCTTTTCTCTATCCCTAGATATTAATGTATCTAGTATCCTTTGTCTGTTCTTCGTCCGTATCATGATTTTAAGATGACTCGTAGTCTAGTGCCTGCAGCCTTTCCCCTTGCGCTCTCACAATGGGTGCCCGTACTTTCCATTATAGGTTATATCTGGGGTATACCGCCCTTACGTTGTGGAATAATCTTCATTCTTCCAACGGCAGTGTGCCGATTGTTCGAAAGGATGGATTGATATAGAAATTGATTCATGTCACTATCTGGCTCATGGGATAATCCTCCTCAAATACCTACACGTCTTCAATCACAACGTCAACTATCAGCTCCCCCGGTTGTTCCTTTCTACTCCAAAAGAGTCTTGAAAATTTCCTCCACATGTGCAAAGGCTAGTTCATCCATGGTCTCTTTCCAGAGCTGTTCTGAGATTTTCTTTCCCTCTGCAGTGTAGATAATCGGTGCCAACCTGTAAATGGTTTTAGCGATAGTTTTAATCATGATATATATAGAAGCAACTTACGGCACAATTTTCTGAAAGGAGAGGAACTCGCCATGCGTTTCCTGGCCATGTTTGACGGCTGCATCAGTGATCATTCGGGCTCCAACAGCAGCGGTGTTGGCCAGTCCGCGCATCACAACTTTCGCAATCGCCCCAGAGAAAGTCTTATCATGCTCACGGTTGAACTCGGAATCGTGAACAGAGCCTGGCGAGGCGGCATTGATGACCACTACAGAAGGCGGGACAATAGATGCCAAGTATGACAGGAAGAACTGCCCCAGCAGCTTAGAGACCATCATCCGATCCAGGGGGTCTACCTTAGTGTTCTCGTCAAGCGATGCTAGCAGCGGAAAATCTTTCTTCTCCTCGAAGGCTGTCCACGCAGAGACCTCCGATGAGACAATGGTAATCCGACTCGGACCCCCTTGCCCGGCGCGTTTTTGCTTAACCACCGGGAGCAGTAAAATTGCCAGTAGGGCTGTCGAGAGATAATTGACCTGGATCATCTCATCATGACCTGTTTTGGGGTTAAAGACGCGTGTCGCGTTGCCAATACCGATGTTCAGTACAACGATATCCAACCGGGGGAGGCTCTTAGCGCGCTCCGCAAAGGCGAGGACAGAGTCATAGTCAGACTGATCAAGTTTCCAGACCTCGATGCTATCGTCGGACAGATTCTGGCCCGCGGATAACTTCTTCCTCGCTGTCTGACCTTTCTCTTCACTGCGGACGCCAAGAATAAGCTTACTCAGTCCTAGGTCGAGGAGCTGCCGGCTGGTTTCTAGGCCCACCCCCGTGTTGGATCCGGTCACCAAGGCAGTCTTGCCCGCGAGGCTGACTCCCTGGACCGTGATGGGCTTGATAGTGAGCTGATTGTAGAAGAAGCGAGGCACGCTGGCCTGCTTTTCCGGAGTTACGTCGAATTTGGTCCCCATTTATTCAGCTGATGAGATGAGATGCTAAATGACGGGGAAGAAAGGGGGCTGCGACTAGTCTCTTGGATTGATACCTAGGTACATGGGTCGATCTGCCCTAGTCGACAATAGGAAGTTGCCAAGAATCTTGGACTATAGTGCGTTCTTAAGGCAACCGCTATCTCCGGGTAACTTATCCCCGATCCTGTATTCCCGATCCTGTATTCTCTGGTACTTTGGCTCTGATCCTCTAATAGCCTTGTCAGATGTGCGATTCCGGACCTGGACAGAGCCATTACCCAATCCAGACCGCAAGATTGTATTGCGACCAGTATATAGCGGTGTGGCCATCCGGCCCTAATCTCGCAGGCATTCCGAGAGGGGATCAACCACAATCAATTACCTATGAAGCTGCTGAGTGCCCTGTTCGGGGCTTCTAAAGTAGGGGCTCCAGCAGCCTCCACGCGCGATGTGACTAAATTATCATGCTTTACGCAGCGCCTCGGGCTGTCCACTGCCAATACCCTTATCCTGGCGGCGCGGTATCCAACGGCTGGAGACCCCGTTGCTATTTCAAACATTGCGTGTTTGACTGCCTAGGGCATTCTTGGCACTGAGAATGTCGATATATTGCCCTCAACCAGACTACTGTAGAGGTGGATTGGTAGGATAATATCACGCCAATGTCACCTCTCACCTCGATCTGTTCTGGGAATTGAAGGGCGGTGCCAATAAATTTCGTAAGTTTTGATTTTTTGGCACTGGAACTCATCAAATGAATCACTTTACCAGATATCGTGACGACATACACATACACCCTGAAGACATACCTCATTCACCAAGTTTGGGATTGAAGTTGTATAATTGCCTGGGAAGACTCTGAGACCTTCATTGATGCCACTCAGCAATGGCGATATGTGTATTCTACCATCGCATCTGACCTTCTTTGAGAGCCGGCCAATAAAGACAAAGATGATGATTTAATTTGGACTTGCTGCTCTCTTGTGGGTGTATTGATATGTTTCCATTTATGAATAAACACTGCAGAAGGTAGTCAATGTCCTTTCGTCGCGCAGTCTATCTTCTCTTCTATCGAATCATACTCAATTCCTCCCTCGATGTTTGTTAAATTGCCGACTGATCTCGAACATGCTTTCCGGCCACCAATCTTTAGGTGTCTTCCAAAAGGACATACGCCATCGCGTATCTTGCCGAATGGTGATGAGTTGCCTAAGCTCCCAGGCTCCAATACCTCCAATCCACCACACCTTATCTAGTAAAATAACCAGAACCAGCCAATGGGCAAATATATCCACAGCCAGCTGGTGTGCCAGGCTGGGTTCGAAATCCATGGGATTCAGGGACCACGCAGTGATTCCGTGGCCACCGGGTGCTCTGCTTTGCATGAGACTCATCATGTCTTCGACCAAGTTCAAATACTTTGCAGGAGCTTTGTGGACAAATGCCATGATGAACCTTCGCGGAAGTCGCGACGGGACGATCGAAGTTATTCTAGCTGTATATCTCTGCATCCAAGGCGAAACTTTCGAAATTTGTCCCACTAGGTTTATATCAAAATCAGAAGCGAGATGGGAGTGACACGGCGTGTTCGGCATCAAATATTGATCAGGGAAAGTTTCGGATGCAATATCCTTCAATATTTCCAACGCAATAAAACATGCTTGAACATCGGGGTCGCTATGGGTAGTTAGGTTCTCCTGGTCTCCAGTGCCACCAATCTCATGTTTGGTGATTTCTCTGGCCCCTTGCTCCAGTCTTTCCAGTGCAGATACTATTGTAGCAGCCAATATTGGATACAAAACATGATCTTGGGGACATTTTTGCTGCTCAATATGACACAGCACGTTGCGTTTACAATGCATTTGATAATCCCAACTTGGTACAGGAGCAATAGGCGTCGTTACCAAAGCAAGGTGAATCACATCCGGTGTTTTGAGCCTGTTATCGAGTAGTCCCGTGTAGGCCACCCGGACAGCGCGGAAGAGACTGATCCATTGACAGCTTTTTGGCATAAACTGGCTCCGTCCTAGCTCATTGTCGGATGCTGTTTCCGCTAGCCAAATCCGGATGCAATGGCTACTCGATCCATACATTCCCATAATGGCAGCATTTGCAAGAATGTGGTCATATTGATCAGTTTCGGGGAGAGTGGCTCGGATTTCCTGCAGTGACTCCATGTGATATTGATCTGCGATAGATAGAAGCACCAGGATCTTTTCTCGGTCTCCACAGAATATTGACGATTGGTTGATAATATCACAGCATTTACATACTGCTGAGAATGCGAGCACAGATTTCATGAGGAACTTATTCTGGAAAGCTAGAGTTGGTATGCCGACCTGCAAAGTATGTTGGTCTTCATCGTTAACAGTCATATCTTTGCTAGTATGGTCAAGGTAGTGACTGAACAGTGCGGATTCTGTGGCTGTGAGAATCTGTGATGCCTGAGACTGCAAGAGCGAGTTGGGGTATCTATCTTCTCTCGGCATGTTGAGTGGTGATAACCTTGGGCTTCCGACTGCCGTAGATGAGCAATGCAAATTTTCAGAACTAGTATTCGCTTCGTATTGCACCAAGCGCACTATTTGTTCAGATTTGCCCTCAGGAGCTAGGATGTTGGATCTCCTTGGGTATTGGCAAACCAAATTCATTTTATTGCATCTTGAGCATTTTGGCTCAAGCTCGTCGCACTGTATATGTTAGATATAAGTATTACAATGGCTTCTCATCATGTCATGCGTACTTTGATTCGCCGTGCCTTGCATTTTTCGCAACCATATCGTGACTTTCTGTGGGACCTACGCGTCTTGATTTTGGCCCAACTACTCTCTTGGTCCAATCTATCCATGAGTGACAATCAAAAGGTAAGTGGGAGAAATTGGAGCAATAAAATTCTAATAAATTCTTATAAGAATGAGCACGTTGGGGCTCATTGTCGCCCTATCACCTGACTAACTTCCTAGTGACTTGGAGCTCACCTATAGAGATCCATAATTCCAAATAAGTACTCGCACTTAGTGCTTTGTTCAACTTCGAAATGAATAACCACTAAGTACATGGCCCACTCTGGGCGCCATCAACTTTCAGGATTGGCCATCAGCGCTGTGAATGGCTAGAAGTACGGGAATTGAGGCTGTGAACCGCAGCCACTTCAGTGCTGCGCAACCCTTGGCATGAAGATCAAATATTTCCCGGTTTATAGTGGCAGTGTCATGTGTGGAACCTTCCAAAGGATTCCTATTTCACAGTTTAATGTCAAAATAAAAACCCAGTCAAAGGACATTTGGATTATTTACCCTTGGATGCCAAGAGAGTAAGCGTGACAGTGGCTTTATGCAAGTGCGTATTCGCCTAACCTGGTCAGGTTGACAAATACTGTTCACAGACGGAGTAGAAGATACATGCCAATGAAAAGTCCATCCCGATTATTCTCTATCTTAATAATTGAGGATTATTGAGTCCCAAAGTCGTGGTGGTCATTCTCCATCTACCCCATATTTTATAGGTAGTAAGCATCTCACCTGATCAATCAAACTGGCGATCGTCCAAATCCATTCAGTGGCGCAGAAATTGGAATTCCTTCTTTTTAGTCTGTAGTCGTAGTTTTTCTATAGCCATCTAAGTGGCTAAGCATGGTGGAAATATACCTTTGTAGTTATGAATTTGATGGGTTTACGGGTCCTAACACGTGGATAATCTCTTTTTTTTTAAGAAAAAAATACGGACTATTCCGTAATCATTATTGAACTGATGATTTGAGATTGCCTACAGAGTATTTTACAACATGATAGGCCTCGTAAGCTTGAGCTGAGCTGCCAGCTTACCTACAGCCCGGAGAAGAACGATCTCGAGCCGAGAGAATGCCCTAGACCCGGACCACACGGTAACCATTTAGAAATCTTAATATGGATATCATGGCTTGCTATTTTGCATTTATCGCGTATGGAATACGCTCTGTGGGCTTGGTCCAGGTGCTGGGTACGCGTGTTGATCACAAGCTGGTCTACAATACTATATCAGTCGGATATATAAGGGCCCATACATCAGCACGTTAGTTTCACAAACTAATCCTGGAATATTACCATATCACTGTCAACTCAAAACGTCATGAAGGCAAGCTTGCTGGTTCTTTTCACCCTCGTGGCTAGCTCATATGGCTGGGAGCACCGAGGCCATGAGTTCCGTCCACCACTGCCAGGCGACAGTCAGTCATTTGAATTTTACCACATATCTCAAGAAACGATTTAACATATATCTTAGGTCGATCGCCGTGCCCCGGTCTAAACGCCTTGTCCAACCACGGTTGGCTCCCTCGTTCAGGGAAAAACATTGACCTGCCCGCGTTTCAATCTGCCATAGCTGGTGCTTACAACTACGAACCAACATCTATGGACGGGTTCTTTCAGCTAGCATTGAAATTCAACCTCTCAACCACGGGAAACCAGTCGACCTTCAATCTCTTTGATTTGGCAAGACACGACGAGATCGAGTTTGATGGGTCACTGTCGCGTAATGACATCTACTTTGGTGACAATGTGCACTTTGACCATGATATCTGGGCGGCAGTCGCTAAGAACCTCAATCTTTACAATACTCTGGGCTCCGAGATAAACCAATATGTCACAGTTGAGACAGCGGCTAAGGCTTGCGCAGCACGCGTAGCCGATGCCAAGAGCATCAATCCCAGCTTCAATTCTTCCGCCATGCAAGTCATGGGTAACCCTGGGACAACAGCTCTTTATTTGGTAACTCTGTGGGATGAGAACGCAGGTGCTGCGCCAAAGGCTTGGGTACGGGCTTTGTTTGGTATGTTCCCTATCCTTCGCTACATATATTAGTGCCACTGCGACACATTGATGCTTACTATCCGGTAGAAGAAGATCGTATTCCTTACCTTGAGGGATACACAGTGCCTAAAATCCCAAGGACTATGGACGATGTCAATAAAATGGCAAAGAGGGTGTCGGAAGTAGTGGTTTAGGTCTAGCACAGAAGGCCCCCTGGCTATTTAAGTTTGGGGCATCGACTACCTCACAGCCTGCTGGGAAACAAGCCTACCTAATAGCGCACTACCAAAAATTTTTAACACTAAACTGTTGTGATTATGACATTGATAGAGGATTTTGGGACTGTGGCAGACTTCGGTGATTATTATATCAATATCAAAAACTCACAAATATTATCTATCTTAGTATCATCTTTCTACCTCGTTTTTGGAATTTTCTTTTGCCTTCTAATACAAGAAATAGAGGAAGGAAGAATGAAATTTTGGAATAAGTGGCCCCGAGGTAGAGGCCTTTATCTAAAAACCTCCGTCATCACATAAATATACAAACAGAAGCGTTGTGCAACAGGTTCTTGGTTTTCACTATGGAAATATAGCAATAATCAAGATTTCACAAGTCTTATCTATAAACTCGTGAGATATATATTTTGCAAGACAAATCCAAAACAAGGACAAGCACCATGAAAAGGAACAAAATCCCAAGCTTCTAAACACGTTTCCCTTCAAAACCCTCAGCAGGCCATCCCTGGAGCGTATCCCCATTCTCGACATGGTCACCTGATAGGACCAGAGTGTGTTCTAAAAGACAAGCATCCTGGCCCATCGAAGCACCGGACATCAAACGCGATCCAGCGCGCAGGATACTCCGATCCCCGACTTTCAAGGTGTGCAGCTCGAATCCACCACGTGAGTTCAAGTGGCAGACCAAGCTGGCATCGTCGACAGCAACACGGTCACCAAGAGTGAGGAGGTCCGGCTCGGTGAAGAAGATGCTGGGACTACCGTTGGCATGGATCGCACAGTCCTTTCCAATGTTTGCGCCCAAGAGGCGATAGTACCAGGAAATGTAGGCGGAGCCGGAAATCATGGGAAGGAGACCAACTCCATCACAGCAGTCTTTGATCAGCGTCTCACAGGAAAGGAGGAATTGCCATCGTTGATTGTAGCTGCTCTTGTCCCAGTGATAAGCGCCTTCTTTGCGGCGACCGACGACCATCCATTTGACGCAGACAATAATTCCAAAGGCCAGGAAAACTTGAGCAGTGGTGATGACAGATAGGATCGAGGCGAGAATACCGTACAGAGCGAATGGACGCCAGGCGGTACCTTGCTTAAAACCAACTGCATCACTGTAGTTTAGGATAGTACGGAGAATAAAAAGGGAAAACAAGACTGTAAGGAGCCAATAGACAGTAGTGACAATAACTGAAAAAACAGAGTAGATGACAATTTGCCACATGCGGAGGACGTAGTAGTTGGCCTCGTGGCGGTAGAAGGCGCGACCGAAAGGCTTGCAAGTATCTGTGTCATTCTCAGCGATCTTGATAGCCGGCTTGTTATTACTGCCGAAATTGCTCTGCTTCTCGTTGATTGTTTTCTCGTCTTCGCTATCGCTACTGGGGCTGCTGCTACCGTCTCCGACGATGGTTGGGGCAGTCGAGGTCGAGGTGGAAGTAGAACTTGGGAACTGTATAGCTTCACCACCCTTGCTACCAGTCCAAACAGTGTTGGCAGGATAGTCACCATTACGGCGGAGCAAAGCCCCAGAACCGATCATGGCTTGACGGCCGATGGTAGCACCAGGTAAAGCGACAACACGATCCCCAACCATAGTGCCATCACCAATCACGATGCGGTCACGACCGTAGCCATCAGATGTAACCAGAGTCGAGCGAGAGCCAAAGACAACATCATTACCAACTTCAATGAGATCAAAGTCGACAGTGACGGGACCAACACTGGGCCAGTAGACGTGCTTGCCAACCTTGCCACCAAGGGCACGGACTGCCATCGAGACAAATTCGTAGTGACGACCGGTAAGGCGGGTGAGTTCGTGGATGTCACCTGCGGGTAGAATCTGGGCAAGCACAGCACTTCGCACCTTTTGGAGAGTGGTCTGTTTGGAAGCAGGACCGGGCTTGGGCTTGCCACAGATGAGATCGAGGAAGAACTTGATGATCAAGATCGCAATGAAGAGAACAATGGGGCCACCAACAGAACGACAGATTCTTGCGGTAATGTGGAATGCAATACGTTGATCACTGGTATACCAATTTAGGGTAGACTGGAACATATCGGCCGCGGGAGCAGGGAACTCGAGAACCATAGGGATAAGACCACCCATCCAAGTAACACGAGCCGCCATCCAGGTGAGTAATTTGATTGGCTCAACAATAAAAAGAATCCAAAACCAGTGAGGCTGAGGAATCTGAGAGGTTAGTAATTGGCGGTTAGACTCATCGGCATCCTGGAGTTCCCAGCTTGACGAGTTGGGACCAATGCAGGTATTCTCAGGGATATCGGCACCAGGAGCGATGATAGACTTGATGCCGACAGACGAGTCCTTGCCAATGCGAATGCGCTTCAAAAGCATAGAGGTGTTGCGCTCCACACCGAAGGGGCGACACAGGCAGGTATCCAAAGCGACATTGTCACCGATCTCAATCAGATCATACTCACCAATCTTAGCGGATGCGGATATGGTGACATTCTTTCCAATCTTTGCGCCGAGTAGACGGTAAAAGAGGATGCGCGACCAATTGTAGTTGTTGAAGACACCCTTTCCACACACCTGTAATACCTTCTGGGTCAACCACCAGCGTGTGTGGTACGGGCCCCACATGGGGGACATGCCCTCCTTGTAGCGACCGATGACGAGCCACTTGAAGGAGATAGCAAAAATAGGAGAGATAATTTGTGAACATAAACGAGCGGACATCACGGCGAAAACAACTAGGACCAAACGACCGATGAGATGATCACGAATGGGAAATCGAGTTGAGCACTCGGCCACGACGTATGCGAAAACTATCCACTGGAATGCACGCTTCATAGGGAAAAAGAACACAGTTGGGAACAGATGCAGGACCAAGATAATTGGGTTTGTGCTGCTGTATGTCTTCTCGCACCCGGGCAATTCAACTTCCCCGTCATCACCCTTGGCGGCCTTAACCTCGACGGCTTCAATGACCTTGTGCTCTATCTCTCCAATGGTGCTGTTGTGGAAGAGAATGTCACCGGCCAGGAAAATATTGAATTCACGACGAAGTTGCGAAACCATACGACCAGCACTAAGGCTATCACCTCCAGCAGCAAAAAAGTCGGTACTAGCAGAAACCTCCTCTGGTGCACAAGATAAAGCGGCAGCGAAGATCTGACGCACACGGTGCTGAATAGGAGACAGGTCACCATCCGAGTTACGGGCATGGATGGCCTGGTTGATAGTAGCTTGGTCAGGGTTTCCGTAGAAATCGACAGGCATGGGACCTTTGAGGGGAATGATACGGCTAGGTACGAGGTAGCCATCGAGCTGGTCGTGGAGCTCGCTGGGTATCACATGGTCCTCATCTGGATTCTGGACAAACAAAACAGCCTGCGCGAGCCCGTCGCGCGGGTTTATTTGCACATGCACCTCGGGGGTATTTGCTTTCTTGGTAAGAACCGAGCGAATGATTTGATCATCGATCACAACCGCTGTCTTCGGGATCAACGCGCTGAGTGGAGCGCCAATGGGTGGGCACACAGCTTCGTAGTGCCGGTTTGCCAGGGGTGTGTTCAAAGTTAATGTCTCCAAGGACAACCGCTCTGCGAGTTTAATGCGTTGAATCTTGTTGTTTGCTTTGGGTACACCGTCCATGTATACTACCAAAGCGGGCCACTTAGGCTGATGGATGATAGGCTGCAATGCTTCGTGTATCTGGCGAAGATCTGGCTTGGTGATGCCCGGAGGTGTGACGATAACCACACCGACAACTTCCTGTAGCACCTCGTCTGGGACAGAAAAGGCCAATGTCTCGGTGATACGACCATACAGTGGGGATTCGGGATCCTTGGCCGTGGTCAGCACTGCGTTTTCCACTTCGACAGGAGAGATAATTTCGCCGCCACGGTTGATGACCTCCTTGCTGCGGCCAGTGATGTAAAGGTATTTATCAGCATCGAGATGTCCAAGATCACCAGTATCAAACCAGCCAGATTCGTTGAATGCGCTGGTATCAATCTTGCCCTCGGCGGTCAGATATCCCTCGAAAGCGGGTGATCCACGAATGCAGATATGTCCGAGCATCCCATCTTGCGGGACAGACTTGCCACTCTCGGTCAGAATTGCAACCTCAGGACCAACTATTCGTCCCGATGTTCCATGACGATCAAGATTATAGTCCCTGGGTGGCGCAGCAATTGGCATACATTCAGTCATACCATAACTAGGAAGGACGACACAGTGGAAAGTATCATGAAGCTGGACGGCAAGCGTTGGAGGAAGGCCACCACCAGCATTACAGATAAACTGGATGGCACTTTGTTTAACGGCATCTGGACGGTGCTCGGCTTCGGCAAGAATCATTTGATGCATTGTGGGCGTGGCGTAGTACCAAGTTGGTGTCATATGAGGGTTTTGCACGGCATCCCAGAACATGCTGGGGTCAAACGAGGGGCAGCATATTGTGGCACCCCCAGCGAGGATGGGGGAGAAAATACTGCGCATAATACCTCCACTGATGCTGTTAGTTTTGTTTGTCTCATTTTATAATTTGGTAAGGAACATACACATGGTTCAGTGGCATCATATTAAGGCATGTGTCTGTCTCGGACAGTTCCACTGACTCTATGGTAGCCATGGTACCCGCGATGAGGTTGTAAGTTGTGATAGGAACGAGCTTCTTAGTACCACTGGTACCACTGGTGAATAGGATAATGGCAATGTCGTCCCCAGAATTGGGGGGAGTATCATATGCACCAGAAGCGTTTCGTGCAGAGACTACCTGGAAAGTCATGTCTTCAAGTTGCTCAATACCAAAAACTGGCCGACTACCGTTGTCCAGCTGTAACTTGCCAATGTCAGCGTCCAGCGCGACAACAGCATCAGCTTTTGCGTTTTCTATATCTATGTGCAGCTGCTCTGGCACCGTGTTCGTTGTCATGGGCACAATGGTGTACCTGTTCACAAAGGCAAGAACAGCAATTGCCATGAGAGGCCCGTTGGGCAATACGACAGCAATGCGAGGCTTTCCATTGTGGGAAGGTCCCACTGGAATTTGGAAACTCTGCAAAAACTGCTGGATGGCAATGTGTGTCAGATGTCGTCCGGTATTAGCATCAATTAGGCCAGGGCGGGAGTCTGTCCATATTAATTGTGCAACGTTTGGCGTAGCTGCTTTGACTTGTGCACAGAGGCGGGCAATTGTTTCATTGTTACTGGCCTTGAGGGATTCGGGAAGAGACTTGTAGATGTCCTGAAATGTTGGGATTAGGTGACGGATGGGCCAAGAACCGGTGTGTGAGGATAGTAGAGCGGAGAGGTGGTGAGCAGATTCTGGGTGAGAGGCCTCACTACGGAGGTGTAGAAGCTGTTCTACAAGTCTGTTTGGCGGTCAGAATTGGAAGAAACTCCAAATGGATAACTCGAAAAGAAGAAAACAGAAGAAGAGGATGTTAAATGTGAAAAGACGTACGAAGATCCCGGTAAATCCGCCATACTGTAGTGCATTCTCAACTTTGTATATAACCCAAAAGAAGAAATATTTCAGGGTTTATATGATGCCATTGCAGGCTCGTAATATCAACTAGATATACAGCCTAAAAGGACAAGTGCTTCGTAGTTTATATGTTGCCACAGCACGCAAGAGCTAGTATACAACCCAAAAGGAGAAGTCCTTCACGACTCGTACCCTGGCGATATCCACTCGATCCACCACATATCTGCAAGTTACATCACGGACCTGATAATCGTTATCGTAAATTCTTCATACAAAGTACGGCGGCAAGCTGGGTCAGGGCCTAAAAGAGAAAGATCTGCAGGGATCCAGATCCCATTCTTGACCCGGCTGGTCCCATGGAATTATGTTCATGATCGGAAAGATCAGCTCAACCCGCGGCATTCTGCATCGTGCAGCTGGATTGGATAGTATTGGCCGAAGATAGAGGCATTATGCCGCCTATCATCTCGGGGCATCTAAGGCCTGATAGAGAATGGAGCTTTACGGAGGCCGAGGGTTTCAAGTGAGCCTTTCATTAGTAAAATTTCGGGTTGAGATATTCAACTTTCCTTTGCCAGAGGTAGCACTCATCACCGGTATCATCTTGAGGAGAGATAAGCCCAGCTCCAGGGTGACTCGGCTTTAACATTCCGAATTGTCCGGCGTGATGATCTACGTCTTCTAGAATATACTATATCTATATACGCATTCCACACAATACCTTCGATTCTCCCGATATGAGACATTTTTTTCCATGATAATGCCTCCCAAATCACATATAACATACAAAGTATGAAATGGATTGCAGATCACTGGATCTCTGATCGGCAATTTAGGGCCGTGTCAACACAGCATATCACTTGGCTCTAATATGGAAAAAACTCCTGTCTAGACTCCGTACGCATCCACGAGGTTCGGCCCCTTTATAGATTTAGAGTAACTACTGAAGGCGATCAACCAAAACCTTGGCAGCTATATACAAATCAGGTCAAGGGTCCACATGGTGACGGCGAAGCTCCGCAAATCTTCCCTAAAAATGAAGTTGAATTCGACTATTCTCCATAATTAGTTCATCGGGATAATATGTATGATCTGCACTTTGTATGTAACACCTAGGTAGTCTGACCCGTCCTACTCCACTTAGGGCAAAAATCGTCCATCATCCCACCTCGGTACAGCTATATCTCTAACCGCTAGTGGAGAAACAGTTAAGAACCTATGTAACTATCCAGAATTATATATAGAGAGATAAGCAAGAATCTAAGGATTAAGAATTAGGTAGAGAATTGGAATTGAATTTTAAATTAATATCCACCGGTAGAGCCACCAGTAAAGACTGATATGGCACAAAGTAGTATATACGTCTTGACCCGAGAGCTGCAGAACAAAATTTGATATGACTGACGTTTAAAGACTCCCGAGGCCCACATTTCAACCTTTCCGACTTTCTCGTAATTGAGTCTTACGAAGTACGAAGAGCCCGTACGAAGAGTAGTACTCATACATTGTTCCTTGCCAAGCATGCATCAACCTTTTGCCAAGTAACTTGGCGAGGACCGTGTGGACATCCCGGACATCAAAATATGGACTATTCCACATTTAACGGTTTTATCCATAGCATCCAATTCTTCTCCGACAACCGGCGGTTTCAAGATCTGTGCCATGGAATTGCAATAGAATTCCAATGGAATATCTAGTGGACCATAAAAGTCCACTTAATAGCCATTGAGGTTGCCACGTTGACACACTGATGTCAATGCTAACATGAATACAAGGCCTGGACGATTTCAAAAGCTGGAAGAAATTCAAGCTTGCTATTCTATTTTCATTCCTTTCATTGATATCTATTACTTTGTATATACAAAGTATACACGGATATCACGTTGACCGATGCCGTCATTGTATTGGTTGCAGATTGGCGCTATGATTAGAACTCCACAAATTCAGGTACTAAAGTAAGCTCAAAGCAGATTCAATAATATTTCCCCTCTATGAAATGTAACATTGGTCTTGAACGCCAAGTGTGCCTATGTTGTAAGACAACGTTCCTATAATGCTCTGCGTCACATCCAAAAGCGAGCATAAATTGGTCAAAACCGAGTTTGACTACACCACAAATTCCGACAAATAATCCATCTTTCCTATCTGCACACCTTTCACCCTCAAAATTTCATACGCCGTCACAAGATGGAAGTAGAAATTGGGAATCGCAAATCGCACTGAGTAATCCTCCAGCGTGAAATCGAATTCCACCGGTCCAATCGGAGCCTTGAAACGTTCCCCTTCCCTGCTGGCAATCTTGGCTGCATCGACTTTGCCAAGCTCCGCGAGCGTCCTATCTATGCGCTTGTAAAGGTCTTCATAGGTCTCGTCGAGTTGTGGCTGTGGCGGAAGTTCCACGGAAGCCGCGCGGGCGAGGGCCTTAGAGATGGTGTTTGTTGCGGTCACGATTTGGAAGGAGAGAGGCTTCATATCCTCAACAAGACGGGCATTGAGAAGGTCATCGAGTGGAATGTTGTTTTCTTTCGCGTACTCTTCGGCCTTTTTTAGGATGGTAGAGAGGGTCTTGAGACCCCTAGTGAAAGTGGCGATAGTGTAATTGTAAAATGGAGAGGACATGTCGATCTTTGTGCTTTTGACTTGTGTACTTGAGCTCTGATAAACGGTAGGACGCAGTGAAATTCTGATGGATTTTGAATTTTGAATTAATGATATCTTGTCAAAAGAAGTAGATGAGGCCTTTAATGTAATATCCTGTGCTGACCCCCAAGAAAAAGAATCCTTATGCTTACACTCACCTCCCCACCTGATTTACAATCCGTGGATTACTAATTGTCTCGCCAAGCCCTGCAGGAACAAAGGGAGATTTTATTTGGCAAAGATCTGCATGATTACTATGCTGAATCACGCCCCAGTCCGGACCCTAGAGTTAGGGCAACGTAGCTCGGGGTTCCGGTTCACTTCATATTTCTACTTGCCTTGGTTTCGAGCTGCAACAATTGATTATGATAACTAGGTTTATATTTTATTGCACGCATTTATAATCAAGTGGTCAGAGGAAATGGCTCTATACTAGGCACTCCGTAGGCCTGACAAATTGAATTCTGAATTCTTAAGCTTAGAGGTATAAGAGGGACATGGTTTTCATTTCTCATTTGAGTATATATTAATCAACATCATTATTGTCTCTCTGTATGAGACCCCAATCTGTACGGCCAGAACAGACAAGTCACCCTCCATCAAAAGCCTGACCCCGAGAAATCGCCGAAACAATGGAAACAACCACCTCCGATCACGAGCTCATTAGAAATGCAATCGCAAATATTGCCATTGCATTTGACACGAACACCTACGCGGAGCTTCGAAATTCGTTTACAGAAGATTGCGTGGCGGACTATACAGGATCGCTTGGTCTCATGAACGGCATCGACAAAGTTATTGAGCAGCTGCAGAAGACCATCGGGCACGTTACCACCTTCCACGGATTGAGCACGCAAGTTATACACCTCACTAGCAAATATACAGCTGAGGCTACGACGTATTGCTCCGCGAGTCATTACGTGGGCGACAAGTCGTTCTTCGCCGAAGCTAAGTATTTTGATAAGCTCGTCAAAGTTACTGAGGGAAAAACCACCAAGTGGTTGATCAACCATCGCTTGACCACGATGATGGGCGTTCCAAGGGGCGATTTTTCTATTTTCAACATGGATTTGGAAGGATGAGTCGACACCTTGACGGCATGAGATGGTTCCAGCTTTTATGATCAAAATATGCATTTATCCAAGTGAGATTCTCCTTTGAAGCCTTTGGCTGGCCTTGGTTAACATTACACTTAGACAGCGACACTATTGGTTTATCCGAACTCTAATATATTGAGTTGTAGGAGAGGGCTGTAGGAGAAGTGGATGAATGGAGTATTTTGTGTTCAGTTATTGCTAGATAGCTTGTTGCTTGATCAGGCAGTGTGTTCTATTTCTTCTTTGCCCTTTGTGGCTTTTTTCTTTTGTTTATTTTATCAACATTACGCTAAAAGGATCACTTCCTGGTAGTAAGAGTGCCCTCCATCATTAGGATATCATACATTTTGGTTCTTTCTCCTCGCTTGAGTTAGCGTCGGTGCTCTCTTGGCATCTGATGAAACGACATACTTCTACTTATTGGCATGTTCATCTCTCCTTTAGTGTAGGCGCAAGAGGCCCGTTTGAAACTGGGGAGTTCAGTCGACGTATTCAACGATATCAGATGGGATGTTGGAAGTTGTGGTGGAATCGGGTTCACGCGCACATGGTATAAGGCTTTCTAGCCAATTCACCGCTCTGGTTTGCAGGCAAGAAGGATAAAGAAATAAAAACCTATCCTATCAAGCCTCGCAATACATTATCCAACTATCTGAAGTGTCGCGCTTCGTACTCGTACTGGTTTCGTATTCGTAAAGTTGCCTTATAGTGGCGAGGCTGTAGTAATTCACGACTGAAAATTTGCTGGTTTTAAATCAACTTAAGCTCCTCTTTGTGATTTAAATAATTTGCCATACTTGCGTACGCAACGACATCTTTGTGAGGTTTCCATGGTGTCTCAGATATTTTTATACTTAGAAAAAACGACGATTTAATAGACCTATAACATGTAGAGAAGACAAAATAAGAAAGAAAACTTGGTACCCAGGTAATTTTTGCTACTGACTGAGGGAGAGAGAGAAAACAAGATAAAGATGAAGTTGTATCCGTCTTAGGAAGGATGTGCCTCAACACTGTTTGATACAAGCATAGACATATCATATCATTCGGGTCGGGGAGAAGAGGTGATATGTCTGAAATATGCAGATCTTAATGAATTCTATTCTATAAGTATCAAAGGAACGGGATCAAAACACAATTTCACTAATGATATATTATCAACTATACCCAAAAAAAAAAAAAAAACAATGAAGGCCGTATCAAAGGGTCCTACAAGATGCAACAATCCAGACTCTGATTCACATCTAAACCCACTACTGATGGAGATAGAATTCCCCACCGTTGATAGTCTTGCATTCAGTGTCAACATTACCAACAGGGCCGGTGTAAGGGCCACACTGGTACTTGTAACCAGACTCAATAACCGCCACGGCTGCTCCAGCAGGACCCTCAGCAGCGACTTCATATCTCTCGATATTGAAAGCACCAGCGGGGAAGAAGAAGGAGAAGTCGGGATCGGCGCAAGGCTCGGGGCTCTTAGGGCCGACAGGAAGTGTGCCGTTTGTCCTAATTGATTCGATTAGTCTCTTTCTACTGTGGTCATGTAGATCTTCTGCATAATAGCAATAACTCACCAAGCAGTGTGGCAGGTCGTGGTCTCAAGGGCTTCTCCCGTGGGGTTCCTGGAAGTAAGATAGAATCCCAAATCCCAGGTGTCGCCCTCAATAGTATGCTTGAGGGAAAGGCCACCGATGCTGTAGGGGTAGGCTCGGGACTCAGTGGCAGGAGCGGCGAAGGTAGCAACAGCGAGAGAAAGTGCAAGGGTAACGAAAGAAGTCTTCATTTTGATGAATAATTGAGATATATTGTGTTAAAAAAAACGAAGGTGGTGTTTGGAATCAGCGGTTCTTGCGGTGATTTGGATATCGATGTCGTAATAGAGACATAGAAGAAGGTCTCCAAGTTCTTTATATAGATATCCGAAGTGACTCGTTTTGCTGCAAAGAGTATGTCTTGCGAAGAATACAAGGGTCACAGTCTGGCTCAGCTCACTCGGTGAATCTCTACGAATCATCCATTAGATAGTAAGAAATGAGGTAAGATTTCCCTCTATTGGATACGTAGCGCATTTTCCTTGTTTCCAGTGTCTCAGTGGCTATTACTAAATATAGCTTAAATAGACATAGCTCGGAATTCCGCAGTAGTACACAGTACGAGCTCGCAATACATTACATTGGATAAATAATTATAAAGCTACCTACATATGTAATGGCCCCATAGGAAAAAATAACTCGGAACTCCGAGGTCGCGATCTACAAGAGCCTATAATGTATCCAATCATCTGCTTGTGCCTACGCCTTACAGAATACTTGGCGCGCTGATCTCCCTACCCAAGTACGCCTAATTCTATAAATGGAATCTTTCAGCGCCCCTGGGACTGATATTAGCAACCGATATTGAATATCAACTACGAAAAAGTCCGTGTTGTAGGATAGTTAAATGGACGTTGGGCATATATATATGTGGAGCGGGATGCGAGTATGAAAATTATAGGACCTAACTATTCCGCTAAATATTGTATTAACATCTTGAAGACGACACTTGAATGTTATTTCATGAGTAAAAAATGCAAACCTGGTTATTCAGCCTCCTTGCGCTAGCCTTCTTGGTCCCTTCCCCTGCCTTCGTGGTAGAGACTATGAGTACTGATGACATGATGGCTTCTAGACTTCCAACTGTGTCCGTCAAATGACTGCCCAGCTTAGCTAGTACGTGACCTTGGCCCATAACATGCTGCAAGGTTACATGATCAGTGACAGCGTCTCGCTGGATCAAATGATCTTGGGCTAGGATGTTTACACTCGAAATGTTTGTAGATGACACTTGTGGGCTCAGGTTGAGCCAACCTGGTCAAACTGGGTGGTTGTAGTTAGTGAGAGGATGACTTTTTGGGATGACTGGGTTTGGTAGTACCAAGACCGGGCAAATTTGGTTACATACATGTAGAAAACATTGATCTTGACTGAGAACCTCGATATTTTCCAGAAGCGAATGCGAGGAAACAGTTCTCCGCAGCCCCATTGGGATTTGACGAAGCGATGAAGCAGGAGGAGGTAGAAAGAGCGTCGGGAGGGAAAGACCGTTGGGAAAGCGACTCAACATGAGGTTATAAGACCTCGGGAGTCGTTGGCCACGTATATAGCCTTGTCATGTCTTTGTTTGATAATTCTTTTCTTTTTGTATATTTTCTTCGCCTGCTCAGTTTCATAGCTACATATGTAAGAATATAGAAAGGCGATAAAGGCTCCAAAGCATACAGAGGATTTTTCTATGTATAATTGGATATTGGCAACCTCCAAGATTGTCACCCCTCTTGTGGATCTAGGTAAGATCATACTACCCTCAGACGCATATCACGGTTGAGACGCAGTTTGTGAACTTTTCCTCCCCCTGCACTCCCAACTCCACAACAGACGAAACAAAATTTCACCGCCTTACTATCACCTCAATTTGATTTTGACAGAGAAGTTTAGTTGGTATGTACATGAATATTTTAGGGTAATTTACCTAGAAAATCATATGACTTTGGAAATTAGCGTATTGCACATGATTGCATATTGAAATGCATCGTTTTATTTAGTTAAGAGAGTTGTATACTGAAATACCATAATTATCTTCCAAGGTTGACAAATGCAGGCGACCCCGGCCTTAATAGGTAAATAGTGCCAAGAGTAATGTCACCTGACCTTATCATATCTAATCGGATCTTTTTTTTATTAAAAAAAAAATTCAGGATACATAACATAGTATTAAAACAGCTCAATTGCACTACCCTACACCAATCGCAGAGAGGCTGAAAGCAAGAAACATCGGCCGTTTCCATCATTACTACCTAAACCAAATTCGCACACTCCATCAGCAAGCGCGTTTTTCTCCACCGAGACCGCGGGGTACTATCAGTCGTACCTAAAAAATAATCGCAAACCCACCCCAGGTCCAACAATCACATAAGTCTAATCTCCAAAATGGCGACAACTTCCACACCCCAACCGGCCACAGATGCCGCCTCTTACCTCGACCTAGCCATCACCCTTACAATCAACAGTTGGCCGGCCCTTTCACTAGCCGTGCAGTCAAACTGGGGCGGCCCCAACTCAGGTGAGAAGCGGGACTGGCTTTGCGGCGCAATCTCAGAAATGCTCACTGATCGGCCCGAGACCGATGCCGAGGATCTGGAGGAAGTACTAGTTCAAGTTATGAACGACGAGTTTGACGTGGCGGTGGACGATGAGAGCGCCGCGGACGTTGCGGACATGATCATGGAGCTGAAGACGCAGACGGATCGCGGCGAGTTCGGCACTGTTCAGCAGATGTTGGAGAATTTCCAGAAGAAGAGCCAGAATCGTTCTGCTGCGGGTCAGTTCCAGAAGGTTGAGGCTGCGGATCAGGAGACAGATGATGAGAGTGAGGACGATGTTGAGATGGGTGATGCACCTAATTTGGTCCGGGCTCCAAGGGAGCGGGCTGAGCCCGAGATTGATGATGATGGATTTACGAAGGTTGTTGGAAAGAAGAGGTAGATTTATTGAATATGTTTGTTTTGTTTCCGTTTTGCCTTGATCACAACGGGAAACACCTCGGATAGATATCCTTTTCTAGTTACATAGATGCATTTATTGCCAATGGTTGATCATTCAGCAGATCTGAATTGGGTGGGTTAGCCCTAATGTGGCTAGAGATAACCCAAAAGCCCGTACACGGTTCAACCGCTTAGATTCATATATGGAGTAAACTATATGAAAGCAAGATTGTGGGAAAAGAAATGTTCATCATCGTCAGTTGAGGTTGACTGTCTGTGGTATCATTACGCAACCTCTACCCACCCGTACCTTCCTGTTCGAAGTTTCTCGCAAGCACATCGTTGACATCGATTCTCTTTGTAGTCCGTTGCACTTTTGAAAATATAGACATTCAGGTATCCTCGGTGGCGAAAGTACTTTACTCGGCCGCCTCGGTCTCGGAAGTGATGAGCTTGGTGATCATACCAATAGCGATGGTTTGACCCTACAGGTGATATGTTAGCGGAGAAAAAAATATTAGGGGGACGTGAATATGACATACCTGGTCACGCAAGGTGAAACGACCTAATTGGTTGTATTCCTCGTATGTCTCGACACAAACTGCACCAGCAGTGCTGGTAACCTCGAGGCGGGCGATAATGGTCTGTCCCTTGCTGGCGAACTGGGGAGGACGCTTGCTCTTGCGGCCAGTACCGGGCTCGAGCTTGTGAAGAAGGGCGGCGAAAGTAACCTCCTCGACAGCGGAGTGAACGTGTAGAACACAGTTGAAACCGGCCGTCAGGATGCTCTTCAGATCCAAGATACGGATCTTAGCCTCGAAAGCAGATACGCAGTGAACGGGACGCTTAGGTGAACAGAGTACGAAACCAGGGAAGAAATCTTCTTCTTCAATACCACGGAGACGCAGGCGGATCTGGTCACCAACCTTGGCGGTTGGAATCTCGTCTTCTGTTTCACCGTACATAGCAGAGATCTGAACCTCCTCGCGGTTAGGCATCATGAGATAGGTACCGCTCTTCTTAATAATACCGGACTCAATGCGACCCTCTGCCATGGTACCCATGTCACGGTACTTGGCGCTGATCGGCATCATGAATGGCGCGTTAATCTTACGCTCGGGAAGCTCAAACGCAGTCAAGAATTCGAGCAGCGACGGGCCGTCATACCAATCGCACACATCCTTGGGAATTCGGTCTTTGATACCAATAGTGCGCTGGGCAGAGATAGGCATACAGAAGATGTCTGACTTCTTGTATCCCAGGGCTTCCAGGAACTTGATGACCTTGACGGTGCATTCATCGAACCGGGCCTTGCTCCATTCGACGGTAGGGTCGTCCATTTTGTTAACAGCAAGGATCAACTTGCTAACTCCAGTGTTGCGCGCAAGGAGTGCGTGCTCACGGGTCTGGCCACCTTTCTCGAATCCAGTCTCATACTCACCCTTACGAGCAGAGATAACCAAACAACCGAGATCGGCCTGAGACGCACCACCAATCATATGAGGAACATAGGACTTGTGACCAGGGGCATCCAAGATAGAGAATTGACGCTCGATATCGCCCTCCGGGTGCGGGATGGTCACCTTGAAGAAGGCACGGCCAACCTCGACTGTCTTACCCTTTGCACGTTCCTCCTGGGTCAGATCAAGAGCCCACGAAAGATACCAGGTCTCCCGACCGGCTTCCTTGGCCTCCTTCTTGTATTTGTCCAGTGTACGCTCATCAACCATGCCGGTGGCATGCAAGAGGGAGCCTCCCAGGGTGGACTTTCCAGCATCAACGTGACCGATGAAGACAACGTTAACGTGCTCTCTCCGCTCACCGTAAATTTCCTTCAGGGTCGCGTCATCAACATCAGCTAGCTGTGCCTTTGCGACGGCAGTGGCCTCACGAGCTTGCTTGGCTGTATCGCCGCGGGACGGGCTAGAGCGGCCAGAAGACGGCGAGGGAGAAGCCTTGCCAGCGACAGCCGCCTTGTCTGTCTTGTCAAGAGACTTAGTAGCTGCCACCTTTGAGCCTGCCTCAGCAGCCGCAGCGCCCTTGGTATCACCATTAGCCTCCTTGGGGGTGGTGTCAACAGGCTTAGCTGCCGGGGTAGGAGTGCCAATCGAAAGGACCTTTGTCTTGGGGGCAGCGCTGGAGGAGGTGGCGCCGATAGACAGAACCTTGGTCTTGGGAAGGGCGGGAGTCGATGCGGGCTTGGGAGCGGACTGGGCTGCGGCCTGGGGTTGCTGTTGCTGTTGTGCCGCTAGAGGAGCATTCTGGCGAGGCTGCTGGTTGTAGCCACCGTATTTCTGCTGTTGCTGTCCATTGTTGTACTGGCTGAAGGAACCAGGCTGCTGGGCATAGGCATTGTACTGGCCATAGGCTTGCTGCTGCTGGTAGCCACCATAGGCTTGTTGTTGGCCATACTGAGCGTATCCCTGCTGGGGATAGCCAGCATACTGTTGGTACTGTTGTCCAGGGACGAAGGAAGAGGCTCCAGGTGTGAAAGAGGCGGCGCCGGGTGTGAATGAGGGTGCTTGGGCCTGAGGACGAGATTGTGCGTTCAGGTTCACGCCCTCAGCCTGTCGGGAAAGATCCTCCTCCCAGGATTCAGGGGTTTGGTTTGACATTATGAAGTAAGATCCAAGGTCAAATCAAGGACACGAAAATACCAAATCAAGACGGATTTGGACAAATACAGGTTGGGTCAATAAGAGGGGCCCCCGGTGCCTTTTGATTTTGCACAGGTGAATGACTAAGACCCCGCGATCTTTTTTCACGTGATATTTTATTGAATAACTTTTCATTGTGTGAGAAGGTAAATGAATGTTTGTTAGGAACCAATTCTGTTTGCTTTTGTTAATGACCTTTTCAATTATCTGTCCTCATTATATTGACCTCTTGAAGGCAAAAACTTGTGTCAGGGAGTTGGGCTCATCTTTCTTGACCTTTCTTTCTCTTATCGATAAGCACCCCTCCATGGCTGCAGGTAGTTTATTCCAAGGTTGCTAAGGGACCTTTGCTGTCAATACAATCTACACTGCAAATTTTAAAGGCCATTGGCCTTTAACTTAGACTGATATGGATGCTTTTCTTACTGGGGTAGGTCGTATATATTAGTTGTCATGGGGCAAGCAGCTAATTCATGCATTGCATACAGCTCACCCGGCAGGCCATGAATTATGCCATTCGGTATGTTCGATCATGGCTGAAAAATGGCACCCCTCAACCTTATGCTAAAAATATGTCACGCAGGTCGGGAATCGCGATAACGGCCAGCTATGCAATGCGCCAGTCATCGCGCTTGCTCAGAGTAAGTGTTCTTCCCGGTTGCAGTTGCGGGAAGAAGCCAGCGCTGATAAGTTCCTTTTCCCCTTGATTAGAATGTCAAGAGCGAGGACCGAGATGAGTTAGTCGCCCTGCAACAACGTCTGGAAAGCAAGATACAAGTTATCGCTCCCTCTATTGACATGATTGAGTTAATGTGAGTCACGCAATATTGGGTTGGATCGCCAGAAAGCTCATAATTCGCCTAGTGCTGCTCGGGGAAATACGTCATTGGAATCTGCTGTCGCCTTAACGAAGTCTCTAAGATGGGACATTCAAGCCCTAGGACAACGGCTGGCAAAGGCCGCAGGATCTGAAGAATTGAGACGCAAGGGAGCCAGATCGCCCAAAGATCAGACGAACAGCGAGAAAGAAATCAAGCTTATTATCAAAGATATCAAGAAGCTCTTGGCTCGGATTGAAGATGCAGTTCCATTAATGAACCTAGCCATCACCACATCTGGGGCAAAGTTATCCACTAACCTACCCGCAACGGTATCGCCATCCCGGCTCCTTCAAGCAAGCACGTTTCTCACGGCAGGAGATACGCAATATTCAATGTCACCATCTCAGGCAGTCCAAGTAGGGCCAACTTTTACCTTATCGATGTACATGTTATTTGCTAGCCATTTGCGACCTCATGACGAAGAATCTGTTCGTGAGGCCACGTGGAAGGAAGTCATGCATAAGGCACGTTTGAAGCTGCGCCGTGTTCCAATAGATGCGTTGCAGTCTCCAGGCCAACTCCCACGAACGAAGCTTCCAGGACCAGCCGGGGCCGATGAATACACCTATCAAGTCCTGATCATCGAAGACCTGGATGATGGCCGAGTCCATACATTCGACGATAATGATCCGCAGCCCCAAAACTATGAAGGAGTTTCCACGGCAGGAATCCGGGAGATCCTTCCTATTCATCAAATTTCAAAAATATTCTACGCAGACACTGGGAGGATCCTCAACATCAGCACAGAGGGCGAAACAAACAACCCAGTGCTACTATTGAAACGGGATCTAAATGCTCTCCCTCCACGGCGCATGATGGAACGAGACGAGGTGCAGGATGACTTCCCTCAGGCAGAATCCGAGGAAGAACCAGAGGACAAGGAGCAAGCTCTACTCGATGCACAGCTGAACGGAAACGACAATCGGGATACTAGCAGCTTCAACTATCTGCATCAAGATTCCATACCCGAAGAATGGCGCCTATCTCCCGGACTGGACCCAGAATGGATCGCATTCGAGGTTTACAATGAAGACGAAGCCTCCGATAGCGAGTCCGAAGCTGAAAATCCCGAGTTATCCACAGATGAACCCTCAATCGACCCAAACATGATGGCCAAGCTATCAATTAATGAGAAAGGGAATTCATCCCACTCCCCGTCTCCCCGAAATCAGTCATTCTCATCCGCCCCTGCCACAACAACAGTTTCCAATCCTCACTTCGAGAATATCCGCACCTCCCTCTCCCTCCTCGAAACCCTCCTCCGCCTAACATCCCTACAGCAATTCCAACAGCAATCCCACCTCTCTATCAGCGACGAGCTCCTCAATTTCTTCCTGGAAGAATCCTCCACCACCGGCGCTGGCGGCGACGAACAGCACCGCCAGCGACTCCGCTCCGATGCTCGTCGTCGCGTTGGCTGGGACCCATACAATGAAAGCCCCGTCAAACATCGCGGCGAGGATTACCAGTACGGGTGGGAGTCCAGTAGCGGTCCCCACCAATATGGCAGCGATCCTTACTCGCCTAGTGGGCGGGCGCAGGGCTTCCATATCCGTTCCAGGGAGAGTACACCGGAGACCCCGCTGCGCAAAGGCTCACCGAATGTCCGTCCAAGTGGACTACGTGGTATGAGGCCTGCGTATGCTGAGTCACCCCTTTCGAAAAAGATGGGTAGGTCTCCAAAGGACGGAGATCTAGAGTCTGGCACGACAGATTGAATGGGAAATTCATCACTATCATGCCTTGTACATACATGTATTATGATCATGATTATGAGATAGCGAATGTATTTCATGATTGTTTCTTTCTCCTACCCTTCGAACGATCTTTACTAGATGTCAAATTGTTCTGGGGAATAGCATCATCCACAGCGGCTATTCAAGTGTGGAATAATGGTCTAATGGTCTACCTAGGAGCTTAGACGGCCAAACGCTCGTGTTGAGATACTATGTAGATAGAAGCAATGAGGTGCGTATTCAGATATCAACCACATAGACAGATAACATCGCTCGATGAAGACAAGTTGCAGAAAACAGAGCTGGGAATAAAATGAAGGAAGAAACCGAAACGCCAAAAATAAAAGACCCGACATTCCTAAACTCCAACCAAAGCAGATTTATTCAACAGGCAATTGGCCGTGTTTAAGCCGGGGCAGTAGCAAGATCAAAGCTCGCGCTCTGGGGGGTATATGGTATAGACAGGTGCCCTCGGAACTAACTCGAGATTCTCTTGCTGATGCGTCCTTGAAAAGAGATGAGTTACTCCCAATCTTCGTCGCTATCGTCTGCCTTCGCAGCGGAGGGACTCTTCTCCTTGGGACTGCCAGGTGTGCGGCTAGCAGTACCACTCACAACATCGTAGCTAGATTCGCTATCGGCTTGGGAGTGTTGGTCGTGCGACCGGCGAGGCTCAACTTTCAAGGTTTCTTTGGTGGGAGCGAGAGTCTGGGTACCGGAGGGGACCTGCGGAGTAGAGGGAGACTGAGACTCGGAGTCAGAGTCGTCGTCCCAGCCAATCTCTTCTTCGTCTTCGGCATTGGCACCTGTAAAGTAGAAGTGGTTAAAACTAAAAACAAAAATCACCGGAGTGAGGGACTCAATATACCCTTCAAAAGCTCCTTGCGCTTCTTCTCCTCGGTCTCCACAACCAGACGCAAGAAGTAGTAACGAGTCCAGAATTCCGCGTATTCCACCTGCTCCGGCACGAGCTTCTCCATGGCCGAACGGAGCTCGGGGTATTTCTCCAAATCGGCGGCGATCTCATCTGTCTTCATTTCGACATTGAACTCCTTTTGGAACGCAGGCCACTCGTTGCTGACCGGGTCCTTGGTGAAGCTTTCTATGTTTGAATGAATAACGTGCAGCTGTGCCTCGAACCGTGTAGCATGAATGACCCGCTTTCCCTCGGAATCCTTGCTCTCGAAAAGAAGCTTGCCGGACTCATCGGTATCGGGAGGCAATATGCTAACGGCTTCACGCAGCTTCTGGCTGATGTTCATTCCGAATCGCAGGATCGCCTCATCAGCTGCTTCCTCTGCCTTCTCAATCTCCTTCAGCCGTCGAGCGGCTTCTGCCTTCAACCGCGCAATAAAGCTTTCTCCACTGGCGCCAGCGCCTTCACCTTCTTTCTTGTCGCTAGATTCTCCTTCTGTAGCCGCCTTAGGTGTTCCGGTTTCATCACTTTGCCCTTCGCCACTGCCCGTCAAACTAGCTGTGCTGAGAGACAGCCCCTTTGTCCGGTCAACGAGTGTTTCCCTAAGATCTGAAAATCCTTTCACGGCTTCCTCGCTAGCAGCTGCATACTCTTGACGAGCGCCCTCATAATATGTTTCTCCCTGTTTGCGTACATTATTCCACAGTCCTCCAATTCGGGAACCCCACGGACTGGCGGAGAAGGCACGGAAGGTCTCCTGTAGTTCGTCGTTGAGATTGGCGTTGGACTCCTGGGGCTTGGAGTCGGAGGCGGCCCCGTCTTTATTGGAGTATGCCTCCTCCTGGATGTGATCGTAGGCGATATCCATGATTGGGGAGTTGTTAGAAGTAAAAGAGAGTTGAATGCTTGGAAGCACAAGGTTGCAGTATCTCCGCGCTTATCCATGGCCCGACCGCCCCGCTTGCGACGATCTTCAAAACTCCCGACTTACATCGGTCAGTAACTTCAAGGTAAAACATGATATAGTATTCATATTCAATAATATTCGAGGTATTCATAATTCATAATTTATTGGACAATAACCTCAGAAACAATATCATCCTTCAGGTAAGCTATAAGGTTCCCCTACACTATCCTGACTACCCATCCAAAAGTTCGGGAGTGGGATGCTCTCCATGACGCTCGATGTAAGAAGTTGGCTCCGAGAGAGGACTCGTCCCTGCCATTGAGGATCTCGGTCCACCGCCTGCGAGGACTCAACTTGGACCACGGAGCTAGGAACCTGAGGTCGTTGGAACGAATTATCACCCGACTCGATTCCACGTTCTCGTTCTCGGATCGGCGACGACTCGGGAACTATTTCAGTAGACTCTTTGTCGCATTCCTGGCTCTGTGTCTGTGTCTGCGAGAATGGTCCCGGTGCCTGTTTTCGAACTGAAGGCCTCAATGGCTCCAGATTTGTGTACTGGCTACTGCCTCCGTGAGGAAAAAGCTCGGACATCTTCTGCGTATTCAGTGTTGGGATTGGCTCGTGCGGGAATTGTGTAGCCGCATGCATTCTTTGATAGCAAATTGAGGCATCAGACATTGGACCTTCTGAAGGAGGGGCATCATCCAATCCAAGGCTCGATTGCGCAGCTGGTAGAGGAAGTTCTTGGGAATCATCCTTGGGAGATTCTTGGCTGTGTTGGGTGGCCTGTGGAACGTTCGGTGGATCGATTTCTCGGCATATTTTCTTTGGGGATGGTGTCACGGAACGCGTATTGAGGCTGTCTTCAAAATCTCCGTATTCTGAGTCCGCATCCGTTTCATAGACGACCGTCCTCTCCCTCTTGGTGGTTTCAGTTCTCGAATTTGCTTCGGTGGGAAACTCCTGAGAAGTCGACTCCGTCGGAGGTGCAGATGAAGGAAATTGTTCAGTATTAATTGGAGCATGATCGATCAAAGTATTATAGATGCTTGGAGAATCGGATGTTGTTGGCTGTAGTAAAGATTCACCTCCAGGGTCTTGTGAATCCTCGACCACTCGCCGAGTCTCCGGGGGTTCTTCTTTGATGTGTTGCATGGAATTATTCGTGGGTTTTAACGGGTTACGCTTTGAAGGAGAGCGAGTAGCGCTGCGAAATTGAGATGAAGTTATGATAGCGAGACCAGGACTTTCAGGCGTCTGTGAAGAAGGTATCTCACGTGTCCGGGACTTTAGCGGCGTAATAGGAGCTGCAGGTATCCGCTCACCCTTTCTGCTTCCAGGATTTGACTCCTGTGGTTCATTTTGTTGAGATATAGGTTCCCCTGTTGAGAGATCCAGCTCTTCTTCGAGCACTCTGTGCTTTCGTTTGGCGGAGGTCGAAGTCGGACGCTTCATATGCTTTGCTTGGTTCGCTTTGGGTGTATTTTCTGTCTGTTCATCTGCTATGGCCTTCTTCTGCGGTGTCGGCTGGATATATCCCATGTTCACTTCGTCGTCATCGTCATCATCAATGGTAATGTAACGTCGTACAAAGTCCATCTGAGTTAAGGTCTTGTCCCGTTTTCCCGCTGACTTCTCCAGGGATTTTCGACCTCCCTTGGAACGAACACTCGCCCTTGGTGTCTCGCTTTTTCGAATTCCATGACTTCGATTTGCATCGCGATTGATGATTCCAGAGCTCCTCCGCTTCTGCGAGCGTTCATCCGAAACGCGCTCTCGTTCGCTCATCTTGAATTTCGAGATACGAGCTGACCGAACTGGTGGAGCAGGAAGATAGTCTGAATCCTTGTCAGATCCATCATCTACATTTGACTGCTCAGTTGCATCTTGGGCATCGTGGCCACGTTCTTGTTCTTCAATGTAGGCAAGCTGGTCATCATTCGAAGGTGTGGGCTGTGTCACAAAGTCAATTTGTGTGAGAGTGGATTGAACTCGTGGTAGTGATTTCCGTCTACGAATGCTTGCCGATGTCGACGACTGCGGTGATCGGTTCCGTGCGATGATGGTTTTCGTGGTAGTTGTTGGAAGATCTTGTGTACTCGGCCTTCTCGGGGTGCGGACCTGATTTCGAGGGGTCTCTAGCAGGCCTCTAGATCCGTGCAGTTCTTTCATTGCTGTTGCAATGGCTCCGGTCTTAAAACATCACGCTGGGGCCTAGAAGTAAAAGATATGACGTTAGGGGCAGATGCCTCAGGCGGTTCGCGTCGACGCGTCGCTAATATCGACTTGGTACGTGCATTGCAAGTTTCGGCCCCCATACATTCACAAGTAGACCCTACATGTAATACTAACGCAAACAAAAAGAAAACACAGTGCAATTCGATCCAGAGTGTTCAATCCTCGAGTGGCAAAAAATAAAACAAGAATAATTGATCAAAAAAGAAATCTCAGGTTTGGTTTTTAGGAATAGCCGAACGCGGGGGTCGAACCCGCAGCCTTAAGATTAAGAGTCTTACGCTCTACCGATTGAGCTAGCCCGGCTGGGCTGTTGAAGGAGATTGCGCGATAATGCTACACTAGCCCGAAGGAGTCAGTTGTACAGGACATGGATGGTTACATAGTTAACGGAAGCAGTGTAGTCATACATAGCAGTTCTTTTTTTCCCTTCTTATTGATTGATCTATTTATAATTTAACGTACATAGTTGAAATAGAGGTCTGATTAACAAAACCTAGCCCTCATCAGACATCAGCCATTCAGGAATTGCATCCTCATCTTCAGGGTCCTCAGAAAGCAAAGATCCCTTCTCAATCTCGCTATCAGATTCATAATTGGGTACTGGTGATGGTGGCCGGGAGATAGTAACCACACTTGCGGATTTAGAGTCACCATTTGTGGACGAATCGACTGTGATAGGAGCTTTGTCAGATGACCCTGGGAGGACTTGGGGTACGGATGTCGGATTTAAGCTGTGATTTGGGACAACCACCAGCGAGTAGCGAGGCATTTTCGATGCTTTGTTCCTGGCAATACTCTCGGGAATTGAGGTCCGGTCTATGGCCAAAGGCGCAGGCTTTGTGGGTTCCCTCAGGTCAGAAGCTGGATCATGATCATCGGGCAGAAATCCCCCTCCAGCAGTATAATCCTCTTCCAATGACGAGTCCATTTCTCCTTTCGCGTAGTCTTCGGGAGAATGTTGATCATGTACCATTTTGCCTTTTCCCAGGTCTATCAGAGGTGGGCTATTGGCTGCTTGGTCTGCTTCAGGGAAGAAACCACCACCAGTATCTGTAACGTCCATTTCGCTCTCGGTATCTTCGAGCTTTTGTTCTTCATCATCGCTAGCATACTCCTTGACTCGTTCTGCAATCCTAAGCTTCATCAAAAAGAGCCTCCAGAACCGCAGAGCCTCCGCAGTTCTTGCCTCTAGTGCAGCATGCCGCCTCTCATCTTCGAGACCTCTCAAAACTTCCTCAAGCGCCTCTTGGTACTCGACGGCAACAACAATTCCCCCGAGTACAGCCGTGCCACGGCGGCCTCTAAAGTCAAATCCAGTGACTGCGTCGGCATAGTCAATGCCAAGGATTCGAGCAGCTCGAACTGCCTCCGGCCGCCTGATATGAACTCCACCAGGCGGAACCATGCTAGGCACATAGACATCGAGGTTTCCATACGCGTTCTTCGGAATTCTTCCTTGGACCACTGGTGGCGGGATGTAGATTTCTGTCTGGAACTCGGCGTATAGTGCGGTTTCTTGGGGCTCGTTTTCATCTTCGTCATCACTAAAGCCCCCGCTCTTATTTCGACTTGCAGCAACACGCTTCAGAGGCTGCTCGCCAACTCTGACATCACGCCCAAGGCGATACCATTTATCAGAGCTTCGTACAATATGCAGGTCAGATCGACGATAAACGGGTTCTGATATCTCACTTCGGGATGTGCTTTTTCCCAACCCCACGTGTCCGATTATTCGTTTTGGATGGATCACTTCATTGCGACGGACATGCCGCTCAAGCGCATATACGGGATGGTCCTTGAAGTCCTGGATATTGCGCGGCATGGGCTCAGCTGCTGATTTGGATGTTAGTTCACTAATCTCTGCCTCATCCCGATCTTCGAAGAAAGGTTTCTCGTAGGCTTGTAGCGCCGTATCCCACCACTTCTCGCCATTCCGTGTGGTCTCCACGCGAAGTTTCCGCGTCTTTGCATTAAATGCTTTTACATAACGACGAGTAATGTCTCTTGCAGAGGCGTCATCCTCGAAACCAACCACGTAATTCATCAAGTTTAACGAATCGCTCGCAGGCGGTTCAAATTTCGAAGGTTTTGCAAGGGATTTTGTTACGACCGGGTCAATTGGGACCCATTTCTGTGCAGCTGCGTTAAAAGCTTCCACCCAAAATACCGGAAATGGAGATTCTCGCGATGTTGGAATCGGACCTATGGGTGTTAGTTAGGCATAGACTAACAACTGTCGGAAATCACATGCCTGAATAGAATTTTGGTTGAGGAGGACGCGATGGGGTAAACTTAGGCTGTCCAATCCGTCGAGGCTTTGAAGCTGTGGGTGATTTTTCGCTCTTACTGCGTTCGTCTGTTGAGGATCCAGGATCATCTGAGGATATCACAATATATTCATGCTTCGGTTTAGAGGGCGCCATGTCTTTCACGGTGCCAGAAAATGGCAACGGTTGCAATGAACAAACAAGTCTCGCCTCTACGGCTACAGACCGTAACAGGGCACAGAATAGCTGAGCCCCAAAATCCCGGGAACCTTCCATTGTCATTGCTTGGGTTCGGAAATCCTCTTTGGATAAAAAGACTTCAGCATTCGACACGATTGACTCCTATATATTCGTGTCAGTAAGTGATTGTTGATGGAGAAACATGTGGAAGATACCAATTTCTGCTTCAATTGCGACTCATCCTCCGCCCAGTGAGCCCGTTTCATCCCTGGTTTAGTAACCCGAAATCTGCGTGTGAAGGCATCTCCAGCCTGGTTGAGACCGTCCATAAACGTGGTGGATCTGTTATAATTTGGTTTATTGTCATCTGGATGCAGAAGAGCGACTACTTTTCTAGGCAACGTCCTCTTTAAGAACTCCTATAGTCCTATTAGGTCTTTTATCGACATGCCCAAGCAAGCCAACACTTACCTGTAATTTCTCGTCATTGCACCACATGTTGCGCAACTGAACGTGACCAAGGAGACAAAGAATATGACATTTATGCACATCCAATCTGACTTTTCTCTCGGCTCCAGTTAAGGGCTTCCTTCTTTGAATTGATTTCTTATGCTTCTCGGGTTCTTGCTCTAGTGTGATCTGGAGCACCTCGTCGCCGACTTGAGACGCGAAATTTCTATTCAACAAAGACTGTGATTGTTGCTGTAATTCAACATCTTCCCAGTCAACATCTGATTCTTCTGATGTCGATGAATCGTAAACCGTTTGTACTGGTTGGGTGCTATGTTCGTTTGCTTCTGTGCCCTGATGTCTTTGTTCCGAGGCCCCTAATCCCACCGGGATGGCTTTCATGTCTCCGGCCTTGCGCCTCTTGATTGGCCTGTCTGAGGCAAATTGCTCGGGATCTCTGGCCTCAGCCTCCTCCAACAGTTCTTGATAGACATCTGGAGCATGGTCATCTGTCTGTCTCTGGCGTTTAAGTTGAGCAGCGGTAGTCGCCCGGCTCCTTACGGAGCGAGCTGGTGTTTGGCGCACCATTTCAAGCCAGATTGTTGGAAGCCAGAATTATCCGGCAGATCTCCAGGCTTTTTTTTTCCGATGAGGCTCTACGCGTCGCGCGTCAGCACTCAAAGTGGCGTTTTAGTACCCCGCCCTCCTCGTAGATTCAATATGATAAAACATCAAGGAAGAGGTAATGCAAAATGTCCACTATTGCATCGAAATGATATTTGCAGAATAGAAGTACGTTCTCACCAACAACTTTGTTGATGCACTGCATTTCGAGTCCAAGGTTCCATCCAGGTCACAAGCTGCGTCATTCCGGATTTGGATTTATCCGGGCCGATATAAATATAACCCGATTGGGAAGTACGCTGTTTGCGTTTTGTCCTAGATATCACTCAATTTGAATAGTGTATTTCAGATATCGTTTATGTCCTTATTTTTCCGGTTACTGGACTAAGTGGATATATTTCATAGAGACTTCACTTTAATTGTGTGTTGAACGATGAGAAACACGCGAGTACGCTAATATATATATCCACTTGAGGATTTCCCAGTTCGTCTTTTTTGACCGCAACTCCAACAAGACCTAACTTTTCCGGGAAAAATAAAATTAGTCCTTACAATAAGGCAAGCTAAAGATAGTCCCGTGTCCAACGAATATAATACCTTGCTTAGGCCATGGGTTGAAAACAATAGGTAGTTCGACAGTGAGCCCAATCGACTAATCAGCATAGAAGATGTAAAAGAACGACAACACGACTGTACGAGTCGTCTGATAATATGTAGTCTTCCACAAACAGTTGCATATGTATTTGCGAATTAGGGATACTATGCAAAGCGCTGTGTATATACAAATAGTTCATGAGATGTACCCCGTACTTCGTATTGCAACCTACTATGTTGTATACTGCGTCCGAGGCATAGCCTAGATGTTCTTTGTTTTTGCCTTGCAGATTCGCATGGATTCCATAGGACGAACACATTTCAGCCAATAGGAACTCATGCCAGAGATCCTGGAGAGTTAATAAAGGCCCTTCTAGAGCGTGACCTACAACGTAGGGGAATTTTGTGACCGAGGCCAGGCAGTTAAATGAAGTTCAACAACGACAACACTGGCTTCAATATTCTGAGAAGATCTCTTTATTGGTGGATGGTGGGGATTTCGATGAGATCATTTTCCTCTCCAGTCCAAGTGCAGACGTGCATGATCTACATTTCGCTTGCATTTGACAGTTGTGCGCTCACACCTCTCAGTCCTGAGCCGTGCCGATTGGGACGTCTGGCCTTCACCCCAGAGCCAGTCAAATTCAGATTCTAGTAAATGATTTGCAGTTCCAATTTCAAATACTTTTTAAGTTTCCCTAAGCGATGGGTCTTTTTGAAAATTCCATTCCCCTCTGTGAAGTACAAAGGTGAGAAATATGGTGGGTTTTTCTTCGCCGAGACTTTGAATTGAACTGTGTGGATCTTCTCTAGCCGATCATTTCTGTGAATAATTCACCCCGCACCTACCGTGCACACAACACAGCAGGGTTAATAATGGTTGTTGGATATCAAGTTAAAAACACATGAAAACGAGGTGTTTATCTTCTTTTTTTTCCCGGTTAGTTTCGTATTTGTATTGTCGTGCATCCTTAGTGCAACACCCGGGCTGTTGTAAAGGTTGCCCCACGAAGTGAGAATTCTTGCGGATAGAGGGTCTATCTCATCCGCAGCCAATAATATCTAGTGGTATCATTTGTGGGGAATAAATATCTGTGAGAGTACCCAAGCGGTCTACGCTTTTGCCAAAAGGCAACTATTTTATATGCAAGACACGTTTATGGGTAGTATCAAGTAGGTGTACTCCGTAGTGAAAGCCCAAAGACGGGCGATTGCCTGCACGCTGTCAAGGATATAAGACTGCATGTCTTACTTAGTCCCAAAATATTTCCAATTGAATTCCACTATTGATGAGTTGTCAAGAATGGAATCAGGCGCATACTTCCAGGTGCATGTAGTTGATATCCTACCGAGAGCGAGAGCAAGGTGCGGCTCAGGATGATTCTCGCTGCATACATTTGCTTAGCACACCTGTCGCTTGCTCGTTCTTCTTCCCCGTGCCTCATATATATTGGTTCGGTTGAAGTTTCCGCTGTGCGCCTTTACTCATTAGGTCCTAGATGCATACAACATACGAAGTAGCTCAGCAAACAGAGTATAATGAGTACATTGTTCCTCACCTTGGATTTGGATCCGATAGGCCATTACCTGATCGCCAACACCTTGGCATATCGTGCAACAGTAACATTTGTCTTGATTTGGGCGTATTTGATCGGAGTTGTTCGGGTTTGGACACCTATGTTGTAACTAACATACCCTGCAATGTTCAAGGCCTCCTCACATTAAAGAAAGCCCCTATACCCAGCAAAAGTCCCGCATACTTTGTACTCCATGCAGTGGGTATAGATGTTAGCGACTAAAGCAAGAATCTCAAAAGAGAAACATGCCAAGGGCTGTCCCCACTACCAAGCTGCTCCGCTGCGGAGTGACGACTTAACAGTTCATGGGTTGTGGTTGGCCGACACCGAATCTACTGTGCTTATGTAGCATTAGACAGGCAAAATTCCCAAAAAAATTATGCCGAAATAGAGAATTAACGTATAAAAAAGAAAAGATTGAAACCCCCATTTAAGAAGGTGTAGTTGAAAATTGGCTCTGGGGCCGTTACCGACACGTTGGAACCCGAATAACTTTCCCAGTCCCCGGGTCCGGGTGAATTTCAAGGTTGTTTTGACTCGTCGGATTTCCAATTAATTTCCCCGAGGGTTCCCTTTACATGGAAACCCGACTCCATGGCAACAAGTTCAGTTATTTTTGGGACGGCTGCAGGGGTGCTGTACTTGGGATTTTGCCTGCAAGTTTGCGCCATTGTTGACGTGTTTCGCCTTTTTTCCCCCTGGGTTTTTTGTTCCCTCCTTAAATAACATATAAGATAAACACTTTTTAATTCGGGGTACTCCGGGTACAAAAATTTCCATACATTTGTATCATAGTATCTTTATGCAAAGGAGCGCATACTGAAAATTTGGGGGATACACCAGGGCACAATTGTAATTTCATCATTTCAACATACAATATATAGGCTATGCTTTATACAGTATAGTCATTTTGATCGATATTTGCACCGGAGCATGGAAGATTTACAGGTCTAGAAGTTCAGGATAGCCACAAGAACTTCAGACGTCATGAGAAAATAAACAAAAAAAAAAGAGATCCAAATCAATATGGAGACCCGGAGTATCGGAAACTATTGTACTCCGTGCATGCATGTTCCGTGATGCACTTCTAGATCCCATGTGCCCCTCCTTTTGGAGAAATTTTGGGATGTAAGAGAAAGCCCAGGCTTCTAGCCCACCCCAAGTGACGTTGTTTCTGATGGGTCACTTCCTCTTTTCCCACCGCTAGACCTAAACACGGTAAGAGTCTCGCATTAGGGCCGAGTCGGAAGTGAAATGGGAACAAGAGAGGAAACTTCGAGCACGTACTTGTCGTATTCGGTAAATCTTCCGGAAGTATTCCGACACTTTGATATTCCAGTCAAAACAGAAGAAAGGAATCCAGACCGCATATGCAATGATTAAAAACAGAATCCTTGGCGTGAGAACTGTACTCCGTACGATTGTTACGGGTTATATGGATCCATTTTGAGAGGCAAAATCCCAACAGCTCCACGTATATACGCGGTTGAGATTCCCTAGTCTAGAACCCATTACTCCGTATTATCACACCGAACTTTAGCTTTTTGATTTGATGACTTTGTAATATGCATTCATGGAAGAAAAAAGAAATCTCCTAACATCGGGGAATAACGGCGTGCCATACTGACTATTACTAGGATGGCCCTGCAGGATTCTGCATAAGTTTGCTTGGAAATCATTTCTGTTGATCGTCCGAATCTAAAGGGAAAATCCCAGCAGAAAGGTTGAAGACGGCCCGTGGCTGAGCGGGTTGCATATTCCCAGCCGGATGGTACCTACCTTTATTGGTCGATCGAGCCCAGGGAGCCTTCGATCGTGAGGATCGAAATCACATCGTGGGTAAATTCTGAGCTGGACACATAATATGTACCACCACGTCAGAGAACCGAATGATCATCTCGAAAAAAGAGTAGGTTGTATCAAAGACCAGACTTGGAATATAATGGAACTTGAAAATCATTGGGTTTTATGATTGAGTGCTTCCTAAGAAAAGCAAACGGTTCGGTATTTTGTGTATATTGTACAATATATTCCAGGACATTGAATAGAACAAAAACAAGCGAGAAATGACAAAATACTAATAAAAGAAAAAAAATTAAAATTTGAAGTAAAACTAGTGACAAAATCACATATAAATCCGTCCAATCATTTTCACTAGAATAACTAGCCTTTACCCCCCCAGCTAAAACAAGGACATTACGGAGTACATGAGTACTATTTCCCGCCTGAAGCGCCTGGGCATCTCTTTCTTTCATATACTTTTGCTTGAATTCGACCTTTATCATTTACTCAAATTCGTACACAGTACACGAACTAGAACTCCACTTACCGGGGTTTGCTTTTAATTTCGCTTTTCGAACATTTTAAATGTTGATCCTACGCTGATTTATAGTTGTCGGGATAACCCAAGTTGTCGGGCTCTTTTTTTTCTTTCTTTCTTTCTCTTTCAATTATGTCCGGATTTGCGTCAGTCTGAGTCTTTCCATTCTAATACTGGGTCGTGGAATGGACTATCGTGAGCTTGCTTGATTCCATTCAACTACACAAGGAATAGCTCATCTGCTGTCCATACCTGCCAATATTGATCCCGCCGGATGAGAAGGAGTGACCATGGGTGAGATACCTCTGGTAAGTTTGTTTCTCTGATAGCTTGTGGTTCACATGTCTATATTCTACCACCACTGATATTCCCGCGGTTATTTGAGTCTCGATTTTCTTGTTGCTAACGTAAAATTATACAGGCTGTTGATGATAACAGGTAATACTACCTCCATTAGACCCTTCTCGACTTCAATTGCTTTATCAAATCAAATGATGGGGTAACTGACCACATCATAGCAGTGACACAATGTCATTGACCAACAGTGTGACCGATTATCCTGTTGAGCATGGAAGAACCTACCACAGGTACCACGAGGGAGGTATGTTTGCAACACCCAGCTCTGTCAGATCTTGCCAAACATGGCTAATTCAATGTTTAGCTTATGTATACCCCAATGATGAACAGGAATTAGAACGCCTAGATATGCAACATCACATGATTAAAATGACGATGGACGGAAAGCTATTCCAAGCTCCCCTCCAAGACCCAAAGAACATTCTTGACATTGGTACTGGGTCAGGGATATGGCCAATAGAGATGTGTATGATCCCCCGTCTCAGTCCTAAGATTTTTGTCTCACCATCTCAAATTGTCTTCTTGCAGCAGCGTTGTTTCCAAACGCCCAAATAACAGGAACGGATCTGTCCCCAGTGCAGCCAACAGAAGTACCGCCAAATGTGCATTTCCTGATCGATGATGCCACCGAGGAGGAGTGGCTATGGAGCAATGACTATTTTGATTTCATTCATACCGGCCACATGACTGGTTCTGTGCCGTCGTTCAAGCGTATACTACGACAGTCATTCAAACACCTCAAACCGGGGGCATATATGGAATGTCATGAGCCAGACCCCAAACCGAAATGTGATGATGGGACCATGCCTCCCGAAAACACAGACGGGGGATACAGCGCATACGCCTTGCATGATTGGGTAGACCTTAGTGTGCGCTCAGGCCGTCAGTCTGATCCACCAAGACAGTTCCGAATCGCCCATCGGATTGCGCAGTGGATGAAAGAGGTAGGATTTGTTGACGTTGAAGAACGACTCTACAAAATCCCCACAAATACCTGGCCACAGGACGAGAGGCTAAGGACTATCGGCGATTGGAACGAGAGCAATTGGCTGCAGGCTTTGTCCGGGTGGTCATATAAGCCATTTCTTGCCCTTGGGTGGTCGCAAGCCGAAATTGAAGTCTTCCTCGTTGATGTGAGGAGGAGTATACAGGACCGAAGTGTCCACGCTTATATGGACTTTCATGTGGTGTCAGGACGGAAGCCCCTTCTCAGCGAAGGGGAAGCTGCTTCCTGAGTTGTTGCTATCTCCCCGATTTCCCATCATGACCATCTTACGTTTTATCACACCGTTCCTTTATGTCCGTCTCCGAGATGATTAGCATGTGATACCATGGGTGGGCAAAAATTTGCGTGCATTGCATTGGCGTTGTGTGTATGATTCTAATTTCTTTATTTTGCCCTCCGTATAAATCCATGTCCATACATATGTAGCTATGCGAACATTTGACATACATCCGAGGAGTTCTAAATAAATCAAGCTTCGAACAATTAAATGGATTATAACATGATATAGAACGCAGAAACAAGTAAACTTCACAAAATAAGAAAATAATGGCCCAAACAGAAGCTACAAATCATGTAGACAGAGGTGATAATTGAAGGCCAAAGATTGGCCCGTTGAATATGTAGTCCACTACTCCCGACCGTACCCGTGGACAAATGTGGAGATTAGTCATCATGCCAAGAATCGGAAAGCCGCCATGCGAAAGTTGATCCCGAGTGCTTGCGAGAAGCCTAAGACAGCAATCGGCCTGCATATGCCATAGCCAATCTCATGTCTTTCGGCAGACATGCCTACCGGCATGCTCTAAAGCCGCCAGCTACTTCAAAGCTTGACCATCCCTGGATCAGCGATGATCTACTCGCGGCCACCTTTCGTCACTTCGCCAACGGTCAGCGGCGCCATGGGAGCTGTGTTCCCGGACCATTGGAAGCACGTCGACGCCTAGCAAAACGAAGAAATACTGCTCTGGCAAGCATAGGGGGAGGTCCGGCTGAAGACATCGCGTGTCTGTTTGGCCGCAATGGGAGGGAACATATGAAGTGGACCGACCATCCGTGGCAGAGAGCGCCATTCGAAACTCAGAGTATGTGTGACAAGACATGCAGATTCTTTTGGCTATCCGCTAATAATTCTTTGAAGCTTTCGCCGATCATTCTTTGGGTCCTTCTGAAGTACCTTTCTCTTTTTCTGACCAGAACCCGGAGCCTCAACCCGAACTCAGCGAATTCCAGACCACTCATGTCCCCGAGTCGTACCTCGCCAATCGAGCTACACGCGATCAGATGCTGGAGGCATTTTTGGATGGGAGGAATTGGGGCATTGAAGATGCAAGGGACTTCACTCGTCGTCTGAGAATTGACCTCCATCGGGACCCGCGATACAGCCGGCAGATATTCGAGCGGTTACTTGCTCGTTCAGACCCTGACCTTACAGAAGCAATTGCATTCTTGGATGATCCGTTCCTGAACACTCGGGGATCGGGAAATTACGCTGCAGCTGTCAAAGTCTTTGTTCGAACGAAAACGAAACGCGGCAAACGAACCGCTGTTTTGAATGCGATTAATCGTGCGTTAGAGCTGGGATTGATTTCAACTGATGAGATATGTTTGATCATTACCGCTTTACCGAATATCATCGTCGAACGAAACAAGACTCTGGGATCATGGGACCATAAATCTTTGTTGAAGCACTACCGGGCTATGTGGAAAGCTATTGGGTGCTGTAACATTCTCGGGTATCACGATCTGGACAGAAACATTGTTGATGCTTGGCTTGAAGAGCTCCTGCGTACTCGCAGCTTTCGTTTTGCCGAGGAAATCATCATCGAAACCCATGATGCAGACAGTCGCAGCCAGTGGCCTTCTGTTTTGGTTCAAGCTTGGTTGGAAACTATGGAAGTCGATTCGGAGACAAGCCTGCCGTTTCCCAACAAGATCTTCAGCCAGCTTGATGTTAACAGTGCGGCGGACTGTGTCATTCGTGTAACAGAGTCATTGGCATCGTCTCCAGCAGACAGAGTCTCCAGAAACCAATTGCTTGAAAGATGGCGGGATTGCCTTGCGAATGCTGAAGTTATTTCGACCGTTGCCAAGTCACAGGTCTGGTTCGATTTCCCTCTCCCGTGTATTCAAACACAGGTCAAGCATGCTCCTCTGAGCCATTCAACTCAACGCCAGATCATTTTGCGACTCTGGCTTCTACGAACGCTTGGCCGATCCACTGGGCCCATGTACAACCAAAGTGCAAGAGCAACGGATCAACCGATCCACTCATTGTTCAATCTCTACGAAACGGTGATACAGGATACTAGCGGAACCTTCTTTCCGGACTTCATGCGGGAAATTCACGACCTCGACCTCCCATACAACAGCCTTCTGCTCCTAGCGCTAAACAAAAAGGGCAAATCTTCCATTACCAGAACCACCCGCAAAACCCTTGAACGACTGGAAACCTCCCAGCTTTCACTAGCAGACGTGTGGACCAACCCATCTATATACAAGGGAATACAACGTCTTTTCCACACCACATTCGACGAAATGTTCCACCGCATGAACCTCACCAACCCGGACACTGTTGAAGAGATTCTGAGCGTTGTTCGATCAGGGGACTCAAAGAACATCTGGCCCATTCTCAGACTTCTCAACAACAACACTCCATTCAAGGTCAGCCTCCACAAAGCCTGGCAGCCCATTCCACACCCCGATGACAAAGTCCTCGTGCGATACCACCCAGGCCCGCGGGACAGCCGATGCCCCGATCCCCATGCTGCGGTCGACCTCATAAATCAGCTGGCAGTTGCTCTCTCTTGCTGCAAGCACTTGACTCCATGCCAGTCCTTCCATATGGTTCACTGGCTTTACGGGTATCTTCGCCGACACGGCGGGCCTGTGGATCCGGAGTTCGTGCGGGCTATGTATCATGCTGGTGTTGTCCGGTACCGCCGTGACGGTCGCCGTATCTCGGCTACTCAGTACGAGTACATTCTTTGGATCGTCAGCAAGTTTGAAGGCTCTAAAGTCATTGAAGAACTCACTGCTCTGCCTCAGATTGGTGAGTCGAGACCTGACTGGCAGTAGATGTGGTATGTGAATGGATGTCTACGCAAGAAAAATTTGTACAATAGAGCGATACGTTATACCCCTGCTTCACCTTGCCTAGAGGGTACTGAGCCGAACATACAATCTACATGAGAGATACATGAAGTTTTTTTGAAACCTCCGGTTTTCTGTCCTGGCCATACCTGCTCTAAACCCTATAGATAACTCCGCGAATAGTACGTTCGTAGTCTTGCCCGAAGTACGGTCGTACAGAAAAACATAGTGAGACGTAAGAAACCCATGTGTGCATTAGATTCAATTTAAGACCACTGGTCATTGCTTCTCCAAGAAAATCTAAGTATCAACTTCCATGCTGTCCCCAGTGGCAAGCTTATCATCACCAGACAGAGTTTCGATCGTGACATATTTCTTCATATCTTCCTTGGTCATAATCCTCTGGTCCAACCAAGCAGTAGTACCACGGGGGAAGCGGTAGTTGCGCTCCTTCTGTGGGCGCTCGTTGGGCTTCATGTAGTTGCGGAGCAGCTGGGTGGGCTGGTCCTTCTCGATCACACACACGTCGACATTGCTACCAGAGCCAAGATCGTTGAAGATACCAGCCTTGATTGCCTCGGCGCAGATGTCGATGGCGCCCTGTCGGTCCAGGTTTGGTTGCCAGGTCGACTCAAACACCGACATCGCAGCCAAGGATCCGGATCCCATCGTCACGTACGGCAGTTTGTCTGTCGATCCGTGTGCGTGAACAGTGTACAGTCCTGTGCCGGTCGGGTCCACACCTGCAACAACCAGGTACGCTCCGATATGGCCCTGGTACCGGAAGAGGTGCTGCTTGAGCATCGTCATACAGGTGATCACACGGGGTTCGCGGCCCGTTGATAGCGAGTGCAGTTCGACATTGGAGCTGATGAGGGCAGTGGTGAATTCGGTATCGGCGGCGGTACCGGCTCCAGCACACCAGATCTTCGGCGCGATGTAGTGTAGCTTCTCGCAGTTCTAGAGACAAAGAATGTCAGATACCTTCCAAAAAGAAATTGCACAAGCTCTGATCGGTATTTTTTACCTTGTCTGCTACTATAGGACCGCTGGTAGCTCGGGTATCTGCTGCAATCTGCAATGGCGATTCGAGTCAGCTCCTGTCACAGCTCTTTTGAGTCTCCTCGCATCGCTTGGGACCGTACCACAACACCCTTATCGTAGACACAGCCCACGATTGTTGTACCGGTGCTCGTGGCCTTGGGAAGGGGAACGCCCCTGGCGTGAAGCGCCGCATTACGGTTGTAGTTTGTGAAGTCGAAGCCCGGCATCGTGACAACGCTGGTATTCGCGACCAACGGAACTGATTATCAGGATAGAGAGTGGGGATATGAAGAAATGAGAGCGAAATTCGAATATGGGGGGAGATCGAGAAGGATGGATGGACGAATGGGATAGCAAGCTGGAGATGGAGGTGAAGAGGAAGTGAGCTGTTTGGAGTGACGAAGCTCCCGCAGCCTAAATTGGAGCCTTAATTATTAGGCATAAACAAGGTGTTTTTGCCGGACATTATTTTCGAATTCAATGCTCTTTATGTAGTCTCTCTTGACTTCTCTCTCTCTACATCCTTTTGCGCTTCATATCCGTTGCGTCCATTTTTGTTTTCTTTTGCTTGCCTTCTGATTCCTGGCAAGCCGCGCAACCTCAAGATTTTCGCGCATACTCTCAATCTCTTTTCCCGGAGTCCTCACTCACTCCATCGACGCTCGCTCTCTACACCTCCCACCTCACCTTCACCTAATGCCCTTAGACATAGCTCGCCTTTAAGCGAAAGCACACGTTCTCCTTCTGGAACCTTGAATTCGGAAAAGCTTAGAATGGCTTTCAATTTCGGTGCGTCCAACCCCGCTGGGGGAAGCGCCTCTGCGGAGCTTGGTCCAGAGCTTCCTGATGTTTTTACCGATGTATGTCCACCCCGCCACAGCTCTCACTATGATAACCCTCTCTAATGTACCTATAGGAAGTCGGTTTCAAAGGCATCTCTGGGGACGCAAATATCCGCTTCCTACCAACGGCATGGCCCGACGACGCGCTTCCGGCTCCTACTTCATCACTTCTGGCTGTCGCACACACCAAAGGCCTCGTTGTTGGCGCTGGCCCAAATGCGCTGGTAATCAGCACCACTGATGTGATCAGGAAGTCAATCGAGGCGCCGGCAGGAGAAGATATGGAGAAAACAAGACCATTCCAACCCATCGCCACAATTCCTCTTCCTTCTCGTCCCACTCATGTGGCATTCACATCGGACGACAACGGCTTGATTCTAGCCTTAGAGAATAGCCCCACAATCTCAGTTTTCGATACAAACACTCTCGCGCAAGGAAATACCCAACCAGTGGTTTCGATTCCTACGAATGGCGTGTCGCTACGTGCACTGACGCCAAACCCCGACCCTTCCTCGACACTTGTCGCGCTGGTCACTGTTAACGGCGAGCTTCTTATCGCCGATGTCAAATCTGGGACCATCATTCCTGGACCCAATGGTCCGGTTCTCAAGGATGGTGTCAGCTGTGCTTCATGGAGCAACAAAGGAAAGCAGCTTGTTGCTGGATTGGCCGATGGCACTGGATATCAGATGACCCCAGATGGAACGAAGAAGGCTGAAGTTCCTCGGCCATCTGATTTGGAGGGAGACTGCCATAGTAAGTTTCAAATCATTGTTAGAACTATAGATGTACTTTTACTGACGATTGTACAGTTTCATCCATCTCATGGCTTGAAAACGATGTCTTCTTTGCGACATACACACCAAATATTGCAGAGGATGATATGGGAATGAACCCAGCGTCTTCATACTACATCATAACCCGCCGCAAGCAGGCACCGTTCCTCATCCAGAAATTGCCAGAAGTCTGCTCGACCATGGGCTTTATGCTGAAGCGTGGCCCCGCGTTCCAATTTATCACCAGAATTAGAGACTACAAGCCTCACTTGAAAGATGTCTTGATCGTCGCGTCAACTGCTTCGACTGATCTCGGACTAATCACGCGGTCTGACCAAGCTCTGGCGAACGATGAGCGAACCAAACTTCATGTTGGTCAGTTCATGACTACAGAAGTAAGCGACGACACCAAACGTGCTAGTGTCCCATTGAAGGATTCTGGAGATGAGACATCGGTCATTGGTCTGGCACAAAACCTGTCAGCCAAGGAAAATGTCATTGCGCCGCTCCCGGGTTCGGATATCCTGGAGAGCTCGACACCTCTTCCTGGAGTTCTTCTTTTGAACAATGATGGTATTCTTTCATCGTGGTGGTTCGTTTACGCCGATTCCATTCGCCAAAACGTCCAGTATTCTGGGTTGATTTCGTCCGGTCAGTCAACCCAAGCTCCATCTCAGTCACAAGCCATAGCTCCAACCCCTGCCCCAACCCCTGCCCCAGCTCCTGCACAGAAGCCTGCGTTTGGCCAGTCATCGTTTGGAGGTCCATCCGCATTTGGCCAGTCACCTTTCGGGAAGCAGTCGGGAGCTGCTACCTTTGGTAGCCCATCTGCAATGGGTGCTTCAACCATGGGCGCGACTGCTTTTGGGAAACAAAGTGCCCCGGCTTTTGGCAGTCCGTCCCAGCTTGGTGGAAGCTCTACCCCAGCCTTTGCAAAGTCATCATCCCCAGCCCCTGCTCCCGCTTTTGGGACTCCCTCTCAGCCAGGCGTATCCTTTGGCACTCCCAGTACTCCTGGACAGCCACGGTTTGGGCAATCTGGATTCGGAGCTATGGGCTCTGGACTTAGACAGTCTAGCACCCCAGCAAACCCATTCGGGGCTAATACTGCAGCAGCATCTAGTGGCAGTGGTTTCAGCTCCTTCTCCGGCGGAGGCGGCTTCAGTAGCTTTGCAACAGCAAAACCGGGCGAGTCGCCCTTCGCAGCGAAGCCAGGCGAGTCACCCTTCGCGGCGACACAGCCAAAAGGATCTCCCTTCGCAAATGCTTCTTCTGGCCAAAGTCCTTTCGCCAAGAGCTCTACCTCACCCTTTGGAGCCAAGCCTCAGACCTCGTTCCCACCTCCAGCTTCCAATGAAGTCAAAAATCCCTTCGGTGCTGCGAAAGGTACCTTTGAGCTCAAGTCTACCTTCAAGGCCGAAGCTCCTGCTGCGGATGATGGGCCAAAAGCAGACAAAACTTCTTCTGGGGCGTTCTCATTTGGTGGCTCCTTTGACGAGATGGTGTCAACACCCCGCAAGGGAAGCTCGTCGCCAAGTGAGTCGATGGATGATGACGCTGAAGATATCGAGCCTGTGAATAAGGAGACATTCTCAATTTTCGGAGGGGCAAGAAAACCTGCTTCACAGACTCCCACGTCAATGTTCACTTCAAAGCCAAAGACTTCGGCCGAGAACACCAAGTCAGCATTCTCGATGTTTGGCAATACCAATCAAAACCGTGTGACCAGTCCATTGTCAACATTGTCTGATAAGACAGTGACGCCTAAGAAGAATTGGCCTAGCACATCAAGTATTGATGTAGAGGCGCCATTGCCACCGGATTCTACTAGCCGGGATAGTTATGCTCCTGGAGATACTTCTGCCTCCTCCAACGTGTCGAAGTGCTCCGCCGAGGATGCTCCGCTTCCTCCTGATTTCACCAAGACGAAGAAGCCTTCACCAAAACCCGAAGATGACGCCCCGCTACCCCCTGATTTCCTTTCGCAGAAGAAGTCTACACCCAAGACGGACGACGCTCCTCTCCCTCCTGACTTCATCACCAAGAAGAAGCCTGCACCCAAGGCGGACGACGCTCCTCTACCTCCCGACTTCCTCACCCAGAAAAAGCCTGCTTTGAAGACGGATGACGCTCCTCTGCCTCCTGACTTCCTCACTCAGAAGAAGTCCGCACCCAAGACAGACGATGCTCCTCTTCCTCCAGACTTCCTAACAAAGCCCAAAAAGTCCGAGCCTGCAGCTATCCCTGAGGACGCACCTCTGCCGCCCGATTTTACCGCAAAGCTCAAGACCAAATTGTTTGAAGAGGCGGTCCCAATCCCAGATGAATCAGATGAATCAGGTATCTCCGATGGAGATTCCGAGGTGGCAGGCGAGTCAGACTTCAGTGATAGTGGCGAGGAAATCACACACGACGAAGCATTGATCGCTAAATCCAAGCAATCGGCTCAGAGTTCGTTTAGTGCAGTTTCCGAGCAAAGCTCCACCGGAGGATTTTTCAGCAGTCCTGCTCGAAACGTGGATGATCAAGGTCGACTTCCGCGGCAGCTATTTGGGGAGCTGCCTAAGCAGGCCCTACTTCCTCCCCCGGCCCCCATTGCCCAAGGTAATCGTGAGCCCTACCGATCACCGAGCCCAGTTCGTATTGGAGGGAAAAAGAACGTGCTATTCTCCGACAAATCCCATGGCCGTAAGGAATCCACAGGCGCTTTGCACTCGCGTAAGGCATCTCTTACCCAGATTGCCCAGCGTGGTGGCCACCTGAGAAAGGCCAGCGATGTTGCTCGCGAGGAACAAGAGAAGCAAGCACGTGCGCATGCAGCAGCTCAACTTCAAGAAGATGATGTTCTATCTTTGTCAGACGACGATGAGGACGATAGACTCCGCGAGGAACTGGCTCTGCCCGTTGACCCCGTTGATACTCTGGATCCATTCTTGCCCCACCAAAACTACATGGGCGAGACTGCGAAACCAGGCATTGCCGGCCAGGTCGAACGACTCTACCGTGACATCAACTCTATGGTAGATACATTGGGCATAAATGCTAGATCGATGGCGGGATTCCTTTTGCACCAACAGGCCGGGAAGGCTTCTGATATTGATGAGTGGGTGGTGGTCCTCAACAGCGACCACCCCGCTGACATTCTCGACACGAAGATGGCCTTGAAGGACATCGAGAGATTCGAAGAAATGATTACTTCAATTGCGCAATCATTGGAGAGCCAGCGGGTGCAGGGAGTGGATGAAAAGCTGGATGCATGCCGTGACCTACTCACAAAGCAGGTTGTCACCCTGCGAGGCCAGTTCGCAAGCATCCGCAAGACTCTTGACGCACACACAGATATCGGTGCTATTCTCGAAGCACCCCTTTCTGCCGAGCAAGGTGCGCTCCAGCATGATCTGCGCACCACATTCACGAATATCCAGGTCAAGATAGCCGAGCTTGAACAGGCAGTCTCCCTCCTATGTGCCAAAATCGCCGACATTCCGCAAGCGAATGGCGCAGGCAGGAACCGCCCAACTGTCGAGACTGTCACCAAGACGATTGCTACAATGATGAGCATGGCCGAGGGGAAGAGCACAGACATCGATGTTCTCGAGGCACAGATGCGCAAGCTCGGCGTGGATATTGCTCCCACAGCACCCCCAAGCCGTGAGGCGTCTCCGTTCTCTACTCCTCGCAAGAGCATTGCTGGTCGCATCCCTATGACTCCTGGGTCACGAGGCTCGATTGACGGTAGCGCATACCATACCCCCGAGTCCGTTTCGCGCGGTCTCAACTTCCGGGCCAGCATCAATGGCTCGGTGAGACAGAGCCGTCTCCGCAGCGTGGAAGGTGCTGGCGAGCCTGCCCTCCCGGAAGAAGATGTCGCTCAATACAAGACTAAGAAGTCGCGTCGCCAGCACTTGAATGCCAACTTGAAGAAGGCCTTCGAGGACAAGCAAACCAAGGTGCGCAGCGTCGATGAGTGGTAGATTTTCTTACTTTTCTTTTCTTTTCTTCTTATTCTTTGATTTCATTTGATTTTTTTCTAAAGACTCTTATCCGAGATTTGGGGAATTTGCTTTCAGCGCGGATTGGTATTGGATGGCCTTAGTTTGGCCAAGGAGTCATGGCATGCACATACGTATGTAACGTATTTTTTTTCAGCACCACGATGAGTGGCTCAGTTAGCTATCAAATACAAGCCCTATCTACATGCAGTTCTTTGCGTAAACTTACTTTCCGACGATTTTCAGTTGTTCAAGCTTTGTGTTTGAATTTGTATACTTTGTTCTCTCCATGGGAGTTGGACTTGATCGGCTCCGTATATCAAGACGCATCCCTAGGGTAAAGTGAAAAGTGACCAAAGAAGGAATTCAGAAGTAACAAAGGCAAAGAGAACCCATATCTTTACTACGCATGAAAATAGAACGAAACTAGATTGAAGGGTTTAATTGAAGGCTATCTATAAAAAGCTATTGTGGTGATGAATCAATAGTAATTCTTGGAAGCGTCTTTATTCTTTGTTCTCCAGGGTTAGTCTACGGGGTAGAAGCTATATAAAACGGCTGATACCGTTGAGGCTCTATATTTCTATATCAACACCACCAACTTCACCAGCATCCTCCCAATTGTCTCTATAGTAAAGCCTAATTTCCTTAAACCCATTTTATATACAAATCAGCAACATGGCAGAACACGCGAATGATAGATGCCCTTCCATGGTGGGTTCCGAGCGTATGGTGGACCCCTTCAATGAGACAGGTCTTTGGGTTACGGTAGAATTTCCTGAATCAATGAAGCATACCCATAGTGACGAACAGCTGATGAAGTTTGTGGTCCAGCAGATTCAAAGAGGCAGGGCCATCATTTCCACTTACGCAAAGCATTACGAGAGACACTTGTGTCTCTCGCTACCAGTTGTCGGATTCGCTGGGGAGGAGGAACCAATTGATGTAGTCATGGACCAGGCTGAGACCGTGGCACTCTGGTGGCTCGAACAGATCCTCGCATACAAGGTTCGTCTTGACTGCAATGTGCTTTTCCCTTAGTTCGACGAGGAAGCAGTGTTATCAGAGTAATCAATAGGGATCACTGTTCTGCTGGTAGACCGTAGTTATCGAATTAAGGCGATAGGTATGAGGAGATGTAGGTATGAGGAGATGTACGAGGAGATGTGCAGTTCATGGGGTGCTCTGAGGGTATCTGATAGATCAATAGAGAAGCTATGTTGAAGACCACGACAAATGAACAAGATACAGGAGAAGACATGAAGTTTCACAACTAGCGTAGCGAATAGCACAGAAACCGTAAGTCCCGACTTAGAGGATCCATGTTTTGATTAAATGCCACAGTCTGCGCTTCAAGTTGCTTAAGTTGTTCAAGTACCAGCAAAGTCGTGAAATTCCATTTGACCCAAAGGCAACCAAGTTTCAAACCGAAAAAGATGACTATAACAGATAAATTAGCCAAGTGCACGAGATTTAGAGTGTCAAAAGAGCAGAGATCAGAGATCACAAAAGACGTCTGCCTCTTCTTACCCAAGATTACACTGCGAAAATAAATTCTCAGTCCGCTTTCAACTGGCGGGATATCCTCTACTGTGCGGCCAGGAGGTTTCCAAGATGAGGGTTCGATTTCAGCGAGGGATTAGATCCACTCGGAAGACATGCTCAGGTAAGGTGATAGCGATGTGGGAATCGTTGGATTTGAGAGTCCGCCAGCATTTGAAACCAATGGTAATACACATGCATGACATGCATGTTTTCGTTTTGCGCCAAGAGACGAAGCCACGCGATCAATAGCCCGAGAGCTATGAACTGTACCAGCAGGATGAGAACAAGTTCCCAGAAGACCATCCATTTCAATAGCTCAAAAGTGCACTTAGGATACACGAAATAGCTTGAAAATATAGCGAAAAGGAACAGTAGAGTTCCTTGATCTCGGAATAGAATGGGTAACACGGAAATGAGTGTGTATGATTGCATGATTGCATATTGAAGAGGAGAGAGGGAGAAGAAGAGAGAAGAGAAAAAGAGATTCAAAGGTCAAATAACTGGCTATGGCCATGATTCTATTGTGGGAGGTGCTAATTACTCACTACATATGTCTATACCTAGGTAGGTGACATGTGTACACATTATAGGAAGGAAGGTAATTTCCTAATTGGGATTCTATGATCAGTGACATCATGTGCCCGTGACATCAGCCATCTGTATTTTGATCTCTCTTCCCAACCCCACACTATCATTAGGAAAATAACCAACCCAACATGTCTCGAAACGTTAGTCAGGTCACCTTCTTCCGCGTCAAATCTTCCGTCAAGCCCGAAGACCCCTCCAGCGAAGAAGGCGAGGCTCTACTGAGGATCTTCCGCACGACCCAACAGCAAAGCGGTCATGATAGTTCATCCTGGGGACGCACCTCCGAAGACGAAAACACAATCGTCTGGGTTGTAGGTGAGTTTAGTATCTCCCTGAAATACTCAAGCTACTATATACCCGCACCCCTTCAAACGTACGACCTACGACCTAACTAAACCAACAGACTGGACCGAAGCTCGCAGCTCAATGAACATCCGACTGCTCGACCCATTCCTGGCCCCAGACAACCCCCAGCCACCGTCATCACTCCACGTCACGTTCAGCCCACCACTCTCCAGCACAGAAATCCTAACCAGAAACCCCGTGACCGAGCTGTGCACACTGGCATTCCCGAGCGACCTCGAAGCACGAGCAGTAAGGCAGATCAACGGGGACTTGATCAACTTCCGCACTACACTGGTCGAGCAGCTGCCACAGGCAGCCGGGCCGCGGTCGTGGTCGATGGGGCATGTCGATCGGCCGAGCAAGTTACCACACGCGAGAAGTCCAAGTGGGCAAGCTTTTGCGCACCTCCTTGCTGTTGGTTGGGATAGTATAGAGGCGCATTTCAAGGCCAAGGAGACGGAGAAGTTTGTTGAGAGTATTGCACCTCTGAGAGAAAAGATGCTGGCGCCTATTCCTGGGTTGGAGATGAAACATGTCAGTTTCCAAAAGATTTGAGGGTTAGGGATTCCAAGGGAGTAATAAGAGCGTAAAGAGAGAGAGAAAGAAACCAAGGAGAGCGAGGAGCCACGGATTAGTGCTGGGGGAGGCTTGGATGTAATTCGAGCTGTGTTGCGTGGGTCATAGGATGTTGGTGGTAATTAGAGCAGGCAAGTGGAAAGGGAACGGGCTACTTCATTCAAGGGATAATTGCGGGAGTTGTTATTAGAAAGGCAAAAAAATCAAATCACGCGCCCTGGAATAAGATACAACGAGAAAGTAAAAGAAGAAAAAAAGGATTGACACCCTGTGAGAAATCGAAGGCAAAGAAAAAGAGACTTCATTAACCACCGTAGACTTTTGGGCAGAACCCCACAATAAGACACCTGTAGCAAGCGTAGGTTGCGCTGCTATGTTTAGATTCGGTGCTTTTCACTCTCTAATATATCTGTTAGAATGTGCGCACAAAAAGCTTCATCCGGGGAAGGAGAACACGAACCAAGTCGGGAATACAGCATGTACAGAGCCATCTGGTTGCACTCCGCGGTACCAGTGATAGTAACCAAGCGCTCATTGCTACTCTCTTGGGGCTCATTGATCTTGATCACACTGCCACTGAGATGACGTATCTCGTTAATTTTAGCACCACCCTTGCCGATAATAGCGCCAACCATGTCATTAGGGATGTAAATCTGCTGAGTCAGTGGCTGGCCGGGCATGGCACCGCCCACAGGAGCAGGGGCAGTTGGGGGTCCACGGCCTGGAGTTGGCTGCTGAGGACCACCAATGAAGGGAGCGGGCTGGTGGGGTCCTGCACCGCCGTAAGGGGCCTGGGGAGCGGCTGGGAAGTGCATTGGGGTCTGAGGAACAGGAGCAGGAGCTGGCTGACCGGGGAGGTAGGGAACACCGAACGCTCCACCACCGGCACGGTTGGGGTGAGGGTGGTGACGCTTGAATGTCTCGGGGTGGCCGTATTGGCCGCCGGCGGGCTGAGGAACGTACGGAACAACCTGCATACCACCAGGGACAGCACCGGCAGGACCACCGCTGCGAGTAGCATATGCCGAAGCCGCGGGACCGCCGTAACGTTCAGACAGCTGCTCGACCAAGGTGACGGCGACATAGTAGGTAGCGATGTGGACGGCATCCGCAACACCGAGGATGACAAGGGATCGTTCCGTGGACAGAGGAAGGCAAGCATCCGAGGCGTTCAGGCGAGCGCCGGAAGCCTCCTGAATCTCGCGAATGCGGCTGCCACCTTTGCCGATGATGGAACCGATTAGAATGTGAGGAATTAGCAAGCGCAGAGGGTACGTCTTGGACTGGGCAGTGGAAGGGGCCTCAAGAGGTTCATTGTTAAGGGTACGGATGATTAGACCAAACGCCTGATAGTCATTAGCAATCGAATATTATCAACAAACTCATTGAATGGCAAAACTCACCTTGGCAGCAGCATCCTGGGGACCGCTAACGGTCAGGATACGCTCCACTGCACCTCGAGAATAATCACTGACAGTGCACTTGGCACCTGACAGACGACGAATCTGGGACACGTTCTCACCTCCCTTTCCAATCACGGTGGCTGCCTCCGGGCTAGAGATCACAGCACGAATATGAACCCAGCTCGACTCATCCTGGGGGGGTTGATCAGAGCCAGCTCGGTCGGCCTGGGAAGCAGTTGACTGGATGGGTTGGGTGTCGACAGGGAGACCCTTGCCATTGGGCGCATCGGGAACCACGGTATCTCCCTGGGTATCCTTGGCACTTTCGACAGTAGGAACCTGGCTACTGGATACATCTGCTTCCGCCTCTGCATCGCTCTTGACTACTTTGTCCAGCGCCGGGCGCTTGGCCTCGGGCTGGTCATTGGGGCCGGATGGCGACGAGGGGTCCTCGAGAGGACGCTTGGTCGACTGAAGGTTGGATGGAGAAGCGGACATCTTGAATAGACTGTGCTGCTGTTTGGTCTCACTTACAAGTGAAATCGGAAGGTGTCAAGAATGAAATCTTCTTCTTTTATGATCGTTTTATGTACACCAGAATTTCCCACGGAAGGTGCTGGTGCTGGCGATCTGAAGGGGATATTGGTGCTTTAAGAAGATTGGAGAGGCTGTAAAGGAAAGGTGGTACTGAGGAAATGCCGATGTAAGACGGGAGGAAGTGTAGATTCAAGTGTGAGAGGGCTTTGCTGTCACAACCGGGGAAGCTTCACGGGTTTGCCGAGATGCTCGAAATCAAGGAAGAAACGGAAAGGGTAGAAATGGGATCCTTGGGTGAATGCGATGGGAAATAGGAAATGAGGCAAGTAAGATATCAAGCGCCAGAAACCGTTGCCTGCTGTACCACACTGTAGCCTCCGATAACGTCTGAATCCGAGGTCAAGGGTGTGGGCTAAACTCGCAATCGACGAGTTAATAGCTCTACTGATGAGAATGCGGTAAAAACGCAAAGAAAGGCGAGGATGGGGGAATTGATGAAGGTGATGAAATGAAATTCCGGGGATTAAGGAGAAGAGGTGAAGTTGACGATCAGGGAAGGAAGTCGAGGGCGCGAAGCTTGGTCACATGACGCGAATATGCATGGGCGTGATGCATCTCGTCTCGTGTTCAATATTTTGATTGCCTCCAAGGCCTCAAGCAAATATTTTACCAGCAAGTCTAAATGGCAATCGAGCTTTAATCGAAAATATCTTTTGTTACTTCTAGAAGAAAATATTTTGCATTTCGCGTTACTCCAAAATAAGCATGGATATCTCCGACCAAACCGTGCAGAAGATCCAGAAATTCGCAGAAAAACGCCAAGAAGCAGAATACGAGTCGACAAAGGAACCTCTCAGTGAAACTGCATTGCATGTCTACACGCGACGTTTAGATGCAACCTTGCAAGGACTCCAAGAGCAAGTCAAACGACAGCAGGATGAATTGAATAAGGCATGTTATGAAATTCTCGTTATAGTAGAATGAATGCCTCATCTGACATATGTTATAGCTGCGGGAGCTCAATTCTCTTGACCTAACAGAGACGGGCACTGATTCCTGGGCCCGTGTTTCCCAGGCTCGAAGGGCCAAGAAAGCATATGACTCGCTTCTCAAGTCCAACGATGAGCTCCCAGCAACAGATTCGGTGTTGCCATCACTTCTAGCCATAGAAGAAACCGCACGCCTTATTCAAGAAAATAAGGTCTCTGTCGCAATGACAGCCGAACAGCTGTCTCTAGATCGAGAGCGCCTGCGAGTCGAAGAGGCCAATCTACGTGACTCTCAATCAATCGCAAGCGGACTCCGAGAGCGGATCCAGAGAATCCGCAATGCCAACACGAGAAAGGAAGAGCAAACTCCGTCACAGGTGGCACGCGAGCAGCTTGCCTTGCAGAAAATGCAAAATAAAAAACTAGACCGCTCGTCTGCAAGCCTCAAGGTCTCGTTGGATAAGTTTATCGATGAGACTCTTGCTCCAATGCTTGCTGCTGAAGATATGGGCGGCCCGACTGTGGGCGATGCTTTTGAGGTGTCAGATGCTACGCTGAAGGCAGGTTATACGGCACATGGCAAGCCCAAAAAGCTAAAAGAGCCGGCAGAAACAGAAGATGGGTCACAACAGCGGATTGATAAGTTTATGAAACGCAACGCGGATGAGGCTCCTACAAACAAGAGGGAGGCAGCTGCAAAAGAGATGCATGGCCTTCTCAACGCCATGTTGGAGGCTGAATCATCCTATATCAATTTGGGGCACGACTCGGCATCTTCGAGGTTCCTCGTGAGAGCTAAGGTTGCGCAGTTTCACCCTCGAGATGCACGGCGGCTTCGACTGATTGATTTTGGTCGTTCATTGGGGATTTAAATGTAGAGAGTTTTCATGATTGAGTGACAACATGGTATTATTGATTCATGAATGTGTATCTTCTTATATCCTCGTGTAAACATGTCAAATCCAAACCCGTACCTATGAACAACCTCCTGAATGACTCCCATAAACCGTGAGAAAATGACACCAAGAGATGCTTGTGTAACGCTGAACCAATCATAAAAATCTTGACAAAATGTGGGGAGAGCGGAAGGGGGGGGGGGGGGGGGGTGAGCAGGGACAAAAGCAATAACTTCAAATAGGCATCATTCCAATAGTGGACTTAGGGGTTTTTGCCCTGGCGTTCTTTCGCGGCGCAGATGACTGGCTTGTAGCACGATCGTCGGATTTGGCTTTTGATCGAACGCCTTTGCCCTTCCAGCCGCTGCCAGTAGAGCCATACTTTCGTCGTGCTGGTCGTTTGCCACTGGTAGGTTGGCGTTTGCGACTCTTGGAGCTGGAAGGCGCGGCGCCGGATTCCCAGTCGTCGCCAGAATCATACCCTGGAGATGCTGGTGGAGGAAAATAGCGGCTTGTGATACTTTCGGCCGCGTTGCTGGGTGCGGTCGAGACAGGATTGGCCAGATTGAAAGTGGAAGCCTCATCCATGAACAAGTCATCATCACTGTACTCATCGCTGCTGCTGAGATTGATGACGTTATGGTGGTTGGGATCTGGAACAACGCCGCTGGTCTCTGCTTCTTGCCTCATTTCTAGGTAGCGCCGCTTTGCATTATCGACTAGCCCTAGGATCTGCCGGCCGTAGCGCTTCACTTTATCCTGATCTATGCCTGGGATCGCGGAAAGCTCGGTAAGATCTATTTCATTGTTAATTTGGTCATCCAATTTCATCAGAGATCGAGTATTTACTTTGGGGGAAGGAGATGCCCATCTCACGTAGCACCTGGTCAGAGAACGGTTGGCATCGAAGGCCCTTCTTAACGACAAGCTATACCAACTGTCAGTATTTCCGATGGTATACCAAGAACGATATCGATTACTCACGTCTTGAAGCATGATTTTGGCATGCTCTTGGAAGTCCTCCACGACTACACGATGCATATGATCAAGTCGATCTAACTTCTGGTCGCTGGTGATTGGAGGGCCCATCTCGCGTGTATTTGTGCGGCGAGACTTGCCAGTGGTTCGAATCGGTTCAAAGCCATCGCTGTCCTCATCGGCCGAGAGATGTGCGACTGGAGCACCGGTATATTGATAACGGTCAAGGCGACGGTCTTGGGCAGCCTGCACTGGGGAAGAGACCATGGTGGACCGAGGATCGGCTCCTGAATTGCCAGACTTTTTCTTCTGCGCAGCACCGGATGGCTTAGTCTTCGCTTTAGCCTTACTATTCGGTGACGCGCGAACTTGCAGTTTCATTTGTCGCTGGCCACTCTCATACTCTGTTGCACGACGGCCGAGAATGATATACTGAATAGCAAAATCACTTTTATTGATCACATTGTCTTCAGCCAATGCGTCTTCACCAAGCAGCCGGTAGAACAGACGTTCAGCTGCTGCACGGTCAAGGTCAGATCCCTTCCCATACCCCGGCATCTTGCGATGCTCTGGAGCTTTAGGCCGTTTGCAATCTCCACGAAGTATGTCACTGCAGTAGAGCACAGTCACCTTTTCCTGCGTGTTCTGGAATTGTCGCACAATTTTGATGGCCCAGGATGCCTGCTCAGTAAAGTCATGGAGCTCAAACACCAAACCGGATTTGCAGTTATCGCAAGTGTTGTTGCAGTCCTCTCGACGGAAGTGTTCCGCAAAATAGGCGAGGACTTGCACTCGCCTGCAATCGCTGCGGTTCTCACAAAATTGAACCACATTTCGCAACATCTGTTTTTGGCGGGCTTTTTGCTGACCATTACCATCTCCTGCGTCAATCATCCGCTTCAAGGTTGCTGTGTCTCTGTAGCCGTAGTAAAGATAGCAGCCAGAACGCTTGCCGTCTCGACCAGCACGACCGGTTTCTTGATAATACCCCTCGAGACTCTTTGGGATACTGTGGTGCATGACGAATCGCACATCAGCTTTGTCAATTCCCATTCCGAATGCAATGGTGGCAACAATGATATGCACTCGGCCCATCTGCCAGTTGCTCTGAGCTTCTGATTTTGCCTTCGATGACATACCCGCATGATAAGCGCGTGCCTTGAGGCGGTATTTTTTCTGTAGGTCCTCTGCAACTTTGTCGCACGTCTTTCTCGAGAGGCAGTAGATGATTCCGCACTGATTCCGGTATGAGCTTGCAATAGTTTCTGCCATGCTAGCCAAAACTTCATCATTCTTTCCCTTCGACCGTACCTCGTAGGTGAGATTAGGACGGTTGAAACTCTGCAAGAACACTTCACAATCGGTGATTTTGAGATTGTGCATCACATCAACTTTGACATTCTCAGTGGCAGTGGCTGTCAGGGCCATAACCGGTACACCGGGGAATCTAGCTCGAACCTCTCCTAGTTCTTTATAGTCAGGTCGGAAATCATGTCCCCATTGACTGACGCAGTGAGCCTCATCAATGACGAGGCGTGCTAGTCTGTTCCTTTGATAAAGCTTCTCAAGGGCTCTGATTAAGGCTTGGCTTTTACTGAGCATCTCGGGAGTGATATACAGGACTTCCATCCCCTCACCACCTGAATGTGAGAGCTGGTTCATGATCCAAGATTTTTCCTCTTGCTCGGTGTCACCGTTAACCATAAAGGCCTTCACATCCAATTTTCGGAGGTGTGATACCTGATCTTCCATCAGACTCAGCAATGGAGATATCACGATCGTCACTCCCGTGGTACGTCCGCCCGTTACCACAGAAGGTAATTGATAACATAGCGATTTTCCTCCTCCAGTAGGCATGAGAATGAAAGTATCTTTACCAGCAAGGGTTGCATCAATGGCTTCAAGCTGATTAGGTCGGAATCCGCGGAGGTGGAATCGATCTTTCAACACTTTCCTTACTTCTTGAGACCATGGATGGTTTGACCAGAAGGCACTATGACCGGGCGACTTTTTCGGAACGGGGGCCTTGAGGATGTTGCCAGATGTCTCTGCGAAAACTTTGCGGTTTTGACTGGCTTGCTCGCGAACGGGTATCTGGTGAGCACCATCGAACCCCTCTGCCGCTTCTAATATGTCATCATCGCTGACATTCCAGTCGAACTCATCAAGATCCATCGAGTCCAACGGTGTGGAGCCCATATTCCGAGAAATACAGTTTTCATAGCTATCCGGCCGATGTGTCACTTTGGTCTTTGTAGGACTTGTTGGAGGCAGACGCTTTTGGCCACGGAATTCTGCGTCTAAGTCGGCCCGCGAAAAAGAGAAAAGAGGGGGATCTTGCGTGACTGCGTGTGCTTCGAAGGTGGGCCGAGTATGTTTCATGGGAGGAGGGTCGGATGGACAATCGTCTGCCAGTTCGAGGATGTTGGCTTGAGATAGAAGCGGACAAATTTTTGCTTCGGTTTGCTCCAACTCTATCTCAACTTCTCGACTCTGCGCAAGCTCTTCTGGCATAGTTGTTGGATCTAGACCTTGTGAGATTACACGTATCAGGTTTCGCTTCAGGTCTTCCTTGCGAGAGACACTGCTCTTGTGGGTCTTTTGATACTTTTGCAACAATTCAATAGCCTCGATCTGAGCGACAAGAGCCTTGTTCTCGGCGATCAATTCAGGGACTGGCTGACCCTCCATAGCCTGTTGATAGACTATCTCAGAATTCTTCTGCAGAGTAGACCTCAATTTGGAAATTGCATGCCCAAAGGCATTGCTTCCAAGTTCTAAAAACTTCAGAAGATCCGGATCCTTTTCTGGCGAGCTGGACGGCTTCGACCAAGGTGTCGACGGGATAGGCTCTTTGGCAACTGCCATTTTCTTCGGTTGAGTCGATGGCTGCAAAGTTGAAAACGTTGCTTTAGGCGTAGATTCCAATCGCGAACTCTTGGTCTCGATACTTTTCTCGTCCGCTGCTGGACTCATCTCGGGGAGTATTGGGTACAAACTCTCCTCGGCATCCAGGATCATCTTATTAGCGGAATCTTCATTATCAACCCAGTCATCAAATAGATCCTCGTCGTCATCTGAATCCGCGATCACTCGTTTCCGATGACTCCGTGGTGCAACAGTTGAATTGTGTTCAGGTCGTTTCGTCGCGCTCGGGATTTTTGTTTGGGTTGTTTGAGTTGTCTGACGTGGGATTGTGGGCTGCTCCGGTACAACGCCTCTCGCGGCAGGAGGTCGAGCCACTTTCGAGGGATTTCGCACTTTCGTCACATGTTTCGATGGGGAGAGAAGATCGGATGTGTACTCGTCACTTTTGCGCTTCTTGCCGCGTTTCTCACGAGTTCCGCATGGGGTGTTTTCTTCTTCCCATGACCCGCGCGGCCCACGAGCTGGGATAGTGCCCGAGGACAGTATGGACAGATCAAGCTCTCCTGTCAAATCAATGGATTCGATATCATTGGGTCCAGGTGCGTGGAAACTGTCTGGTCTCAATGGAGTCGACTTTTGCCGGGAAGGTTTGTATGATGACAACGGCGGTTCTCTGAAGGACTCTGATCATTGCGAAGATTGTGTCAGTCTAATAATTCTCGCAACATTTGACTTATCCGGCCACATACCTCGAGCTATGCTTGATTGTTTCGGCGAAGCTCGTTTCTTTGTAGTTGACGGAGTATTGGTAGGGACTGCGTCGTGTCGGCTCAGCATTCGAGGCTTGCTCGCTGATTGAGGTAACAATCTAGCCATTGATTCATCCGTCTCATTTTCCACGTCTTCAAGGATATCATCGAGGGCCGCGAATTCGTCGGCGGGGGAAATCGCTTGCCGCGATGCGTGATTGTTACGTTCAGGTAAGCTTTTTTGGGCCAGGGGAGGACGGAGAGGCGTCCCTTGGGTTATCAACCATTTGAGATGAGTTGCTAAGTTATTCTTCGTCATGGGGGCCTCTTGCTGTCATGGCCGTCGTTCCTGATTGTTTAGAGCAATGGAGACAATCGCGAAACTGACATGGACGCGTCGGCACGTGAGCGGTCAAACAAATTGATATATGACAGCAACTACGTTCAACTCAAAATTGCACGGTCAAATTGGACTAAGAATATCACATTTCTATACAACTCATCATTCCTATTCTATGTTTTTATATTTTTCGAAGTTATATGTAAGCAAAATACAGTGCCCGTGCAAGAAACATGCCTACAGACGTAGATCTGGTATAGTATGTACAAAGTAGAGGGGGGCAATTCAGTGTGGGGAAAGGCATAATTTTTGCCCCACGAAAAGCAGATCGCGAAAACCACCTTCTGTATCCAACATTGAGCCAAAATGGCCAAAAAGAATAAGAAGTCCGCGGAGCATAAGGACCGTGTAGCAGCAAAGCAGTCAAAAAAGTCCGCCCAGAAAGAAAAGAGATCCAAAGCCAAGGGCAAAGATGCAGACAGCGATGCTGAAGATGCAGACCTGGATGCCATTCTGGCCCAGTACGCCGAAGAACAAGCCAAATTCTTGAAGGTCACTGAAGTCCCTTCGGAGCCGCCGGTCCCACGTTCGTCTGCAACTGTGCTAGCGTCTCCGTCGAACCGAAATGAGCTGTTGCTTTACGGTGGAGAGTACTTTGATGGGACGCATGCCACTTTCTTCAATAACCTTTTCATCTATTTGATTGATCGCGGTGAATGGAGGGAAGTAACTAGTCCCAACAGTCCCCTTCCTCGAAGTGGGCATGCATGGTGCCGGGGAGGAAACTCCGGAGGCATCTATATGTTTGGAGGTGACATTGTCTCCTTGATATATTGAAATTGTTTGTGCGGAAGTTAACGATCAGCAGGAGAGTTCTCGTCGCCGAAGCAAGGCACTTTCTATCACTACAATGATTTTTGGCATCTAGACACAACCACAAGAGAATGGACCCGTCTCGAGTCCAAAGGCAAAGGTCCTCCCGCTAGAAGTGGTCACCGCATGACCTATTTTAAGGTGCGTTTTTTCAATTTCGGTATTTGTTTTTTTTGTATAGAGCTAATAACAAGACAGAACTACATCATTCTCTTTGGTGGATTCCAAGATACCTCCCAGCAGACTAAGTACCTGCAAGACCTATGGATCTATGATTGTAATCAGTATACCTGGTCCAATCCCACGTTGAGTCTTGCCTCACAAAAGCCCGATCCTCGCTCATCGTTCTCCCTGCTACCGCACGAGACTGGAGCTGTTCTATACGGAGGCTACTCCCGAGTGAAAGCAGCTGCCGGTGGTGGTAAGCAAGGCAAGGGCGGTGGCCCCCAGAAGATGGCTCTCCGGCCTATGGTTCACCAGGATACTTGGTTCCTGAGGATCACACCCCCTGCAGCTGAGGCACCATCGTCAACGGCACCTACAGTCCGATGGGAGCGACGAAAGAAGCCTGCTAATACGCCCAACCCGCCCCGTGTTGGTACTACCATGGCGTACCACAAGGGCCGAGGAATTATGTTCGGTGGTGTCCACGACGTGGAATTAACTGAGGAGGGTATTGACAGCGAGTTCTTCAATACCCTGTTTGCTTGGACCACTGACAGAAATCGTTTCTTTCCGTTGACTTTGCGACGTCCCCGCGCACCCGGCAAAAAGCAGCAGGCAAACCAAAACGCCAAGTCTAAAAACAGGGGTAAGGCGGATGAGGAAGAGCTTTTGGCAAACCTCAAAGCCCTAGAAGCTAAAGTCGGAATTCGTGACAACGAAGACGACGATGATATGGAAATAGGCACGCCCCAACCTGAGGAACCTGTGGAACCTGCAAAGCCCTCGGTTGTTCGCTTCGAAATGCCCCACCAGCGATTCAATGCCCAACTAGCAGTGCAAGATGATACCCTATTCATTTTTGGTGGTACGTTCGAAAAGGGTGACCGAGAGTTCACTTTCGACGATATGTATTCCATCGATCTCGTCAAACTGGACGGCGTCAAGGAGATATTCTACAGGGAGCCTGAGAACTGGAACCTCTTGAACGAAGCTGAAGACAGTGACGAAGACATGGATGATGAAGATGACGATGATGAAATGGATGAAGACGATGAAGCTGATGCCGACGCGATGTCTCTTGATGCTGCTTCGCCTGCCCCGACAGATGTGACGGTGCCATCTGTTACCAAGGATATGGAACAACTCGAAGTTGAAGAGCCAGAAGAGCAAATTGTCAATGACAGCCGACCTTTGCCTCGGCCGTTCGAGAGCTTGCGAGAATTCTTCAGCCGCACTTCTGAAGAATGGCAGAATATTGTGATGGAAACTGTCAAGGAGAGGGAGCAGTCTGCTGACAAGACAGTCAAGGAACTACGCAAGGAAGCTTTCTCCATGTCTGAAGAAAAGTGGTGGGATAGCCGAGAGGAGGTCATGGCTCTGGAAGATGAGCAAGAAGAAGCAGGTATTGGAGAGGTTGTTAGCATGTCTGACCGCACTGAAAACATGGGAGGAGCTGGTCGTCGCCGCTGATATCCTCTATAGAGATGCCAGAAAGAATTTATGCATTTAAATGTCCAATTGTTGGGTTTCTGATTCTGCTTTTCTTGTGTTCACGTATCAATATTCCCCTAGCTCTGGGCAACCTTTGCCAGCACTTCTGTCACCAGCGTAAAATCTCGCTCCACATCAACTCGCCAATTCGAGATTGCGATGCGACAAGCAGGAGCTCCATCCCAGCTAGTACCCGAGACGAACATTCGCGAGCTCTCGTTTATTTTGGTTCCTAGCTCACGGTTTAAGCCCTTATCATTTGCGCGAAACAAAACAGACATAAATGTCTGATCGAGCAGTTCAGATTTGGACAATGCTTCTGGTAAGGCTGTATACCCAGAATGCTCGAAGATCCATCCGTGGATTTTCCGGGCAAGCCTTATCTGACGCTCCAACATCTCTTGATATCCAGACTTGCCATATGACAACAGCGATGCATACACCGGCAACGCTCTGAATCGACGAGAGTTTTCAATTCCAATATTTAAGGGGGAGGGAATGGAAGGGCCGTCGGAGTTTCCAGCAGCTAAGTAGGCTGCATTTGCATTTTGGAATACTTGCGATGCCACATTCGGGTGTCGAGTAAAGAAAAAGCCACAGTCGTAGGGAACGTTGAGAAGCTTGTGGCCGTCACCGGTAATTGAGTCGACCAGACCTATTCCTTCACAGCCCTTCTTGATCGTTGCAAACTCTGGGTTTTCACTAAGAACACGGCCAAAGATTCCAAATGCTCCATCAGCATGCATCCAGGCTCCGTACTTGTCGCACAGCTGGCGTATTTCTCTCAAATCTGCACCACTTGTTGCAAAACGACCAGTATTGACCTCCCCGCAAGAAATAGCAACGATGCTGACCTTATCTGTTCTCGCAAGTTCTTTCTGGAGCTTATCAATATCAAACCGAAGTGGGTCGTCCGCCCGGCAGATGTTGTGTACATTAGAACGACCGATGCCTAACACACCAGCGGCTTTCACGAGGGACGAGTGTGGCAGCGTTGATAACACTTGCACCCCAGAAAGACCAAGTGCATTTAATACCTCAAAAAGGCCTTCTTCGCCAACACTTTGGAGATGGCAACCTTTTCTCTGCGCTGCCTTTTGCAAAATAAATTCGCGCCCACATGCTAGGCCGAGGATATTGCTCCCCGTTGCACCAGTAGTGAATGTTCCATTGTGCCAGATAGAACGCTCAAGTTGGAAGAGATCCAAAAGGAGACCAAGTGCATTGTACTCCACATCGGTCACAATCGAGTGATTCGGGAGATGCACTTGGACGTTCTGGTCGTAAGCAGATACAACGTTGTCTGCGAAGAGCGCTGCCGGGGTAGTTCCGCCAGTGATGAAACCATAATAGTTGGCACTTAGGCTTCCTCCGTTGAATGCCGGAACAATATCATCAATAATGTGTCGCTGGACAGACTCGAGACTGGATCCTGTATCCGGAAGTGTCGCAGGGAGAGAAGCTCTAGCTCGCGCCAGGTTTTCGGCGCTAGGGAGAATGGCCGACTCCCAGGGTCCCTGGGCAGCCTTCCATAGATCTTGTTGGAATTGTTTTTGCATAGCTGAAATGTGTATCTTGGGAGGGAATCAAACAGTCTCGCCAATTTATACCAATGCCGGGATCTCGGGGTTTGAAAATGAGGCTCTCCAGAGCGTTCGGCTGTACTTCCCCAATCCAGTAACTTCTTCTGATCTTATATATAACGGCACCTAGATGAATCTAAACAGATATAATTGGAGGACACGCCCAGAAGGAACGTTGGGAGCCTAAATAAAGGGCGGGATAAGCGGGGCAAAATTAGGATCCGATGTCCGAAGTTCCAACGTCTTCTGGTGATTTTACAACCTTGGAAGTATAATAGCAGTTGGAGATACCTACATAGGTAGGTAGAAGCCTATACTTCGCAGATATACCCATACTTAAAGGGGTGAGTTTTGCTTGGCTGCCTCAGGTGTCGACCGAGTTTTAGGGTACAAAGTACTGTCTAAGCCAATCTCAAGGGCTGATTTTCATGGCTTGCCCTGTTTCGCACTCTCCTCAAGCCCCTTGAAGCCTTCTTTCATATTGCCCCTGATAAATTATTAGATTCTAACTGCGCCTAATTATCTGTCAAGCTCGGGGAAGGTACGGCGCAGAGATGTCATCGTGACTTGGCCTGTTTGTTACTAAGTCACTACAAGCTCGCGTTACTCTCCGAATTCGCCGCAGTGCACAAGTCCTTACTTAGCTACATTGAACATCCTTATCGTGTATATCAGGTTTACCTATTCCAGGGGTGGGGACATGGTTAGTCCTGAGCAAGGAGAGTCTGTTTCGGAGAACGGAAATAAAATGGTTGAGACCAATGGTCATAATTGAGGCCCTTGTCTGTTTCCAGACCACGTCACAGTCCAAAAGACGGAGAATTATTTCAAAAAGATTCTAATAAGCAGTTCAAAAATTCCAAATTCAGTCGCGCATGCACCAGAAAAGCAAAATCATGCCAAGCCATATTCAATCCAATGTATCTAGGTTCAATGATCGGCGCAGATCACTCTTCTTATGCAGGTAAATATTCCACATTCTATCATCGCGCGTCTCCTGCGTTCCACATGAAGCCCCTAGGTTAAAGATAACGCGGGGCTTGGTCCTACGTAGACAGTGGTCACGTTCAAAATTTTCTCGCCTTCAACATGGCTGCCACTTCAGTCTTCACCTACTCCTGAAGCACCTACGACAACCATGCCTAGCCACATCAAATTCGCAGAGCCGACGTTGAATAAACCCACCAAAGACCGCGCCAGGGGGCACAGCCAAGAAAAGGGGTCGACACAAAGAGCACCTTCTCCAGGAAGTGAAATTATTTACCCAACAGGATGGAGACTGGTCCTGACTACTACAGGGTATGTGCTCAGTTAAGTGCTGTATAGCTCTGCATGACGAACACTGATAATTCCTAGACTCTTAATTGGGTTCTTTCTCTCCAATTTGGATGTCACAATTGTAAGCTCGGCTCTCACGAGCATCACTGATGAGTTGGAAGGCTTTGAGAAGAGAAGCTGGATTATTACTGGATATCTGGCCACCTATACAGGTATGATTAAAAATCTGATTCTATCATAATTCCAGGATGTTTTTGACTTATTTCTTTCTCTTTCTTTTTTCTTCCAACCATGTATCTTGAAATAGCTCCCCACAGTCTCTATCTACCCCGTTCCTAATCTCAAATCACTCCCAGGGTCTATGGCAATATGGACGAAAATCAGCGATATAGTTGGCAGGAAACAAACCACAATTGCTGCTCTTGTTATCCTACTCGCATTTTCTACTGGGTGCGGGTGTGCTCAGACAGTTAACCAACTGTCGGTCTAACATAGTGCTGCACTCATTTTCTGTCCAAAGGCTAACTAACGAGGCAGCATCATATTAAGAGCACTCCAAGGAATTGGGGGCGCTGGCACATACGCATTGACAATCCTATGCGTCTATGAGATAGCTCCTAAAACGAAACTTCCAACCTACAGCAGTCTCATGTCATTTTGCCTTGTTTTCGCATCTTTGATAGGCCCCATAATTGGGGGTGCCCTTGCAGAAGATTCGGCCTGGCGTTGGACCTTTCTCGTCAAGTACATGAATGCTCAGCATCTTCGTTGAAACCCACGCTAATCAAATCATTAGTGCACCGTTGTGCGTCATTGCGCTTGTTGTTATCATCATTGCCATGCCCAAAAACTTTGGTCTTGACCAACATACTCCTTCATTTCGAACACGCGCCTCATATCGCTCATTTGCTAATCTCGATATAATGGGATCGGTTTTGATGATGGCTGGCTCATTTTTAATAGTCGCGGTCTTGAACGAAACCAACTTGGCATTCTCGTGGTCCTCCAGGGACGCAATTGCACTTCTTGTGCTCACGGGAGTTTCGTGGATTGCTTTCTTTGCCTGGGAATGGTATATCTCAGGCATCCCAGGCAAAGACCCCATATTTCCCAAGCGTTGGCTTGTTGATCGTCCATGGCTAGGAATACTTATGTAGGTCAATCTAACGCTCGTGACTCCAGTACAGTTCTTTTGACACGCTTTTAGTTCTTCGTTTGTTATCGGCGCACCTTATAACGTCGTCCTGGTATATGTTCCACAGCAAGCCCAGCTTCTGTTAGAAAAGTCGCCTTTGGATGCCGGTATTTATTTGATTGGATATTCTGCAGTTGCAGCAGTTGCCGCGGCTATTATCAATATCGCCAGCTCGAAGGGACGCATCCCATTCATTTATACTCTGCTCGTGGGCTGTACCGTCCATACTGTTGGTATTGGGCTTCTCTCAACCATTGCCACTTCTAGGGGCTTCCACGCAACAGATATTGGTTACCTAGTCATTGCTGGAACAGGGATGGGTCTGACGATGGGAATATTGGTGCTATCGACACCATATATAGTCGAGGACAGAGACCTGGGTATGTGTTCTCCCGAGAAATTATTTGATGTTAAGGTGACTGGTACATTGACTCACTGGCCCTTGGCTTTTCATTATAGCAATTGCCACTGGCACCATAGTCCAGCTCCGTTTCCTTGGCGGTGCTATTGGTCTTGCCATTGCATCTAATATATTGAACGGCCGTCTAGCGCAGCGTTTGCGGGGTGTTATGACATCGCACGAACTGCACCTATTCCTCGAGAATGTGAGATCGATAAAAACTCTACCTCCTCATCTACAGGCAGATGTGAAGAATGTTTTCGCCAGCAGCTTCAATACGCAGCTGATTGTCATGATCGGATTCGCAGCTGCTCAGCTACCGGCGTCTCTACTACTGTTGAAGACAGGCCGGCAGCTTGCGGCCAACAAACACTCGGCTACGATCTCAGGGTGAAGATGGCTAATTGGCACTTTTTTTTTTCTTTCCTTTCATGAATGATTCGGCTGTTGCGCAGAATGCAAAATTTTATGACCAAATACTCTTTCGCTTAATAGTTATTATGCCCAAAGGTGAAATTGCTACCGTGTATCCATCCAGGACATACTAGAATATGATCCAAATTAAGTACATCTTTCGAATATTTGATGAAGACATTGAGCATAGTTTCCAACCTAAATGTATCTGGCCCTACTAGGCATAGGAATATATATACCTGGACAGTATAGCCAAGGTCTTCATAGTCATCCATATATACAATAGGCTATTGGAAATTTATGAATGACACCAAAAACAAAATAGACAAAATCAATATTGAAATATTCATTTACTAAGTGGGTGATTGCAGGCGAACAACAAGGCCCAGACTAAAAAAAAATGGTGCAGTTCTCCGCAAAGCGGCTTATCGCCAACACGCCCTCTTTTAGTCCTCATCAACATCGCAATCATGGCTGCAAAACTGATCGACCGACGGTTCCATAATGTGTCAGGTTTGTACTCTGTTATTTACTGTGGCTAATTAGACCACTGGTGTCGAAACTGACAAAATTGACCCCATCCAGGCAAACTGCGGGTTTCCGAGCTCTTCTTCGACGTTCCTGTGGACTACAACAAGCCAGCTGGGGACACGCTGAGGCTCTTTGCACGAAGTATCAGTCGCTTGAACAAACCCATTGAGCCTGCCAAAGAAGAGGGTAAAGAAGCCAAAGAGGGAAAGCTTCCTTGGCTGGTCTACCTGCAAGGTGGCCCTGGCTTTGGATGTGGTGCCCCGCAGTCTTACCCCTGGGTTGAATTCATCCTCAGCAAGGGGTATCAAGTGTGTCATGCCTATTACATTATTATATTATTTGGTGATTAATGCTCAACTATCCTATAGGTGCTCTTTTTGGATCAGCGAGGCACTGGCCTCAGCTCGACTCTCACTGCCGGAACCCTTGCCCGTCAGGGAGATGCAATCAAGCAGGCCGAGTATCTCAAGAACTTCCGTGCAGACAGTATTGTCCGTGATTGCGAAGCCATTCGTGATGTTTTGACACAGGACTATCCGGCTGATCAGCGCCGGTGGAGTATCCTTGGGCAAAGTTTCGGTGGCTTCTGTGCCGTGACTTATCTGTCGAAGTTGTATGTTGTGAACGCCATTGATTTCCATGTTCGGACTTTGAACATTCCGCTGATATTGCTCAACTTCCAGCCCGGAGGGTCTGAGAGAAGCTTTCCTTACTGGTGGCCTTCCCCCTCTTATCAATGGCCCGGATCCTGTCTATGCGAAGACCTATGGTGCGCTCCCCTTTTTTCTTAAGGTGGTTTATTCGTGACATTGACAAAAAAGCAGAGAAGGTGAAGGAGAGAAACGAGGCTTACTACCAGAAATACCCTGAGGATGTGGACCGTGTTAAGAATATCATGCAATATCTGGCCCAAAACAAGGTTGCATTGCCATCTGGAGTGCTCACTCCGTCTCGCTTCCAACAACTGGGAATTTTGCTCGGGTTCCACGGTAAGATCCTCGATTCATTCAACCAGTCTATTAAAGCTAACACGGTCTAGGTGGGGTTGATAGTCTGCACGGTAAGCTTTGCTTTATCTCATGAAGGTTACAGTGACTATACTAACCCGAGTCTAGACATCGTTGTCAGGGTCTGCAACGACTTGGAGATGTTCGGATTCCTTACTCTGCCCACTCTTTCGGTGATTGACAGTAATGGCGGCATGGATAAAAACATCATTTATGCTGTTCTGCATGAAACAATTTATTGTCAAGGGTATGCCATCCATCCACTTTCCATGACATATCCGTGTCTAACAATGAACACAGAAAGCCGTCGCTCTGGGCTGCAGACAGGTTGCGTGCCAGCAACCCGCAATTCCAGATCAATGACTCTCTGCCTGAGATCTACTTCACTGGCGAGATGGTAAATAGCCCAACCCAGTCCGAGATTCTTTTAATAGAAATATCTAACACCAATCCTCGCCTTCTAGGTCTTCAAGGATATGTTTGAGTCCTACTCGGAGCTCGCAGAGCTCAAGGAAGCAGCTGAAATCTTGGCTACGACAGACGAATGGCCAGCCCTGTACGACGAGGCTCAACTGGCCAAGAACACGGTACCGGTCTATGCTGCAACCTACATCGATGATATGTATGTTCACTTTGATCTGGCCACAGCCACTGCTGCCAAGATCAAAAACTCCAAGCAGTTTATTACCAACACCATGTATCACGATGCACTGCGCAGCAAGTCAGGTGAGGTCATGCGTCAGCTCTTCAACCTGAGAGAGGATTCGATAGATTAGTCCACATGCGTGGTCTTTCATTTCGTACATATGATGGATTTTTTTTTTAGCAACATGATGAGCTCAGAAGATCTACTTATAAATTTGACAAGATGTTTTAATGTAGAGGTAGACTAACGCACGTTACAACGAAATAAATATACGTAGAGTTGGCGTGGACGCAGTATTGGGTATAATGAATCATGTGGTATGTACAGCGGACTGTCTTCATTGTCTGAGTGTGAAAGTATTGGGAGATATCAGAAGACCTGTTTGATATAATCAATATGCCACTCTTGCTGTAATAAGAATGGAGAGAGACAAAGTACGTACCGCACCGCCAATGATGAATAGCCTTTCTTCCTCACGCTGCACCCACTGAGCAACCTTGCTAGCGCTTTGGGCAAGTGCATTTCGATTAGTGTTCGGCTCAGCGATACAATAAAATTCGAATATAGGGGTTACCCATCCGAACGAAGTGGCTGACCGCGAAACACAGTGATGAACTTTAACGTGGGTATTCTTGGCGTGGATACTCGCGTGCAAGTTGTTGTACATCGACATCAATCTACATACACAGTTAGAATCGGTTCATATCACAGGCATTCGAACCCCAGAGGGGGTATTGCTCACCTTCGTCGTCGAGTCACCGAGGAAAATTCAGGGGCATACGACGACATGGTGAATTGTACGTTGGCACGCGATTTGTAAAGGAAATGATGGAGCACAGTCCCAGGAACTATATCAGTAGTCGCGGGTCGGCCGTTGTCAATTGCCGTTTTGATCTCCTTCAGACTGCCGTTTCTCTCCATCTGCTATTTTATTATCAATACCGTGTCACATACCATATTCAATCACAGAGAATTATTCAATCTCACCTCTACAAGAGCATCACGCATTTCTTGCATCTCAAAGAAAGCCTCTTTGTCGGGACTGATAAGAACAATTGCAACAGACTCGTCTTTGGTGATCTCTGCACTATTTTCGATGTCGTCGCGAATGTCAAGAAAGCTCACATACATGTAGAGATAACCGCTGCTGTTGAAGCCAGGCAAACAAACGGGAATCCAACTTTCTCCACCGCCAGCTTTAACTCCGTCGGCTTCAAAAACCATGTTGAATAAGAGCTGCAAATCGCCTGGATGTAAGGAGTGCTTCTTCGGTCGGATAACGCTGACAAGTCGTGCGCCAGCCACAAGCAAGCCATATAGAAGACTACTAGCTTTAGTTTTCAGAAGTGCATTGTTGATGGCTTGTCGGTGTTGTTTGCGGATTTTCAGGCACTCCAAAGCCGATAGCAATGTCGATAGAGACCCTCGCGTGAAACTGTCTGCCAGAGATGAGAGAAGGGACTCAGAACCCTGTAAGGGCCGCGATAGATCAGTAGAAGGCCGAACAGAGAAGAGATGGGTTAAAGAAGGCAGCGTTAATGTAGATAAGATCTGCATATACAATGCTTCTAGTTGGAGCCGGAGCTGATTGTCGCCCTCCATCATACGGCTGATCGCAACGAGATGCAAAGATCCCCGTGTCAATACAACAAACCTAGTGTCACCAGCCGAGAAGCCTCGTAGATGATCGTTTTTATCTTCATAAAATGAAATTATGGTCTGAATAACCCCGACATAACCAGATATCAAGCCGCTGTCGCCATGCCTTGTCCAAATTGGCTTACCAGCGGCGGATAGAATCACATAGTGCTTGCGCTTTGCTTTCCACCGTTGGAGTAGCAGCTCTGATATGCGTTAGTATCACAAAACAAAAAGACAATCTATTGTTGATACAAACCTTCGTTATCACCTTCCTCGTTAAGTTCGCCAACTGCTTCAAATTCGCTTAGAATTCCATCGTCATCTATATCGTCGGCCGCAAATTCAGGGAAGTCAAGTAGACCTGTGGCTTCTTGTCTTTGGCTATCGGGCGCTGTAGCAGCAAAGTCCATGAACAGCGCTTCAATTTCCCCGGAATCACCATTTGGGATTGAGCTTCTAATGCTAGCGGAGTCACCAGCTTCGCTGCCCCGTGGGCTCGCCAACTGGCTGAGGCTCGCCCTGGCCTTTGGACCCTGGGACAGACCTCGAATAGCCAGTGTCGAGTGAGCGCTCTCGGCAGCTTCGGGTAATTGTGTCTCGATATCGGTTCGTGAGATAGCCGTTGTTGCCTCTGCCTGCAGAGCTGCCCGGGAGCCCGTTTCATCGTTCAATAGACTTAACGTGTTTGGCCGCGGGGGTAAGGGTGGCCGCTCTCCCTCTGAGCTGTCACTGCGCTCATCGTGATCTGGGATTGATGGCCTGGAAAGATACTGCTTGGAAGTCTCGACAGGCTGTTGGCCGTCGGTCTTTGGGTCTTGCCGTGTATTCATCCCCGCTGCGGGCATGCGCTTTTTGACGCGGTCGCTCGTCGCGGGACGTTAGGCCATTAAATGCTCATTATTTATTCCAAATATTCGGAATCCTTGATCAGTTGTCTGTGTCGACTTGATAGTCACTGAACGTTGACGTCGGCGAGTCGGAGCTACCCCAAGGCGGAACAAAACAATTGAACGTGGCCGCCTGCGCGGCCTCTGTTCAACATTCAACCACCAACTCCCTTTCCCATAGGGTCATCATCGATGTCCTAAATATGACGGAGGGTAGTTCAAAGCTTTTACAACAATTTTACGTCCGTTACTGGCACCATGAGCCTTGATCCAAATGCCTTTCCGAGGTCGGACTCCCCCGCAAGCTCCGAGAGCTCCTTGACACGCTCCCGTTTACAAGGCAAGGAAGGCATGTGCCCGCCTAAGAATTACACCAGAGGATTGTTTCTGATTATATATGGTGACTGTAGGGTCCTTCAAAAAAGACAAGAACTATCGCCGATATGCATCTAGCGTTGAACGAGCGCTTTCGCTCTTTGACAACGCTCTCCAAGAATGGGCCGACTATATCTCGTTCCTCGGACGCCTGTTAAAGGTGAGTTTGAGCTCTTTCGACTTAGTAGTGATGTTTTGTACCAAAGCTAATATAAACCATTAGGCACTCCAAACCCACCCACCCGATCAGCCCGTCGTTCCTCATAAAGTGTTAGTGTCGAAGCGACTCGCCCAGTGCTTGAACCCGTCGTTGCCATCAGGCGTGCACCAAAAAACCCTCGAAGTCTATACGTACATATTTGGATTGATAAAGGTATGGATATCCACATGAATGGCTAATAGTGTGCTTACTGATGCGTCTGTTTACAACTAGCTCGAGGGATTATCGCACGACCTGCCTTTGTATCTCCCTGGCCTTGCACCAACATTGACTTTCGCCTCCCTTACTGTCCGCCCATTGTTTCTGTCTTTGGTAGAGGGATATATCGTTGATCTGGAACCATGGGCTATCCGCCCCGCCCTGAAATCAATCATTTTAGCCCTACTTCCAGGCCTCGAAGAGGAGACCAGTGACGATTTTGAGCCCACACTACGCACAGTTAATAAACTGCGAGATGCTGCTGGACAACTTGAAACACAAAGGACGTCCGAAGCTGGGTCATCTGGGCAGTATTTCTGGCAATGCCTCTTTCTCGCATCTATCACGAACCCCAGTCGGCGGCTCGGTGTCCTCGCATATTTGAACCGCTACCTCCCCAAGCTAGGTATCGCAGATCGTCGACCGAGCACGGCTGGTGGGAGCGATTTGAATGATATTCCACCTGAAATACTGGCCGCAGCAGACTCTGTCATTCTACCAGAGCCTGGCCTCTTGATTCGATGTTTTGCATCGGGTTTATCTGATGACCAGCTCCTTGTCCAACGCAACTTCCTAGATCTTCTTGTCACCCACCTTCCTCTCAGCTCTCCGATTCTGCAAAACAAAATTGCGGCCACTGATCTTCAAACATTGGTAATTGCCGCAGTGGGGGTGATCACTCGGCGAGACATGAGCTTGAATCGCCGACTCTGGGCTTGGTTCTTAGGACCGGATTCTCCAAACGATAGCTCTTCGATGGATGGTCGAAAATTCTCATCGGAAACCGCTCGATCTGCCTCCGTTGATGGAAAGGAACTCACACAATCACAATATTTCAGCCGGGTAGGCTTGCAGCCATTGGTCACTGGTCTATTGAATATGATCAAACAGGCACCGAGTATTCCGTCGGATAGAACTAAGCCCTTTCGCATAGCTCTGTCCCTAATGGATCGCTGGGAAATTGGTGGATACATTGTCCCTGCTGTTTTCTTGCCCACTGTACGCAGTGTTCAGGCGTTTGAATCCACGGCCCCAAAGAGCCACTTCGAAGAGGTTTTCCGCAGTGCGAGCGCCTTTTTTGATGGTGTTGAAAGTGGTGTTATATTCTCTGAACTTCTGGGGTTAGTTGATTACCGGTCTTCTGATGTAGATGTTGATAGCGACCAAGTGTTGCGTGATTTGAATCTTGCACAATTTATTGTTGAGAATTTCAATGTGCGCGAGGACGATATGGTTCAGATACATGTTCCTCTGCTGACATTGTCAGTGCTCGTGAAGATGAGAGATATTTCATGGAAGGAGAGCACTGCCAATAGACAGGCCGTGGCTGCCGCGTTGAATAAAGTTCTCAAATCGTTGACAGGCTTGCTTACAGAGCGGGCGTTCTCGAGAAAGGCGGGCTCTGAAAAGACTGCTGGCAACGACACAAAGGGCGGCAGTACTGATATCTTGAAAACTGTTCACAGTTTCTATGAGCAAAGCAAACACAGCTTGGAGCTTCCACCTCTTCCTTATGCTCCTAAGAATCTTGGCGAAATGATCATTCGAGAGGCTCATGAACTAGCTATCGCGGCGCTAGGAAGCCGCGATGGCAACCTCGCTGTTCATGAACCACTCGAAATTCTTGTCACTTTGCTCAAGGCGCTTCCAAAGTCCCGCGTTCTACGAGATCGAAAACTGTATGAAGCACTCTCTCGGCGACTAGGTTCGGGGAAGGACAAGCCAACAACCGCCTCCTTCTCAGTCATATCGACGATTGCTTCGACAGTGACGAGTTTGTTCTTCATTCAAACTCCCGGCTTCTACGTCAGCTATGAGGATGCTTGCGATCTGATTACCCCTCTTGTCAACCAGCTTTGGTGGTACTTATCACCCCTTAGTCCAAAGTTCCACGTGGAAGCTGTCCGCTGTTTATGGCTCCTGCATTCAATTTCTTGGATTGATCACCTTGTCGAGGCGTCCCTGACAGCTTTAATGGTCAATATTTCAACCGCAGCATCTCGCCATCTCTCATCTGAGCAACAAGCCGAGCGATTCTACGTCTTGTGGAACCACAGCCATCATAACACACATGAGCAACCGCCAAAGCAAGTACTTGATGTTGGAGGGACCATCTTCTCTTACCAGTGTTCTATGCTTGAACGTCCGCTTTTCATCGTCCTTGATCTTCTCTCCCAAGAGTCAAGTGATAGTTCGCAGAGCGTTCAACTATGGCTCCAAGACTTGCCATCTATTCACAAGTAAGTCATCTCATCCCAATGCGTTATTCATATCTAATTATTCACCAGGGTTTTCCATGTGGTCATCTCTAATCTTGACGAGCTTTCTGAGCATGATGAAAGCAAAGAGAAAAAGACAGACAGCCACTCAATTTCCCCAGATGACTATAAGGAGTGTGACTATCTGTTACAGACAGCCTCCAATATCATATCGGCGCTTTCGCACAATGGATGGATCGCACTACTTACTCATGTACTAGGTAATGAGAAACGCCTTGAAAAATCCAAATCTGAAGGTGGGTAACTTATCTTCTAACGAAATAGTTGTTGCTAACATAGATTCCTGGATAGAAAATGCAGACTTCAAAAGCCTCCATTCCGCCATATTTGAAGCATCTCTTCGAATCGTCAGCACACAATCCCCAGCTGCTATGGAAGTTAATCTAGATGGAGAACGTCTACATAGGGATGCACTCCAGCTCATGCGGCAACTTCTTCTTGGGCCCGGAGCGGAGGAATTAGTCGAGTCTGGCATTGATGACTTCTTGGTGGAACGTCTTCTTGTCTCTTCCGAGGGGGGCAGTATTGCGGTGCAGGGTGCACTAATCGACGCACTCCTTGCTGCATTGAAAGTGCGATTTGCGCAAGCATATCTACCATCACCGCCGCCACCGCCACCCCGGTCAAAACATTTACGAGCTAGCTCTCGAGATCGGCTGACCAGTCCTTCAATCTTGTCTTTCACTAGTGAGAAGGGGGATAGGAGACAATCGCTACCTCAGCTACCGCAGCCGCCAGAGCGGCTTCTGGATTGTCTTTTAAAGGGAATCAGCTCACCTAAATCCCGAGAAATTGTAGACAAGTGGATAATGTTGCTCTGTGAGGTGCTCCCTCTATATTCAGGTTCCATATTCCAGATCCTATTGATGCTGGTGGAATGTTTCTGCAGGGAAATTCGAGCATCGTATGGCAGACTTCAGCTATCCTTTCAGCAAACAGAGGATTGGCCGCAGGACCGTTCGGAGCATGTCACAATTGCTCTTCTGACTGGCCTCGAGACTTGTATCGCAAATGCCCACGAACGTCTCATTATAGAAGAGTCCAATGTTCCAGCAGTAAAGAGCCCTGACCAAGTGCAGGGCTTTTTCGGGAATATGGTGTCTGGGGTATTCAACTCAGAAGGCGGGCAAGGTCGCCCAAATACCGCCAACGACCGCCTGACTGTTCTTCTCTGTTTCCAAGATGCTGTTCGCTTATGTTTCTCCATATGGGCATGGGGTGCAGGAGATCACAGTGGCTACCCCCCGATTCCGAATCTCTAGCCTCATTTCAATACACCTCTTTGCGAATGAGGAACCGTTCACGGCGAATCTTGGAGCACTTCTTCACCGCAGAGGCACTTGAATGTCTTGAGACCTTAGTGGAAATGTGGACTAAGTCTGACACGGAGACAGCGTCACTTATCTTCAATCTCCTCCACACGCTCGATGGGTCAAGCCCGAAAATCACCATTCCTGCCATTTTCAATGCGATCTACACTCGCACTAATCCTAGTGCCTTGGATCCTAGCCGGAAGTCTTCGTTAACGTCCAATCTCTCCGAGTCTGAGCTTGCTAGCTTTTTGGTTACTTATGCCCGTTCACTGGACGATGATTTCCTTGACGAGATTTGGACGGACTGCACAACTTTCTTGCGCGATGTTCTTAGCAATCCATTCCCGCACCGCCAGATCCTTCCTCGTTTGATTGAATTTGCGGCTATTTTGGGGGTGAAATTAGAGAAAACAACCTTCGGCGAAGACCGCCGTATGCGAAAGGAACTTGGAGTATGTTTATTCATTCCCTGCTGGTTTTATCATAGTCACTGACAATTACACCCCAGGATGTCCTCCTACGACTTCTTACCGCGGTCTTTACCAGCAAGCCCCTAGGCCTTAGCCAAGACACTGTGCCTATGGCAAGATCTTCGGTGGACCATGATCGTACCTCGGTCTCTCATACTGGACCCGATGACATGCTGAGCATCTTAGCGGTCTCTATGCCGTCGTTTATCACGACTCTGGGTGATTCAGATCGGATCAACACTGCCATCACTGGTATTTCGACTAATGTAGTGGGACCTCTCATCCGGTCACGTCTCTTCCCCAACAATCTCAACCGTAACGTCATGGTTCTTCTACAGCAAATGGCAAAAGTACCAGCTGCGGCGAAAATATGGAAGAAGGACATATCCGACGCGTTCAATGATGCCCGATTCTTCGGATTGCAGTTGGACTTGGTGAAGAGCAATTGGATGGACTTGCTGCGCCAGTGGGTTCTCGCCGACAAGGAGCGCCTATCCGAACTTCTCGTCCGTCTTCCACCACCAAGCTCAGCCGGTATCATGTTCGGCGTAGGAGCCTCTGCGGCTAGGTTGGAGGCCGATCGCAAAGCGCAGCTTAATCTCCGGCGGATCGCGCTACTCCTGCTTTCTGCCAGCGATGATTACTTTGTTGGTGAATTGCCTGCATTGCTGCAGAAACTGGAAGATCTTCTTGCGGCAACCAGCTCTTCATCGCCATCTTCTGCCACTCGGGCAGAAGTGTTCATGGTCCTTCGAGCAGTCGCGCTCAAGACCTCTGCCTCCGCCATGGCGCCATTCTGGCCTTTGATCAACACAGAACTGCAAGAAGCCATCTCCACAGTACCCCGGGGTACTCAGCCAGATCTCTATAACTCTTACTCGCTGCTTCAAGCGTGCAAGCTTCTCGACATACTGCTTGTCCTCGCCCCAGACGACTTCCAGCTTCTTGAATGGCTTTTCGTAACCGACACCATTGATGCGGTCTACCCGCCCGACCGCTGGGAGCCCATTGCTCTGGCAGACGAAGTTTCCCAGACATTTGGTCCACGCGATGCGGGCTCACCCACTGTCGCCACTGAGGCCAATGAGCCCCAGGCTCGCAGTGGACTTAAGCGGCCATGGCTCATCTCAGACCAGATCCGAGAGACAGCCAAGGACGAGATTGTTGAGCAGGTTCTGCGACCATTCTTCGCTCGGTTGAGTATCTATGTGTTTGAGAGTACGTACGGCATGGGCAGCGTAGATCTGACAGTGTGCCGAAACGATCTGTTAGCAGACCTCTTCAACGAGAACACAATAGCCAATTAACCGAAGTAATAAACCATGTGCTTTAACTTAAGTGCTAGATACTTCATCCAAGAGATTCCAAATATAATTACATTTCTTTTTATGTGGCTATAGTCTCCCTGTTTGTATACAACAAAAAAGGCCTCAGGTCTCCCGAGTTCCGAGCCGCCCGGACCTCCGCAATTTATCAACGTCACTTCCAACAAACTCCCCTTGCCACCATCTTCCTTCAAACAATCCATAAATTTCCCCTCTAAATTTGAAATTATAGTTTCAATATGCCTATTGGCACTAAGATCTTTATTCCTTTGCGCGGACGCGTCGGCATCCGGTCCTTCTCGTCATCCCGGGCCCGCTGGGAGTCCGTCGCGCCGCTACCGTCAAGCAAGCCCGTGGGAGCCTTCCGAGGAGGGTATGTGAAATTCTCATGTTTTTGATGACATACACATTTTCCAGCACTATTGCTAATATCCGCTAGTGTCTTTGGGTTCCTGGCTGGATCTGTCGCTGCTGGTGCTTCGGTGTACTATTACATCCTTGGAGAGTACCGACTCGCCAATGAGATGCTGTCTGATGACATTTCGGTATGTCTATAGCTTGCTAACTCTTAGGCTCTGATAGGGCCTTCCCTATTTCTCTTAGAAATTTGATTCTTGCAGAACTAATTGTCTACTTTATAGGCACTTCAAAAGGCCACCATCAAGCTCCAGTCATACATCACAGAACTAGAATGCAGGGTTGATCAGCTACACAAGAAATGAGTGTCTGACCAGTATCTTTGATATGTATTTACTATGGCTTGAAGGTGTTGGGTATGTTTGCCTTCTATGCATGCAGCTTGTCAGCCCTGGACATGAAGCCCATTCTCTTCCATGGCCAGGGCATAGCTTTATTATGTGTTTCTTTCTTTTGTTGCATGAAATTAGTCCCACTTTTTTGAATATGAGCATTTCCTTTCCCAAATAATGTTTGACCAACTTAAATATTTAGCCTGTACATTGTACCGAACTCCGCTGCAAACAAAACAAACATTTTATCCATCATCTCCAACTCCCCGGGACCATAATCAACTTCCGCATTATCATCAAACTCCCAACACCCCAAATCTCGAAATGTTCCGTGTCGAACTCGTCTCAGACACGTCAACGGCCACACCAGGCTGGTCCTATGCCCCAACCAGGGGCTTCGACCCTACACAAGCGATGGCCCCAAGCCTAGGCCGTAAACGCGGCATCCGCGACGCCGGCAAGGGCGGCGACATCTCCTCCCGGCAAGCGAACGCGATCGCACGCCACATTGCCGAGTTAGACCGCGAGAATCAGCGCGACGTCTCCATCCCAGCGCCCGTGAAACAAGCCCGAGAAGCCGGCGCACGGGGCACGCGAGCAAAGACCACTTCGAACGTCCGCCGCATCCTCCAGTCCCAGAAGACCTTCCGGAACCACCTAGACGATGAAGAGGCGGCAATAGCCTCGGGTAGTGGTGGTATAGCAGGCATGCAGGGCGCGGGTGCCGCGAGCATCATCGCGGCCAAGGGAGGCAAGGCTGCCGCGCGCACCGCGACACCGGCTAGTACAGCAGGAGTCAAACGTCCCTCAGCGGCCATGGTGGGTACGGCAACTGGCGCATCGACGCCCGCGCAGGAAACCACGGACGCTGAAACTGATGCCGACGATGAGCCGTCGCGCAAGCCGAAACTTATCAAGTCTGAATATGATGACGATCCTCTTCTACGCTCGTATGCGCCCCCTGTACCTTCTGATCGGCTAATGCAGCGGCTGCTAGCGGAGGCGCCGCTTTCTTATAACGCGTCGCGTGCGAAGCCACCGGCGTCGGCGCCGCCGGGGCGCCATTTTTGTTGTATGTGTGGGTATTGGGGAAAGATTCGGTGCAAGAGTTGTCATTTGAGGACTTGTAGCTTGGATTGCTACAAGGTTCATGAGGATTCAAGGTGTGGTGCCTTCTTTTAGGGGGTTGGGGGTGTGCTTTTGTGTATACTATTGAGGAGCTTGGCCTGGCTGGGGCCTGTTCTACTGATGACTTTATGAATTGATACCAAAAACTGTACAATAGTCAATATAAATATTAATGTGACATCATTGAAAACAAAACTTGTACACATATTCATCTCATTATAGCTGGGATCTGGGTAACATCAAGTTGTGAAAATATGCTAAAAAAGGTTGTGTAGACAAGGCTCAACATTTCAGGTTGATGCCCGCACGAAGCTCGTCTTCGCGAACTTCGAACATAACCTGCACGCCAACGAAAAGTACTACGCAACAGGAAATCATATACGCAATGCCAGAGTATGAGCCTGTTAGGCTGGCAAGCAGATCCTTTAATCCATCCAGACCCAGCGCAAAGCCGACTAAGTTTGCAATGATCATCATAAGGACGTTGCCAACGGAGCCAATGCCACAGATGACACGGTACATAGTGGGACGAGAGCGCCAGCGGTGGGCCGGGAAAAGCATGCCGCCCAGAACTTCTGGTAGAACGAAGAGAGTAACGAGCCAGCCCCACATGAGCAAGCGGAGGTTGATATCGTGCCATAAGGCGACGAAGGTGAAGACCAGCAGGAAGTTGCGGATTTGCAAGAACTTGCCCATAAAGTTGGACTGAGGTGGTGAAGATGGTTTGGGTGCTCCAGGTGGGCGTCGTCCACCGCCGCCACCGCCGAGTGGGATGTAGATGTAGCGGACGATCCAGCGGTTGTAGGAGCGGTGCCAGCCGCGCCAAAAAGCGAGGGCGGAGTAGTTATTGGACATGCAGCGGACCATGTTTTCTGGTGGGTCAATCCCGTCCATGAGGGCCCAGAGACGGAAGAATCGCCAGGGGATGAGGAGTTTCAGCCAGATTATATGCAGGTTGAAGAAAGCGAGCATACTTAATTGCCCCGGGGTAAAGACAGACCAGTCTGGCTCAGCTTTGGAGATTGCTACCGCATAAATATAGTGGAGGATAACCTCCATGCAGAGCAGAGTGAGGCCAAAGCGGACGGCATACATGATGATGCGAGCTCGGGTGAGTGATGCCGCTGTATATCGCTGTTGAGAAACGTAGTCGTTGAATGTCAGGATGGGACCAGCCAAATACAACGGTGAGTAGAGCATATAGGCGATGTAGTTGCGGAATGTAAAAGCGGCTGGTTCTGCGGGGATCTTGACCCGGTCACGGTCAGAGAGGGCCGCGGGGTCTAGCTGCTTCTTCTTGTAGAACTCGGTAAGTTAAATTGTCATACGGGGATTGTTGGCTGATCAGCCACGGGAAGACTTACTTCAATTGGACTTGCCGCAGGGTAGTCTACACTCCAGTGGCGGTCCATGTTGAAGCTGATGAGGCGCAGCACCGTGACTTTGAAAAGAACCTCCCATCGCGGCATCAGTCCTCCAAGATCATCTAGAGTCTGAGCCCATTGGACTAGCATGGTGGTACTATCTTCTGACATCCCAGACCCAGGGGCGAAGACCTTTGCTATCCGCACGAGGGAGTAGCCACCGCTGAACTCATTGGCAAACAAGACGCAGATGTTGAATACCCACGTGGCGGTAGGCACGTAGGAACGAGGAACATCCTTGCCGATTCGGAAGTTGATATACAGAATTGATAACACTTTTAGAGCGGATACTCCATGAAGTGCTGTTATGAAGACTAGTCCGAACCAAAAATCGAAACGCATTCGCTGTTCAAGTTGAGCATCACCCGTGCTAACCACAGAAGGACTCAATTGTTTTGTTCCCACTTTCGAGCGGTTCGCATACGACTGATAAACACGGCGAATCAAAGGATGGGCGATTAGGAGTAGTAGAAGTACAGGGATATTGTCGCGGAAGCCTTCATATTGCGAATCGGAGTTGTCCTAAGGGCATTGAAGCAACAATGTCAGTCGAAACTGGCCTCGTGGATGTGGATAACTGAGCGCTGAATATGGCACACTTACCACCTTACGACCAGGGATCCAACCGGGCGATAAAAGGTGAGAGTATGTGGAGTAGCCTGGGTGACTTTCTGTGACGTTGATCCCCAGTCAGTATTTCTAGGCCCAACATTTTCTCCGACCTGCACTCACCCTTCGAGGCATCGATGACAGTCTTAAACATCAACGGGACAAGTATAATAAAGAACAAGTAGTAGACAAAGAATTCTGGTGTGCGCCAAAGTGAAGGTGACGCGCCCTGGGCGGTTGCATTGGCGCGGGCATCTTTAGCGGAAGAGGGTCGCGTGTCGGGGTGGGAAGGGGTTGCGGAGGAGGTAAAACGAGTGTCAAGGGTGTCTAGCGAGTAGACCCGCCGAAGCCAGGCGAAAATGAAGGGCATCTTATAATGATAGTGGCATGGCCGGCGCGGTTTTGAAGAAGTTGAAGATGGAGATGTGTGAGATTCCAGTGTGTACTCAGGGGGCCGAGGGATTGAGGGCCCGCCACCTGGTACAAAGTAGGTGGCCTCTATATATCCCAACTCGACACGGGACTAACAAGGTTCCAATCTAAAATCCAAAATAAAACAAAATTGGCGCTGGAGCTATTGATTTTCATATCAAAATACTTGGAATTGAGGAATCTCCCTTCGAAGGATGTAGATACCTTAGGCCCAATCAGCACTAGCCAGTATCATATCGAGTATAGCCAAAGCCTGCAGGGCATTCATCTCCTACAAATTACTTAGGGAATAACACAGCCAGATCTAGCTTCCGATATGGAACTCCAGGGCTTACAATGATACAAATGAGGCTTGGTTATTGAGGTTAAGCAATACAACTTTGCAGGCGCCAAGCACGATATATAGCTTAACCATAGGAAATTGAGTCCTATGTACAGAGTATGGAATTGAAAAATCAAATTGAGAAGAAAGATAGAATAATAGCGCATTTCCAATTGGGGTTGTATGTATCTGTTTATATCCTTGATTTTCTGAGGAGAATTGTATATATCAACCATTATGCTAGGGGCCCCTCCCACAATGTTCGGGACATCAACCTAGTACACTTCAACTCTACATCCTCCGACTCATCAACTAATCCCATTTTCCGTCCAAATGTCAAACATACGAGTACATCTCCCTTGCCATATATCCCATTCAGTCCTATGTTACGCACATTGCCCGCCAGCAGCACAACGAAAGCTACAAGTTTCCCCTGCTGATGCCTTATCTACTGCAGATTGCTTTCAAAGTCCACGGCACCGTTCAAGGTGGGTCAAACTCATGACTTGTCTATAATCTTGAAAATATTACCATTCTCTCTGTCACTAACATGAACACATGAACCCCTAGGTGTCGGCTTCCGGTAGGAAACATCCCCCAGGACAGCCGATGACATCATAGTCCATCGATTAACTAATAGCTATCACACAATACAGAGACTTTACTCAAAAATGTGCTAAGCTCGACGGGCTCAATGGCTGGGTTAGGAATACTACCTGTGGAAGGGTGAGCGATATCCAGTCGTGTCTCCGGACAAAGCGCTTACTAGATCTCATCAGGTCGAGGGTGAGGCCCAGGGCAGCGACGAAAAAGTGCAGAAATTCCTTCAGCGCATCGATAAAGGTCCCTCTATGGCTCATGTAGTAAAACTAGAGAAACGGGCTCTGGACGTGCGTGATGATGAGGAGGGATTTGCCGTGATGCGGACAGCAGAGTCCATGTTCAAATCGGGGAATTAGGAGTTGACCGTTTTCTCTCTCGCCCTATTGCAATCAATCAGAACACAAGTGGAGGATATAGCCAACGAGCTTCTTCTACTTCATTATACTAGGCAATCTCATTTCTTGGTGATTGATGGTAGAGCTATGATTGCCACCAATTTTGTAGCCGGAAAGAGAGGAAATTATAGTGAAACATCAATACAGAGTACCTTGATCTCTTTCATCTTTTCATATATTGAAGGGGACGATGGATATATGTAATCTTTAAAGGCAACAATGGAGAATGATAACCCCAGAATACAGTTAGCAGATCTTGACTTGGGAACAGAACACATGACAGGATCTACTATATATATGCATCAATAACATCATTCTTACGGATTTTTGCCGAAAAACATGGCCACTTGAGGTAAGCAATTGACTGGCATGTGCCATAATCGGCAGGAAACGGGCAGATATTCTCTCCTTTTCTTCAGGTACCATCTATTCAGTCGCCGGTGAGATAGAAGAAATGGGATATTTTTAAGATCCCGAAATCATAAAATGACCTTCAACTTCGGGCTTTGACGCCGAATACTTCTCGGGGATTGACTGCAAACGGCGGCAGGGTGGTTACGGGCTGAGTCATTTCGGGGTTCCCGATCCCTCCCGATACCACCTGCCAACAAGGAAACGACCGTTTCGGGAGAAAAGAGTATTAGGGATTGGAATGAATATAGTGCAATGATAATGGGAAGGCTGATATATTTGCTTCTTGTTCAATTATAGCAACAGTATTATAGTCTTGAGGGATAAGTGATATAATGAGAAGTTGATGGGAAAATATAAACATCCAGGTACCTGGGAAATGCAGTATACGGAGTGTCATCATTTCCATCCTACACCTGGACATCCAAAGTTAGCATTTCCGGGGTTTTTGATTTGGCTTTTCATCAAATGTCCCTGATTTGATTCGTCTCCCAAAGATTGAATTTATGTATTTAAGGCTTGAAGGATTGGGCATGTTACCTTGATCTCTTTTCAACAACCAAGACTTTATCTATTCTTGATATCTCAATCGCTTTCCTCTTCTTCTTCTTTCTATTCTTTCTCTTCTTCTCACATCATCGTCTTCATTACCTTCATCATCTTCAATCGTGACTCACCTCAAACTTGCTCTCTTTGGTTACATCATGAATACTCTATCAGTGAGGGCTCCTATGCGGGCTACAGCAAGGTTGCAGTACTTACAACTTGCTGTACGAACCTACTCGGGCGTTGCAGTAACGACATTCAATCCCACATGTGGCGTCAGCAAGCACACATCGGCATTCGGCCTCACATCCAAGCGCCCTATCTCGTCAACACACCAGAACAAGATCAATGAATACTTTCCACCACCACAGACTCCAAATGTCAAGGCAGTGCAAACAGCATGGGTGCATCCAGTGTAAGTATATACACAGCCTCTTAATTTGACCCAGATGTTAACTCTATACTAGATACACCGAGGCGCAAATGAAAAATATTCGCATTGCCCACAGAGAAGCTTCAAATTGGTCAGACTGGGTTGCCCTAGGAACTGTACGAGTCTTCCGATGGGGCATGGACACAGTGACAGGATACAGGCATCCCAAGCCAGGCCAGGAATTACCGGCCGTCTTCAAAATGACGGAGCACAAATGGCTATCTCGGTTCATTTTCTTGGAAAGTGTGGCCGGTGTGCCCGGAATGGTAGGCGGCATGCTGCGACATCTCCGTAGTCTTCGCAAAATGAAGAGAGACAATGGATGGTACGTCAATTGCACAGCCCGGGTTCAAAAATCCTAACATATTACCCTGATGCTAACCCACATCGTTTGATACAGGATTGAAACTCTGCTCGAAGAAGCATTCAACGAACGCATGCACCTCCTAACCTTCCTGAAACTGGCCGAGCCGGGCTGGTTCATGCGACTGATGGTTATCGGTGCCCAAGGTGTCTTCTTCAACGGCTTCTTCCTGTCATACCTGATCTCCCCACGCATCTGCCACAGATTTGTGGGATACCTTGAGGAAGAGGCTGTCATTACTTATACCCGTGCTATCGAGGAACTAGAGGCAAACAAGCTCCCGGAGTGGAATGATCTCGATGCACCCGAAATTGCCATTCAATACTGGCAGATGCCAGAGGGTCAACGCAAGATGAGGGACCTGCTGTTGTATGTCCGCGCCGACGAAGCCAAGCACCGCGAGGTCAATCATACTCTCGCCAATCTCAAGCAGACATTCGATCCCAACCCCTACCAGACTGAATATGCCGATCCGAGCCAAAGCCACCCGACGAAGGGTATTGATAATATGAAGCCGGAGGGTTGGGAGCGCAAGGATATCTTTACGGTTGAACCTAGACAGGTGAAGCCTTGAGACATTTTAAAGCCAGAATTTGAAAGGCGTTTGAAAAATGGAGTTTGCAGGATTAGAAAGGTTATCATCGAATAATAATAGCATCTCATCTCTTTCCAAAGTTGTTCAAGTAGTATGTATATCTATGTACTTGATTCAATCCTCTGCCACCTCTTCGCGTTCCCTTTCCGTATTAGTACTCAGGCCTTGCCACGTTTTTCTCACTGGGTACAACCGAGCACGCCCCTGAGTGCCATCCATGACCACTAAACACCGATGCAAACATAGTAATTAGGCCAAAGACCAGCGCAATCTGTTCCCACGGCAGGATTCCAGGCATAGAAGTTAGCCAGGGTGACGCCGGCTGCTGCCGCAATGTCATAGCACCCATTTCCGCTCGCTACAAGATAGAAGGTCTTGCAAGTAGTCACCATTCCAGTCTGGATAGGCGTCGGCGTGGCAATCCCGTTACCTGCCGTGGTTGTTGTAGTGGTAGTGGTGGTAGTGGTGGTAGTGGTAGGAGTGGAACCCCCAATCAAACCTACACAGATGTAGTAATCAGGCCACAAGCCAGCACAATTCGTCCCCACGGCGGGATTCCAGGAATAAAGATCAGCCAGTGCAACGCCGTTGGCGACGGCAATATCATAACAGCTGTCTCCACTGACAACAAGATAGAATGCATTACAATTGCTTGCCATGTTTGCCTGGGTAGGGTTAGGTGTGGCAACCCCATTGCCAGTCGTGGTTGTCGTTGTACTTGTCGTAGTTGTAGTCGTTGTTTTGGGAGTAGTGCTAGTAGATGAGCTCCCAGCCACACCTACACAAATATAGTAATCAGGCCAAAGGCCAGCACAACTCGTTCCCACAGCGGGATTCCAGGAATAAAGATCAGCCAGTGCAATGCTGTTGGCGACGGCAATGTCGTAACAGCTGTCTCCGCTGACAACCAGATAGAATTTGTTGCAAGTGCTGACCATGCCTGTTTGCGTGGGAGTTGGTGTGGTGATAGCGCTTGTAGAAGTTGTGGTAGCCGCCGGCGCCGTCCATGTTGGACTCTGCGTGACATAGTTGCTCTGTACACAGTAGTAGAGATTACTGATCAAATTGCAGCCATCACCAAGCTGAGTAACACTAGGGTTCTGCTCGAGTCAGTACATGTGTAAAGCAATATAACTGCCAAAGCAGCTGGTATATGGGCTTACCCAAAGCTCAAACTCGGCGTCGGTCATGCCAAAGAGGCGATGAATGATCTCACAGGTCATGCCATACGAGGCCTGCACCCACTCGCTGCATGTTGAGATTGCACCTGGTGCAACTGTTCCTGGGGGAGTCACCAAATAGGCATCCGCCACAGAAAAAGCTAGGGCAGAGGCAAGAAGTTGAAAGGGCTTCATGATTCCGGTAATGGGCACAAGGTAGTAGCAGGCAAATTGGTTCCACAGCAAGAAGGGGCCGTGAGGGGAAAGACTATGTAGACAATCACTCACTAACAGCAGCTTCCTTCAAATTTGCCCTCCCAGCGACAGGACCATCTTGTCCGGCTTTATCCGTTAGTGCAGCACTAAGGCTGTACTAGCTGAAGGATTTAGCAGGACGAGATATTAGCATACGTGTTTGAGCAATTTCCACTACAGCCGACATACTATTTTATCCGTAGATTGTGTTACACCATACGGAGTACGATGAAGGGACATGGAGTTGGAAAATAGATCCGCCCCGTTTTGCAATCTAACCAAATACGATATAGCTTGAGCCTTGTATTACTAGCGCAAAGTACAGAGTATTCAGTGTAAGTTTTGCCACGCGTTCTTCTAAAGTTCTGATTAAAATTACCGTATTCTCAAGCCATTTGCAGGCCCGTGTTCACTAGCCCTAAAAAATGCCATGCAGTTACATAACTTGAATTATCGTTTAACTAGTTAGTTAACTAGTTATGTAACTAGTTATCTGTTATGGAATCATAATATGTACAAAAGTACCATTGTTCAGCTCATTACTACCTAAATGAAAAACTTCTATACTTCAAAAGACTAACTATGACTAGTATAGTAAAAGCCTCCATTTCAAATCTACCTGCTAAGCCCACTTCTACCCCCTGAGGCAATGCCATGTAATATCGGTTAATCTGCCCCCACCCCCACCCCGCCCCGCCAGCAAGATTGTGACCGGCCTAACAGGCTGCTGATGGAACGGAGCAGATTCTCTCTCAGGATCAACCTTTAGACGGAGAGTCACTACAAACAGGCCTACTCTTGGCTAATGTGGAAAATTGGGAAGCCATCATGGACAAACAATACAATGAATATCAATTCACAAACTTGAAGACTCTCATTTGAGATAAGATGAAACTGAATGAGAAATGAAAAGCTCTTGATTCCAAGAATGTGACATTGTGTACTCCCAAACAACTCCTAATAGGCATAGACTCAATATACACGGAGATTTCAAGCTAACACCTTAAAGTCTCTTCCCTTTGGCCTTCAAAGCTTTTGAAAGGGGGCCTCTGGAGATCTCGCATATGGACCGTTGTAAAGGGCAGGAAGCTTGTCGCTTGGTGCCTTTTGGAAGAGATAGGCTGCCATTGCGAACATGGCATATGTCTCAGGGTTATGGGCGTTCTTTGTTCTTATGAATTCATCCGCTGCATATTCCAGGATCTGATTCATCTTGTCTAGAAATTCGAGAAGCGATCAATAGATGAATAGGAGAAAGAAGAGGTGGAAGGGAGTCGAATACGTACAAGTCAAATCCGACGTGTCATCGCTGTCAGTCAGATGGTAGAGCTCATGGTAGAATGTGGAGCCAACAGGAAGTAGTTTGTCAAGAAATGTTGCTGTATCCTTTACTCCGGCTTCTGGGTATTTGGCCATGGCAGCCGCGAGCGACTCAACGCCATGTGTTTTTCCGGCTACAGCGTCAAAGGACCGTGGGCAAAGCAACATGTGCCGATTAGCCAGGCCATACGTGAATGTTGCGCCATCCTGTTCCAATGTTTTCCACGATGTCTTTGGCCGGGAGACTGCAGCGACCCGACCCTCGTCGGGACACAATTTGTCATTTGCTCCACCTTCAACATCGTAGCCTTTGAATGAGTCGAACCAGAAAACCCTCGTGTCCGGATGGCTGGTCACTTCTTCCAATAGCGTTCCGAGTTTCAAATAGTCCGTCGGCTCGTTAGTCTCGGGGTCTCTGCGGGTGACAACATCTTTTCCTTCGTGGTCCCTGACCCTTTGAGTCAAAGACTGCAACTCGGCTGCCCCAGAGTCGCAAAAAAGGCGAGGCTTTTCAGTTGGTACTTGGGGGTTGACTAGTCCACCCCCAGAAAGGAACTGGGCGACGCGTGAAATGTGGTCTATCGATTAGGTTATCTGTTAGCTAAACGATTGATCTTCATCGGCCAAGAGCACTATATGTAGGCCTTGAAGAGTGAAAAGTAAAAGTAAAAATAGATAGAATACCTCCAATTGTTCCCCAAAGTGCCTGGTTCGAGCTATCGGTTGCAGGTGCCTTCCATCCTGGTCCGGGCTGCACACCAAACCAGGCATTCCACAGCAGGAGGTTGAACCCAAACGGCTCGGCGTACGCTTTCTGGACAACTTCATGGAAGAGTCTCGCTTCTTTCAGAAATCCATCGATGGTTTCTAATTTGTCATTACAACTTCCTCCGCCGTCATGTAGCAGGAAAAGATCCGTAATGGTCTTGGTTGTGGTGTCAGAACCACTGCCTGGATCACGGACTCTGGGAAAGAGACTTTGGGTAAGATTGTGCTCCTCGATATTGAAGGGCAAATCAGTCGCCAGTGGGAAGCCGTTGGCGAGCAAAACAAGGCTGAGCGACGGTAGCAACCCAGCGAGAGACCACCGCATGATGAGCTTAAAGGAAAGGAAAACAGTATATCTTCAACAAGACAAAAGACAAAATGTCGAGGAGTGGGACGAAAGAGTCCGGATATCAGACTCCCTATGGAAGTACGCGACATCGTTAACCCGTGTGTCTTAGCATACCACAAGAGAGCTAACTGGTAGTTGTCGGCCTAGCTCGTATCCATAATTGCTACGGCTATATTCCCGCAGTCCCGCTCGAAAATGGAAAAGTTGTGCCATCTACATATCTCTGCGGTGGGTCAATAGCACCAACAATTCCTTCTCAACCAGAACAGCCCCCATCCGTGTAGATACATACGGAGTACATGTCGTAGGTACATGCATACGATACAATACAGTACAGTATAGATTAAAGTATAGAATGCAAACTGTGTGGAACGACCCGGATTTGCATATTGCAGTGGGGTAATATACGATCCAGGAAAGATCACATAGGACCAGGCTCAATTGGCCAGGGTCTGAGCCTCATGCCGAAGTGCATGTGAAAGTGCAAGCCCCGGCAAACGCGGCATGATGTTCAGTCCTCTTACTCAGATGAGGGGTCTGAATACCCAGTGTAGAGATTGCGGAATAATAGTATTGCACTAGTAATCATGCAAATTGGGCGTGGGTGGCATGAGTTTCCGAAAAGGGCGATGTATGGCGCTCGGATAAGCCATGTGGTCAGCTAAAACCTAGAAATGTCGCCAGCTTACGGGGAACTCACAAGGAGCGAGCCAACAGGCTATAATTTGCAAAGGTGGGATGCAGTGCAGGACGTTATTCAACATACAAAGTAGCCCCTGGCGCCAAGACTACCCGCAAGCTTAGCGGGGAGTCTTGGCAGCGGCTGTCCTCTCCAAAACACCTCGGGGGTTAGAAGTGGGCTCCCAGTGCATTAGCCCCGGACTGAATTGCCGCATCTAAAATGAATACCGACAAATAATCTCAATATATACTAGTATCGCCTTATCAACTCATTAAAATGTAAGCACTTAACTAGTGTGCATACACAGTACCTATGCAGAAGACCCACTTTTAATCTGAGATGACTCCCGACACCCGTTGAACAGGACAGGGGGCGGACAGGGGCGGACAGGGTACCCCCCGGGTTTCCCGCCTTATCCCCCGCGTTTTTCAAATCTCACATATATGCATGAAATTCATGCAAACTCCGAAGATATTTGCCATCACACAAAATGAGCCCCTCCACATTCTTTCCAGGTTTACTTCTATCCAGATGGGACCGTAATTTTCTACTAGCAATGGCAGCCAATGAGAGGTCATCCCCTCTTCCTCCAGAAAACTATCAGATCCACCGCACTTGTCGGTTATAGTCTAGTTAGTGGCTAAAAGCTCATTACGCCAAGACCAACTTGAGAAACTAATGGCCATTCACAGCTACAGATATCAGCCATGCATGTAGATGGAGGGTTTCATATTGGATCTAGACATGCCACTAGGTACAGTACGAGCCTGTCCAAGCCACTATACTAGCCAGTATACTTCAGCTGTATGGAACTAATTTGTACGAGTAACTCTCAAGGATTTGGTATCGCTAATTTATTCTCCGGATCGGCTGAGACTATGGGAGTCGGAGGAGAGTCGAGGAGCCCTCGTTCTGCCTATACCTAGCATTGCCCACTTCCCTTCATAAGTCTTCTAACTTCAAGGCTGGTGGTAGATTCTTCCTCCCTTTTCGTCTTTCCTTACTCCCTCGAACCGTTCTTTGTGGCGACTCATTCCTAGCTGCCTCTATTTTGCCGTTTCAATATGTTATTACCCTCGCTGGCGACTGCCATCCCACTGGCAGTCGTCTGGGCGTCTTCGGGTGCTCTGGCAGCTAGTGACAAAGCCAACAATGCAGCCAATGCTCTGCTGGCCTCATTTTCTATCAACACCGTCTCTGCGACTGTTGCTAGCATACCAACCGACCTAGCAAATGCAAAAGCGGCCATTCTTGCCGGGAACTATACCTCGCGTCGGCATTTCCAGGGCAGGGATGGCTGTCCTGTCGGCTGCGCCAGCGCCGACATCGATACCAGCGCATGGTTCGTGTATGGCAGCCTCGACCGTCTTGATAGGGCGTGCAGCAGGCCCATGCTCTTGGACTTTGCACTCGCCAACCCTATAGACGACAAAAAGTCGCATGTCTCAATTTCTGCGTGCACGGCGGACTATTCAAATGCCTCTGTCTCTGTCTCTGATTCTGCTTCGTGTGCTTCAACCGATGCGGAACAGACCGAAACAAGCTCGTCTCTGCAGACGGCATCATCGGGGACTTCATCTTCAAAGCATGTGGCCGACGTTGCCGCTGTTTTGGATCAACTTCAGGCATATGCAAAATTGTCTGATGCAAAATGTACCGAAATTATCAAATTTGGTTATTCCGGTGACGTCGCAGTGGGTGTCTATGCTGGTTCGGGACTTGCCAGCCAGGGGGTGCTGAGTTCAGTTCTTGAGAAGCTGAGCACAAAAATCAGCGATGATGGCAGTATTGCAGAGAGCTTTGCCGTCGAATTATGCAGTGACCTCTCATCCCGGTACTCATTGAGTGTTGTGGTTAACACCAATGGTGATTTGGGTGCTGTTCAGCGTAGACTCCAGGCGTCGAAGAATGGCACATGTGTTTCCACAAAGGCTGAAATATCGACTGCGTCTACCCTGCAAACTGTGAGCTATTTTGTTCCTGTTTCAGCCAACGCTACAAACACTACCATCACCAAGTCGACTCGCGCTACTGAATGCGAGACCATTCAAGTAGAGTCCGGAGATTCGTGTGCCTCACTCGCAGATGAGTGTGGAATCACAGCGGCAAAGTTCACCGAATACAATTCGGACTCGAGTTTATGCTCTAGTCTGACCCCAGGCAAACATGTCTGCTGCACCTCAGGCACTCTTCCGGACTTCACCCCCAAGCCTGGCTCTGACGGCTATTGCTACACGTATCTGGTGAAGGCGGGTGACAACTGCGCATCCATCGCAGCGGCCTACGATCTGACCAATGAAAAGATCGAGTCATTTAACTCAAAGACTTGGGGCTGGAATGGCTGCGAGAAGCTTTTTGCAGACTACAACATTTGTCTCAGCACTGGTTACCCGCCTATGCCGGCCAACGTCGCAAATGCTGTCTGCGGACCGCAGGTGAATGGCACAGTCAAGGCGCCTCCCAACACAGATTTGAGTACCTTGAACCAGTGCCCATTGAATGCATGCTGCAATATCTGGGGCCAGTGTGGAACAACAGGAGATTTCTGTAATCCTTCCAACTCATCGACGGGAGCTCCAGGAACTGCTGCCCCTGGAGAAAACGGATGTATCTCCAACTGTGGGACAGATATCATCACGTCCGATGCGCCTAGTGAGACCTACAACATTGCCTACTTTGAGGCCTTTGACTGGAAACGCCCCTGTCTGCGCATGGCGGTTAACCAAATCGATACCTCTGTCTATACGCACATTCACTACTCTTTTATCACTCTCAATGAGGACTTCTCCATCAACACTGATGAGGTCGCCGACCAGTTAGACATTTTTAGAGGAATGACTGGTATTAAGAAGATTGTGGCTGTTGGTGGCTGGGCATTTTCTACGGAGCCCGCCACATACGAGATCTTCCGCAATGCCGTGGCAACAGCAGCAAATCGCAAGACGCTTGTCACAAATATCGTCAACTTTCTCGATAACTATAACCTCGACGGCGTGGACTGGGATTGGGAGTACCCCAACGAGCCTGATATTCCTGGTATTCCAGCAGGCACTGAGGCTGAGACTACCGGTTTCTTCCTGTTGCTGAACGAGCTTAAGCAGAAGATCGGATCTGGCAAGTCAGTCTCGGTCACCGCACCTGCTTCGTTCTGGTACCTGCAATACTTCCCAATCGAGGCTCTGAGTCTAGTTGTTGACTACATTGTCTACATGACCTACGATCTGCACGGCCAGTGGGACTATATCAACAAGTACGCTACACCAGGATGTCCGTCCTATGACCAGGGACTAGGCAACTGCCTGCGGTCCCACGTTAACCTTACTGAGACGATCAACTCGCTTTCAATGATCACCAAGGCGGGTGTGCCATCCAACATGATTGTCGTAGGTGTGAGCAGTTACGGCCGCTCATTCCAAATGAGTAGCGCAGGTTGCTACACAGAACAATGCACGTACACGGGTCCGGACTCCGGGGCCTATCCAGGCCAGTGCACCAACACTGCCGGTTACATCTCCGACTACGAGATTGGCAAAATCCTCAAACAGAACCCCTCCGCCCAGGACCTCTTTGATGATGATTCGTACTCCAACATTCTCGTGTTCAATGAGACACAGTGGGTCGCGTACATGGATGAGGACAATAAGGAAACGCGCAAGGCCCTATATCCGTCCTTGTCCTTCCTCGGAACAGCAGACTGGGCCGTCGACCTGCAGTCCGAGAGTGGCACTGGAAGCGGAAGTGGAAGTGGAAGTGGAGATGACTCAGGCTCCTCTGGGGACATCTACTATGTTGACCCCGATATCTGGAACTCGGACTCGCCCGTGGTGACTGCTCCTCCTGGCGCTTCGCTTATCTGGCCTCCCATGCCCCTGACGACTCCCACTACCATCACATTCCCTCCGTGGACGACGACCATCACTTATTCTAGCATCACGACGCTCACAAGCACACTCTCCGATGGGACGACTTCGACCTATCCGTGGTTTGTGTACGAGTCTTGGTTGACTGTGCTCACAATTCCTCCCCGTAAGTTATTGCTATAATTACCCAGATCTCTGAGAGCCCTTCTCTTCTCAATAATGTGATTGGACAGTTCACTAATGAAAGCAATTATTTACAGTGACAACCACGGCCATTGATATCTGGGGCGTTTCTCTTCCTACCACCAGCTCTGGCTCGAGCTCAAGCTCCAGCTCGACGACAGGAGGCATCATTCCCATCATCTTGACCAGCTCCGTGCAGCCACCCCCTTTCACGATCATCGTTACCCCGTAAGTATCCAAATTTCTTCTATATGTAGTAATCATGAACTAACCCTACTTGTCTGTTGTTCAGGGTGCTAAGCGGCACTACTTCCATCATTGGAGCAACCAAGACAACAACAATTATCCCGGTCCCCATTACAAGTGGCACCAAAACATACTATCCTTCGACGGAAACCAGGACGCTTGGTGGAGAAACCACCATCATCGGTGGGGAAACCTTGCCCCCGGTACCCATCACCATCACACCCAATCCTCATCCAACAACCACTCCTGGGCCTGGGACCACGGATCCTGCATTGAACTCCAATAAGCCTTCTTGGTCTCCTGGTAAACCACCTGTTCCTACAGCTAGCCCGGGGTGCCCAGGATGTGGAATTAGTTGTAAGTTTTTCCTTCTACCATTACCTCTCTAGTCTTACGTTCCTAGCACTAACAGGATTCTCTTTTCAATCTTTAGGCATCTTGTTCTGTAATTCTGACTGTCCCTTCTGCCCACCTGGTGTGTTTGGTCCTACTGGTGGTGGCGGCGATGGCGGCGATGATAATGATGATGATGATGACGATGATGATGACGAAGACGAGGAGCCTGCCGATTACACAATGGTGATTGGAAATATGGTCAACGATGTCTTCGAGACAGCATTGGCGGTCGATTCGGAGCTGTCTTCCATTGATTCCTTAATTATATCTCGCGCCAGCTCTCTCTGGAACCCCTCCACCACCACTACCACCACCACTACAACTACTAAGACGACAACCACAACTACGACAAAGCCCACTCCCACGCCAACAGCAGACTGCATGTTCTGGGATACCATCTTTTTCTATACATTTGAGGTTTACAACATCGATGGTTGGGTGAGCGATGGCGGCGACTCGCTACATGACGAGGAAAAAGGCTGTGGAGCTATAGCATCTTGGGAATGGCAGGATGAAACCTCAGATAAGTATGCTTATGTTTACTTCACCCTGCCTTTCCTCATGAAGGCCGGATGCGTTGAGCGGGCGATTGTCTCCGCTGGTGGACCGAAGATCTCGTGTAAGGGTGGAGGTGTTGGTCCACCAATTAAGCGAGACTTGCACATTGGCACAGAGGAGGACGTGGTGGAATACTATCATGATGATAGCGCCGACGATGAGGCGGAGTATTGGGTGCCATTGAGTACGCGAGATGGTAGTAAGACTCCGATGACGCCGGCTTTCCCCTCGTGGACAAACGATCAAATGGAGGAGTATCAGACCTTCTATGAGGAGCTGGACTTGGACGCTGCAGAGTCGGATGTGGAATATGTGCCGATGACTTGGACAGCGACAAGCACGAGCAGTCCCATGACAACGTCCGCCTAGTTAGAAGTACTTGGCAGAGGATTGGCCTTTTTCTTAGAAGCCTGTAGATAGTTCATCTCCTACACGAAGGTCTTGTCTACATATATTAATATATTTGTACCAGTAATGTGAGGATGTATGCATCTACTACATACTAGTAAGCGTCAGGCACATCCCGAGGATAGAAATGGCTCAGAGTCTCCATCACGTGTCTAGGATCCAGTGGAATAAATATTATATGAATCTCAACATCCTTCCCTTTCCTAACCCCTCGCTAGGAAAGTTAAATATTCTCTGCAACCCCATACACAGTGAAATGACACAAGCACCAATGTCTGAGACTCCCATCGGAGGTGAAAACCAGCAGGGCACCACGAACGAGACAGAGTCCGTGGCTGATATCGTCCCACCCGGACCTGGAGCCCTGATTGTTCACCTTGACTCCTCTTATCGTCTGAGCCTACCACACGACCCAGACCTACAAGATCCGGAAGGGCCTGCTCAAGGCAACACCTTCTCAAGTCGAGATGTCAAAATGAGATACCGATGGCGGCTCTACGCGATCGTAGAATATGAGGGCTTCCAGGTATCCTCAGAGGCGACGTATGTCAAGATTCCTGGATCGCTTTCTTGGGCATCGTACAAACGGCCACTGAAGTTTGACGTCTCTGCCTCTCCTTCTTCCGAGATGACAGTGTCCATCTTCGCCGTGGACAAGAATTTTGATGAATGTATATCATTGGAAGAGTATGAAAACCAGGTCATACCTCTTGGGCTAATTAAAGTGAACCCGTTCCTGATTCAGACAAATGGACCTGGGTCTCACAATGGTAAGTATCAAATAGACGTGCAAAATGGTACAGGCACCCTGAAAATCTCGACTTCGTACTCAACGGAAGAAATACCGAGCTTGGAGACGAAGAATGTGTGGTCTGTCTGCAATGAGAGTGGTGCTGATGATCTTGGTCTTGTCTACTTTGAGAATCTTGATTTTGTATACGTTGAAAAGAACGACACCGGTCGAAGCTACGGCATGCAGACTGTGGATTCTTGCACCTGCGATCATGCTGCTAATCCTGGATCTGACGCTGGCATCAATATGTTAGCTGGCCTCAGTCTCCGCTCTGAGATTCAGCATCCTTTCATTGCAATGCCCAAATTTGCCTTCAAGTCGGCCGAGGGGGGCGTGGATCTCCTTTCGCCACTAGCTAGCGGTGGATATCTTTTTGATCAGTTGCAAAAGGAGCGGCGGTTTGGGGTCGCCAAAACTAGCTTTTATGCCGCACAGCTTGTCTGCGTTCTGGAATATCTGCATGGCAGGAATATCACCCTCGCCTCTCTGAGGCCTGAGAATATCCTTCTAGATTCCTCTGGCAACATTAGCCTATGCAAGCCTCGTATTTTTGGCTTCGAATCGCTACAGAATATTGGGGACGGTGACAGGAATTGCGCTATACCTGGGACACCAGAGTACCCAGCCCCCGAGATTCTTCTCCATGGCTGCAAGCCTTCGCCAGCAGTGGATTGGTGGAACTTGGGGGTTATTCTCTATGAGATGTTGATTGGTATTCCCCCGTTCTACAGCAAGGACGACATCGAGAGACAACATAAGATTATTGGACAAGAACTACAGCTTCCTGGGACTTTGCCGTCAATTGTCAAGGATATTCTAACCAGGCTTCTTGACAAAGACCCCGCGAAACGCCTGGGCGCAAATGGAGCCGCCGAAGTAAAGTCCCATTCATTTTTCCATAGTCTGAAATGGACTGAATGCCTTCAGCGGAAAATCATGGCCCCTTTCAAGCCTCACGACAGCACAACGGTCTTTTCGCGGAAATCTGCATGGGTTCTGTACAAAGAAACGGACTGGACTGACGCACTTTCGATGTTTAACTACCCGGCAGACTGGCCACAGCGGATGAGAGAAAGCCAGGCCGCAGAGAGGGAAGCTTTACTCAACCATGGAGAGGACGATAGGTGGGATCTGGTGTGGGATTTGACAGTTCATGAATTCTATTTCAAAAATCGCTTTACCGATGAAAAAGCTCCTGCTCAACCCGAAGAAACAATTTATCAACGCAAGCCGCCACCTCCACCAGCGACGGAACATCCCAATGAGCGTCAGAAGGAAGACGCACTCGGCGCTGCATTGGAAGCTGGATACAGCAAGCGTGTGATCTTACAAATCCTTAGATACAGTCCAAACATGAACGCAAATGTTCTACATTTCGAGCATACACCCACAAACTCAGAGCTTTTAATGCTTACCACTTACGCAACGCCTGTTACACCACTCGAATGGGCTGTTGAGCACGAAAGATTAGATCTTGTGGATCTCTTTCTGGATCACGGTGCTAACGTGGACTCGACGCATTCAATAAGAGACGGACCAGCTCTACTCAAGGCAGTCAGAAAAAGAAACAATGTGTTAGTTGAGATTCTCGTGCAGAAAACCACCGACCGCGTTTCCCGCACAAGAGCTCTTGCGCTCGCGGTTGAGCAGGAGGACACAGCAACCACTACCATTCTTCTGACACATGGGGTCTGCTGCGACTTTGAAGAGTCGGATCGACCTCTTCCAGAAGATCCCTTGGCATACCAACGCTGGGACTCCTCCGATCTGAAGCTTTTGAGAGCAGAGGACATTACGCCGCCTCTTATCCGGGCAGCCAGGCTGGGCAACGTCGCTCTGGTCAAATTGCTACTTGCACATGGCGCTGACGCCAATATTTCGTACCATGTGTTAGGCGGTCGTGGTCGCCCTCTTCCTGTCTATGGATTTGAAAGGACAGATGTCCCAATACCAGTCAATTTCTCCTGTGGAAGAGCTGTGCAAATAGCGATGGAGATGGGTCACTCTGAGATCGTTGGCTTGCTCCTCGATGCGGGTGCAGATATCAATCTCGAACACTCCGCTTGGCCAATTCCAGCCTGGCCTGTTCCGGGTCATATTTGCCAGCCAGTCCCAAGGGCTGTGTATATCGGGGTAACTGCTGGTCTACAGGCGGCAGTGGTAGCGAGAAGAGCAAGTAAAGAATAGCTGCATTCTAAATTATAGTGCTGTACATCGGTGTATACATAAATATTTGGAATGTACCTACATATGTAGGTACTTTGTATGTTGTTCCCAGAGTACTCCGTACCTTCCGAAGGTTCCAATGTTCCAAAGAGCCTTAAAATCCCGTTAAACCATGGATACGCGGGGCACTAACCCCAACCAGGCAATTTCGAAACATCCATGTTCAAAGCCTTCTATACGACATTTCCCCCATATATATATGTTGCTTCATAACTTATGATAATCACAAAAAGGGGGACCTTATTGCTTTTATTTTGGTGGAAAAGAAACAACTCATCTCTTTCAACGTGGGCAGTTGACCCGCTTCCCCTTTTAGCCCCGGTTAGTCGAAGCCCCCCTTTTAGCCCAAAAGTAGTTTCTCGTCCGTCGATCCTGCAGGTCTCATTAAACCTCCGTCCTTTCATTAATTCATTTATATAAAAGCCGTTTCTCGTCTGGGGATTGCCCAGGCCTTATTAACGTCACACCCCCCGCAGAATATCCCCTCCTCCGGTCCCTGTGAATGTTCCAGTGATATTCACGCGACGCAGATCTAAATCCGGTCCAGTGAAATAGCTCACGTTGAATGATTCAGACAAGATGGACGCGCCCCGACGTTCCATGGACTCTAAGCCGACGCGCATCCGGACCTCCTCGCCGTCGCCGTCTATTCCGGCAACGCCAGCTATCTCTTCATATTCCTCCCCGGACCGCACATTTTCCTCCGAGTCCTCCCGCTCGGCCTCCTCTGCCACCTCGGCAGATGCCAGATCGTCTGTGTCAACATCATCCCGCCGCCATGGATATACCCGTGCATTGGGTTCAGAGTTCTCAGACTCAGCCCGCCACCGCGACAGCGTCATGAGTCTCGGCAGTATAGCCCACCTACAATACTACTTTGCCCGCACAGGGTTATTGGACGGGAAGAGCGGAAGGGGCCGCGAGTGGGAAAAGAACAAAAAGAACGGGCAGAATGTGCCACGAGTCTTGATCACTCCCAATCAACGACACATGAATGATGACCTGCTCGCGAGCCCAACAGATATGGCAGACCCGGAGGGTGAATTTGACGACGAGGACGCCGAGGTGATGCTGCCGCCTACAGTCAGCACATACAGCATCAAAACACACCACATTCCCCCTCCGCCAGATCTGATGTTCTTGCGCCGGCAACTTATGCTCGCGCTAGATAAAGCGGAGACTAACATCGAGGCAATTGAAAATGGTGCGGAGCCTCCTCCCCGCCCAATTATCCGGTCGAGTCTTTCTCCCGGTGATGTGCCCGAGACACACGATTATGATCATTCCGGGCAGGCCCCGACCCCGATGAACAAGGAAGAGAGGCAGGGCATGTGCATCCTGGACGATGTCACGAATGCAATTCGCGCAGCCAAAATCTACTATACCACTCACGAGAATCCAGAGCGCTTAGCATCAATAAAGAGCGAACGGGAGATCCGCAAAGAACTTTTAGACGTGCTAGAAGTTTTGAAGCGGTGGGCTGCGCGACATTTTGCCAGCGGTCTGCGCGAGGAGGAACGTGGGCGAATTCAGGGGTGGATCGCTGCTGTGCGCACCATGCTGGCCCGGGAGAAAACACTAGAAGACCTTGAAGCCCAAGAACGGCAGAATTGGGACTGGGCTACTGGTGATTGGAGAGGCCGTGAGCGCTCACGCGAGGAGTCCTTCTTACGCAGCATGTTGCCTGGTGGTGACTCCTTACCGACGTGGACACCGGTAGAGGAGGTTCCCAGCGACTCCCTTCCCACTGCGTTTCTTGATAGGTTCCGGGATGGCCGTGCCCTTGTTCAGTTACACAACATTACGGTCAAGAAGTCGAAACGCCAATTTGAGGAAATTACGGCCTACCACTTGGACATTGCCAAGCCATACCGGCAGACTGAGAATCTTCAGTTCTGGGTAAAAGCTGCACAACTCCGGTGGGAGCTCCGCCTGGATGTTGATGTTATGGGGGTTGTACATAATAGTGGTGTTCCAGCTTGGAAGCAATTTGATACTGCACTGCTAGCTTGGTGCAAAACTGTCCGTGAAGAGCTGGTGCGTGACTGGCAAGCAGCTAACCCTGGGCGGCCGCCAAGTGCTGGGTTGATTTGAGGGCAGTGTTTGAAGTCTTGAAGTATTGCGACTTCATGTGTATGTCTCGGTTGTTTCTTTTTTTTTTTTTTTTTTTTTTTTTTTTCCCCTTTGATATCTTTATGGGCACTTGATACGATACCCCTGAATTGTCGCCGACTGTTCTGCCCCCCTCCGCATATTTTGGTTTTGGATTGTTGGTCTCTTTTGGAATTGTATTTATTATATACATCTCACTACTCATGTTTCATTCCATGGACGCGTACATACATCGTCATCAGGCTGAAGCCTTTAACATTCATCCCCTGGTGTCTTACTTTTGTGCTCAGTCCGCGTTAGGCATATGGTTGCTGATCCGAATATACAAATATGCCCAGCTGGAACTAACCCCTTTGAGCATTAATTATTTCTAATGATTAAGGCTTCCACTTCGACCCGATGGTCAAACCTCGTGCACAGAGGGTGCATAGAGGGTATCGAAGTAGTGTTTGTACAATATATAGGGCTAGGAATTAGATTGATATACATATAGGCCTAGTGTGCTGGCAGAAACAACTAATGCCATTTAAATGAAACCATCGAATTAAAGCCACAAAAAAATAAAAATAAAAATAAAAGTAAAATGATCTCGCTGATCCCCTTGAATTACATACCGAAGAGGTACATCAGGCCCCATATTTAGTGATACGGGGCTGGATGTACCCATTCTGTAGAGTAAACGGCCATACATGACCATTTTATCCCTCTTTTCATTTATTTCAACGTTTGATGCCCGATTTCTCCCTCAAGTTCATGAGACCTTGCATCTAGAACTCTCCACTGTTTCTTGTCATGTAGCAGCGTTTTTTTCCGATCCTTTGAACCGCCAAATAGCCAACCTTAAACCGTGAGAAGGGGTCTCCCTGTTACCAAGTGCCGAACAAGACGAAACATTCCTTGTATCCCTGTCTGAACCACATCCTTTGGTCCTTTTGCTCTTTCAATCCCAGGGTCTGTCTCCATGCATGCCACAGCCGACAGTTCAACTTTTGCGACCGACCTCGCGACGCATCCTCCCAACACGTCCACAACACCCGCATCCCCTCCGTCCCTCACCCCCGCGCTCTCCGTCTCTCCAAATGACTCCGGCACCTCCACCATCCGACGCCTGAAGTCCAAATCATCCCTTTGGAGCTTAGGGAGCAGCAATAACGAAGAAGAACCTTCGCCCGCCGAACCGACTAGCACCGGCCGAACATCCATCCTCCGTCGACTTTCTCCCGCCCTCGCAGCTCGGGTCAAGCTGCTGGACGGCAGTAATAAGTCCGCGGCGCAGAACCGGCAGGCTAATGCAGTCGGTCGGATCCCCGAAGAGCACCTGAAGGAGCTTGATAATCTTCACCAAGATCTATCGATCAAGGTAAAGAGGAAAGGCCAGGCCTGGAATGGTACAAATATATCGCCCGGAGAAACCCAGGTGTTCAGGCGAAGCGCGTCGAACCAGCTCGAGCTTCCCCACCAAAATATCCTCCGAGAGATTGCAGACGCGCAAAGGGAGGACCCGGAGTCATCCGAAGCAGTCGTGGACGGCCCTGAATTATCCACTCCGGCCACCATTGTTGTTCCAGTGACTACCCAGCCGGTCGAATACATCAAACCACCCACGCCCATGTCTGTCGCAGAGCCGGTTCTCGCGCAGCTGCGCGCAGACCCGATACCGACCCCCCAACCATTCAATGACGTTCAAGATGACCGGACCGACTTCGAAAAATATGTCGATGATACAGCACGAAGAGAGGAACAGTCTGCTGAAGAGCAGTCCGCTCCAACACCCCCGCCCAAAGACTCGCCTCCCGCCGATGCCGTGCACTCGCGCTCTACATCTCATCCCAACACGCAGTCGTATTTCAACCCAATGGGTTTGCAGCGCGCAGACTCAATATACTCTTTTTCCCGTGCCTCCTTCAGCAATCAGCTCTCGCAACTAACCTCCATCCCTCTCCCACAACCAGGCTCGCTCGAGGCAAGCATCGAAAACATTTCCACAGCTTTGACTGCAGTCCGTGCCTTGAACGGTGCCGCAGAACAAATTCAGATTTGGATCAAGAAGGCCTCAGATGTGCTGAACGGCTTGGATTCTGAAGATGATGTGGAATGGGCTGCGGCTGGTGGGCGGGAGGGGCTAGACGAAGTCGATAAAGCAATTACGCGGTTTGAGTCCCTAGTCAATGTGTATGTTAGGGCTATTGAGAATGTCCAACTTCGAGACGACATTTCCAATGTGGACGTGGATAACCTGAACACTATCGTGAGCCAGATGGAAAGTATTCTGGAAAACTGGACTCAGATCAAGACAAAGCTGAAAGGCGTAAAAGAGCAAGTTGAATTGGCAATGGAGTGGGAAGAACTTTGGTCGAATGTTCTGGGCGATGTGGGTGTGGAAGTAGACAACTTGAGCGCGCTGATATTTGAGATGGAAGAGAAGCGGCATCAGGCGTTGATGGATACGGGCGATACCACTGGCGGCCTTGACATCAATGAGCTGGAGACGATCGTGGAAGAGTCCCCTTCTAAGGGCCGTGGACATTCGCAGAATCGTCTGAGTATTGGCCCCCTCTTGGCCTCGGCGTCTGCCACTCCCGTTATCAAAACGCCGCAGGATGATACCAGCCACTCCAACCTCATGGCCATTTTTGCACGTATGCAGCCATTGCGCGCATCGTTGGAGTTTTTGCCTATGCGACTATCAATGTTCCAGGGACGTGCTGAAGCTATTTTCCCGAGTGCATGTGAGGAGATCGAGGACCGGCGCAATCGCTTGTTAAAGAGCTATCAGGTTCTTGAGACCGATGCCGAAGCTCTCCTGAAGGAGCTAGCAGAAGACAAATGGATTCTGGTTTTCCGCAACGCTGGGTCCCAGGCACAAAAGATGTTCCAATCGGTCGAACGCAGCATTGGAAAACTACAAGATGGGCTGGAAAGCGGCATGCAGGTGCACAACCCGTCAACGTTGGCCAAGCTCATAGAGAGCTTCGAGTCAAAAAAAATGCATTATGTCCCTGCCATTGAGCGTGTGCTTTCCATCATTCAAAAAGGTGTTGACGATCGATTGACTGTCAATGGTGAGATTCTACGCCTCTTATCCGACATGGCATCCCGAATGGATGCTCTCAAGGCTAGCATTAAGGTAATGGATACATCTCTCGAGGATGTACACATTACCAAGGGCCACCAGCTACGAGACTCAATCTCCAGCATTCTCACCATGGATAGTCCAGCCACAGGCAGTGCCATCGGGACCCCAGGAAGCTCGCCTGCGTCGTCAGTTATCATGGCCGGCAATGCGTACAAGCACGCCTCCACGCCCATGGGCGGCTCAAGCCGCCGCGAAAGCTCAGTCGGAAGTGCCACGGCTCGCTCGACTATGCCCCCAAACCGTCGTTATTCCAGCTTGCCGCAACCCACGGCGACTTTCACCGGTCGAAAGTCTGCAATCCCCCAACCGAGGAACTTTATGTCTCCTTCTCCTACTCCATCCTACAGATCCTCAAGCTACTTCACACCGACTCCCGCTACCCGTTCTCGTACACCAGCGCCGTTGTCTACAATTCCCAATCGCCCACGCTGGAACGCCAGTACAAACTTGAATGACTTGAATTCCAGTTACAAGTCGACACTGCGGAATTCATCCGCACCACTGGCACGCACACCCCGGCCATCATCAACAATCCCATTACCCGGCTCATCCCGACGAGATGCGTCTGCATCCCCGATCCCTGGCGGTCTTCGATCAACCAGTCGCGTCTCGAGCCGCTTTGGTTCTCGAAGCCCCAATCGCAACGTGTCATCCCCCACACCAGCGCGGTCCTCAATCCTCGAGCCACCGCCGTACAGCCGGCTCCATCGATCAGGAATAGCAAACACTCCTCGCAGTCGCCAGAGCTTTGCGGGTCCGCCCACAGCTTTCAGTCGAAGTTTATCAAAAGCTCCAGATGGGACCGAGAGCCCAACCAAACCGGCACGACCAGGTACAGCGCTAGGCCATTCTAGCAACAGGCGAGCGAGTCTACTTCCACTTCCAAAGCGAATGGAGAAAGAGCAGGCAGCACCGCAGCAGGTGGATACGCGTCCACGGTGGCGCTAATGGCAACCGAGTTGTATATTTCGCACCGTTCCTTAGCTACCTCCTGTATCACCTCTAGCCCTCACCGCCTTCTCCTTCTCTCTCGTTCTATCCTCCTCACCATCCGACCTCCATCTACCCTTCTACGACCTTGTTTTATCTATGTTTGTTTACTTGTGCTTTACATCTCTTCTCCCTCGGTTCGATCTCGGTTTTCGAATCGGTATTAATTCAGTGTGGAGGGGAGCCATGATCTTGACAAGTCAGGTTTTGCGTGATATCCCCATTGTTTGCATGGTATGGTTTGAGCGTTGGGGTCATCTATTTCGTGGTTATTTTCTCTTCTGAGTCTCATTGATTACCATTCCGATTCTCTTCACTGTGAATATTATTCCTTGTAGTTTTATTTAGGTTTGCCTTGGGTCTTCCAAGCTTGGAAATGACATTACTCATTTTAATCGGTAAACTTGATTGGCATATGTATATGTTTTCTAGTTCGTTGTAGTATGTTCATCATTCGTAGCGACACGATCCTGTATACTTAAAACGGTAATTCAAACACGACTTCATACCTGAAACATGGATGGACGTTTCAAACTGAAACTGAAACTTAGCATATTAATTTCCCAGCTCACGCCCGAAAATCAATGCATCCACCAACTCCTCGCTATTCGCCAACCGCGCAGCTTTGGGAACCCGCCCAATAACGCTAAATCCTAGCTTCTCCCAGATGCGGATAGAGGCCGGGTTATTAGCGAAGACCAAGTTGAAGACAGAGTAAGTGTATCCCTAAAAAGAGTTAGTCGTGTTAATGCGCTTGATAAAGTAACGGCTGCGAAGTGCAAATTCGGGGCAAGTCGTACCAATCTCGGGGCAAATTCTAGGTAGGCTTCGCCCATAGCCTGTCCGACACCCTTACCGCGTGCGGCAGTGGTGGTGAGAAAGCCCGCATTGCAGTTGTGGGAGCAGCGGCCTATTAAAGTTAGTCTTATTCTCATAGAAGTTGATATATATTCAAAAATAAACAGAAACCCACATACCAGGATAGTTAGGCTTGATATAAAAAGTTCCCAAACAAACACTCTCCCAGTTCCTCCCCTCCCTCAACCCCCCCCCCTCATCGTCCAAAATCGCTAAAACCGCAAATGTCCCGAACCAATAGTCAGCAAACTGTTCCAGCGGCATCGGCTGTTCCATGGGGTATGTCCCACCGCGGAGGATCTCCGCGGTGAACTCGTCGTGCAGGAATTTGATAAGATCTTTTGGAACAGTTTGGGGCCCTTCCGTGATGGGATAGAGTGTCATCGGCGCAGAGGAGAATTTGGGGAGGATAGTCTTCCTCGCCGTTAGGGTCGGCGCTGCATCTTTGTGTGCTTTTGGTGGGGGATTGCGGGTTGAGGGGTCTTCCAGGATGGAGGGCATTTTGAGTAAATGAGGGGGGTTTGTTGGAATGCGTGGGTTGATAGGGGTTTAGGTATAAGGGTGGGATGTGATAGAATTCAATTGGACGGTTTCACGGTGGTCTGAGGGGATTTTACGACTGATATACTCTCTTCTCCATCTCCATATCGGCACTGGCACCCGATTTTGCATGAGTCAGCTTGTCATTGGTAGGGCGTTCTCCACTGATGTTGGAGTAGTTTACTTTTCGTTGATAGTTCCTCTGCTATGTGCTGGAACCTGATAGATGAATCTAGGGCTAAAATGGCTTTTTGTGCAGGGGAGTCACTGTGTCGTCAATGTCGCCGGACGTGCAAAACATGTCCAGGTATCTCTCGGAGTTGTTCCGTAACCTACAACCACAAGGTTCCTAGACGTAGTTATACAAAGACTATGCTCTATAATATATTTGACCAAGTGTGAAGCTAAATCGTCAAAACTATCAAATCAAGTGAAAGCCTCATCTCTTCTATTCCTACACTTAGTATGTACATATGGGATAGGAGATGCCTGCATCTCCCCGCATAACTCTACCCGGCACGTCTGACTGCCCTGAGATCAAACAATCTGTATTCGAGGATCAGTTTAGACTGATGGGGCAGCCGAGACCTCATTGTTTGAAGTTCATGTCACCAACTCTCGGGGTGATATTATTGTCAACCTCGGTCCAAATCAATCAATAGAGAATTCATTGACCCTCTCCTTCCCCTTCTCCCTCCTTCTTCAGGGCCTGCATAAGCTCGAGTAACTGTCCAAGTTGCTGATCTGCAATGAGAACCAACGTTTAGCTATTCGATCGACCGAGGCAGAGTCCAAACAATAGACGATAACATACCACTCATCTTATCCAATTTGGCCTTCTCTAGCTTATCTCCTGTCCATTGATTGCCCTCCAATTTCTGTGCATATAGCTGCCATTCAGTCAAGAATCCGATCTATCGTTACCAATGTTAGCGACTGCATCAACAAGTCCTTTCCTTTCCGGCATGCCTGCTCTTCTCTTCAAATTGGCATAATCACACCAGATCAGACAAGAACAAACGTACAATATGCAATGGGTTCTCCACACCGCGATGCGCACGGAACTCATTCTTCACATAAGAATCGCCCAAGACACGCATCTCGGGATCTAGTTTGCGATGGACGCGTAGAATGCGCCGGTAAAGCTGTAGCGGCGGGAGGAGAGCGAGAGCCTCGCTGAGGCTGGACTTCGAGCCGATTGAGGCCGGCGTGGCCATGAGTAAACGCTGAGCAATACGCATCTTGAATATGTGGGAGGTGAATTCAGGGAAGATTGGAGGAATATGACATAATTTCTGGGGATTTCGGAGGCAAAGGCGGCGAGAAGAACGCGCGAATCAACGGATCGGGTTGTCTCGGGATCTTTGAAGATTTGGCCATTTGATTTCCATCGCTCTCATTTGTCGATATTTTCTATTATATTCGTTATATATTCCACTTAAGTGCATTGGTGCTTTTTTGGTTAAATTTTGTGATCGCCTCAGGCCAAGATTGCGCGTTCTGCAACATATAATTTCGAGATAACCCCACTATCTCCGAAAAAAGACTTGATAAACCTCAAATTTCAGAGAAGCAACTTGGCTTTAGTATTAGACATACGCGCCATGCTTCCCACGCCAGATACTTCACATGTGTCCTTTGACACCATCTACGAGCCATCGGAGGACTCATACCTCTTCCTAGACACATTGTCATCAGCATCCGAATCAAAATGGCTCTCTGAACGATTTCCAAAGAACCAAGAGGCATCACCACTAGTTGTCGAAGTAGGCACAGGCTCTGGCGTTGTGCTAGCCTTCACAGCTGCACAGTCTCAACAGATCTTCGGTCGGCGCGATATTCTCACACTAGGCACTGATGTGAATCGCAATGCTTGCATCGCAACGCGGAAGACCGCTATGACAGCCATTCAGACAGAGCAACAGTCGTCTCCTCAATCAGTTTATATCTCTTCATTGACAGCTGATCTTTGTGCACCTCTTCGCCCGGGCAGTATCGATGTCCTCCTTTTCAATCCACCTTATGTTCCGACTGAGGATCTGCCACGTCTGCCTTCTGCGGCGGAAAATGACCCTGCTGTTTCGGAGGCCATGTCTCGCTCTGCCAAGTTCGATAATGACTCGTACTTTTTGTCGTTGACGTATGCGGGCGGAGCGGATGGTATGGAAACTACGGACAGGCTGCTTGATGCTATTCCTGATGTGCTGTCTGCGCGCGGTGTGGCTTATATTTTGCTTTGCAAGCAGAATCGGCCTGATAAGGTTATGGAGCGAATCCGTGGCTGGGGCGGTTGGCAGGTTGAGACGGCGGGATCGAGTGGGATGCAGGCTGGGTGGGAGAAATTGGTCATTGTCAGGATATGGAGAGAGGATAGCTCATGATGAATAGATAAATTGAACAACGATGATACCATTTGTGAATCGATAAAAAGCTAGAAAAACATACACATCCATCAACTAACTGCTTCGTAGTTCATAATTGTGAAAATAATCATGCCCACTCCCACTCAACGTAGCGCTCACAGCCACTGGCGCCGGATGCCTCGAGGATATCAAACACCTCCTGAGGGGCGTTTTTTCCAGGTCGCAGTGGCCAGTGGGCCACGATTGTGTTGTTGCCCCTCATCTTCAACCCATGTTTGTCGGTGAGTGTATCAAACCCTGCCGACTTTTTGTAAAGATCGAACAACTTACTGACATTGCGGAAAAAAGAGCTTGATCTCCTGTGCCTCATGTTGTCTGGATCATTGTAATCCGTCGATTCGGCTTCAGGGAGGTATTTCGCAGCACGAGCCATATCCTTGCTAAGCGAGCTATTATTCCACATGTCCTCAACGTCCCGCATAAAGAGGACAAGAATCATGGCCTTTGGGTTTTGAATCTTTGGCTTCAACATCGGTCTAAGTAAGGTGAGGAGAACGTTAATCCCGAGCACGTCTCTTTCTGCCGCTACGTATGCCTATATCAAGTTAGCATCATTTTAAATTGAATTCATAATTAGAGAGGTAGGGGAAGTCGAGGTGATTGGATTACATCAATTCTGTCAAACCCTCCATGTCCAGCTGGCTGGTCCAAATATTGCTGTAGGCCTAGTGAATCGATAGAAAGAAGTCGGATAAGAATATCTCGCTTTGCAATTTGGCGACAGAACCGCAAGAAAGTTTCTCGAAGATAGATGAATAGCATGCCGTATACATCATTCTTTGCAGGATAAGTCGCGGTGTACGGTCCAGTGAATACCTCCAGGAGGTTCCAGCTGGTGCGCGGATCTGCAGTGTCTGGCATAGGCCAAGAACGACTAGCATTGAAAAATGTCCTAATTGTATTAGTTAGTGGACCGAAGAGTACAAAGAGGATATGGAGAAACTGACGGGTTAGGGGTGTCAAATTCTTTGCGTGAGCACCCAAAAGGCAACAGTATGCCATCACGGCGGAACTTCATCGTGGAGATACGCCAATGCCGAGGCTGCGCGTACAGAACCCTATGGAGTGAATCCTCTCTCTTGGTCGCCAATGTCACGTCCTGTCGATTGCTAGTAGCCATGGCAGCAGAAAAACGACCAGGAACCTGAAACGATTCCCGAAGACGTTCCCACTCCTCTTTCAAAAGTTCTACTTGTAAGCATGCTTTGTTCTTCCTCCAGAACCCTTTGAAAAACTGAATCGAACGTTTCTGTGCAGCCTCAGAGCAGACTTCTTCAACCAACGGCAGCAGCTTTTTCCGAAGTGCTGCAAGAGCGGACGCGGGTATCAAAGCTGAATACCATAAGTGAATCATAATAGGTACGGCGTCCTCTGGTGAAAAATGAAAAGCTGTCAAAAGAAGCATGATATTCTGCGAGATAATCCCAGCGTGGATGCCGTTCATCACGATCTCACATTGTCCTGAATACGTATCCGGCAGACGAGCGACTGTCTCGATGATGTTTCGAATATCGTGCGATGCTATTATGAATTTTGTCAATTAAGAAAACCAGTTCTTGAAGTGGAGACAGTCTTACATGTGAGAAGAAGACGCATCTTGGGAGACGCATTCTGGCCTTCATTTTCATCCAGTTTCAGCAAATCCAATGCTGGCATGCTTCCCCACCACGCTATTTTGTCATCATTCACATAGGGTTCAGGTGGGTCCTGCTTTTTGTAGAAGGTTGGCTCTCGCTCTTCTGTATGCCAGCCTGGCTTCCATGAAGCGTGCGCCAAAATGTTGTTGCAATCCTCTTTGTGCGTGGGCCAATGCTCTTTTTGGCATTCTCTGCCGCAGTACTGTTTTGATTTTGGTTAAAACGCGATGCAGGGGTTTGAAGGGAGCAAAGTATGGAAGACTGACCACAACTAAGTAGCAGCGGCCGCAAGCATTGTTGGCCTTAGAGGTCTTGTTGGGACATGGCGAGTTGGTGTTATTCGCACAGAATGCGGGATTGAGAAACTTATCGAATCTCGACATGATGGAAGTATTTCAGCAAAGTTGATGAAACTTGAAACCCACAACTGATTGTGGTCGAAAGTCTGAAGAGCAAAGCGAAAGAGCCAAACGAAAGAACGGAAGAGATATCAGCAAGCAACCTGGAGTGTATCCGATACACCACGAGTGAATGACCGCCCTCCATAATGCTGTGCCAATACCTTGTGACCGCTATGAAAATCATCACAGCAAATATTGCCCTTGAAACTATGAAATAGCTGAGAGGGTCATGATCTCCCTGACTTGCTTCTGTGCCATACAAGCACAACCGTTGGCCGAGGTCACAGACTACCGCGACTAGGGACAATTGACAGTTGACAGTGGCATCTACCAAGTCATGTCATAGACAACGTGCTCCCCTCCCTCATGCTCATACCAAGATTAATCATCAGCTTGAACTTGGTTTTGGGATTTGTTCATCTGATTGCAGGGTGCTCTTTCCTTCGCGCCCTGCCCACGTCCGGTATCGGCTTCATTGCTCTGCGCACATTGATTGTCTTGAGAGCTCCAGGGCCCGAGAGAGAACCCCAAAGCCATGCCGTATGAGGGATAGCTATGCTGTTTTCGAAAGCTGTGGTGTTCTTCAGTCTGCTCGCGTATCTGGGTTTATCTAACGATTATCAACAACTGTACTTACGCCAAGTTGCAGACGCCAAAGACGATTGTGCCTCTGTAAATTCTGTTCTGGGCAAACGAGCAACTTATACTGCATGTTTCCTCTATGTGATGTATCGACGAAGCCATCTGCCTTGTGATGATCGGTATCACGGTCATACTACCTGCTGAGGCAGAATATCTTCCTAATGGACTATATCTTCCAGTAGTTGTTCAGCATACTTATAGTGCCTCTGGTGACTAGCTCTGATTGCATGCGCATCTCATCAATGACACCATGTCAACCCTGCAATTGACTAGGTGATTGGTTATATCTTTGCCTATGCCGCGTGCCTGGATAACTCTTGACAACCGTGTTTGGCCTTCAGAGCTCTGGTTCTGGCTAACCACGTAGTCCTTTGAAGACAAGTTTCAATGGCTCCCTGGCAGGCTTAATAAATATGAGGTTTTACATGTTTCTTTATGGCTACGTCTTGAGTATATCTGTTGAGATAGTGCATTTCCTATCTCTCAGCACCCGGCTCCGGGGTGATACAGAGCTTTGGTATATCTTATCCTCATGGCATCTTAGGGCTGCGTATCATCTGAGATGCGAATAGTCACCTCTAGTAGTCTGGTTGCTTTGAGAAGGAGATATCTCATTAACCCATCATTTGACCTCTCCTATTTCTCCGCCAAACTCTTTCTTTAAAATTGTCCTTTCTAAATACCCATCCCACCATGGTTACTAGGATGAAATCGCCTCTTCCACTGGCCAACACCTTGAAGTCTCACAGATTTCTGGTTATTGATTTCTCCATACTCCGGCTCCACATTATTCTGGGCAAATTTAGGTTCTACCAATCTTCAGGAATGTCTGCCACAGGGTTGGACCCCATCGACATACTATTCATCCGGAATTGCTTGTCCTAGTGGTTGGGCAATGGCCGCAAATTATAAAAGTGCTGGGGAGACTATAGGGACATGTTACCCTAATTACCAGTAGGAAATTGGCGCTACTATAGACCAAGTAGCTGGGCATTCACTATACGGGATTGTTATATAGACAAATTCTGGCACACTCTCGAGGTTTGCGATTTCAGTGCTACGGTTAACATGAACTACACCTAAAAGCACACAAACGTCATGAGTACTACAAAAACTCCTTCCACCTCTATGACATCGGGGATTGATGGCTGGAACACACATGGTGAGGAGCTCCGTTAGAAGTCCACTAGCCTTACTCCGGCCCCATTTCTTACTCTCCAATTCACACGGCTCACGAATCAGACCCCACTCCTGTCTTTGAAAGTAATGGCATTCTAGGGGCACATGTACGATCGAGATGACCAGTTGAGCTGGAAGGGCCAAGGGCGAGATTAGTGGATTGTTGATGCATTGCATGATCCCATTGTACCATTGTGCCACTGTAAGGTGTTTAGGTATTTGGAGTATTAGTTTGAAGTATACTTGACGATTTTCCAGTATCATCAAGCCTAGCATATGATTTATTTAGTAGGCTATCACACGCGATCAGGTCTGTCATTGTGCTATTGCATATATCGACCTTCTTGACTATGGCTTTTGCAGTAAACAAATAATAGTTTTATTCTACGAGCTTCCTAAAAGAGAAGCATATCATTAGATTGCCCTTAAATATGGGAAGTTCTCTAAATCCTACTCTGTATGATACAAATAATAAGCCGTAGGTGTGGGGCATTGAACCATTTTCCTAATCAGTACATTCACTTAGGGCTATGAATATCATGTCCTATTAGTTCTATATTAGTTCCATGATTGTTATTCATTTGACATTGCATATATAACATCTACAATATAATTGGTTCCGTGTCCGATCAAGTCTCCTTCGAGAAACGATTTGCAACTTTGACAGTGAAATACATGGAGTAGTCCCCACAAGTAAAATGAGTCCCCCACGTGGGTACGGAGTACTCCCGAGAAGCTGTCATGTTGTTAGATCACCTGGTCCCATAACACCATGCTTTCTCTATCCCTTGACATCCATCGCATCAATTATCTCGTCTCCATTTGCAATAGGCCACTTCCCCCGTCAGATATGAAAATCTCCCAAGTATGGGCAGATCGAGGACAGATCCAGGACAGAACAGATCGACGATCGCAATCCGCCATTTCTGGCCCCCACATCCGTAAAAGAGAATGGGACTAAACCGGGGACATCGAACGACTACTCCGTAAAGACACTCAATAATATGCTATCCACTCCAATGTACCGGGTTGTCTTACTCATTGAGATCGGCAGTGGCGGGCCATGAAAGTGTTACATTTATACAAAGTACTAGCGGAGATCGTGGGAAGATGATTGTGAATTATTGGAAACATTTACTAAATTTGTAGCCAAGGAATGAAGGCTTGGACATAGATTATCATTGGGATATCATGTCGCCTGAAGCGCTAATTGACAATGTTGTCACGCGGTTGCAAAAAAGAAAAATGCCATCAGAATTAATCAATAGATCAACGCTTGGAAAGCTAACTAGTTGTGCGACTCCCATATGTATGGTTTACTTATACGGAGTATACAGAGAGACTATGGGAGAAGATCAGCAGTACTTCACCAGGTTTGCAATATTCCAAATCCCCTCCCCAGTTTCGGAAATTAAAACCGAAATGTCCTAATCTAGATATTTATACGGGGCGATTCGCAGACGAGAACCCCTGAATAGAAGGTCCTTATCAGCCACCAACCACTATAAATCTTGGCAGAATTGGACTTGGGAGGGTTTAGCCAGAAACAGTCGACCGGGACTACCCTGCTGGTCTAAAGTGTTGGATCAACAGGCTTTGGTTCCTCTAGCTGGAAAAGGACTACGGTGACAGCCTTATTGATCCAAATTGTTCGGGACTATGTCCCGGTATTATTTCGAGGTATTCTTTTAAATACCAAAACCATCCTTAGAGACATCTTGGCAATCAGTCTGTCCCAAAGGCCCGCGAGGCGCGGGAAGACTGCCTCGTGACATGATATTTTTGTGGCATTGGCTGAAGGCCAATGATTGAGTATTGAGCACACTCACGCCTCGTAATATTATTATGGTTAGAGACATCCCCATTTCTGCTTACTTGCAGCATCTCCTAGTTCTACTGGGATGGGCATTTGGCGTTTTTGATTGTCTTACATACTTGCCCTTGCGCGGATTAGTCACTGGAGCAAAGATCAGCGATCACGACAGCAGGTGCTTAGTGTGTCCCAATTCACCTGCCTATTGAAGCAAGTTGTAGATTCTTAGCGGAATCTGACCTTTAATTTGACCTGCGACATTTTGATACTGGGGCCACCAAATGTTGTGGCGGAGAGTAATATATTATGCAGACTTTCTGAGAGCAAACCCTGGATTCCGGTGTTTTAACGCGAGAACTCCGAGACAAATAGTATCTCGAGGCTTTCTTAGTATGTCGCAGTGTGGGTTATTGCTAATCTCGGATGTGCTACGTGAGATTCTGCAATCACGGTGTTTTTGCCCGAGTCTATGAAGACTACAGCTGGAAAAGGGAAGAAGCTACTCCGTAGAAAACCACAAAAAATTACAAGACGGGTGAAGTATAGCCCTGACTTATGCACGGGTACTAATGTGAGACTTAAACTCGCCTACGATTTATGTTATACGTATTCGCAAATTTGTAGCTTTTCGATGTCTCTTTCGATATTGCGGTGGATCATGTCGAGTTTCCTTCCTAGATACCAAAGCCTCCCCCTAGCAATACGCTATTGTTGTCTTCGCACTCACATAGCCCAGAAGTGTGCATTGGAGGCGAAAAGAAAGATGATAGATCTAATCACAGGTAGATCGTGTGTATCCTTCTCTCTGGGGGTGATTCTGCAGTACTTTTGATAGCTAATGCTCGGCTACTTTTTCTGCCAAAGCCTTGAACTCTGAGCACATGATACTGAGGAGGGCAAATTCAGAGTGGGGGAGAAATTCCCCAGTAAAATTGCTTAATTTTTTCAATATATCACCACCCACCATCCAAATCGGGATCCCTGGCCTGGGTAGTAAAAAAGAGGAACAACAGATTGTATCCCATATGATGCAAAATCAAACCGAATTTCGAAGACAGAAACAAACGCCGGGTGATTCTCTCAAAAACAGAAAATCTAGAAACCACGTCCGCGACCACGACCGCGGGGAGGGCCTCCACGGCCTCCACGGCCTCGTGGTCCACCACGACCACCACCACGACCACGGTCTGTCTCCTTGCGTGCCTTGTTCTTTGGCTTGGGTGCGTCATCAACAAGGAGGGTATCGAGAGGAAGGCTGTCGGGGAGAATGTAATAGCGAATCGTGGAACCGCGGATGTTGATAGTGTCGAGAGAAACAGGGTCACGGCCCTTGGGGGTCATCTTGACAGCCCGGAGAGAAGTGTTCATCTGAGGAGAGACAGAAACAATAGTGCCGTGAAGGATTGTGCCTAGATGAGGGACTCGGGTTAGAGAACACAGTTCTTTCGGCCTACTTCGAGAGTTGGCATATTCGGGGAGGGACTTTGGGTTGGGTTTGCGGGGACTACGTCGGAATTCTCACCATTCTTCAGCTCAACTGTCACCGTCTCATTGGCGCATTTCATCAAAAAGCTATGAGAATCATTAGATGTTAGCAGGTATGGTTTTGATGGCGCTTGGTGCGCCAAGCGGAGCTGGTGATTACCGCGCACAAGAGAGGTAATTATCACATACCGGACGAGTTTCATTATGAATCAGTAAGCTGCAAGCTCAGGGTGGTCTTAATTTAAGAAGTTGTCAAGACACCAACAGACAGCTGGGATTGTGGGGACAAAAAGATGCGTTGGTAATGGTGATGCTGTTGGACCACAGAGTTGAGAGAAGATCTGATCGAGTGAGCTCGTCACGTGACTCATATTTAACATAATCTTGAAGTTGCGAATTTTCATGTTGGGCATATTTATAGAATCAATGATGCTGCAGTAGACTCGCCAGAATCATTTCATTTTTGACATACTAGTTCTCCATCTGTGATATGCTCAACCAAGTCCAATCTTCCAGTCCAATACAAGTATGAATTGTCACCTAGGCAAGCTTCTAGGCTATCTAAGCAAAACTAGACCTCTGATCATTATCAGAAAACAAAGCAATGTGACTCGAAATAGGGAGCTTCAGCATGTCTCGCACTTGGAAAAGTTCTATGAGCTATAACGGCTTTCATGCACTTGTTCATATGCAGGCGGGCGGTGTGTCACCGTTGCATCGTACCTAGGTATCCTATAGGATCAACGTGGGATCAACGGGAACGCCATGTTCGTATTTCTCCTGGTGTGTCTTGGGTTGTTGACCTGCATTTGGGCAGAGTGATATGTAAAGCGGAGCATATCTGCAGTCCGAACAGTCCCCATCACTTCATCACTTAGTCATTTTGATTTAAAGAAATCCATGGATCCCAGGAACTCACAAACTGAATGGGTGGGCTAAGACTATATGATTGATTTCAAATCTGTTCTATAAGCTTGATTGGCAAGATGACTAAAAGCGTTCAGACAGATTTGCGAATTATGCCAGCAGAATGAGATAGGAATGGCTGATTGTTCTATCCAATAGCACAGGCTCAATGCAAAACCTTTACCTACTTAGTACATGGTACAAGAAAGCAAGGCGTACTGAATAGTACACCCTTGTAAAAGCAGATGAGACCAACATCCTGAATCCCGAAAGATGCAGCAAAAGAAACCAAAGCAACGAAAACTACTGCATTGAAGGGGTCTGATAAAGCTGTTCCTGGCTAATTCTATCATTATAGTGTTAGTCCCAAGCCTAAGAAACTAAAGATAGGTGGTTCTTAAAAAAAATTTCAGATCATGGCCTTAGTTCCCAGGTACTTATCCAAACACAAAATGAGCAACGGTGTATTATATACATTATATAGATGCTAGTTAATATAACCAGATAACGGTGATATACGCGGATAGGTGCATTTATAGTGATCTCCAATGCAGGAAGTGTACTTTGGATGTACAAAGCAAAATGATATACAAAGTGCGGATCCCCCTGTGGAGTGAGCCGATCACCCAGTGGAATTTTGGCAAGCGCCCCAGTCTGAAGTAGTAATTATGTACCTCCATAGATACTCTATAAGTACGGAGTGTAGCATTAGGAATTGACAAATATTGAAGGCGCCAATTGTCTCCGGTAGAACACCACATCGTGTTCTCTGGGCAAATTACAATTTGTCTTGGCTGTGTTTTTCTGTGACAAGATCCACCATTCCTTACAGCTTTACCATTTTGATACACGACTGCCTACAATGGTCCAGCATTCCGGATATTGGTCCAAGACCTGTAATAAACCCAGCACAATGAATGTATTTTGAAGCTAAAATGAACCGGAAGCCGGGTCCTACTATGATCCCCTACTAGAACGGGATTTATCTGGGGCTGAAATCTTAGCATTTGCCTAGGGTGTTTAATGCTATCATTTATCTAGATGGGGACTTTGGTACTTTTTTGACTTCTTTTATTTTTTTATTCACCTTCATTTTAAAATCATAGTCATTTCCCTATAAAATCTTTTTCATGTTTTCCCAACGGCGCGTTTGTGGGGGCCAAGACTGATAGGGGGACAAGCATCGGGCCGGGGATGGCGGACTCTTGACTTCAAGCGAGTCAAGTAGTCTTTTATTTGAATTTTTCCCTTTCTTTTTTGCAGGAATTTCCGAGTATCCAGAGTATCCAGCCACACGCTAGACTATCGAGAGCGTCATGGCCCCCAATTCGCCCCCATTCACTATAATGGGGCTAGAATTCCATGCCCAGGCTAAGATTGTCTCCCCTGTTTAGGAGGATCATTACTGTACAGACGATGGCCCCAGTCGCAATCAGTCCCGAGACTTTTTTTCCCGCGTATCCTCTGTTTTACCCGTCATTTGTGGGGGTCAAAAGTAGGACTCTCGCTCGTGATAGTTCCCATCGGCCCACCTCATTTGAAGATCCTAGGATTTCTTTTCTTTTTTTTTTCTTTTTATTTTCTCACTGGGCTTTTTATGGATCAGACACCCAATAGCTTCCTATTATAGATGCAATTGGAATGGTGAACAAGCGGGTAGTGGGCACAAGTATATATTAGTAGACCCGGCACTTATCGAATGTACATATGGCGTATAAGAAATCTAGAAGTTGTTGGTTTCTGAACTTGTGGGCCAGCAAGGCTACCCAACCGGGACCTTTCAGATCATAAAACGATTGCGGGGGTCACTAGTAAACGCCCATTGTTGGATATGAGCTTTTAAATACTTCATCGCGCCCGTTCCGTGCCTCCCAATTGAAACCCCAGAAAAAGCTTCTGATTTACATTGATATACTCACATAATCGAGACACCGACCTGTATGTTGACTTCCTATCTACGAGTGCCTTCCACATTATACATTCAATCTTGGCCCCTTCCCTCTACCTCAGTACTTGCAATCTCACAGGTCTGGTACCTATATAGTTCCTAATGTTTTCCAGAGGGTCTGGCTCACAGGAACCATTTTTTACCCGCAGGAATCAATCAAATCTCCCAGTCTCAGACACGCAACCGAACCTTGGGCTTTTGTCTCCACTAATCGACTCAGTGGAAACTCCTGACTTCCCACAAGGTGTTCTTCCTGGTCCAGAATCTCACTGGCCCATTCAGAGTTCTATCTCGGCTGTGCAAAGTGACTCAACAACATTTGGACTACCACTTCCCCCACATCATTCAACAACGCTGAATACTAGCACGAGCCAGCCTCACACTCTGCTAGGCTCGAATTATCCAACGGGGCCAACAGCCCAGCCTATCGAGGACTCAACTCCTATTAAGGAAGAAATTGAGTCTGAACATCCACAGTATGTCAAGTTAAATCGTTATGAGAAACGAACTACCTAAGTAGGTTCTGTGCTGACTAGGGCATCCCCTCCACAGCGGCCTTGGCATCTCATCTTATCCCATGTCAGTAACACCAGACACTTATTTTGCTGGCTCAATGCAACAAAATCCTCATCGTACGAAGTCTATCCAGATGTAATTGAAAAGAAGTTCACTAACGCTTTCAGAATATGCGTGGACAAACCGGCCCTACCAGCCTCTGCAACCGCCAGCAGGACAAATGAGCCCACCATTTCCATCTTCACATCCGTCATATCCTTCATCGAGCTATCCAATGGGTTATCCTAATCAGCCAAACGGGCCGATGCATGGATATCAACAGCAGGGACATCAATTACCGGCGTCTTATCTCGCAGCACCTGGCAACCCTTCCCGTCACACTCAGCCTCGAAAGTAAGCTGATTAATTACCTGACCTCGGAAAAGACTGACAGTTCTGATTCAGTCCACCACTCGCCCGTCCCTTCCACCCTCAATCTGCTTCGGGCACTCCTTCTCAACCCGAGCAGCCTCTCATGACGTCGTATGTCGAATGAACTACGAAATGTAAAATGTTCGATGATCTGGTTGCTGACATCCAGGGGTAGTCCTCCTCCTTATATGATAAATCAACCTGCCTACTATTTCCCTGACGCATCAGCCATTCCGTAAGTTGAGTCGATGAACCTGAAGAATGTAGTATACTGACCGGAAATCAAAATACTAGATCGCACCCTGCCTCCATAAGCTCTCAACCACCACCGATGCCCGCCCCCGAGCCAATGTACTCTTCGCCAGAATCAGCTGCCGCCACAGACTCTGATCATCCAGTCCGAGTACTCAGCTTGCGCCCGCGACCACAATGCTGGGACCATGGCTGTAATGGCCGTGAGTTCTCAACATTTAGCAATCTCCTCCGCCACCAGCGAGAAAAGTCAGGAGTGGTAGCTAAGGCTGAATGCCCAATATGCGGTGCGGTATTTACACGCACAACAGCACGTAACATCCATGTTGCGCAGGGCAAGTGTAAAAGCTCAGGCGGGGAATCATCCACGGAGTAGATGGTATACGCACAATTTTGATTTCGGCGTTAAAGTAAAGGTGGTGTGGGCTCTAGCGGGACTGGATTCCTTATTATGTATGGTTATTTTGGGGGAGCCAAAAATTCTCTGAGAGAAAAGGCTTGATGTCTAATAGAACTTCTCATACATACAATTTCTTGGCACCGGATAAATAGCGGCCACGTGATGATTCGGCCCGTGCCATTTGTGAGTCAGTTAAACTGCACTACATCACATATCATTCAATAATTCTACTACAAGAATGCCTTATATTTCTCGAGTTTTTTTAGAATTGCTTTATCTATCTCCATACCTGTGTTTATTACCAATAACTCTGTTACCAGGCTTTGAATTGTAACAGTGCTAATACCATGGCATCCATCTTCACTTATGACCCTGACCCACCTCGGGTGTCCTCCCCATGGTCAACTTCAGGATCATCAACTCCCCAAATCAATGCACATGGTAGTCGGGGTTTAGCTATCCGCACGCGTTCCAGTGCCACTCCACTACGCGTCGACCCTGACTTATTATCTAACTATGGAATTTCCAAACTTGAACCCGAGCCCCAAGAGGGTCCCACTGAGTACAAAGTGCACCTTCTGCTTCGACCCAGGCGCCCCTATGTCTCAATGTCGACTGGGCATGTAATAGCTGGCTCATATCACCACAATTATCGGATCATCCCAAACACGTCTATCTCTGCCTCCCCAGGTTTGGAACCAACCCCAAGACCCATGCAAGCCAAATCTAGCCAGAGCCGCCATCAAAGACTACAGGGGTTGACTACCCAGCTGCTATGGCGACTGCAACAATCCTCACCTTTTCACTCATCCACTACGTCTAATCTTGTGGTGCCTGTTCTTCCCGAGGCAGCCCTGGAATTGGGTGTGCCCTCTAAACCTGCTCGCTTGCTTCCCGGTCTTGAAGAGAGTCAAGGTGCCTTGTATGAAATCGGCGTCGGCGATGATGGCACTTTTGTAGGCCTCACGCAAGATGAGTTGGATGAGAGCATGACCAATCTCCAGGCTATGGCTGCTAGCCTTGGGTGTAAAGTTGAGATTCTTCGTCGGGTTGTGGTTGGAAGCTGTGAATGGGCTGAAGACTCGCAATCTGCAACTGTGGACCAAACTAAAAACAATACCGAAAGTCTCTGGGTTGCCGAGGCTCTGGTTAGTCCCGACCTGGACTTCTACAATATCTCTCCGGTAAAATCCAAGAACGACACAGAGACTGCTGCACACCCCGAATTTGGCAACGCATCGGTCATGGACGAGGATTACTCCCACACAGAGCAGATTCGCATTTCTCTCGCAGGTCCAAGCACCGCAGGAAAGTCTTCTTTGTTGGGTACATTGACTTCGTCTGTGCTTGATAATGGAAGAGGCAAAAGCAGGTTGAGTCTGCTCAAGCATCGGCACGAAATCTCATCGGGGATTACCAGTTCAGTTGCGCAGGAATTGATTGGGTACACGGATGAGGTACCACCCACTGTGATCAACTACGCTTCCGGTAATGTTGCCGGCTGGGATGATATTCATGCCGCTTCAAAGGGAGGTCGCTTGGCCTTCGTTTCCGATCTACCCGGCTCTGTTCGATATTTAAAATCTACCCTACGAGGAATTGTCAGCTGGGCCCCACATTATGTGATGCTTTGCATTCCAGCAAATTGCGATGCTGAGACACCCGGCGGCGAACAGGGAGGAACTGAACAGTCAGATATTGATACGTGTTTGTCGTATCTCGAACTTTGCTTAAAGTTAGAGGTTCCTGTGTTGATTGTCATTACCAAATTGGACGTTGCTTCCCGCAGCGGACTACGAGACAATCTCGGAAGAGTTCTATCTGCGCTTAAAACAGTTGGACGCCTACCTGCAATGTTACCTGCGTCGCCTGCAGGTGACAAACCCCTTGACCTTCAGCAAGTCAGCACGCTGGACAGTACCCAAGTACAGAAAGTGTGCGTGGAAGCTGATGGGAAATGGGCACGCACCGTACCTATCATGCTTACCAGTGCTGTGGATGGCTCTGGCATTGGAAAACTCCATGCCTTCCTTAGATCTCTTCCCATTCCCACACAACCCTCTCAGAGAACTATTCAAGTCCCGAAAGAGCTAACAATGCCCTCTCACAGCTCCGTTAATATCTTTGATGTGGACGAAGTGTTTGCAATCCCACCTTCCAAAGTCTATTCACTAGACTCAGAGAAGGGCAGCCAAGAAAACCGCGGTATGGTTCTCTGCGGCCTAGTCCGCCACGGGAATATTTCTATCGGCGACGAAATGGTCATTGGCCCCATCTTAGTGGATGTTCCAAATGACCAAGGCAATGAGCCCCAACCACCCGGAGCGTCACTGTCCCGGAGTGGGCCCGGATCTTCGGGTGATCTCCCGGCATCCTTCCCGCAGATCTCATTGTCCGGCAAAGATTCACAAGCCAGGTGGCAGCGTATCCGCGTTGTCAGTGTAAGAGACCTCCGGCTTCCTGTGCGCCGCCTAATTACAGACCAAGTCGGAACCATCGGAATCGAACCCATCGGGTTCTCAGAGGATGGCCGTCTACCGCGTTTTGGCCGGATCCGCAAGGGCATGATTCTCTCAAACTTCCACGCCCCACTCTCGTGCTCAAACGGCACCTTGCCTGGCTCCTCGTTATTAGCACTGCCCTTCCACACGGGCTTTACCGCCACCTTCCGGTCCACCGAGTTTTCAGCTCCAAATTCGCCCCCACTCTTGCTTGGCGGTAACGCTATTGCCTACATCGCGAACATTCGAGCTACTGTCCGTGTCATTTGCATGGCATTAACTGGGACAGGCGAGGAGCCAATTTCCGAACCTCCTTCTCCGTCGGAGCCTGAATTCTTCAGCTTTGACGGCGATGCTACAACAAACAATAATATGGATGGCGCAGGTGATGCAGTTCGTCGCCGTCCCTCGGCAACAGATATCCGCAAAGTAATGTCTGGTGCTACCTCTACCTCTATTGTTGGAGCTGCTTCTTCTGCAGAAGCCCTGAAAGAGGACGTCAAGATTACCTTTGCGCTAGTATCGTCCATTGAATGGGTGGAACTTGGGTCTCAGGTTCTCGTTATGCCTGGTGTCTCCATGGCGTCTGCCCTATCCCAATCTGCGGCCACGATAGCATCTGCGCCTAGCTCTATCTCTGCTTCTGGGATGGCGCCCATGTCAGGGTTGGAAGGTTTTGTGGGGACTGTATGTGAGGTGATTCCTGGGAGACTTCCAGTTACGGAGAGCTAGACTGAAGTCTTGCAAATATCTCACGGCAATTGATGACATACTTCTTCTCTTCTAGTATTTGTGAGCGTCTTTTCGAGCACTTTGATCCAACGCCATCTAGATATCTGCTTTCAATGTTCATAGCGGGTTTGGGGTGTTTTTTTTTTTCTTTCGTTTTTATGTATTCTCATGTTCATCAATAACTCGAGTCTTATTAACTTGTCAAAATAGGACCCATTTACACAAGTTCTAATGGTTGAAGAGTGCAATATCATTGTCTTAAGAAAGTGTTATCGTAGCAATTGGCTAAGTCACTATGAATTGTCTAGTATTCTCGGCTTGAGCGCACCGACCCGCCCAAAAACAAGACACAAGGCAAATAAGTTGGTAGCAAGACAAACGGTCCAACTTAATGGCAAGTAGATATAGTTTCTTAATAAGGCAGGCCATTCCCCAAACACAGGCGGTCAAGAGCGCGCAGTGTCCCGTCGGATCCGCTTTCAAATCATCTCTATCCCATTGCAATATCGTTTTTGGTTTGGGTATTTCCATCAGCTTTGTTAATCAAGTGCCACAAGACGCTCGAATCAACGCCATACCTATCCATGATTTTATCAGAGGACTGCGTTTCTGATATGTGCATGATTAGGCACATTATCCACCTTTGCGCTGGTCGTTAGGGACGCTGGGGTGACGAGAGAAGGTGCTAGTCGAGCCGATGGTGGCACTGGCATTGCGAAGCTCAATCTTCTTGCGCTCCATCTCGAGCTAGGTTCCACACTGTTAGCTCTATTTATTTTAAGAATAGTTAGACAACTTACGACTTTGCGCACTCGCGCAAGAGCAGCAGTATCGCCCTCCACAATCGAACGACAATCATCAACGCGGTAAGGAGCGGCAATTGTCACAGCATCGGCCACGATAATGTTGTGGCCGTTCCATCGCGCGGGCATGGTGCGGCTAAAAGCATCAAATAAGTCCTGGGCCTGAGTAGTGACGCCCTTACCACGACGCGCCTCACGGTCAAGCGCTTCACCGATAGCCTTCGACTCGCGGGCCTTCAGCGCACGGGTGTCGAGTGCTTGGATTGTGGGTTGTGCATCCGTGAATGAGGACGAGTTGGAGCTCGAGGGTGGGGCGAGGGCGAGGAGCTGGAAGTTCTGGATGCGCGAGATGGGGATCACACGGTAGTCGCCGTTCTGCGCCTGTTTGGCGTCACCGGGGTTGGGCGCGGGGGCCGTGTTGATGGCCACAAGATTCGTGATCGGGCATGCCGTGAACAGCGTGCCTTCGAAAGTCGATTGGGTTGGCTGTGCGGTCGTAATACGCACGCTAAAACACGAGAACGGAATAAATCAGCGCTGCGACTATTTATACACCATCGTTTGGTAGATAAGACTCACCGGGCACCGATCGCCCCGCTCAGTGCTGCCTCCATAGCCACTGTAGTTGTCGCCATCCCGGGGCCTACTGCGTTACCAGATTGTTTCTGCGCAGAGGCCTTTACTGGAACTTGGCGCTTGTTCTCCGCCATAAACCTATAGCTCTAGCCTCCACGTATGAGCTGCTCGGCAACCACAATAGGCTGATCCCCCGCAGATGAAAGAGAGTCCCGTTGACTGTTTGTAGCGCAGTGGTCGAGTCCTATATGGGGTCAGGACATTGGAAGTAGATCAGCACAGATTTAAGTCGGCTTGCCCTGCGAGGAGCTATTGCACCCCGAATTGTTGATAGAGGGTGGGCTGGACGGTGCTGTCAATCGGTTCCTCTGTTGAGAAACGAGCGTGGTTCAAGCGGAGCAGGTAAACTGGCACGGCCCCAAAAGAAGAGAACAGAAAACAAGCACCACACCCAAACCAGGAATTTATGGAAGAACAATGGGCTCGAGGGCTCCCGATTAGATGGCAGGGTCGACGTTGCACGAATGCCCTTTTGGGTTTAGTGCTAACATTCGATTACTTCATCGTCGCCTCAGGCAACGATCTATATAAAACAACAAAAATCAACAAAAACCACGATCTCATCTATTGATTCTATCATGAACCGGTTATTGAAACAGAACATTTCATGCTATAGGATTTGAAATTTCTAACATGTGCCTTACTGATCGTACCATGTTCCAATATACATGTCCAATATATTGCTGCTGTCTCTAATACGGGCGGGTATCGCCATCCAGTCCATGAAAAGAAGATCTATCGCATTTACTGTACAAATGACATGTATAATTATGAATTAATTATGGGGACTATCGGAGTTTTCTTTTCTAAAAAAAAGACATAAATTCAATGCGTGCAGATTTCGAGCATGGCCTCCAAGCAGGACTCATTGCAGGAGACCGATTTATAACAGTCCACCATTCATGACCGTTGGCGCCTATAATAATTTAGAGATAGAACGTCTACTCTTTACCTCCCTTCTATAATGAACATCAATGATGCTTGAATTTCACATTACTAAAGACCTATTAAAGGATAATCATAGCTACACCTAATGCCACCGCAACAGTCAAGCCTCCGATAAGCGCATCAAATTTATCCAAAGTAGACGCTCTGTTACCGAGTCTATACGCAGCGTTCGACGTAGAAGCAGCAGTTCCCGTAGCCTCGGAGCTAGCAGTTCTAGTTCCAGTCTCAGTCCCAGTAGAGATGGTACTGGTAGACCCACCCGTAACCCCAGCTGCCTCCAGATCAGACCGATGGTGCACTATAGTAATTATAGGAACATAAGAGATCGCCACTAACACACTCTCGACTCCATGGGGGAAAGATATGGAATAAGTCGACGTAGTAGCGCTCACAAATGAGTGCACATCGTAGGTATTTGTCTCCGTGATGCCGGAATACACATTTGTTCTGGTCACCTTTGCCCAATTGTAGTCTCTGTCCACATAGACCTCACAACCAACGCTGGGCTTGTAGGTAGGGACTTGAGCAAAACATTGGCCGAGACCATCTGGTGTCATGGAGCTAGGGGAATGAATTAGCTCAAGTTCGTTGTAATCAAAGGGATGCTGACTTACCTGGGACAGCAAAGCGCCATCGTCTGACTCGGCTCCAACATACTCGCCAAAAGGGTCACGGGCTCCTCATAATACGGAATCTTATCCTCTGACGTGGTCAAAAATCCCGAAGTGCTCAGCGACCTATCATCGCGTGCAGCCATACCAATTGTCTTCCAGCCGGAAGGACAGTGCAATCCTGGCGAGTAGTATCCAGCAGAACCGACCCATTTTATCTCATCGTACCAAGTCGCCGACGTGGTCGTGCCAGGCGGCATGCAGTCCCAGTCGCTCGTTGATGTAGGACAGGCGACTTGGAATTGGGCGTAGGTATAATCATCGATCGAGGCGAGGGAGAGTCTATCCGTCGCGGTACAGCTGGGCGCCGGGGTAAATGTTGTTGTTATGGGGCCGTAGTTTTCGAAGGTCCAGTCTCCGCCGGCGACGGATGCGGTAGTCATGATCGCGAAAGCTATACAATCCCGACGTTTATTAAGCTCCTAGCAGGAAAATACTAAGTATCCTCTCAGAAAAGGAGATTCGTGTAGTCAGCGCGCATCCTGTGGTTTTTCAGCCACAGACTACGTAAACTTGGTTTGTTAAATTACAATCACTAGTTAGTACATAGTGGTCTTGGAAATGATCGAATGAAGCTTAACGTGCTTGGCTTTCGGTGGTTAATCTCCTTCGTTCCTCTTGCTAGCCAAAAAAACACCGGCCTGCCCGGCTCGGCAAAGACCGAGTCAAGTATCTTGTACATAGATGTTTAGGCTAGGACTGGCTGAGATTAGTGATATCTTACATGGTCGTATGGGGATGCGTTCTTGCCCCTGACTTTTGGGCTTCTAAGGCTCTGGGTGGGGTTAAGCGAGGTACAACATATAGACTAGTGATTCCCCTCACATGTGGGATTTATACCTAGAAAGAGTACGCGCGACAAATCGTCTTTTGTGAACATCAGTGGAATATCAGAAGTTGTTTACGATAGCCGCATAGGCTGCCCACCCGATGACTCCAATGGCAGGAACCGCAACAGTGACCAACCTGATTTATCACTCTAGTGGCCACCGGCTGAATGAATTGAGCAACGATAGCCTAGAATCTCGCAGGCTCATTACGGACATACTTGGTCGGGAATTTGCATATCAAGGAACGGACAGACCTGCTCCCAGCCGAGTCCATCTTCGAGTCTGATATGACAGAGACGGTCGGCTGGGATTGTTCTTTAGCCATTTCGATGCTATAGAGGTCAGTGAACACACTGCAAGAACTAAGGGATACCACATACTACTCGATGTACGCACTTGGTTGAATTTCTTCACTTTGACATTCAGAGCACTGGGCAGAATTCCAAGCTGCGGTAGTGGGCTGACTGTATGCGAGTGATGAGAGGGTTGAGGAATTAGAAGATAGGAATCTGTAGGTTCCTCTTGACTATAACTCTCATCCCAGGTTATTTTGGTAACTTGGATTTATTGGACGTAGAAGTTTATTTTATGATAGTTTGTGATTGGGTGCAGATTTTTGATTTATTTTCGTATTTTATGACTAGGTATAATATTGGAAGGGAGTCTGAAGAGAAGAATAGGGGGAAAACATAACTGAATGATATTCAAGATTGTTGGCATCGCTTTTGAGACATTAAGATACAGAGTGGTCATTCAAAAAAATATGTGCACCAGAACTTTGAATTCCCGGGCGTCACACCGAAGCTGTCTATGATGATGAGATAGTGTGCAAATAGGGTATTGGAAAAGTTGCCGTAGGTTCAAAAAAATGCGGCCCTGGGATCAAGACAGCAGCACTTCGTATAGCGCCTAATTGCACATGAGAGCAATCAAGGTCGCCAATGAGATTGGTCCTAGTCTCCGACAGTAGTTCAGCCAGAAGCTGACAGGCGTGCCTATAAAAAGGCCCTACGCGCTGAGTGGAAGGCGGAAAGGCGAAGAGCATGGTTCGTAGACCTTGGGTGAGAAAACTTCTTGGCTGGACAAGGTTGTATGGTGTCAAGGAAATAGCACAAAAAAAAGCCAATAACGACAAGACATATTACATCTTGCGGAAGGCGTTGTTGGAAGCACTGCGGCGTTCCTTTGACCGGAACGATGTGTCGGTCTTGTCGTAGCGCACTTCGGGGGCAGCGCGCTTCGGTTTCCCGGCCGGATTGAAGCTGATCTCTTGCTCGCCGACTACACCAACCCGTCGTGCAGGCTTTTGTTTCGATTTCATGTTCTGTGCACGGGAGCCGAAGGAGCGGTCTCGGGTGGAGTGGGTTTGGTTTGAGGAAGATACTTGCATACGAGGCGGAGGCCGCTTCGTCCGCTTGTAGTCTGCAGAAGAGATCTTTTTGGAAGCTGCTGCCTTCGCGGGTTTTTCTGCCTCGCTGTCGGAATCGGAATCGGAGCTTGAACCGGGCACATCGTCGATGGCTTCTTGCTCGACTGCCGTCAAGCCACGCTCCTTTCTCGAAGCTGATGGGGCAGCAGCAGCCTGGGGAACCGTACTGGGGTTCAGCAACTGGAATTCGCGTGAGGTCTCGTCGACAGCGAAATCTTGGTCCTCGAACAGCTGGGCGAAACGGCCACCGCTCAATAAATTCTTCTCCTCGCCCACAGAAGGAGTGGTTGCAGCAGCATCGACCATTTCTTGGTCGCCTGAGCCTTCCAGTAGACGTTTGGCATGCTTGCGCTCCCTCTTCTCCTCCGCACTCAACATCCTTTCTGCCAGTCTCCTGTTCACCTTGACAGCGACCTTCTTCTTGCCGCGGATGCGGCTCTCCCTCTCCTTGTTCATAATTTCGGCCACCTTCTTCGCTCTGGGGTTCTCTGTGTCGGGGAACAACCCAGTAATAGAGTTATAAACAAAGTTCGACACCTGGTAACCCTTAGAGTAAGGTACCATCTTTCCTGACTGCATATAGGATGCCAAATCAATGGGGTCTCCGCCTGCCTTGATGAGCTTGGCATCCCATTTCGCGACCTCTTCACTCGGCACAAGCGTGAAGCCGGGCCAAACTGAACCAGACTGGGCAGATTTGAATGCGCTAGGGTCATTAGGATCCTCAGCCATCTCCTCAACCAGGTTGTCCAAGAATGAGCACCATTTCGGCGCTGGGCCAAGCTGTGGAATGAAGAATGAGTGCTGCTGTCGGCCTTCATTGGCTGTGAGGAGCATGCCGCTATCCTTGCACCAGGCAACAGAATTGATATCAACAGCTGGTTCAACAGAGGTCCAAGGTTTTTCATCTTCGATATCCCAGAGCTTGATGATGCGCTTATCGGCGGAGAGCAATTTGGGTTCAATTGTCGCAGCTTGTGTTGCAGATGACTGCTCGAGGAATTGGAGAGTGTGGATAGGGAACCCATATCCTTGGTCCTTGACCTGGAAGGGAACGGGGGAACGCAAATCGTAGAGGTGAATAAGACCATTAGACGAGCCAGTTCCAAGGCTCATACCGGAGCGATTGAATTCTAAAGCTGTGATCTCTGCTCGCTCATCGTGTATTCCAACTGGTGCGGGTGGACGCAGCACACCTGCGCGTCCCTTGGCCCTAGGATCCCATAGCTCAACTGTCCCCAATGAAGTTCCGAAGGCCAACAAATTATGACTCTGCTCCGCAATAGCACCAGTGTTGACTGACCCTGTGTTAATTCCACCTTGGAGAGTTCCACCGCCGGTCGATGTAAAATCGTCACCTCCGACGTCAATCTCAAAACTCCGCATGTATCTGCCTAACTCCAAGTTCAATCGGTAGACCTCTCCCATGCCGTCCTGATTAACACCAACTGCAGGAACCAGCACCTCAGTTGACTGGCGGTCGTAGACAAGGTCACGCCCATATCGGGGAAGTCTGGTGGTGTAATGACAGCCTGAGGGTGTGTGGAACTCAAGAGATCTATCAGACTGGAGGTGGAGAGATTTGGTGTAATCTGAAGATAGTAGGATGAATGTGGTGTTGAGGGAACTGGTATGGCGCGCCCATGAAAGGGACAATTGTGGAAGGTAGTGGGTGTGAATTTGTGGCTTGTAAGTTCCTACGAGCAATAGTGTTAGGATATGTGCTCTCAAAAAAAGATGAGGATCAGTAGTACGAACCTGTGCTCATAACCCATTCTCCATCCTCACTGGCTCGGATACATTGACTTGCTTCCTCAAATTCAAAGTCTTGAAGTAATTCAACCCGATTCGCATACTCGGGGTCATTTTTCAAGCTGCGCTTTCGCCGTCTAGCAAGCCATTCGGGAAGCGGGCGAGCACTGTCTGAGCCCGAGATGGTATATACCGGGACCTCGGACGGATTGGACAGCTTCATGCTGGTCTATTCTGGCGCAAAGAAGGCCAAGCCAGTTGTTTTGGGGTGATCTGCAACTTATTTGCAACCTATCGGTCTCGGCGAAAGCAAACCTGCAAAAGATAAAAAAAAAAACTGCGATAAAAAGCCGCTGATAGCGATCACGTGATAAATGGGCCTGGTGATTGGCCCCGAGTTGTCCCTGGCGAACGTCCCCCGGAATTACGCATTTCAACTTTCTGTTGACTTCATGCGATAAGCCTTGTGGTTTGAATCATTGCTGTTTTATTTGGTGCGCTGGTTTTATTTAAGTGAGAGTGTTGTGCCATACTTTCTAGTCTTTGTTGACCGCTTCATCCCGCGCAATATGGTATCAACCAGCTAATGTATTCGCTGCTTGTTGATCTCTCTGTTTTGCGATTTCGCTCCTTGCCACAGACCATGCACCCTGCGATTGGAAATGACTTCCAGAGTCAGCTTCAAAATTTCTTCTATCTTTAAAGGCTTCCGGGGCTGTCCGCGACCGTTGAATTATGGACTTCCCTGGCGGCGCGAACACCAACATACATCTTATTGTGAGTATTGTAATATTTAGTGTACATTCACGTCAATGCTGACGCGTCATATCAGGATGGATTCTCTAATATTTACTGGAGAATATACACGGAAGAAGCTGGTATCACCAATAATCCACAAGAGGGCCCCGCCAATGGCTACACTATCCTCAAACACTTGAGTCGTCTCAAAGACCTAGAGGCTCGATTGAGAGTTTTGAATTGCCTCGCTTCATGCCCAAGGCGCCTAGGGCTTTGGGTATTCTCCCCTACTCCCGAGTTCGAAAGCCTGAAACCTTTGTATCTGAGGGGAAGTGACGCAGAGTCAAATAAAATCGTCGTCGGTACAACAACTTTGAAGGGTATGTCCATGACCAGCTCATAGAGCCATTCTGGGCTTTATTAATCTTATTAATAGTCTCTGCATTTGGAAGTGTTTCCTCATTGGACTTGGTGAAAGGTCTGTCGTCCGACAACCAGAGTCAGCACGGTACCCAACCCGCTGGGCAGCCAAGGCCACATCAGAGCCAACCGTCATCTCGGCGTCAAGATGGTTACAGCAGTTCAGCGGCAATCTATGCATCTTTTATATCTGCTGTCACCGGTTCGATCAGCCTCCAGTTGATTCGACAGCATGATGCTTTACCCCTCGGATCACGCACCCTTTTCACTGCCGTCGAAAATTCGGGATATGAAAGTCCCCATGTCAACAATGAAAACATCCTCTCCACTTCTTGCTTGACTACACTCAACATCCAGCTAACTATGAGTGGAACAATAACTGTTTCCGCCCAGACTATATCCCAAACGGGCATAACGCGACTATGCAGTCCTTGCAAGGGCATTTCCGAAATAATCGACATACAGCCTGGAACTGATCTTTGGCTATGCCCGAACGGGACTATTGCTAGGCTTGTCAAGGCTGATATTGACTCGCCAACCGCTCCCTCTCTTGGCTACACCGCCCCTGGAAATCTGTCGGCAAAAAGAATACAGTGGAAATTGGATGTTGTGCAGTGGCTGCAGAATTTTGGCTTGCATGTTGACTCAATTGATAAAGAACCCTGGGTTGAAGTGGAGGTTTGGGAGCCATTTTTTGCAAGACTTGCCGGGGAAGCATGGCGACAGAGTGATGATAGTCAATCTGCACTCCCACTAAAACGCATGCTATGGCCAGCGAGATTTTGCTTCAGAAGGGCTAGCTCCTCAAATTTCTCTTCCGTGGCTCAAAATTCCCTTCTTGACGAACCCCTAGATTTTGCAGAGCGATGGTCTACAATGGCGAGCTCTCTCAAGCTAGACCATATTGCCCATACTACTCAAAATACACCTACCACCCAAGACCTACGACCAAAAGACCAAGAAATACAGTCGCCACCAAAGGCTGAAACACTGGAAAACATAGAGAGTTTATCCCGAATTGCGCAATATCCTGATTTGCAAAGCACGAATCTTGTTTACCCAACTCCCCCAGATGGAGCTGCAGCAGTCGGGTTAAACAATTCAAATCCTTCTGACGCTTTTGCTGAGGATTCTGACTTTGGACTGCCCCATGCAACGCAACGAAATTCAAGAAGAAATGCACCAGGATCCGATATGTCACCAGTTCAGAATAGTGGACTTGGAGTTGGTACTGGCCGATATGATGCAAGTGATGAAGAAGATCTCTTCGGTGAAATGAACGAAAGAGATTTTGGGTCGAAAGGTATTACTGATGCAGACTTCAGCTTTTTTGATGACCCTGATTTCGATGGTATGGACGGTGAGTCTCGTGTAGAGGATGCAGATCTTCATGAAACTCTTGAAGCATCTCATCAGAGCGAATCGGAGGCCGAGGCCATGGTTGATGAAGAACACTCCCTCAACCAGCCACGAGAAATCCCAACTCTTGTCGAAGCACATGAGGCCCACGCATCTCCGATACACCATGAAGCCGCACAGTTATCTGAGGGACCCATGGCCCCTGAAGAACCAGCTCATTCGCCTATAGATCGCGCAGGTCAAACAATCAGCCCGCCCCTGAGCCCAATAGAGGTGAAAAAGATATTGTTCCCGGGGCCAGAGGGAGAGGATAATCAACAGTCTGCAGATAATCGGGGGCAAGGGCACTACCACCCAGTGGCCTTCAAAAAGAAACTTGGTGATTGGGATCAAAAGTACGGAGCAACTGGAAAATTCTGGTTCTCCAGAGGTGGCTCAGTGGACACGTTAGATCAGAAATCTGCCATACCCACGATTGGCATTCCTCACCGTGGCCGAAGCAGTGCCAATGCACCTGGCTCGTCGAAAGAACACAACAAGTCTCTGATTCGGTCAGAAAATGGACTACGATCAGCCTCGGTGAGCAGTGACAGCAGCGACGACAGTATTGAGATCATGTCGGAGCATGTTACAACGCCGGCAGCCATGCCCTCAATGCCCTCTTTGAAGCGAAAACGGGCTCCTTCGGAATCTGATATAATGTCGGTTGCCTCCCAAGAGAAGTCATTGCCCGGCACAGAAGCAAGCCCCGCATACGCAGCCGAGAACTCTACATTCCTTGGTAATTTTCTAGCCAACTTTTCTGATTGGACATTAACCGGTTATTTCTCTGCGTTTCCACCTCAACAACTCCCCGTAATTCTTCGCCGTGAAGGTCAGCTTGAAATTGCTCAACTTCTGGTCGACCAAATCACGCAGTCCTCGCTCAAGCATCCGCTTGACGGGCAAATTGGTCTTTGTGATCTCGAGAGCCAGTCTTTGTCACTGCAAATCCTCGACAACACAAGCCCCTTGGGCGAGGCCTCGAAAATGGACTTCAAAACATACACATCCTTGCAGGATGAATTCGTTATGAACCATCCGCAACAGCAACCACCACAGCACCCGCCACCTCCCAAAGATACCCCTAGAAGCCTCATTTTAAAATTATCAGCTCCCCACATACGTGTACGTCGAGGCAAAGAATACTTAGAGGCTCTTCCCCCGGCTGTCTCGTTTTGGGAGACGTTTGGTCTTGAGCCTGCTCATGGACCGAAGAACATTTCTGCTTATTGTATTCACCCACAAGCTGCGTCGGAAGCAGCTGATGTGTTCTTGAGACGGTTCGGTCTTCTCTACCAAAGTTGCAGCCTTGGAACCCATACCAGAGGAGACGATTCTATGGCATTTGAAGACGGGCTAAAGCCATGGCAATCTGAAACATCTAGTTATGAATCTATGATGCAGGTATTGAAGAGAACATGCGAGCAGCTTGGTATGTGTTTTCTCTAACGGTTTATGTACTTTACTAACAATTCTCAAGGCTCAGAACTCTCACAATCTACAGCGACTGCTGATAACCATGTTGTCTATATCATCAACCCATTTAGGCACGCTGCGGCACTAGCAGACATTTGTTCCGCCTTCTGGCACCTTTTCCAACAATTGATAGCCGGTTCCGAACGAAGACAGACTCGAATTGCCAACGAGCTTGTTCTGCAGATAATTCCGCTAGAGTTCATCATGTCGAGCGAAACGATGGTTATACCTCCCCAGACGGATTATTTGAATTTAGCCTTAGAAGTCTACAGCCGATGTCGCCCGAATGATGGGGATATGAGCCCCCTACTCTGCGCCCCACCAATGCTTCTAGCCGACGCTCTCCCAAGAGCCATTAGTTTCCGACTTGCCCCTGAAAGGTCCTCGCCTCTTCAAGATGGGCGAAGTCTTCACATTGCCTGCTCCAAAAGTGTTGACCAACGCTGGATATCGGTGGCATGGTCTGATTTGCCAGGTTCTATACAAAGAACCATGTCTTACTGCCTGCGGTATCGTCAGTCAGGTGGTGCCAGACCGATTTCCGAGGTAAGGAATGAAATCTGGGCTACGACGAAACACATTATGGATAAATTCCAAGCACGATGGAAAGTTCAGTTGGCGACCACCGAGCCCATGGAAACCGATGAGGCCGAAGGTACTGCTTCGTATTTTTTCTGATATCGCGGGCAAATCGCTAACACATTCACAGCATGGGCTAGTCTAGCAGACCAGCATAATAAGTCAAAACCTGGGTCCTTGGAATTGACCATCCTGGCTGTCAACACTGTTCCCGACTTGATCCTTGAGCCACCAGTTCCACCCATCTCGATGGCTATGCTGAATATATTGTCTTCATCTACCCCTGTCTCGACTCCTAATCCAAGTGCCAGCGTTGCATCCCCTGAACAATCAGGCAATGCAGCCACGCCAACCAGCGCTGGTCCAGCCGCCTACAGTGCCCCCACGCCGACGGAAATGTCACTTGAAACTGATTCAGAAGCCGTCCTCACCGATATCTGCGACGATTCCTGGCTAGCCATCCTATCACACCGACTCAACAGCTCTCCCCACCTCACCGAATTCCGACCCGCCTTGTCCAGCGGGTATCTCCTCCGCCGCAAGGGCGCTACTGATGCCGACGGCGTGTTTGCAATATCCGTCAATCTCATCTATTCCCCACGTCCTCCTCCATCCCACGATAATGTCCTGAAAGATACCTTAAGTATGTATCGGGACCTAGGCTGTCTTGCCCGCGCCAAGGGCATATGCAGTGTACAAAACAACGCATTGCCTTGGCATGTCGCCACCGCTCTTCGCGCACAAGAGCTTCTGAGTTATGTTTTTTGAGCGAAACATCTTGTTACTGGGGCGTTTGTGGTTTCTTTGTGTACTTGGATCTCATGTATGTTAAGGCTTTTTCGGTGGTGGGATGTTTTATTACCTAGTTTGGGTAGATATGTATACCCCTGGAGGCAGTGCATTCGAATTCCCCCTGTTTATTGAGCATGGTTGTCAAAGTACCAAAAGGGTTGGAGTCATACTCATATCACAATATCGATGAATATATCATTGCACCTGCCATCAGTGCCCTTGGAACGCTACCAGGGTATTTACTTATTAGGATAGGGCTTTGAAAACATGTAAGAAATAGATCAATATTGTTTCGAAATTTTGTCAACTTAGGATATTTTCAACCCGACAATGGAAATATGCATCATGGAAAATAAAGCAAAGAATGTGTACCAATTGAAGTCTCCGTCAAAAGTACATCCAAGAAAGAAACCTCCAACTCCACACCAAAAAAAGACACCAAAAAAGAAAAAAGATACACTGAAAGCAACATATGTACTAATTGCTTTCAATCGCCAACAATTGTACAAAAGAGGGCGTGTTTCAACGTAAAAGTCTCGTGGCGCAGCTCGTCATCGTGGCAGATAGTATTGAATGCCAACGGAAAGGGTATCGTGTCGCAGAAAATGTCGTGGTCGTAGATGTTTATGTGTGTGTGATCGTATATATGTGTGCATGCTCCGAAAAAGTGTCAATCAAGGCAAAACAAGACTGAGAGAGCCCCAGGCCAAGGTCAAGGGTGCAGTGTTTGCTGCTATCCTGCCTTATCACCCATCTGCACTCTCTGCGTCGCTCTCTTTCCTCTTGGAGAAGAAAGAGACGTGGTTATTCATCGCCCAAATAGCGAAGCCGGCAATTGCAAGGAGGAGGAAGATGACGATGATGATAATCGCGATGGTGATGTTGCGCTGAACCATCTTGGGTGGGGACGATCAACAGATCGTGGTAGAGAGGTAAACAATTAGACAAGATGTGTAGAGAGCTTTGATCGCTGGTTGTCAAGCCGATGGGAGGATAGGTAAGATCAAAACAAAGCGTGGAATTCAAGGTGGTAGGCCGTGGCACAGGTGGGCAGCAATGCGTTTGGGTGGGTTTGTTTACAGAAGTATACAGCCTCGTCGGGCTGGCTCTTTTTGCAACGCTCAACTCTCCTTTTTCGCGGAAAGTAAGATTATAGATCGTAAGAATGTGAAAGGAGAGATAAAGAAAATTGGATCAGTTGGAATGTGAATGGGTTTTAAACAGAACTTTTTTTTTTCCTCCCAGCCATGTGCTTTTAGAGAGGCTGGGGAAGCGCTTAATGTACTTCGTACTAACCACATACATACTGTAGTTAGGTACCAAAATACTCCATACAGAGTATAAGGTACGGAGTATTGTACCTTTATTAGGGGCTAGAAATAATTGTCCAAAGCACGAAGGTTATCAATGCAATATGGCTAATAGATTGGAAGTACAAGTCCGCAGTGATAAATAGAGACGAGAAGGCAAATCATGCCTAAGGCCAAAACTATACTCACGTGACCCGTACTACTTTACTCGAGAACAAGGCAAATTGATTTGATCCCATTGCAGATTCAATATGGTATGGTACATATAGCAATAGGAAAACATCATCACTAGCGCTGCAAGGGCAGTATCATTTCTTAATAAACAGTCAGTCGCATCCATAGACTTAACCCAGAATCTTCAAGCCCCCCTTAGTTTTGGTGGACTTTTTGATACCGTCATTCTTCACTTTTCCACCTGCTCCGGTGTTATCTCCTTTATCTCCTCTGGCGCCCTTGCCTTTGCTTGGTTTCTTTCCATGCTTGGGGTTCGAAGCTGGGCGAACCTCGGTCTCGGCTTTGCGCAGTAAGATTGGGTGCGAACCAATGTACTTCCCTTGCATCTCTCGGCCTGCTTTGAAGTAGTCCTCGCTTCCGCTGAAGCTGATAAACCCATAGCCCTTGCTCTTCTGTGTTCGCTTCTCTCTGACGACACGAGCTTTCTGAACCGATGTATAGCGAGAAAATGCCTTCAGCAGAGACTCATCCGTCACTTCGCCTGCGAGGTTACCGACAAAAAGACGGAAATGTGCCGGATCCCACTCCAAGAGGGTGGGGTCAGTCCATGTTTCACCACCACCAGAACGAATGACTGTTTTCTGTGAGTCGGGCTGCGGAACAGGAGTTCCGGCGCCGAGAGTCGGTGTTCCGGTTCCCGTGTTCACGCCTGAACCAGGCTGGTTACCTTGGTGCTTGGTAGCAGGGTCATCAGTCGGTTTGGTGTAGGCGCTCTGCCACTGCGCGATTTGAGCTTCGGTTTCTGCATCGAAGCCGGGGGCATTGGCATTCTGTGGGAACCCTGCGTTGGTCGGGTTGGGAGTAGATCCGAAGGGATTCGCGATGTGTGGGACAGTCGGGCCGTATGTGTTTTCAGCGTATTGAGGTTGTCCATAGTAGGAAGGCGCACCCTGGTATGCCTGATGTTGTTGATAGTGATTGACATAGCTGTTTGCGGGGGTTGCATATCCAGCAGCAGAGACTGGTGTATTCGGGACTGAGTGGTGGGTGGCGCGATGCGGTTGGCTGGAGGCTACCGCGCGCGGCTGGAACGCCGTGAAGGCGCTATAGCCTGTCGGTCGAGATCTACCACCATGGCCTGCAGGGTTGGCGGTGGGAGGTTGCGCGGTGTTGGAGGATGGAGGTGGGCGTGGCGGAAGTGACGAGGGAGTCTGTCTGAGACCTGGAGGAGGCGGAAGGGACATGATGAATGGGATATTCAAATAGGGATACGAGAGAAATGAGATGCGCGCACGAGAGAGGGAGAGGGATAGAGAGGGAGAATTCTAGATGCAAAGTAGCAACCGCAACAACGTACCTTCAGGGCCTGACTTACGCCGCAGTCAGTCGCCAGACGTCACGCTTTATATAGGCACCCGAAGGATGAGCACTTGCAAGAGACGAAGCGTTGCACGGCTTGCAAATGGTCACTGTGAGAAACCTGAATGGCAATAGAAGAAAAGAAAAAAAATGCGTCTTCAAGTGACGGCGCTGGATTGGAATGCTCAGTTATGAGATGACTATGTTTTTTTTCTAAGGTTGTCTCTGAATACGCTGGCTAGGCCGTGGCGACGGGTGTATCACATGACTCGATCAAACTTTCCCGAAGGGCTCCAGTGACTCGGGAATTACATAAGCATGATTACTGCTGACTCATTACAGCTTCACGAGCAGCTGTAACCTTGGAACCCCCACTCTAGTCCCAAAGTAGACTAGCTCGTACGTAGCGGGCTATGAACGCATCGGCAAGTGATTTCTCCGTCGCATTTCTACCAGAACAGTTCACCGATGCGTGGACAATTTGAAAGGTTCGGATGGTTTCTATGGGTTACATGGATTATTATTTGCTTGTGAATTGTTGCTGTTTCATCCTTCTCTACATGCTCAATACATATAGACAATGTACTACCTATGTATATGGTACTTATATAGTACTAACATATATGTATCTATGTACAATTCTTCAGGCTACCCCTCCATACCCCGCTATTGTATAGAAGGAAAAGCTACAATTGCCATCACATATAGATTTTTTTTCTAGTTTACAGAGTATAGAGTACAATATAGGGAATTGAAATCGGGTCGGATAATGCTTTCTAATTCTAACAGAACCCGAGTGGGTTGACACCGGACGACTCTGCTCCTGTATCTAATACTTGGCGCTACACCGGACACAGTAAGAACAAGTGAGGTATACGGTACACCCCCCGCCGTTATGTCCCACCAAAGATGACGGAAGAGTTGCTCCGTCAGCCGGTTGGGGCTCCCAGTGCTACTTCTTCTTCTTCCCCTCCCCTCCCTCTTCATTCTCTTTTTCTTCTTTAGATTTACCTTTTCTTCACTCAATACCCTCTTATCTCATATCTAATCGTCATGGCTGACCAGGCTGTGTAAGTTATATATCTTCCTCCTCTCCCCCACTTCACCAATTCCGGCATCCCCAGTGGTTATACCTTCCTACTTCTTGGATACCAGAGCGCATGGAACTCCAATGCTGCTCAGACATCATGCAACGGGTCTATTTGGAAGAATTCCTATAGATGCTCGCGCAAGATGATACCAACGGAGACACTGCGATTCTGATCTTTTTCGGAAGCGCACGGATTTTCCTTTCCCCTTCATTCCCATTGTGATCTTTTTGCAGCTATTGACGAGAGACATTGATCGCTGACTATAGCGCCCGTCTCGCCGGCATCAATGTCGGCGCTCCGGCGCACTTTGCTCCCAGTGCTGATTTCGGCCTCATCGGTCTGGCCGTTATGGGCCAGAACCTGATCCTGAACGTTGCTGATCACGGTTTCACCGTTTGCGCTTTCAACCGCACAACCGCCAAGGTTGACCGTTTCCTGGAGAACGAGGCCAAGGGTAAGCTCTACAAAGAATGACGAGACCCAATTCCCTTTTTCAAAGATACTTATTATGAAACAGGCAAGTCCATCGTTGGTGCCCACTCCATCCAGGAGTTCTGTGCCAAGCTCAAGCGCCCCCGCCGTATCATGCTCCTCGTCATGGCCGGCAAGCCCGTCGATGACTTCATTGAGTCCCTTCTGCCTTTCCTCGAGAAGGGTGATATCATCATTGACGGTGGTAACTCCCACTTCCCCGACAGCAACCGCCGCACTCAGTACCTCACTGCCAAGGGCATCAGCTTCGTCGGCAGTGGTGTCTCCGGTGGTGAGGAGGGTGCCCGTTACGGACCCTCTCTCATGCCCGGTGGTAACGAGGCTGCCTGGCCCCACATTAAGGACATCTTCCAGAGCATCTCCGCCAAGAGCGACGGTGAGGCCTGCTGCGACTGGGTCGGTGACGAGGGTGCCGGTCACTACGTCAAGATGGTCCACAACGGTATTGAGTACGGTGATATGCAGCTGATCTGTGAGGTACGGCTACGTCTTAAGCAAAATATTCTCGAGAAACAACTGACATCATTTAGGCCTACGATATCCTGAAGCGCGGTCTTGGTCTCTCCTCCAAGGAGATTGGTGATGTTTTCGCCAAGTGGAACACTGGTGTTCTTGACTCCTTCCTGATCGAGATCACCCGTGATATCCTCTACTACAACGACAACGACGGTACTCCCCTTGTTGACAAGATCCTCGACAAGGCTGGTCAAAAGGGTACCGGAAAGTGGACCGCCATCAACGCTCTGGACCTCGGCATGCCTGTCACCCTGATCGGCGAGGCTGTCTTCTCTCGCTGCCTCAGCGCTCTCAAGGACGAGCGTGGCCGTGCCAGCTCCATCCTGAGTGGTCCTACTCCCAGCTTCGAGGGCGACAAGCAGGCTTTCGTCGACGACCTTGAGCAGGCCCTGTACGCTTCCAAGATTATCTCCTACGCCCAGGGCTTCATGCTCATCCAGAACGTAAGTTTTTTTTTTCCCTCTCTTGTCAGCCTCACTGATACTCCGTTTCTAACCCTTTCCCCAATATAGGCCGCCAAGGAGTACAAGTGGAAGCTGAACAAGCCTTCCATTGCCCTCATGTGGCGCGGTGGCTGCATCATCCGCTCCGTCTTCCTCAAGGATATTACCAATGCCTACCGCAACAACCCCGATCTTGAGAATTTGCTGTTCGACGACTTCTTCAACAAGGCCATTAACAACGCCCAGAGCGGCTGGCGTAACGTGATCAGCAAGACCGCTCTGTGGGGTATCCCCGCTCCGGCCTTCTCCACTGCTCTCAGCTTCTACGACGGCTACCGCTCCAAGAACCTGCCCGCCAACCTGCTCCAGGCCCAGCGTGATTACTTCGGTGCCCACACTTTCCGCATCAAGCCCGAGAACGCCAGCGAGACCTTCCCCGAGGGCAAGGATATCCACGTTAACTGGACCGGCCGTGGTGGTGACGTGTCTGCCTCGACCTACATCGCATAAGCGTGTTATGTTGAGGTTTGTTAGAAGGGTAAAAAAATTGGATGTTCAATGTATTTAGATGTCTCCATGGAATGCCCATGATCCGTAACGAAGTCACTTGTTTTTTTCTTCTATATATCTCTTTGCTACGATCTGTGTGATGTCGATGAAACGCGTAGATCTTCTAGCGAGAATGGTTGGCGTAGGATTCCGCTACATATAGAGCCCTATTCCCACCATGGTGTTGAACATTTATTTAAGCCAAAGCCAGAGCTGCAGTTTGACGGCGTTCTTGCTTGGAGCGTAAACTGCCTGATATACAGCAATTCTACCATGATTGTCCTGCAGGCCCCAATCACCTCGGAGACTATGTCGATGTATCTTGGACTTCCAACCAGTCCCCTTGTTTCGGCACGGGTTTGAATTCAAATTGAGAAGGATAATTGATTCTCTACAAACGGAACTAGCTAAATAGCTAGTCGAAGCCTGATCAACAACCCATCTACGTATCAATAGTCTATCTCAACACAAATGCGCAACAGACCTTCATTTCCCTTTAGCCTCGGGCTCGCACTTTGGTTTCTTGCCAAACAGCGTTTGCACAGCCTCGAAATAGCGTTTCCCAATGGCTTGAAAAGGGGAAGAAGAATTTGGGGTTAGCTGCAGATTTCCGTTACGGGCGTACCATGCTAACCGCACTATTAAATCTTCATCGGTTTCAACGTGCGTATCAAAGTCTTCAAAGTTGCCAACATGCTTGATCAGCATACGAGCAATATTTGAATACCGTGTAGTAGTAGCAATCCAAATGGCTCGTCCATATTGTGCTCTACCGGTGGCATGGTTTCTGAGAATGTCGACTACTTTTTCATAACCACACAGTGCAGCATATTGCAGGGGGGTCATATTGAAGTGGTCCGCACTGTTCACAAGCTGGGAAGGGTTTGAGCTCTCCTCAATGAGGCTCTCGACCCAAGGAATATTCCCAACCACGGAGGCAATGTGTATCTCCAAGGTTCGATTTTGTATTTCTGGCAAGTTGACCTGGTTCGGATCTAAACCCTCTGTGTTCTTCGGGGGGTTATAGTCGAACCCAACCAGGACCCAGAATAGTCCCAAGGAGGAGTTATCAGTAGCAAAGAATTGCTGGTTATTCTTAAACATGGCTCTTGCATGCTTACCGCAATTTCGCGCATGTCTATACCAGTACCCAAAGGTATAGCATACCAGGTCAACCTGATCAGGGCGAAAATTTTGAATCGTTGGTGAAAAGTTGGTTGGATGTCTTCTTGGAAAAGGCCCTAAAAATAAACTCATCCTCCATTTCGGGGAATCTGATAGAATGTTTGGCGTCGTATACCCCAAATCGGGGATTGACTTGAGACGCTCGAGACATCTATTCGCAATGCCAAGGTGTGCTAGATCTTCAGCGAACCAGAACTCTTTCAATTCGGGATCGGAGTTGGTCGCGAGATATTCCTTTGCAGACTGGTGGACGAGCGTGACGTTGCCGGAACGGCCATACTTGTCATTTTTGTATATTCGAAGAAACCCACCACAGATCTTGACCAGATCTTGAATGGTTTCCAGTCCCATGACTATCTTATCATGAGCCAACACAGCGAACAGTTCCTTGGGACTCAGTGACTTTGTGGAAACAGCGACCCAATGGAGGAGGACTACCGCTAGCGGTAGGAACTTCTGGTGCTTTTGTTTGATCTGGGCAAGCATTCGCCCATACATCTCAGGCAGTCCCCTCGGGATTCTCTTCATTGTATCAAGGATCTCGGTGTGAGTTTCCAATGTCATCATCTCATTGACCACAAATCCCACCCACAGGAAGCTACCTTCAGCGCTTCGCAACAGCTGAGTTTCGAGTTTGTTCCGGGCTTCAAGATTGAAGCCATGGGTGCAACACAGATCATCCATTTTGGAATGTATAAAGGTTCGAACATCCTGGTTCACCTGTTCGCCTTGATTGAGATTCAGATTGATGGCGGGAATCAGGCTTAACATAGGTAAAGGTCGACTGATGATTGCCAGTTTCAAATTTGTTAACATTGTTGACTTGAACAAATCCTTGAATTTGGGTAGCAGAAATGCGCTCGCATTGTCACCACACTCATCAAGTCCATCAATCACGCAAAAAAGCTTGCCAAGAGAGTGACCCTTCATGAGAGTTTGGAAAATAAGCCAGAGACCCTCCGGGGTGTCCAGAGTCAGTTTTTTTATTGCATCACCGTCGAAATTAGGCCAAACGTATGGGCCCAGTTCAGGGCGCTTTGTGAGGATTTGATAAAGCAGACCCCGGAGGATGGCGCATACATTGTTGCGTTCAATGTCTCCATAAAGACAGAAGAAATAGATCACATCTTCATTTGGGCTTTGTTTTGTTTTCTGCTCCAAAAGCTCGGTCAAATAAATGGAGAGCATCGTCTTCCCCGTGCCAGGGGCACCAATTATACAGAATGCCGTATTATCATGCTCTCTCCATGAGCGGTAGATTTCATGAGACTCAATCCACTTCCCGGTTCCCTCGACGGGGCTTCCTTTAAAGCTCTTGAGTTTCTCTCGGTCGATCGAAGGTTTGGTCAGGAGGAGGGCATCGCAGCACTTCTTTACAGTGGCATCTATTGCACGACTCAGGTTAGAAATAAAATTGATGTGTTGATTGAAGGCTTTTATTACCAATTTCAGACTTTCTGGCAACAGTAACAGCCTCTGGATGGGATTGCACGCCACCGTGGCTCTGATCTTGGAATGATAGAATACCAAGACTTGTGATCCCCATTGCTATCAAGTTGCAGAGGTTCAAATGTTGGATATGTAAATTTTAGATTGGTGAACAGTGGATGGGCTTTAGATGCAGAATAAAATCCTGCGCTCTCACTTAACGCCTAAGCTTGCGGGGTTCCCAGCCTCTAGGGCTTGATAGCACTGCATGACTAGTCCTGATACCATCCTAGCGTGCGCTTGGAGATACAAGAATAGGATATACGAACACATTGTTAGTTATACATGTATACAGGTACGAGATCAGTGCAGTTTTACACGTGGCTCCTATGGGTCCGGTTGGGGGTGCGAAAGCGTCTATCTTTTGATAGCAGTTCTGGCGGTTCTAGCGGGTTTTTATAGGATGTTACTGGACTAAAAGAGGAACGAGAAAACATCTGCTTTAATATGCTGCATTAACGTGGACAAACGTGGTCAAGGAGCTTTGATCATAGGTAATAATATAAGGCTGCTAGTCTATAATCCGCCATATACATATTCTCCCCCTTCACCCGCCCCACCCAAAATTGGCGCTTTAATATCAAACCCCTGTTCATGTCAAATAATACTCCATACAGTATTACTACTTCTTTCCAGCTTTTTCCCTGCTTCGTAGCCATTTTCTGTGCACTAGTCTGGCCTAGAGCCCCGCAGATGGACAAAATCATCATCCTCTGTATCTTTCGCTTGGCTAGATGTAAGAGTATATGCGAAGTATAGTCGAAGATCAAATCACGCATGTTCATCTATTCAGACAGACCTGGAGTAAATAAAGCCATAAAATATGACAAGTAGAATATGAGGACTAGTGGGATTGACGCCAAAAATGACCACTTTTGGGGCCAGAAACGGCTACTTTTCCACCCGTCAATTTAGACGTCCAATAACACCACTATTCTGCACCCGTGGACTGTTGCTAATATTAAGTCTCGAGTTACACAGTTGTTCCCCTAGATTCTACTAATGACTCAAACGATGCCGAAAATAGTCCCCTTCCTTTTCGCCTAGTCTGGTTAAGCGCTCTGAGGATACCTCGTCTTTCCCCCCTTCCTATCAGAAGCCTAGCAGTTATGGTCGCAGCTCTCTTTCATAGATAGGTCGGTTAATGGTCAGATCTTTCAGTGGCCACATGATTCTCTATAGTAGTAGTTTAGTTTACCTTTTCTTCTATCTTCATCTATATAGCTTAACAGCTTCATACAATATATCATATTGTGCTTTTATGATCTCTCCTACTATGCTGTAGGCTCTAACAGTTAATAAGCGAAGTAACGATTTTTTCAAATAACTTAGTGAAAGAACTAACCCAAAACTCAAATATTTATGATTAGTGCTATAGTGAGTTAGCGAATGACCTGTTAGCCTATATATAAGCAGGAAACTGCTATGCTGTTTTGGCTCACATGGCCCTTTATAACACAAAATATGCAGTAAGGAAATATTTTGTACAACGGTTCTTGAACGCCAAGAGGTAGCAAACCAAAACCAATCCCCTTGAGCTTCACTAAGAATAGAGCATTCAAATGATAGGCTGAAGAGCAGTAGTGGAGTAGTAAAGGTATGCAGAAATTGGTGCAAAGTTCTATATAGTAAACTAGATTGGCTAGTTATACATACTCATAAAAAGCTTACCTGCAACATACCAGACATTCATTCTTCCTATATTGTACAAACCTACCCTTATCCAATGAACATCATTTAGGTATGTGGGCTCTCTTATCATTTTTTTATCGTACCATATATCAATGAAGAGCTGGTATATTGTACGCTGTGCTGTAACACTAATCAGAGGTTCAACTCGCCGTAAGTGGATTGCAGCGACAGTCGCCCAACTAATACGGTATCTTCAACTAGCAGGATGAGTAGATCTAGGAACTAATCTTTTACATGGAAGGCACAGTCTGGACCATAATATCCTACTATGACGGGCATAGGCATCCCGCGTAGACCCTTACATTACGCAAGGGCTAATTATTTGGCTGCTGCCAATGAGGTTTATCTTAAAGAGCTCCCGGCATGAGCTCATGGGTAATCCTAGGGCACTGAGGCTTAAAGCGAGATTATATTGTAGGTTTTCTAGTGGGGAAAAAAATGAAAAGGTATAAATGGCAGGACAAGCTCCCTGGTTTTGATTCAATATTTCACAGAATTTCTCCAAATTTTAACATACACTAAGCATCAGCTGTTCAGTTCAATATGCAGTTGTCGGCTCTCTTCCTCAGCATTCTTGTGATCGGGGCATCCGCCTCATGTCGGATGATAAACAGATCCAGCTACCAATGGGGGACTTGCGAATGGTATGGAACCGCCCCATTTTGTAGCCGCACCTCTTTCGGCATTGGTAGTTGGGATGATGGCCTTCAGCTATGGGAAACAACTGCATCCAAGTCAGTCAACCAGCTTTGGGTAGAGGGAACAATTTCAAGAGAATGCTATAAAGATTACGGTGCTGGCTGTGCATCGGGATACAAGAGACTTTGGTGTAGACCAGATGCTTAGTGAGTGGCCTGTGGCTTACGGTCTGTTTCCTTACTGACCAGAAAGGCCATTGATTGACCAAGAGTTGGATCTTTTTGTGATAGGAAACCGTTCTCAACAGAGAGGTGTGTGAACTAAGCTCACTATTGCTAAATGCACTTAGAGCTACTAACCAGTTCTCTTCAGAATACTGGAGAATACTGGAGACGCAGCAAATTTCATCCTTTTGTCTTGGGATCTCTGGTCTTGTTTTTGGATTATATCAGTACTCCATCCGCCAGTTGCGTAGACGAAAACGAGCCCTTATTTCTTCTATTAAAGTACGATTTTCTCTTTTGCAATTTTTCTCGAATACAAGCTAGTGTTCCAATTTTTTTTTAATAATTTAACTCTACCAAGTGAAAACCACCAAAATCGTCAAATAGATCAAGAATCATATAATCGTAAGGAGAAAAAGCATTGGTCCCCAAGAAACCATCAAGTCATATCAATCATGCAGCCCTGGGGGGAATATGCTAGATGAGCAGAGCAATCCCAGAACTTCAAAAGTGTAAGTGGAAGTGAAAGTGAAAGTGAAGAAAACAAAAGAAAACAAAGACGCCAGAATCAAAACAATAAAAAGACCCAATCTCTATGCACATCGCAGTAATCAATCTGTGATTGGAGTGTTCAGTCTATGAAATCACTGGTAGCCAACCGCACCTAAGAAATGGTTTAAAAGCAAAACAATAATCAAAATCTGAGTCAAATGAAGGCCCAATCACCTAAGAAATTGACGCACTGACAATATAGATGTTTGAGAGGTAGGCGAGAGAAAGGTGAGAGACATGGAGGTTAAAATATAATGGAAGACCAAAAGCATCATTGGATGACCATGTATATACTTCACGACCAAACATGGAAGCCCGGAAGCCCTGCTCCCCGTCTCCCACTACCACGCCGGGACCCAGCGGCTGGTTCAGCCCCACCGTGGTTTCCATGCCTACCTTCATCCAAGCTGCGCCGAGAGACGCCGAAGTCGCTCATTGCGAAGAGCAACGGCTCATCGTCTTCGGGCGCTTGTGCGGATAGCGTCCGGCCCGTGCCCGGCCGCTGCGCAGAACCGCGACGGATCTCCAGCGTGGAGTTGCCGCTGTTACTTCCACTGGCGTTGCCATCGCGGTCCTGGTCGCGCTCCGCCAGGTGTGGGACAAGATTGGCGCCCCGGGCGAGGCTGCTAGATGCTGAGCTTAGAGAATGCCCGCCCGAATAGCCGCGGCCGCGGGAACTGGCGAACCGGGGCTGGTAGACATGGGGATTGGAGGAAGCCGAGGCGCTGGTTGGTCCAGTGATCTGCCCGCGGAGGGATGCACTGTCCCGATACGGACCTGTTGCGGAGCTAGATGGGCCACTTGGGTCCTCGGTCGGTGATTGTTTGCTTTTCTGGGACTCGTTCGGTTGTTGGGCGGCAGCCAAGGTGAGGTTTGATGGCTCATCGGCTCCCAGGCTGAGGCTGCGCATGCCGAATGGGAAGATTTCATCGTCTTCGCTTGTAACAATCGGCCGGCGCAAAGCTGCGGAGCTCGAACGACGGTAAACGGGATCGAAAATACGCGGCGACGTTGGGATGTCAATAGCACCTGCGGTCGAGGAAGGCCCTCGCGTATTTTCCATGCCGGGATGTTCCTCCAGCGGTGAGTCGTGCTGTATGCGAGGTATTCTTGAACGGTGGTCGGTTTCAATGTCATCGGCAACGCTGTTCGAGCTCAGTCGAGACCGGATAGCAGGAGTGTGGGGAGTATGGGGGGATATGGGTTTCCCCGGAGAAGAAGCTGTGGAAATGGAGGTACCCGCAACCATTGGCGGGACTCCTGATAGTTGCTTGCTCGAAGAAATAGAAGAGCGATGCATAAGCATAGACTGTGACATTGAGTCGGACAATGCGGCGTTTGAATCTCGCATACCGCGGAAGCGAGCAAGAGCAGCTGCAGTGGTATTCGGCTGCCTAGGACCAGGCTGAATAGATGCAGAGGTAGATGAATTCATTAGATCCTTCTTTGAATCAAGCATCTTCAAAAAATCGGAGATATTCTCGTCATCTGCGTGAATGGACTCTGCACTCGTGCCTGTAGCTTCCGTGAGTAGACCGGACCCGGGCTGTGCATTCGATGATGTCGCACTCGCTCGGCCACTGGAATTGTCATCTTCCAGCCTGTTCGCCCCCGCAGAAAGGCGGCCTCGTCGATGACTAAAGGAGCTGCTGTATCGGGAGATCGGAGTAGGTTTAGGGGATGGGGAATTAGAGTATGATATAGCTTGTTCAGATGCAATGGTTATAGGTCTGCGCGCTGAAGCGGCAGAAGAAGGGGGCGGCATGATGCGTGAATCGGCAGATGTTCCTGTGGGGATGCGTGAAGACATGTTGCGGGGAGAAACTCCTAAGGGAGAGTCTGCTAAAGCTGGAGAAGCAGAAAGAGGAGGAGCTTTGAAGGGCTGGAATGAGATAGAGGGACGGCGTGGGAAATTTGAGCCTTCACCTTCACCGGCAATCTGGGCAGCACGCCCTGAAGAAACAACTTTGGCAGGAGAGAGGAGTCTCTTAGGTGAGTCTGTTGGGGAAGGAGACACTGCGCCCGAATCTCTCATTGCACGAAGTGCTGATATAGGGCTTGCACCTGTTATTGGGCCAACCTGATGGAAGGTTGAGAGGCTGCCATAGGCGCGTGTGCAATCTGGACTCTCGACTGCCCTTCTCTCCACTGGCACAGAACCGACTTCAGGATTTGGGCGGTGGACATCATCTGAAGGCAAGGATGGACGAAAGATCTCGTCGTCAGCACCCATAAACCGCGAGCTCAGTAGCGCTTCCGAGTCGTCAACACGGAAATCGCAGTTCGTCCGATACATGACTTGGACTGAAAAGGGACCTGCGGGCGACTCCGTGACTCCAAAGCTGTAGGTGTCCACCACTTTTTCGCTCCCCTCGCTCAGCGGGGCTGTTAAATAATCCAGTGATAAACCATCGCAAGGAGCGCTCCCATCTACCACACGGTACTTGATCTGGAGAGCTGGACTCTGCCGCAACTTTTTGTTGCGCTTAGAGAATCTCCATGCAGGCAAGAACTTGGAGTAGGTGAATAAGGATCGGAAGAGCACGATACTTTTTTTATAGACAGTCGGCAAGATAGACCCCAAATCTGCCGGAGGCCTGCTTGAAGACTCTCCCAACTCGATCCTCCACCGTTCCAAGATAATCTCGTCATTTTCCGATTGGTATGGCCTCGCACGGGCGCCCTCGAGCGCCGCAAGCGACTCGCGCACATCCCAACGCTTCCCATTCTCATCAAGAATCACCAGACTTTGATTGTTTGTGAGACCCTTTGTATCTAGGTATGTTTCGATAACCAGGGGTGGTGGTCGGTTCTCCGTTGCATCGCATGTTCTCCAAGGTCGCAGGGGTTCCCGAAGGACATCTGTATCATCTAATTCAACGTTGAACTGAAGCGAACCAAACAGAGTTAGCACCTGCCATTTTTGTATGCTTCAATGTCCCAAAAAGCATTCCAAACCCGACCATGAGATGGAAACGTACCCAGCGGTTGACTCTCGGGGACTCGGAGCCCTTGTTAAAGGAGGGAGGCAGCGCAACTCGTGAATGAAGGATAATCAAAGCAGCTTTTGTGTGATAGTTCTATTAAAAAAGAGATTAGCTGTCAACAAGCCATCCTGATAAGCCATTGGAGGGGCGATCTGAGTGACGATACCGATATTATCTGATTTAACCGGGTCAGGGCCTCCTTTCCCAGTGCCGCATTCCTCCCTTGCTCAGGCGGCTGAGGCCCCGGCTCTATCCCCAGTCCTCTTGCAGAATTAGATCCCATATCGACTGTTGAGGAGCTCGGGGCGGTTTCTTGTTCTCTGCGGTCGTCCCGAGCTGTCGGTCTGGGGGGAAAGTTTGGCGCCGGAGAGGGTACCGCCGATGATCGGGGATGTTGATGCATGGTGGGCGCCTAATTGCGGACGCGTGGTTAGTGACCATCGACACACATATGAACAAGAGGTGAGAACGATCTTACCCTAGAGCGGGAGTTCTGGAGATGAGTGTTATCACCGCCGGAATCTGTTATCAGGAACGCAATCGGGCAGCGATAGTTCCAGGGCTGTGGGCCATGCTAACAGAGGAGAATGATATCCTTTAAGGAAGTTCCTGAATCTGAGACGCTAAATGGTTCACGATAAGACAATGGACGCCCAGCATGTGGTCTGGGGCTCTGGCTTGGGACCTTGGGAGCAAGTCTAGAGCTTCTCCGCACGGGCAAATGCAGTTGGAGGAAATCACCTTGTGAGACGTAGAAAAGCGAGAGAAATAGGAGAAATCCCGTGAGATAGAAGTGAGAATCGAAATGGATGTGGAGAAAGATAGAGAAGGGGTGTAATAATGAAGATAGTTCGTCTGTGACGCACATCCGGTGACTCGACAGGTCTCGAGTGTCCTAGTCAGCCTAGAACGCCACGCAGATGATGCAAACACGGGGAATTGTTGCCTATATCCTGCAATATTCTAGGCTCTCGTTCTTTTGTTTCATATCTCTTGTCTTTTAACTAGAAGGTAGAAATAGACTGTTGTACAAGCCGGGTATGATGCACGGTCGCAAGGATCGCCGTACCCGGGGCAATGGTACCCTGGAACCGATAAGGCCTGATCACGACTTACAAGGCGCAATATCAAAATATCTTTCTATTAGCTCTAGGTGTATGAGTAGATGATCATTTATATCTGAGTATACATGGTTTATATAGATCTTGCAAGATTTCCCCATATTCCATTTTGGCATGTTACACCGTTATCTGATCCAACGTCATAACTTCATTGATCATATTGTGGATTGGTAACTCCCTATGTTGTAGGTAGTATGTAGGAACTCCTATTGTTGATGATAGACATTATGTATTGAAATAAAATAAAAACTTATGTAGCCACGTAGACAAAGGATATCTAAGAGTGACTAAAGGAAACAAAGAGAGAATGAGTGACTTCATAACCTTGCTGCGTATTTATATATAGATCAAGAATATATACAATGGTTGCAGCTCAACTTAAACGCTCATTATGACCAACGGTAGTAGATGTCAGCATTCGCTTAAAGACTGACCTTGAGCACTCCAACAGGGTCGCTCTTGAGATTTGAGTCCTGATCACCTAGATGGGACAGCCCGTCAATGAGCTTCACTAGAATAGGCTCAAGCTGCACACCAAGAGCAAGAGGGTTGAGAATGCTGCCAAGCTCAGTATTCGTAGTGCAGCCACTCTTAGTCGTGCCAGCAAAGGCATTCTGGACAAACTTGATGGCATCGGGAATGGCGATGATTTCAGTAGTCGCGTGACCACCACTGGCGTAAGTAGTAAATTTGGTGTTCGCATCCCAGTTGCACCAAGAATTAACCATGGTTTTGGCATCGGCGTAAGGGATGACTTCATCATATTTGGCATGGTACACAAAGGTTGGCGCCGTGGGAGTTTCGTCCTTGTTGACAGCCATGGTGTTTTGCTTGAACACCGACTGAACGATCGGTTCGAAGATGAAAGCCTCACCCATAGTTTGGAAGCTAGTGTCAAAGATAGACCGTTCGAAGAATGCTAAGAGATCCGTAGTGCTGCATTCGGAGGTAGCGGTGTCCAGTATCTTTTGACCATCTGCCGTTATGATCTTGCTGATGAGAGGGGCCAGCTCGGCACCGTAGGCGCTTGGCTTTGAGAGACCAGCAATAGCTGTGGGGAGGAAGCCACTAAAGGCTGTGTCATCAATCTGATACATCGTGCCGGTGAGGTTCGAGGGAGTTCCACCCTGCACCCAGCCCTTGATATTCAGCTCTGATGCGTACTTAGGCTGCAAAGATGCTGCCCAGCCGGTAGCAATGGCACCACCTGAATAGCCGATACCAACAACCATGGGGTTATCGGTGAGACTCAAGGTCTTGAAGCTTTTCACGGCACGGATACCATCCAATACACCCATGCCTGCGAGACGACCGGGTCCAAAGGCAGCATCGGGTCCCTCATAGTCAGGAGAAGCGACAGTGTAACCAAGAGCAAGGTAGATCTCAATTATCAATTGCTCGACTGAAGCTATCAAACTGTCCTGTGGTGCACCGAGCTGGTAGCCGTAGCTAGGCTGGCATTTCGTCGCAGAGCTATCGTAGGCCGTGGCGAAGGAAACGAAACGATCGAGCTTAGCGTTCTTTGGCTTAAACACCGTGGTAACTGTTGCAATGGCCGAGCCATTGACTGCAGTCGTGCGGTAAAGCAGCTGGTAGGCGTCCACATCAACCGGGACAAGTCCAAAGAACGCGGCATTGATGCTGCGTTGGTTTAGGATTGTCCCAGGCGCCGTGGATGCGAAGCCGGCAGGCGGCTGATAGAACGGATCAGTGTCGGGAGGCTGAACTGTACTGCGAGGGGCTTGCGGCGCAGGCAGGGCTGAAGCAATTGGCATGAATGCCATCAGGCCAACCAGGGCAAGGCGCACCATGCGCGCAAGGGACAATGCCATTTCCTGCTCTATGTAAGAGAGTTAAGGCTGCGATGCTGCTGTTACGAGGAAAGGAGTCACCTTCACATTATATACTTGGATCTAAACATGATACCTCTCTCTCTGTGAACGTGATTGATATTTGATACCGAGGCTGATGAATAGGGGGATGATCATCACCTGGCTTCTGATGATGGGGAGTAAGCTATCCAGGCCGATACATGATCTATCTGATGCCCTGCAGATCGCCCTGTTGATATGATGTTAGTTTTATATCTTTTGCCCACAGAATTATGAAAACATGAAATTAGCAGGTTGATCTGCGCATAAACTTATCACACACTCATCATCTATCTTTTTTTCCCTTCAACATCTGGATGAAAGTTGGAATTTGACAAATTTGGAAACTCGTGGAGGATCGGCGCTAGCCCCGCAAAAAGCCCTTCCTTGCTTCCGTCTCATCCGTAAAGGGCACGATACAATATCCCGAGGATATTCCGAGGCTGGATCTGTTGTAATGAGACATTTTTCTCGGAGAAAGCCCCTTCTGCAACAGATACATTGTGGATATGCCTCGGGTCAGAATAAGCACGTCTGTTTCTGTACTCCGCATATACCTAATTGGCTGTGCACGGGTGCTCTAACCCGACATTTTCTTAGCGTTACCCCTCCTTACGCGGAGTATATCTTGCAAGAAGCAGTTTCTTGCATAATGTGTGATTATTAGCTTTGTATTGGCGCTTCACATGAAAGGGGTTGGGTTGCATTCTTCGGCTTGGTTCATGTTAATATATGATGTTGACAGGCCAATGACATACTTCAATTTTTGGCAAGGATAAAGCCTAGTGAGAAGTAGAACTCGCAAAGGGATAAAAGACCGGTTGGTAGAGGTAGAGATGAGAGGGGAGTATATGCTCATGGTATACAACACAAGGATGTAGTAGTCTACAATATACTATAGGGTATACCTGGGTGCCTGAAGACTTTGGTTGTTTTGATGAAGAGGAGATCAAATCTCATCAACGCCCAACAGTGATGGATGGCATCCAGTTTTCTTTTTCTGGATAATTCTGAGACATAAAGTCTTTGATTTACTGCAGGTTCCATTTCTTCTTGTCTTTCCTCCCCTTTTCTTAGTGTTCTTCCCCACCATTTACTTATATACCACATGTAGATCCTAGAATGAACCCCGGGATGTGCCAGTTTGGCCCCACATGATTTTTGTGGGTATTGTAGAACAAATTTGCGATCTAGCCAAGATTCAGGTCTTTATTTAGGTTGCTAGATTATCAAGCTGTGGTTTGATTCATCACAAGTAGGCTTTTTGTTTATATAACTAATAAATAGACCACCCTATAACAAGATGGGGCTGTGGCGCAACGGTAGCGCGTGCGACTCCAGTTCGCAAGGTTATCCGTTCAAATCGGGTCAGCCTCATTTTCTTTTTTGTTTTTATCGTATTTTTAATCTTACATAGACAGCTGGCTGGGAGATATCTACGTACTGCTTACAGAAATTAGCAGGAATCATTCATCTCATGGTTCATCAATTTACATTCATGGGCGCTTCCAAGCTGCGCATGAGTGGTGTTTTTGGTGCCCATGTAATCAAAGCGCTAACCGTCAGGGATCTTCCCTATCAAAAGTCGATCACTCCTTTGTTCAGGGCAGCCTAAGTGATTATCATGTCTAAGCCTAATATAATAATTAATGTCGAGGAAGATCTCCCAGGACGCTTTATGGTAAGAAAATCATCCCATAACTATGGCCTGTAGAATGTCGTCACCGATATTATTTTCAGCCACTAATTTACCTTGTCGTAAACAAAACTCAAATACAGCAGTCTCTTTATTAATAGAGCCATTGTAGCAACGAAAGGTCTTTGACGTTTTTCTCTTTATTCTATTCAAGGACTCTACACCTCGCATCCATCCATGAATGTTAAATGTTACTATATAAACCCCTCTCCCCCGGGGCCCCTTCAGACTGTCTGTTATGACTTGGCGTGATCAATAGAGAATTTTTCTTGAAAGACAACAGATTATCTAGCAAAAAGTAGCCTTCATCCGCCGAAGGTCAGTCCTCAACCCTATCCATTCCACTGGCTGTCAAAATGTATGTTCAGGCAAGTCCCTTCGTAACCTGCAAGTATCACAGTATTCCCGATCACCATATCCCAGATCCTCGTGACGACGGGAAGGGCTATTGCTGGGTCAGTGTGATACTCCTTCCGGAGGCGAGGAATGGCACACACAGCGACGAAGAGATTATGTCCTTTGTAATTCAAAAGTGCAAGGCTGGCAAAACCGCCATGACCCATCAACCACTGCATGGGCTTGGAGATCACTGTATCTCGTTGCCAGTCAAATGGAATACACCTAGACAAAATCTGCGTACAGTTCGAGATCAGGCTGCAGCTCTCGCATCATGGTGGCTTGTCAAAATTCGTGAAAGGAGGGTTACTATCGATCAGAAGATGATTTTTGACGACCGCACCACAGGAGAGTTCAAAAATATGTTAAATGTAATCCCCCCCGAGTGGGAAAAGCCCGAATATTCAGATTAAAGCAGATGTTCTGCAGATTGTTGTTATGGCAAATCATCGTTTGTTCTGTCGGTAGATTTTGCCGAGCTTAGCTAGATGGAAGATGTGAATAGGTTTCTCATTTGTTGATTTCAGCCAAGATAATCAGTAGACCAATATATCAAATCGTTTTAGTCATTAGAGAGGTGAAAGGTAAAATTAATTGCTTGAACTAGTAGATGATTATGTAGTTGAGCAGCTGGATACTCCTGAGGCTTATGGGTCGCTCCAAGGGATGTTGTTAACAAACAGCTTTTTCCTGAGGCTAGTCACCCTTCCTGATGATGTGGGTGTTTTAGTATCAAATAGACAGATAGTCTGCTTTCGGCACTTAGTCATATCATAAGCTATAGATATTGAGCGCGTGCGTTGACCTTAAAGAGAATTGGTGATGGAGGACAGGGCTAAGTCTGGATGAAAGAATGGAGGTCATACTATATTCTAATAGAGGGATGCGGAGAACATCTGATCCCTGAAATTCATGTACATCCTTGGGGGGCGGTGGGCGTTGTTTATGGGTGACTTCTAAGAGGACCCTATATTGTGTTGAATTCCAGAAAGAGCAACGGAACAAGATTGAAGGATAGGTATGTATAGCGAGAATCCTTTGAATGTAGCGATTTGATGCAACATGATAGCTAACTTGCTGCAAAATCATGGAGCAATAATCATGATACTCCATTGAAATTAGCAGTTCAAATGGCCAATGAAGAAGATGGGATTGAGATTTCTGGAAAGTTCCAACCTTGGAAGGTTCCTGGGATAGGTATAGCCGTCATCCTATTATGAAAGATACAAAGGATTGGATATTCTCTGCATAGCTCATCTCTTCTTCCTTATCCCTCTCCCCCCCTCCTCACCCATTTAGCAAATAATCTAGACTTTCTCACCTATCTTCACTCGCTACCGCCATGGCCGTTATATCTACCCCAAAGTTGCCCGGCCAAGGGCTCGGTGACCCAGTGCTTCTAGACAAGATTGACCGGCTTCTAGCTTGCAACCTCGGTGAATATGTCAGCTTACTCCAGCTTGTTGTTGTGGGAGACCAGTCTAGTGGGAAAAGTTCTGTTCTTGAGGGTCTCACAAAGCTGCCGTTCCCCAGGGATAGTGGGCTGTGCACTCGGTTTGCTACTCAAATCATCTTCCGGCGGATTAGAGCGGACACAAAGAGGACTATCAGTGCCTCTATCGTTCCAGCACACGGTCAAGACCAGGAGCATACTTCTCGTTTGGCAGCATGGAGAGGAGTCAACATGGAATCAGAGTCGCTCGATTCCGAGTCCTTCGCTCAAATGATGTGTGAAGTAAGCTCGGCTAGTTGAGAAAATCATAACTGAACATGGTTTAATGGCTAGTTACTACAGGTTCACCAGACTATGGGCTTATCGTGGCTCCGAAAATGACACTTCTAAGCCCACCTTCACCCGTGACGTCTTTCGGTTGGAGATTTGTGGACCCGAAGAAGATAATTTGAGTATCATTGATGTCCCGGGTATCTTCAAGAACACTACAGCTGGTCTCACTACTAGGCAGGATATGGATATGGTGAACGATATGGTTCTGGGCTACATGCGCAACCCTCGCTCCATTATGCTGACCGTGGTCCCCGCAAATGTGGACATAGCTACTCAAGAGATTCTGGAGATGGCGCGAGAGTGCGATCCTCAGGGAATTCGCACACTGGGAGTGTTTACCAAACCAGATCTAGTGGACAAGGGTGCCGAAGACAAGATCATCGACTTAGTTGAGGGCAAAGCCCATTGCTTGGCGCTTGGCTGGATCGTTGTGCGCAATGCCGGTCAGCAGCAGATACTTGACCAGAGTTCGGACCGAGATGTCATTGAGGCCCAGTTCTTTCGCGAAAATCACCCATGGAACAACCTTGCGGCAGAAAAATCTGGCATTATTGCCTTAAAGATTCGCTTGCAAGATGTTCAAACGACTCAAATTCGTCGAGTTTCCCAAGGCACGTCTCGTCATCTCGCTTTTAGTTTGCAGGTCTGACTTACTGTATATATAGATGCGCACTGATGTTAGTCGAAAACTGAAGGCCATGAGGCACGATTTGTCTGCTCTTGGAAATGAGCGAAGTACTCCAGAGCAGCAGAGAAGCTTTTTGCTCGATATCATAACGAGGTTTCAAGATATTGTTTCGCAAGCCATGGCAACCTCATATGGCACACACGAGTTATTTGACAAAGAAAAACATTCCCGACTGGCAACAATAGTCAGAAACCGCATGGATGTTTTCAAGTCCGACATGGAAGACTATGGGTTTGAATACCAGTTTATCAGTGAAATTTCCAATAAATTACCTACCCCGATGGAACGGATGGAAGACCATGAAGACCAGGAAGATAGTGGAATCCCTGTTCGCAAGCATATGAATGTGTCAGAGCATAGTGGCGTTACTGATATCCTTCACGAACAAGAGATTTTGAAAAAGCCACCAAATGAAAGCATCCTCGTATGGATCGGGGACCAGTACCGTGCCTCCCGCGGATTCGAGGTAGGGACGTTTCAGACCTCTCTATTGTGCACTATCATAAACAGGCAATCTGGCAAATGGACCGACTTCGCACTCGGATATGTCAGCGATGTGATTGATGTCATGCATACGTTTACGCTCAAAGTTCTCCAAGCCATCTGCCCGGATGAACAAATTCGCGACAAGTTGGTGAGTATCCTCGCCGATAAGCTGTCCAAGAGATACAGAGAAGCAATAGAACAGGCCCAGCTGGTTCTGGATGTCGAACGCATGAACGTAATGACTTTGAACGACAAATTTCACGAGAAGCTCGAGGAAACTCAAAAGAGAAGGTATGTTCGACTAGTCCATTGATCTATGAGATATACTGAGATCTCTTCTACCAGCCACCGTGAGAAGTATGAGCCCACGGAAGACGAGACCAGAGCTCCAATGAGTAACACCGAACAGACCGCTCGCTATATTCATGACATTCTGGCAGCTTACTACGAGGTGGCATCCAAGCGCTTCGTCGACAACGTCTGCATGCAAGCCACCGGCTACTGTCTGCTCACAGGACCACGCAAGCCGCTCGGACTTTTCTCACCCCAATTCGTTGCCAACCTGACAGAAGATCAGTTGACAGAGATTGCGGGGGAGAACGCGGTGCTGAGCCGGCGACGAACACAGCTGAAGAAGGGGATTCAGGACCTGGAAAATGGTCGAAAGATTATGATGTAGATCTCAGAGTATGTTACTAGGCGATTGCTACATGAGAAAACCGAAATGAAATGAAATAGAAAATGTTATACATAAAACATAGCTAGGCAGTATTCCCATGATGTACATAAGAGTGCATCATCCTATCACTTCCCCACGGGCTCTGTCCTGGATGATCCTCGCCTCTCGTCCGGGGGCATGGAGGGACGTGCGTGTCGTTATTGGTCAGAGTGATTTCACAGAAGGGAATAACGTCCATAAAGGTACATAATACGGACTTCGAAGGTTTTATTGGTCTTTCCCCCAAATATTTAAGAATGATCTAGAAAGATACATATTACTTTGGGGAGCTGATAACAAATTTGTTCCGTCTGCGGGGTTTTAAATCTCTATATCACTGAAGTCATACTATGTACGGAGTAGTCTCTACTTGATCAAGCAACGGTTTCGATATATCTCTTATCTATACTTATAAATTTTGTGTATCCTTTTAAATATCTAAATACTGCATTCGAAAGATATGCTTTGACCCATTTATATGTTTAACTAACCCGAAATGACCCGGAGCCTCCGATGTAAATGTACTACTCTATATATGTGCCTTTTGACCTGAATGTCGTTATAATCCACTGCGTGGCGGATCCATCCACGGATGACATCGAGGGCCAACCTGCCCGCCGGAGTCCTGACAAGTGCGACCCAGAACATCTTGCTTCTTCCAACCACCCGTGGACATCATCTCAGATATTTTAAACATCTTTCAGCCTACTGAACACCCTCGTTCCTCTTCCTGAAAAATTTCCAGTTGCCCACCAAATAAGCACTTTCGCCACACGCGCATACTCCAAGCCCACAATCGATTTTGCGACAAATCCACAAAAAATTGTGATATCACGGAGATCGCGTCGACGTACATAGCGTCGGAAATTCCTATCCTTTCCTATTGGACCAGAGCTCTCTTATCACCCAGCTCCCCCGTCGCGGTTCACCCCACTGTGGTGACGGCGACGTTCAGCTTGGGCCTGATAAGAGATTCGGCGCGTCGACGACTCCGGGCACATGAGTAACAAGATTTGGGAGTGTTTCATTCAAGATGATGTCGAGCAGTTCCAGCGGTTTCTGGCGAACGCTTCGTTCGCGGGGCCACGAGCCACAGGAGGTTCTGGAGGTTCCTCCGGAGCTGCGACAAACCTGTCATCGAAGGCTGGAAGCCCCGGATCCATGATTGCCTCATCTCCGAATCCACCAAGAAGTAAGAAGAACGTTGAATCCTCACCTGGGACCTTTTTATCCGATCGGGTAGCCCTCCCGCGCGGGAGCGCGACTTTGTCGCGCGCTGATGTCAATGCCCGCGATCATTACGGTCGTACACTGCTGCATCATGTCGCTTCGTCCTCGAAACCTACCGCCTTCAAGTTCGCACGCGCTTTGTTGGATGTTCCGTTTGTCGATATATATGCGCAGGACTGGGAAAGTGGATGGACGGCTCTGCATCGGGCTCTTTACGCCGGGAACGCTACAATTGCCCTGGCGCTCATGGCGCGCGACGTGCAGGATATGACGGATTTCAGCAAAGGTGGAAACACGAGCCATCCAAGTGGTGGTCTCATCAAGATCAAGGACCGTGAGGGTTGTAGTCCCTTTGATGTCTTCGGGGCGACTATTAGAGCCCGCGATATTAAGCACCTCTCTGAAAACTGGCCGAACCCAGATATTGATGATGATGTGCTGGGTAGCGATGCTGCTTCCAATGCTGCCTCAGCATTTGGAGATGATGGGGAAGATGGGGCATACACTCTTAGGAGTGCCTTCAAAGGGGCTGTGGATATTTCCGCCGATGAAGTTTTCACACTGGGAAGCAATAAAAACCTGAACCTTGGCCTAGGGGACCAGGATGACAGACAATTTCCCGAGCGCATCTTATTGAAGCGCCCTGAGCATCTTTTGCATCGGTTTTATCGTGAATATCAAGAGAAATTGGAACACCTAGGGCTCGAGGATAGCGTCCCGAAGAACAAATTGACCGAGCTGCCCACGTTGATCGCAAACAAGCCAATGAAGTTCAAAGACATTATCATGTCCAAACTGCATACGGCCATAATCACAGATGACCCCGAGGCGAATCTGTTCATGTGTGGATTTGGACCTGGAGGGCGCTTAGGGACAGGAGATGAGTCGACGCGGTTTACCTTTGCTTGTATTGAAACAGGTGGACTGGAAGGGAAAAAAGTCGTATCGGTTGCCCTAGGCCAAGACCATAGCCTAGCAATTACCGAGCAAGGTGATATTTTCAGTTGGGGAAGCAACAAGTTCGGACAACTTGGCTATGGCCTGCCCAGAACGAGCAACAAAAACGACGTTCCCATCCAGATGACTCCTCGCCAAATCTTCAACCCGTTCAAGAAAGAAACGATCATAGGTGCAGCCGCGTCGTCTATCCATTCGGTGGTCTTCAGCACCTCGGGTCTCTATACATTCGGAAAGAATGAAGGCCAGCTTGGCTTGGTCGATTCCGATGCGCGGTCGCTTGAGGTACAAACGACACCTCGGCGCGTTGGAGCATCTCTTTTCAATTGTCCAATCAAGATGGTGTCCGCCATTGACCGTGCTACGTCTGTGCTTCTGCAGAACCATGAAGTTTGGGTTTTCTCGTCATATGGCTATTCAAAACTCTCATTCCCACTGGAGGTGAGCTCGAGATTTATCAGGGATAGCTTCATGGTAACCAGATACGACAAGACTGTGAATCGTGTCGTCAAGATTGTATGTGGAGGCAACACCATATGTGCATTATCCAGCTCTGGCGATGTGTTCACTGTTCAAGCCAACCAGTCCGATAATTCCTCGACGTTAGTGTCCACAACCAATCCTGCAAAGATCCGGAATTCATTAGCAAGCCCGATTCGGGCATGGTCTGTTAAGAAATCATACATGGCAGCTAGTGATGTTGATGTTGGACAAGATGGCTCGATCATTATCTGCACAACATCTGGATCTGCGTGGAGGAAAGAACGGCGGACAAAGAACAAGGAGGGGGCCTCGAAAGACTACAAGTTTGCTCGCATACCCGGTCTATCACGGGCAGTGGCAGTGCGCAGCAATGCCTTCGGGGCCTACGCTGTCGCTCAACGTGACTGTGAAGTGACCAGAGAACAAATTCATGTCGAGCAAAGCAGCCTTTGGGATGATATGTTACCTCTGTCCCCATTTACAATGCCAGATCTGGAAGTGTTGGACTCGATCCTCGATGATAACGCACAGAATATCCCTTTTATACTTTCCTCCGGAAAAAGTATCCAAAGAGCCATACTTTCATCCTCGAACATTGAAAGCCAATTTCTTTCTATATGGACCGAAGGGACTATTTGGGTGACCAGCTCCCTATCCAACTCTTGCATTCCTGTTCATGAGTTTCTCATAGCTGGCCGTAGTCCTATTTTGGCAAAGGCATTGGCAGAGTTCCGGCAATCATACTATTCATCCGTCCCAGAAGTTTTTGATATTGAATACGGGAAGGACGGTCATCCCCAGATCCGCCTTCAAGGTGTTGATTTCTTGACCGTTATGAATGTGGTATTTTTCCTTTACACAGACGGCATCCTCGATGTTTGGCGCCTAGCAAGGAGCTCGCCCGCAAACTCAGCACGTTTCCGGCAGGTTCGCACTGAAGTTATGCGGGTTTCTATGCAACTAGGTCTGCCAGCGCTGGAACGGGCAGCACGACTAATGGTTGAGCCGCAAAGAAGCCTGAAAATGGATATGGGTCGTGCCATCAACGATTCACTCTTATTTGACAGCGCAGACGTGCTTGTGCAGCTCAAAGGTGATACAATCAGGGTGCACAGCCAAGTTGTGTGCCAGAGATGCCCGTTCTTTGACACTCTTTTCCATGGTCATGCGGGTGGAAGGTGGCTAGATTCACGAAAAGCGGACCCAAGCCAGAGTGTACATGTCGATCTAAAGCACATTGACCGCTCGACATTTGAATTTGTCCTGCGTTACCTATATGCTGATACAGAAGAACGACTGTTTGATGAAGTCCGGACCAATGATCTTGATGATTTCATTGACTTGCTTCTGGATGTAATGTTTGTGGCAAATGAGCTGATGATCGACCGACTTTCTCAAGTGTGTCAGAAGATGCTCGGTCGTTTTGTCACAACGCGCAACGTGTGCTATTTGCTCAATTCCATCGCCCCTTGCTGTGTCACAGAGTTCAAGGATGCTGCCCTGGAATATATCTGTCTCAATCTCGAGGCCATGCTCGCCAATAGATATCTCGAAGATTTGGACGCTACTCTCCTTGGGGAGTTAGATATGATCTGCCGCGAAAATCAGCTAGCATGCTGGCCCATATCCCGTGGGCGCAATTCTGAGGAGTATATCTTCGAGAAATACCCCGAAATTGTTAGCTCCGTGGAAGCAGATAAACAACGAAGAATTGATGCCATGACGTTACAGTCCCGCCTTGGTCGGTTCGAGCCTTATGATGCGCGAGCCCGTTCAACACCCAACGAGAAGGCTGCTTCATCTCCATCTGTGCGTAAAGCAAAGGCCGGTGTATCCGGAGAGTCCCCAAATGTTGATAGTAGCCCAATGCTGAAGCCGAGGCAGTCGGCTGGGGATCTCATGTTTCAGATGGACGATGAGGCCGCTATGTCGCCAAGTGCATCGAAAGGCAAGGGCGCCATGCGTGGACTCAGGTTCACAGAAGGCATACCTGAAACTCGATCATATGCTGACTCCCCAGCTTTGGGGGCAAGCGTCCCAGAGGCCGAGTCTTTGGGCGATCGTGGTTTCCTGAAAGATCGGATGTCTTCCCCGCAAGACTCACTACTAGCACAGTCTCCGTCTGAGTCCAGGGCAATCGTTCGAAACCAGAAACAAGCCCTAGCATCATCATCTAATCCACCTTCTGCGCCATGGACCTCACCAATGATTTCAAGCTCCAAGAAGGATATAAAAGACATCATAGGAGAAGCATTACAGTCTCGAGTATCAAATCTCACTCTGGGTATGGCAGATCGACGGGAAAGCAGCGGTAGCTTTGTACCCAAAGTCTCCCAGAAGGAGCGAAAGAAGCTTCAGCAACAACAAATTCAAGAGCAGCTGGCTGCCCAACAGAAGGCGAAGGATGCACCACAGAACCCCTGGCAGAAGCCAGCAACTTCTTCTCCTGCGTCGCTCCGTCAGCTCGACCCTCTGCCAGGTCAAAGCGCCCCGGCTTCCGAAACTATTAAATCACCTCAAAGGCCCATGACTATGCGGCAGACTGTGGCTGGCACGCCGCCGCCAAAGCCAAAGCCGGTGGCTACACCTGTGCAAACACAACACCGCAGTGTGTCGGGCAACCCGCGACCCTCCCCTCACTCGAAACCTTCCACACCGGGACCTTCGACATCAGCCCATAATAATAAACCAACATCACCACAGCCAGCCATCCAGTCAATTCGTCACATCCCACGCCCTGACCTAACAGGATCACGTTCTCCATCCTCTGGCTCGTACTCTCTGTCGACCATTTTGCTCCAGCAACAGACCGAAAAGGAAGCGATCCGTGAAGCAGCTACAGCCAAGCATAAAATGCAAGAGATCCAGGCTGAACAGGAGTTCCAGCAGTGGTGGGAGCAAGAAAGCAAGCGTGTGCAAGGACTGGTAGACCCAGAGCCAAATGAACCGAGTGGAAAGGGTGGACGAGGCGGCAAGTCACCTGGCGTTGCTGGTGGCCCGCGTAAACGTCGAGGCAACAAGAATAACGGTGATGGACCTGCCCCCCAAGATCACAGACGCGTATCGGCTCCCAGCCCTGGGCATACAACCCCCAGAACGAATCAGAGTGGCCAGACCCCAGCCCAATCTCAAAAAACTTCAAACAAAAATCGAGCTAGAGGTGATGCTGGCAATGCTAATGGTCGTCGTGGAGGCGGTAATCAACGCGGTAGGGGCAAGAACGACGCATAACAACATGAGAAGAAGGCATTCATTCTCTTATTGCTTTTCTTCTGTGCTTCCTTATTTCAGGTCTCGGGATACTTCCTATTGTAAATTTTCGGCTTCCATTCAATCTCCACCGTCGATATATGACTGCTTGAATTACAGTGTCAGCAGTTATCTCGTTGATATCTCCTAACATCTACCCATACCTCTTTCTTTCACCTATCCACAATGTTTGGTTCCTCTTATTTCTCAATTTAGAATCCGTTTGAGCAAATACGGCGTTTGATTGAAGCACTGGTCACACTTTAAATACCAGTATAGAATGATAGACAGCCTATTATTGATACACTACTTCTCGTCAACTTATGACCGTCTTCTCTTTTTCAAAATACAAACCTTTAGACACCTCGTTCATGATCAAAGATTGATTTGCTGAGACTAGGACTAACAGTATTCGATTTTTACCCTATGAACGGACTTCCCATCGCACAGTTGCCGGCTGCATAGGACGTGAAAAGAGAGACTTGAAAGAAATCAGCCACGTATGCTTATCAATGCAAGGCAAAGAAACTCCAAAGACTTACCGAGTAGTCTGTGTCTGGCACACCCTCCCTCCCCTCGGGATTGAAAAACTTGAACTCCCTCACAAGCGTGGCGACAATGACCTCTAAATTAAGATACGCAAATTTCTCACCAATGCAACGATGTCTACCGGCCCCAAATGGTAAGTATGGACTGCGCGTTCCCTTGGAGACAGCCCCATATCCATAATCCACCGTGTCAGAAGTATCCTCAACCTCAACCCGACTCTCCCAGCGATGCGGATCCCATCGCAACGGATCGCGGAAATACCGTCCATCCCGTGCCGTAACACCAGGCGAAGAGAGCAGCGTGTGCGATGGAGGCACAACAAACTCAGTCCCAGGAACCGGCATCGGATTCTTCACTTTCCGCATGAGTGTATGAATAGACGAATGGATACGCAGCGTCTCTTTAATCACGTTACGGTGCAGCGGGAGTTTACCCATATCCTTGTACTGCAGTGGCGGGAGATCAGCGCCCAAATTATGGATCTGTTCAGCATACAGCTTCTCTGTCATCTCGGGTTGCGAAGCGAGTCGGAGAAGAATCCAGCAGCTGATCGCGGACGACGAATGTTGGCCCGCCATCAACAACGTAATCATCATATGCGCGATCTCCTTGTCTGGGATTGGAGTCCCGTCGCGGTACACACAGCGCATTAGGTTCGAGATCATGTCTGTGCCTTTAGCTGTATCCCTGCTGTTGACGTTGTCTTCTTCTCCGGCTTCCCGTCGCGCTTGGATAATTCCCAGATAGATCTCGCGCATACGCCCGTGTGCTTTATCTCGCTTGCGGTTGTGAGGCAACGGTGCCCAGGGAAGCATGAAGTTGATTGGGGTGAAGCCGAGGTCGAGGTCGTGGAATAGGTCGGCGAACTCAGAGGTCAGTTTTGAGCGCACTTCTTCGCCTTGGAGGGTGCGGGCTGCTGTGAAGACGGTTATCTCAGCCATTGCGGCAGCGAGGTCAATGGTGCCGGATTGGCCTTTGAAGTTGGGGGATGATTTTATGTAGGCGCTTGTTTCGTCGGCGATTAGGGGCACATAAGATTCTAGGGCTTCTTGGCTTAGACCGTATTTGATGAACTGGTTTAGCGGGGTTGGGAGTTAGCTTTGGATATGGAAGGTATAATGAGTGACCAGAAGTGCGTATACCTTCTTTTGCTCCATAAGTTTGGAGTTGGGACAGTCGTAGACAACATCAGATCCAAAAACGGGCGTTGTAAGCTTGCCGTAGACTTCTTCAGCGTTGACGTCCTTCAATTTTCCATTAAGGATAAACTCGTTACCTTCAATACCGAGGTATACGGTTGTTTTCTTGCCTAGCAAAATGAAGGTGAAGATGTCACCGTACTGGGTGAATTCGTTAGTAGGCGCTGTCTTCAATTTGGAAGCATCAAGACCTGCAATAAATACACACCTTGGCACGAGAAGCGAAGAAGAACTGGTACGGATCCATGCCATAGGCGATTGTACTTCCAATAAAAGGAACCCAGTGAAAAACAACAGGTGGTTCTTTTCTGTTGTAGAAGACGAGCTGGTTGATCACATTGAGGACGATTGACGCCAGAATCAGTCCGGCAGTATAGTATGCGATGCACAGGATCTGACCTGCTACCAATGAGACGAGATCCATAGTTTTCTTGTAGATTTACGGAACAGAAGTAGGAAGATGTTTGGAGTCTGGAGTATGAGGCCATATATAGTTAGGGTTTTTGTAGGACAAATCAGGAGGGCAGGATTGGCGATTAATCATCAGGTCAGGCCATCTAGCCCTGCCCCGGATGTCACAGCAGCCGGCGCAGCAATGGCCCCTTGGGGGAGAGCCACTCTCAGGCAACCGATTTGTTTTAGATCGACCAGAAATAGTGGGATTGCGATTTCCATGTAAAGTTGTGGCATTGGCTACTTATATCAACATAAGGGAGCAAAAATGCAAGTGTAAGAGAGAAAAAAAAGAACACGGAAAGATAAATTATGTTCAACCTGATCGCTGTGATGAAAAATCAGAATGCGAACGCTGAACAACCATAGAGCTCACCGTCATAAACATAAAGAGTGAAAAGAAATAGGGTGAAAATCATAAATTAGCCGTGGATGGCGACGTCTCGGCTCTCCCACATCCGGCGGATCAGCATGGCGCTATCGTTAATTTGGAATGCTTCGTCATTATCACCACTCAGGTCATGCGAAGCCTCGGCTGAAGTGGAGAGAATGGGATTAGATAGGTCGTTGGACTTGGCAGCCTTGGTGGTATTGGTAGGTTCATTTGTTGCTGGATCTCCAGAGGCGGTGGGGGTTGAATTATGCGATTGGGATTTAGATACAGGGCTGGAGTTGAGGTTACTAGGCCGTTTGCCTTGCTGCAAAAGGGGCAGCGAGGGTGCTGGTTTGACTGGTTTGCCGAGAGCTGATTCTTGCTCTGCTTTGTTGGCTCGGACAATATGACGAAGACGAGCGAAGCTCTGGCCGGTAGGAGACTGAAAACGCCGCACAACCATCAATTCCAGAGATGTCTTCTCGTACGCCTTGCGGATATGACGGGTTTCGCTGTCGTGTCCTGCACCACCAGCTCGACCGTCACCACTGAGCCCCCTGCTGGCGTCATAAGTGCTAGCACCGGGGCGTGTGTGGCTAGCGGCAATAAAATTCGGGTCAATGGCAGATGGCGGAGCTGCCGCGGCCACTCCATGGTTATCAGGAGGAGAGTTGTTGAGGGTGGCGGTACGTTGAAGCCAGAGCTTCTGCTGTGTGCGAGACGGCAGATCAGCACCACGCGGTCGCGCAGGAGACGCGGTCAATTTGGCCGCTGCACTGTTTGGCGACGGCGGTGTTTGCGGATGGTAGTGCGGAAGGAATGACGAGGGGGTATTTGGATCTGAATCGGTGCGAGAAGATGCCTGCATGCTATTCTTGTTGTTTAAAATGAACCTCGAAACTCCACCTTCCATAGAGGATGAGGTAGCTTGGGGGTGGGAGCCCGGCATGCTGGCCATACTGGCTGTAGAGAATGTGCGCCGAGCGTTGTCCTGGCCAACAGCCAGGTTGAGAGATGCGCTACTGCGAGATGCGGGATTGAGATTCTTGGCCTCTGGCTTCACCATAGCCGAGATAGAGGACATGGCAGGGGGCGCTTTGGATGGGTGCGTAGGACTTAGGAGGCGGGTTGCTATGTCACTCTGTTCAGTATGTTGACTAGACTCCTCAGCCTCCTCTTCCGAGTCCTGCTGCGCAGCTTCCTCATCCTCACCCTCATCCTCATCCTCATTCAGTTCAGTACGCTCTCGGACGAACTTGGTTGTAATCGACTCAGGAAGACTAGTCGCTCGAGGCATTTGAGGATACGGTCGCTTGACAAAGGTAAGGTGATCGACAAGAACGGCGCTATTATCTGCGCTGGGATTGGATGGTACGACCGAGTTGCGCCTCGTACTTTCGGGTGACTGCGTGGTATCTTCCCACTCAGCTTCGTCGGTCTCGTCATCCCCCAGCTCAAAGCCGACCGTCTTTTTCTTTACTGTACCGGAGGGCGGCCGTTCGGTCACCAACGCTTTCTTCCCAACGGCTGATGTGTTCCGACGCAACACAGGAGTGGAATAGTTTCTCTTCATGGAAGGATCGGTTGTATGATTATCCACAGCGTTATCCCAGCGAACGTGCCCGCTTTCCTTTGGACTTGCCACTGGAGTTACGGGGGCTGACTTCTTGCGTTGATGATGCCGCCCAGCAGTCTCGGGACCTAGTTGGAATCGCTGAAGTTTGTTGAAGGTTTTGCCAGTAGAGGGGTTGCGGTGGTGATTGCGGTGAGCACCAACAACATGGGCGCGGTGAGGTTTCTGATGTAGAAGTGCCTTCTGCGAGTGAGACAGCGACAGGTCATGAGGATTAGCGGTGCGCGTGACAACTGCATGGGAGGACACTGCACGGCGACCGAGACCGGGGCGCTTGACGGGTGAAGAGGTATTTGAGGCGTTAGAGGTAGGCATGGCGGTAAGCGAAAAGCTCCCAGAGGAGCCACAGGCGGGTAATCAGCTGTGCTCAGGGCATAGAATGTGGGGATTGGCCGAGGCAAGTTGGTCAAGAGGTCTCACGGCAGATGAGCATGCAGGCAAAAGGCAATGAAGACTCAATAGTTGGAAGCCGGGTTACACTGGTTTGAACCACCACCAATAATAAATGAAAAATCAATGGAATGCGAAAAGAAGAAGAACAGGAGAGAAATCCGGGGCGAATTAGAGAAGTGAAAAGAGAGAGGTTGATCTCGCTGTCTTCGGCGATTAAGGAGTGGGTAACATTTTGTGGAATGCCTAAGGCAGAAGAACCATTCTACGCCGCAAAGGTTATCTATCGAATACTTTGTAAACCTAGTGGACAGATTACATAGTCTTCCAGCTACATGATAAAAAACAATAACTTAACAAAAATTGCAACTCAGAGAATGCACCTAAAGGGCCTTGTAGGATATTGTACATGACAAATACAAATCCACGTTACCGGCAGTATAAGTACAGAGGGGTATGTATGTAGGCGATGCCCTTTCGTGTATACTTGAGATCCCTTCATTCACCTCTTCAAGCTACACATTCAATTTGCTAAAAGTCTTCAGGTATCATCGGACGAAAAACAAAAACGCAAAGATGAAACCATAGATAACGCCGAAAGAAATGTAATTACGCTATAGGTCAATCAGGTTTTCCTCCACTGGCCGTGCTGGTTGCTGATAAGGCGCTTGCGAAGTCTCCTGTGCATACGGTGCCGGTTGTCCAGCATTAATCGAGGGATGGGTAGATGGCATAGCGTTAGGAGGTTGTTGAGGCTGGGAATGTGACTGGTAATAGTAAGACTGAGAAGGGCCCATTGCCTGTTGATGAAGTGCTGGCGCAGTAGACGGCACAGAATAACCCGGCGATTGCGCATACCCAGCAGATGCGTGTTGCTCGGGCACGGGGGTAGGACCGCTAGGAGGCGCACTGGCCTGATACTGAGAGTCCCGGCGCATAATGGGCGACGGTTGGTATGGGGGCTCTGGGCCTGGTGACTTCGCTGATTCCGGGTCTTGCGGTCCTGCATAATATTGACTCGGGGCACTTGGTGCCGGGGTAGTGGTATAGTTATTTGGAATGGTGTTGCTAGGTGAAGGTGATCCAAGAGTCGGGTAGGTATGTCCACCCCAATTGTGACTATGAGACTCATTTGGGGGTGCTCCGTGTTGAGTTGGTGATACATAGGCGGGGTTCTGGACGGCGCTGGGTGGACCTTGGAACCTGTCACCGTTCACCTGTTGTGGTGCATACATAGTAGTAGGTGGGCGAGAGCTGTCCATTTGAGTTCCATAATAGAAATTCTCGGCCCCGCTCTGGACGTCGGCGGCGTGGGTAGGGAACGCTGGTGGAAGATTTGGATACTGCGCCGCCCCAGGAACAGCCCCATGGCCAAGGGTGTGTTGGGAATAGGCATTGGTCAGACGCTCTTCTAGCATCCGATCGTAGTAACGTACAACCGTAGAGAGCTTGGCGTGGAGATCCAATAATGTATCTATGACGATTAGCTTGCGGTTCTATAAATAAAGATGTTAAAACAGTTGAACTCACCATGCTTACTCATGGTCTCTCCATAACTTCGAGCCAGCTTCGGTCGAAGCGCACCAATACTCTCATATAGCTCCTGGATCTGTGGCTCTCTAAGAATTGTGCCCGGCGGCTGATGCTGGAGCCGATCAACCAGCGTAGAGAAGAGATGAATATTCTCAGTTTCAACAGGGGTCAGTTCGTATGGATTTTTAGGCAACGCGGTGGGCGTGCTAGAGGAATCGCGCAAGATAGAACTTGGAGTGGGCACGTTCTTCAATGCGGCGGCATGGTTTTGCTTATGTTGTTCCATATCACGCATGGACGCTTCAATCGCAGCCTTGAGATCCGCATCTTCCTCATCCACATTCTCCGGCCCTGAGGCGGGCTTGGCGAGTTCTGGAGCGTTGCCTGTCTGTGGGACAAACCCTGAAGAACCTCTACCCTCGGCTTCATCGAGACTCATTTGCAACGCTCGACGCAAATCCTCATCGAATCCTGTATCCGCTTTACCAGAACGAGGTTCCATTGTGTTAGATTTGCTGATAGAGTTGTTTTTAAACGCAGATCGATCCGAAATTCCCGGTGGCGCAAATGACTTGGAGGTCAATTTGGCATGGCATCCATCATCTACTCGGACCGGCTGTAGAATTCCAAGATGCGGCAAAGGAATGGTCTTGCTTGAACACTGAGCGTCGAAAACGTTGCCGCAGTTACGACAATGGTGTTTGCGATTCATAAAACTGAAGGCAGTCCGACATCGCATGCAGACTTCAGAGTCGATCCACTCTGGAGGCTGGGCAGATTCATACATTAGCTTCTACTTCAGAACGAAGGTATTGACGCTCACTCACCGCGCTACTTTCCAGCATACTGCCGCTCATTTCTGTCTTTGGTGGAAAGTGGTAACCTTCGCTCTGCAATTTGCGATATGTCTCCCCCAAATAGATTAAATCCATACGGCCCTGTGCAGCCATCGCCCAGTTCTGAATAAGTTCCAGTATTTTGCCCTGTACCTCAGCATTCAAGGGAGCGCCTTCAGATTTCAGCAATGACACAAGGTTATCCATAAATTCCCGAGACGCGATCTCAGCCAGGAAATGTGTGCCTCCGTTTTTGACACACGTATCCGTTAACTGTAGGGGTGGGCTTATCAGCGCTTGTTCCGAGCCTATCATCAACATCAACGGGGAGAAATGTTTACCTTCAATGTCGCCAGCTGGATATTGGGATTCCTATTCTCAAGTCGTCGTTTTAAGGACCTCATGCCATCCTTGGGCTGAACGCTCTTTGATCGAACCATATCTGATATTTCTAGGTTGAGAGCAATGTCTTCCCTAAGAGTGAGTTAGCCATATGATCATGGAACGCAGACAATCTAGGTGGATAGCCCGGTGCATGTAGGCAGGATAACAATGTAGCGATCAATACTCACAGGGAGGAAGCTGTCGCCCGCTCGATTTGCTCATCGAGCGGCGAGGTTGAAGAGAACCAACCTGCCATGTTGAAGGCAAGACACCTAATGCGCGTGTTATATGGAAGGGTCACAGATGGAAGTAGTGTTGCAGATAGCCAAGACACTTAAATGCAGCAAATATGAAGATCAGGCTGGTAAGTTGGAGGAGGAGCTCCAGGCACCTCAAGTGACTAAGCCCCTGGCGTCATAGGCTGGGGGCGGTGAAGTACTGTCATCTGATTACCCCAGAGGCATCCCGCATTGCGTTCCTGGATCTGTCCTCTTTACTCGGTTCTGTCTCTCGTTATTTATGTTTTTTATTTGAACTTGATTAACTTTTGGGCGGATTGGTTACGCCAGTGTTTTGGCTCTACTCCCTTTTTCTTCCTGAACTTGGACACAACCATGCGCTAAGTCCGCTTGTCGCTGCCTGGATCCACCATGTCCTCCGATGCGGCGACTTTGCCATCTCCTCCGAAGGTACCACCGTGGAAGGACAGCCGGCGTCCTTACTCGGTGGGGAGCGACATGAATTCCAGCGGAAAATTCAACGGAGCGGATTTATATCCCAAGAGCAAGGCCCCTCTCGTCCCACCGCGGCGACCTCGGTTCCCCAATATCAAAGACCTGCAAGACCAGGCTGCTGCGTTAGATGTTAACGACACTACACCGGTATGTACGGCGATTACTGGAAATCGTGTGTATTATTTCTTCTAACGGGCATCGTAGCTTGATATTCTCCTGCCAACGGCTGCCGATGCAATCGAAAGAGCCAGAAACCTCGCAGATGACAACTACAACGACAAAGCCTACGTCCAGTACCTTCGGGCCTCTGAAATCACCATCAACATCATCCCCCATCATCCAGACTATCGAACCGCCAGCCAACGCCCTAATTGGTATAAGGAGTTCGCCGATCTAGTGAAGGCGGTACGGGCCAAACAAGGCACTATGGATGCGATCAAGCAGGACATTATTGAGGATAATTTGGTCAGTGGCATGCAGCCAACTGGTATTTTTACATCCAGATCCCCAGAACAAATTTCTGTCACGCCACGGGGCCGTGAGAATCGAAAGTCTGCAACAAGCTTAGCTAGAATGCCAAGTCCGACTGAGTACCAAGGCATGCACGACACAGAGGCGCACTCGCAAAGATTTTCCAGTCCTCCAGATGACATGCTTGCGCAACGTTTTGCCAAACTCAAGGCATCTCCCCCTTCCAACCAGTATGGGTCGGGAGCAAGTACTGCTGGATCGGGAAGCCCAATAGTAGGATCTGCAGGGCAGATCCCACTTCATCCGAACGTACCATTTGGGATATACAGCTCCCCACCGCCACGACGTCCACTGGGACCTCGCAGCATGGGATCTTCGTCGAATGTGCCGACCATTCCACCGAAGGTTCCGCTTAACACATCGTTACCACGTGCTCCAGACCCAGCCTATAGCCCTGTCTTTACCGTGCCATCAAAGCCCCCATCCAACCCACCGAGAAGGTCAACGGAGAGCACACGCTCAGGAAATCCAAAATACTCACAATTCAGCAACTCCCCACGTGTCAGTCCAACTCGTGGAGGCTTTGATGACAATCCGTATAGATCTCTGACGCCCAATGGGTTGGATTCGGCGCGAGATACGCGAAGCAATTCACCCGATCTACCGTACAGCACAACTATAACAGCACAGAGCCTCCTTGAAAATCTGCGGAAATTCAATGTGCTACTGATCGATGTTCGGGCCCGAGACCAGTATGATAATGGTCACGTATATGCAAAATCTATCATTTGCATAGAACCTGTAATTCTAAAAGAGAACGTGTCGGCGGAAGAACTAGAGGAGCGACTCGTTGTTTCACCTGAGCATGAGCAGGCCTTGTTTGAGAAACGCAACGAGTACGACCTTGTGGTTTACTATGATCAAAGTGCCGATTCCGTCAGCTATCTCGCTGGCTCGCCGGTGGGGACATCATCACCCCATTTGAGGGCTCTACATGATACCCTTTACGAGTTCAATGCATACAAGCCATTGAAGGCCGGACGCCCTCCGGCACTCCTACTTGGTGGGTTGGATGCCTGGATTGATCTTTTAGGGCAACAATCCCTTGCGACATCCTCAACCGCTGCTGTCATGAGTTCTCTGCAGGCCAGAAAACCTGTGTCTAGACCTGGTCGGCCTCTCGGAAGAGTGCCTACCATGGCTAGTTCGAATTCAAGCCTCGAAATTCGGAAGAGACGACTGCGCGAGTTCACGCCTTTGAATTCGAAGGAGTTGTCCGAGTGGATGGAGAAATCTAAAGTCGAAGAGATCGACACGAGCACCTATGCTGAGGAAGACTCACTGGTGGAGGAACCCGAGGAGACTGTACCAGAGCCTCCAACTCCATTTGTCCACACATATGAAGCTTTCTTGCGTCGTTTCCCTGAACCGCACGATGTTCAACAATCCATGACAAACGCCGGTTCCCGCGCTCCTCTTGTTGCTGCTCCAAATTATGCTACACACATGCCAGTGACCCCCTCTCGACCACCCCCTGCTGTGCCCCGTCCCAGCTATAGCGGCGTCTCCGATGGACGGCAAATTCAACCGCATTTGCAACGACAGAATTCGGCGAATCAAACAGCCCTGTATACTCCAAGCTCTCGCCTAGATCGCCTCAAACTCCCACGGACTGGGTTGACCAATTTCGGTGTGACGTGTTACATGAATGCCACCATCCAATGCCTCAGCGCAACGATTCCACTGAGCAGGTTCTTTATCGACAACCGATTTCGCTATTATGTACAAAAAAATTGGAAGGGGTCTCAGGGTGTTATGCCGGGACTTTATGCGAATCTTACCCGGTCGCTATGGAAAAACGATGTCGAGGTCATCATGCCGACCTCGTTCCGGAACTTCTGCGGGCGCTTAAATCGAGAATGGGCCATCGACCGGCAACAAGATGCGAAAGAATTCTTCGATTTTGTGGTAGATTGCCTCCACGAGGATCTCAATATCAACTGGCAGCGAACACCACTTCGACCTTTGACCTTTTCAGAGGAGATGCAACGAGAGCGAATGCCGATGACCAAAGTTTCCCGAATTGAATGGGACCGATATTGCCACCGAGAGGAGTCTTTTATCTCGTCACTATTCGCAGGACAACATGCCAGTCGTCTGCGCTGCACGACCTGCCAACAAACTTCCACTACCTACGAGGCCTTCTACAGTATCAGCGTTGAAATCCCACCAACAGGTGCCGGTGATATCTATCAGTGTCTTCGTAGCTACTGCCAGGAGGAGATGCTGAGCGGTGACGAGGTCTGGAAGTGCCCACATTGTAAATGCAAGCGAATGGCAACCAAGCAGATCATTGTCACGCGAGCGCCCCAGATTCTTGTTGTCCACTTCAAGCGCTTCTCCGCATCCAAGACGCAAAGTGCACGAAAGATCCACACCCCCATCGAATTCCCGCTTCACGGTCTCCGGATGGACGATTTCGTTATTTCTCACCCTCTCCCTCCCCCTCCGGAACCCGGCATACCACCTACCACTGGTGCTACGGTCCCGCCATTTACCTACGATGCCTTTGCGGTGCTGCGGCACCTTGGGTCTTCGATGGGCAGTGGACACTACATCTCGCTGGTCCGTGATGCCGAGAGACAGTGCTGGCGGAAATTCGATGACGAGCGGGCCACGGACTTCAACCCGCGGGACCTTCGGGGGCGGGACCGGCTACAGAACGAACAGGCTTACATTGTGTTTTATGAACGAGTTCCAGCGAAATGAGCGTTTTGATTTCTAGCATTGTCATGATCACGATTGGATAGAGGTGGTATATATTATTATGCAAAGTATTCACAAAGTATCATGAATATTTCATACCCAAGTATAAATTCCCAAGTCCAGAACTTGTTCTTTTAGAAAGCGGATCCCGACGGTGCTACCCGAGAATTGATCCCCGAGGTTACGGTTAACCAGGCAGATACTCAGGCAGTTTGATATGTTCAGATCTACGGAATACTCTGTACCTCTTTCTATTACTATGTACTACATATATATATTGTATATTCCTTAGTATTTGAGAATATATAACCCGTTAAGGCCAGATATACCTCCCTTCTTCATACTCTAATAAGCGGCCCCTGATTCGTCGGGACTATCTAGCATAACATATACGGAGTACGGTGTATATATGGAGTAGGTACTCCGTAGAGTGCATTAGATTCAATTCGACAAGAGAAGGTACAGTGACAAAGTGAGATAGAAAGCAATAGAATATAAAGCATCCAATTAGAAACCTCCCTTTCCTCACCCCTCTCTTATAAGCCCCCGGATATAATTCACGGCATCAAAGTCTTTGGTACCTAGCCCCACACAGACGAGACCGCCCAGCCGCACGTACCAGTTACATGTTGGGGGTTATTTTTCTTTCGGATTTGCTTCTTTTTTGATAGGCATCTCTCTCTCTCTCTCTCCCTCTCTCTCTCTATCTTCCTCGTTTTCTGTTTCTCAAGCTGCTTTTTGGACTTATTATTTCCCCGAAATACCCCGTGAGTTTTCCAAGTTTACTTCCTATCTCTGTCCCAACATTTCTCATTTTCTCCTATCGCCAACTCCACTCAACACATCCCCTCTTCACTTGCCCAGTCTTGATAGAATCCTGACCACTGACAAACGCCTGGCAATATCCAGATACTCAATTCATCATGTCTGAAAAGAACGTCATTGAAATCAAGGACCTCACCTTGCAGGAGATCTCTGAGCACAACACTAAGAAGGATCTCTACCTGATCCTCAACGACAAGATCTACAACTGCACCGAATTCGCCGATCAACACCCGTACGTTGTCTCCATATCTACCCACTGCCACCGAATCTAGAATCCCAATCCCCGATGTGAACGAACAAGCAAGAGCGAGAGTAGAAGGGAAAAAAAAACAAAAAACAAAAAGAAATGCCAACTCGGCCTATTATCTTCACTCGTCTCGCATTGCTTCACACGCCGATTAAATCCCAGAACCAACCGACTGACTAAATCACAGTGGCGGTGAGGAAGTCCTCCTTGATCTCGCCGGCCAAGACTGCACCGAGGCCTTCGACGATGTCGGCCACAGCGACGAGGCGCGTGAGACTCTTAAGGAATATTTCGCCGGCAACGTGAAGCGCATGGTACGCACCCCGCCCAAGCATCCCAACATCCTTGACACACATTTTCCCCACACAAATCGATGCTGTCCCCTTAGCCCTCGGCTCCCCCCAAACCCCACAAAATCACATGCACCAATGCAACACTCCCGCATTTTAGATCCCTATTGATACTGACTCCTTCGAAAATAGCCTGGTGATCCCGAGCCCAAGCCCAAGGCATCCGCCACCGATTACACTTCATCTTCTTCCTCCGCCTCCGGCTTCGGCGTCGGCCTCTACGCCGTCATCCTCATTGGTGGCGCTATCGCATACGGTGCATACAACTACCTCCAGGCCCAGCAGGCTCAGCAGCAGTAAACTGGCCGACTATCGGGGTGTTTGTTTTGCAATTATATTGAGTGTGAGAGGTCTAGTAAGTGGTGGTCCGAATGCAGATCTGAGATTTAAAGACCTGTCTCCATACGGATGGAAGTCGCTATGGCTAAAAGAGCAAAGAGAGCGTTTTTTTTCGAGTTTCGGGCCTTATGAGTATCCAGCTCTTTTTTATTACCCTTTTATCTATTCATGTATTGTCGACATACCTTTATTGGATTAATGTTTGTTTTTTTCTTCTTTGGGAATTGTTATGAATAGTCATTTCAACATGATTCTGTTATATCAACGTAAGTGACAAGCGATAACGAGGGCAGATGCTGGTCGGGGAGTCCCGGAATCCACTACTCCTTCGGGGATTACTCCTTTTGGGGGCGGCGATCCTGATTCCCCAACATCCCCTCGTCTCTCCAAATATCTCCACTTGCGGTGATTTCCAATAGCGCGGAGACCGGTAGACGAAAGGGGGACATTGGGTCCGAGCTAGACTGTTCGAGACCTTTCTATCTATTTCTCCTTCTAGGCCTATATTGTGGTTTGTGCTAATGTTCTGAGTTAGAATGGATATATGACTATGACTCAGATTGGAAAGCCACCTGGCCAACTGTCTCTTTCACAAGAGAAGAGATATGGTTCATCAATTACTCGTAGACAATCTGAATCCTGGGGAAGTAGCTACAAGAAAAGACACAATAGGATGAGAAAGATCAAAAGCAATAAATGCGAAAGCAATCAAGGAAAAAGAAACTCTTTTTAAAACCCAATATTCATGAAATAGATACCAAAAAAAAGATGAAAACAAGAATTGAAGTAAAAAAGAAAAGAACTAAAATGATACTGTTCCCGCTCGCTCGAATTTAAGGCAGAGAAGGGATGGTGCAAAGAGTTGGTTTTCATGTCAGATCAAAACCAGTCGCAATAACAAACTCACCGTGCAGCGCCGTGAAGTCCGTTCTGCACGGCCTCCAGGATCATCTCCTTGGCCTCTTCCAGGCCGCTGGGGCTACCCCGGATCTCAATCGCTTCACCGCGAGCCTGGTCCTTGGGCACATTGATACGGCAGCCTGTCTTCTTGCGAATGGCGTTGATCTGGCTGCCGCCCTGGCCGACGACAAAGCGGTAGGTTTTGGGGTCCGGCAGGATCAGGTAGCCCGTAGTGGACTGCTGGGATGCGGAGGCCAGAGCCTTTTCGATAACGGCGCGGGCCTTGGTCACGTTCTCCGGGGTGCCGCTGAGCACCCAGGGGAAGGGGCTAGAGGCGGTTTCCGCGGCATTGTTGTCGACAACGGTCCAGGAGTGTGCATCCGTGGGTACGCTGGGGTCATCAATGATCAGGGGCATGTCAGTGCCTTCAGCTGTAGTGCGGGTGTCTTCAGCGGCGGATGGGGCAGGCACGGGCACGGGCTGCCCAGCGTGATCAACGGTGACCTGGTGGTCGTTGCGCAGGCGGCGGAAGATGTGGCCATTATCAGCAAGGGCGTGGTGCAGATGGCTGGGGACCTCAACAGTCTCCGCGTGCTGCTCCTTCAACATGGACTTGACGTGCTCCTTGGCGCTTTCGACGGCGTTGCTGGGGCCCTTGAGCTTCACATCGGTACGGCCAGAGCCCTGTTTGGGGATATCAAGGGTAACGTTGAACTTAGACTCAATGCCACGGCGTGTGTCGCCTCCACGGCCAATGAGCATGCGGTGCTGGGCGGTGGGTACGTCGAGGATCTCCGTGACCTGGTCCTGGCGCTCCTTGACGAACTCTTCGATCGCAGCAATAATGCTATCCACGATCTTGCCGTTGCCCTCGAGGCGGATGGTCGATTCGGTGCTTTCAGGACGGGGGAAACGGACCATTCTGGCGGCGCTGCCATCAGTGGGGCCGCCAGCCTCGGTGACGATCTTGCGGATGTTGGCACCTATATCAAGTCAGTAATCGAAAATAAGCACATCACTTTGCATGCAAACTTACCTCCTCCACCGATCAAGGCCTTGTGGTATTTTTTATCGACCTCAAGGTTCTTGATCACAGTCGCATCGAACTCGCTGGCCCGCTGCTGCAAGATCTTCTTGGCCTCGGCAACTTGCTGCTTAGTACCCTTGACACGGATCTCCACACGACCCGATGCATCTGGCGCATCGTTGGCGTTAGGGACATCAATCTGGGCACCGGTATCAGCGCGAAGCTTGTCCATCTCACGGCCGCGCTGGCCGATCAGGGATGCGACTTGGCTCTGGGCCACCGAGATGGCAGCAGAATGACCATGCTCAATGACATATTGCAACAAGCTGAGGATCTCGTCACGAGCCGAGTCGGCGCCCTTGCTAGGGCCCTTGATGAGGACCTCATCGGGAGCCTGCTGGGTACGTTGGGGACGAGCACCACCGGCATCGCTGCCAGTTTCTGCGGAGTCATCATTGGTAGTTGCGCGGGGGAACTGGACGCGGACAGCGTAGCGATCCTGGAGACGGTTGACCTGGTTTCCGCGCTGGCCAATCAACTCACGGTGGTATTGGGCAGGGACCTTGAGAATGTGAGTGGTCTCATCTTCCAACTTCTTGCCCATGTTGATGATGCGCATGCGGGTAGCATCCGCCTTGGCCTTGGGCCCCTTGACCTCGACCTTCCCGTTCTCCACCTTGATATCAACATCGAACTCCTCGCGGAGCTTGTTGATGTTTTCACCACGTTTGCCAATGAGGAAGTTGGCGTACTTCTGGGGGAAGTCAAAGCTAGTAGTATAACCTCGCTCCAGATCGTCCTTCTCCTGCTCCTCGACGAAAGCCTCCACCTTGGCGATAAGTCCAGCCACCAGGGCCGAGGGACCGCGAAGCGAAACCTGACATTGAGAACCCTTGGCATCACCAATAATAGCACGCACGGGGATACTATCCTCGCCCTTGGCCTCCTGCTCGCGAGTGATAAATTTACGCGCTTTCTCTTGGTATTTGGCAGGGACGGAAACATCCTTGGAAACAATGTCAAACTGGTCTCCGAGAGTGCCCAGGAGGAATTCCTGGGCCTCTTGCAGACCCTTCTCGAAGGCCGCAACATCTGCAGGGGAGGGACGCTGTCTTGGGACCTCGAAGCGGGCAGCAGTTGCAGACGGACCCTCATAAACAAGAACAACTTCGGGGCAGTTGATGTCATCCGGCACCATTAGGTGAACGCCATAGTCACCCTGGAGGGTGTTTGCGCTTCGGTCGCGCAAGTACTGGTGGAAGTACGGGTCTACGGGGACGTGACGGAGTCTAGAAGGCGGGAGAGCCTGGACTAGGTTCATGATATCAGAGCGGGCACGGATGGTGTTCTTGCCGTCACGGGAGTACACCTCCCAAGTGATGGGTCCACCAACGCTAGGGGGAAGTGCAATGTGCGCATCGTAAGTCGATTCGAGTTCCTTGATGACCTGGCGGCGACGGAGGTACTGCGAGAGAGCGCTTGCGTGGGCGTGGGGACCAGCAGGAGCAGTGGGGTGCTGGCGGGACAGATCAATGCTAGCCATCTGCATGCTTGTCGCAAGGTCCATAGCATGTTCAATACCAGCTTCAATCTGGTCAACGGGACCAGTGATGGTGAGGAACTCGCTCTCGTCGGAGGAAGGGGGCAGGACAATGGCACATCCAGTCTTGGCAACGAACTGGTGCAGAGCGTCGGCCTCATTGCCCAAAATGAACTGGTGCTGGCCACGGTTGATGGCCAACTGGCGCAGAGTAAGCTGCTGGCGCAACTGCGCAGCCAAACGCTCAATCTCAGCCCGAGCCTCCTGTGCGGCAGCCCGTTCTCCGGAAATCAAAATGTGCTTGTCAGCCACAGGCGCGAACTGGATTTGGCCAGGGTTGGCTTCCTGAGGAGGGGGCTGGCTTGACCAAGTATCATAGCGAGGGACATTGATCTGCGCTTTCGTGCGCTCTTCAATGGCCCGCACGTTGGCGTCATGTGCACCTGCAATGAATGGGAAGAACTCAGGAGGGACGGTCTTCAATCGGAAGCTCATATTTGAGCCGCGCTCCTTCACGATCGCCTCGATCTCGCGGCGGGCCATCTCCGCGGCCACGGCATCTCCCTCAATCAAAATGTCAATAGTATCATCGTCATCATCGTCGGCACCAGCAGCGTTGCCGTCGGCACGGGGGACCTGAACACGGGCACCTGTGCGTGTCTGGATGTCCTGCACAACGGTACCTTGACGGCCAATGATGTGGGCGCGCGCAGATGTGGGAATGGGAACACGGACGGATTGCTATTGAGACGAAATGGTAAGCACATATATTGGGTTTGCGCACGTCTAGTCCACATACCTTAGATCCAACTTGCTGGGCCACCTCGCGGAGTGCCTGGCGTACCGCATCTACGGAGCCCTTTCCTTCAAAAATGATTGAACCACCAGGACCGCCACGCATATCAACATTGGCCTTTGATCTACGAGAGATATCCCGGAGAACATCACGAAGAGGCTTTTTCATCTGTCCACGGGGTTGCATCTGGGAGGGTGCTAGGCGGAGCTGCTCCATGTGCTTTCCGGGGAGGGCCATGATACGGGGGATCTCTGTTTCTATGTCAAAAAAAATGTTCCCGATCCGGGAAGCTCCAAAAGAATCTACGTACCCATTGACTTCGCGGGCAAGCCATTTGCGACAGCAGCGGCCGCGGAAGGCTTCGCACCCCATGTAGCGGCCGCGGGGGCAGCGGGCTTCGGACCACTGCCCAAAGCTGGGAACAATTCTTCGGATTGAACGTCGAATGCCGGGGCCTTTTTGGTGGCGGGCTTCGGGGTGGGCGCCGGAGAAACGGTTTGGGCGAGAGTGGTAGGCTCGGTGGCGTCAGCGTCAACAAGGATGGGCTGTTCTGGCTGCAGAGGAGCCGGAGGAGGGTGTTTGAGGTCCTCCTCGTCCACGACTTCCTCCACAGTGGGCTTGTGCACCTCGTCGCGGGCGTGCTGCTGTTCCAACATGGCAGCGAGAGATCCGCCGTTGGCAGATGTAGATGCTTCAGA